ACAGGTACAAGTCTAACGTACCCAAAGGCCACCAGTTAAGCACCGAACGTTTCAGAAAGAATAACCGCAGATCCACCAGGGCTTGAAAAATCGAGAAGGTCAGGTGCATGGGAAAAAAAAGAAAGAAAAAGACGCCATCAGTCAAGAACACAGGGGTGAAGGGGGAAGGATGTGGAAGGGGGGTTACTAAAGAAAATGAAATGCGATAAAATAAAAGCCGCTCAGCCAATACAAGAAAGGACCAATTTCCAAAGGCCCGAGATCCCCATCCCTGCAAGCTTGAAAAAGACGACAAAAGTACGACCCGCGGGAGGAGGGGAATGGGGGAGAGAGATAGTTCGCGTAGATCTAGAAACATAAACCGGAATCCTGGATCGGGAAGACTAATAACTGTACAGTGCTAGTAATACTTCGATAGCATCTACTGGACTGACCTGAACTGTCATAGCGCTGGTCATCTCAAATCGAGCTCAGTTGATATGAAGCGCACATGTACGATGTATACGGGGGGCTTTCAGTTATCAGTCATAAAGCATAAATCACACACCTCTGCCCCGTTCTGCGGTCCTATATGGTCGGTAAGGCAGAGATCTAGACCGACGCGGTACTAGGACTTGGGACTTCAGTGTAGCTAATCGTTCGCACTGATCGCTCCCACATGTCTTGAACATGACATCTGGTCCCCATTAGCTGCAGACAGAAGCTCCCGCGGAAAAACGGAAGTGGTGGTGGTGGCTTCGATTCGACTCGACCAGATAAGCGCTCAGTCCTGTGTATGGGCCGTGGTGGCTGATTTGTTTTGCATGTTTTGCAGGGCCAGCTCATCGATCTGGGATCCGAGAGGTAATGTGTTTGGGTGGGAGAGGAGGGGGAGGGATGTCTTCGTGCCTTGTGGCTGGCTTGCGGAGGTGTGGAGTTCTAGGCTCTGCTGTACTTTTGGCTGATCGTTGGGAAAGGGGTTTGGGTTGTTTGGTTGGGGGTGTAGGTTGAAGGAATTCAGTTCCTGTTGCCCGCCTCATGATGACACTATTCTGCGTTGTTGTTTACATCTACAACTACATCTGGCCGGGGGGTTGATGTACGATTTCATCATTGGGATTTTGCCCGTGCTATTACCTGTGTGATTGCCCATGGGGTCAGGTACCTGCTTAAGAAGTATAATAAGGAAGTACTTGGGGGTTGGATCTCTGGTTCCTCCCTGTAGATCAAGATCAGGATTCGGGTTGGGATAACTTGTATTGTTTGCTGTATGATGTCATAGTTCACAGCAAACCCTGCCTCGGTAGGAGACCTACAGTATAAGCAAAGGTGTGCTTTGAGCCCGGAGATTATTGAGAATGGCCCTGGGGTCGTGGGTGGCACTATTAGAACCCAACCATTTCTACATAGGGCTTCTATAGAGTCATGTGGCCCCATCGATGCACATGACCAGCGCACATGATTCCGGGGGTGGAGTCGCTGACTTACCGACAATCTTCTACATATCCATTCCCATTCCCTGGATCGAATCCTGATTCCATGGATCTCTTCCTATTATTACAGACTACTGAATATATATTACCGGTCAACATTTGCCCCCGAATCTCAGGGATCTTCTCCCCGATGCAGTGTTTCAGCCAATGACGTAGTCCGCTCCGCCGACCGAACGGGTGTGGGGGGAGAGGATTTTTTCCCCCTAAAACGCCCGACACCATCTCCATTCTAGAAATACTGTTTTTCTCTCCGGCCATGCCCGAGTCGTGGGGCTACGAAAACCCTTCACTGGACTGTGGCTAGAGAGAACAAGGTACAGCTTCAGACTAATCACAGAAGCTCCAGATGAGTTCATATGTGCGGGATCCTACAGCTCATGATCCAATTCGTCTCGCTTGACCTTCCCTCCGGGCGGAATAAGAAAGCCACATCATGCAGAGCCGCTGTTAGTACACCAAATATTCAATATAGAAACACTGTGCGCGCAGTCAAGCCACCTCCAGAATCCACCTTCTAAGCCTAGCTTAGGGCTTTCATGCCGGCCAGAAGAGTCTTCTCAATCTCAGCTTTCAAGAGCAGTGGATATAATCAGTGGGTCAAGCAACAGAGGCCTTTCATTCGCCTACATCTTTCGTCCCGCGGTCTCGTCTCACCGGTACAGAGCTGTTTTTTTGTCAAAACAGTATTGCAGTGACAGCTCGGGCTCCGCATTACCTCTTTGGGATTCGATACAGAACGCGTGTTATGAACCCCCACGGACCACTTTCGATTGAACAGGGTTAGAGGCTTATATATTGCCATGGAATTGCGAGACACGCTATACGCTTCCTGCTGTAAAATTGACGCCTAACAAGGTTTTCGGGTTCGTGATGGGCGCCCGACGAAAGGTGTCGGCAAGCCGATGCAGCTGAGCTTGCATTTCAATCATGCGAGATTATCATGTCTGGGCACGGTAAGGGATATGGAGTTTGATGAAAGATTCCATCTCACTGCATGCACAGTACATTGAGTGTTGTGCAATCTAGCCACATGTCTCAAGCTGATGGCGACCCCAGGCGGCCTCTCCGAAGTTTGACACGAAACAATCCTCGTCGACTGACCCTTGATTGCTCTCCACTACACCACGGATCGACCGACCGCGACCCATACTAGCCCTGGGCCTTCACAGATCTAGAGCCGACCCGTTTTCATGCTTGCTGCAGTCATAATTTAGGGTTGGGCTCACCTCCCTAACTGGTGGATTTTTCTTCGAATCAGGGGGATCTACTATATGCTCTGCACATTAGCAGAGATATGCAATTCGCTCCCGTTTGCCCTTTCTGCGAATTGCACATTATCACGCACTATGTGGCTGCATGTCCAACATGCGACAATACTCCGTAGGATATTTATACTCGGCGAAATCCCGAGGGGAGGCATTCGGGATTGGACGTCCAATCTCTATCCTGTTTTTCAGGGCTCAAATGGGGAAAGTACGGTAATAATGTAAAAAAACAACAACATTATCATGGCCAATATAAAGCTCATGATTGGCTGGTCCTTATTCTAGGCCTTCCGGTGGAGATGGATATAATCACGTGGAACAGCTTCCGGGGAGCTCAGTACTCCGAAAACCCCGCAAGATGTCAACGATTTCGACGATTTGGTCGATTCGGTCAATGGACCGGTTTTGACATACATATTTAACATATAATATGGGCATGCTAAAATTTCATCATAGAACTGCCGATATATTCCCGAAATAACAAGCGAAATTTACGAGTCCATGGTCAGGTTCTGGAAGGCTTCTGGAAGGGCGATCCGGTTGGCCGGCGAATTCAAGGTTCGATTCGCGCCTTTCCGCTTTCGGTGTAATTCAAAATACAAATACAATACAATACTACCAATACACAGAACTCCGCCGAGGCTTAAATGTTCCGAGTGCGGAGACCGGAATACGCACTGTACACGCTGTATACACAGTGTAACAAGCGCAAGGATGCCGATTAAGAATCGGTTACAATATATAGCTCGCTTACTTGATAGCCTCAAAACACTCTAGACTCCAACTATACCACATATAGCCCAGCGGCACCAAGCCTTGCCCGACAATTCGGGTTGGAAGACCGGTACTCCAGTTAGCGGAAGCCACAGGCGCAGGTTAATGCATGGAATACAGGAGCAAGTGACCTCGCGAAAACCGTTTCCTGCAATCAGACCTGGGGCCTAGTTGTGGCGTTGTATAGAGTGGGATGTCGTTTCATGCTGACTTGTGTGTACTCCGTACATGTCTCCATACATGTGTATTCCGACGGGGCCACTTTCCGCTGTTTCCGTATCGCCTTACACTCTCTTAAGAAATGTCGGGGTAAAGACGGAGAAACCATGGAAATTATGGGAACTACAGCTACTGTACAGCTACGTGAGGCTCCAGCTGCGTCAGATGTGGGTATATAATATGAAGATCTGATATATGACTTCATCTGCTTATTGATTTATTATAGCTTGTCGAGATTACAGTAGAGGTCAAGAATTCCATGGACATTGTCGTAGTGGACCGATGTTGCATCCCGGCTAAACGCGTACCCCAAACTGGCCATCTCGCAAAATCCCCCTCTTCTCCGGATCCCGTGACTACAGCGTCGGGTCGTATTACTTCATATGATTAGATGGGCTTTCTCACTACTTGTCACTCTATACAGAGTACGGAGTGGGGATATCCCCCGGTCACTTTCTCTTGAAACCCTTCACTGCGAGAGATAAGACGGGGTGTTTGCCACACACACACTAGACCGGAATCCTGTTTCCTCTTGCTTGGGTTCTCTGCATGCAACAGTGATGAGCAGGTTCGTGGTTGCCAATCAATTCCTGGGGTTGGAAAAGAGGGTGTATATCTGCTTTCCTGTTGTGGCCGGGGACAGATGAGATGCCACAGTACAGACTCCTGTTTTCATCCTTGGATTTCGATTTGGATTTAGACATGAACTTGGGGGTGACTGATCAGCAATAGCTGGGATGTCGAATGCGAGGAATAAACATAGACAAATCTTAATTAAGCATGATATCTTTTCCAGAGTTGGAAAGTCTGAACCTTTGCAGAGAGTGACAAGATGATTCTACATGCATCCATAAGCAATTATGCAAGTGAGGATCTGTAGTTCCTTCGAGTAGATCTGAATCAGTCTTGCCACTGTGAGTCATGGTGTGTCAATGGGAATCAAACTGATGGAGTTCGTAGAAACGTGAGTCAACTCGAATCATCGCATGAGATCATCGTCCCCGCCAAAATGTCTTGGCATGAAAACCGTCAACACTCGGTTATAACTTCATCTATAGTTCCCCCTCTGCCATACTGCCGCGGGAGTCACGTGGATCTCACATCCGTACCTTGATTCCAGCCTAGTGCCTTCAAGTCGTTCACTCGCACATCTCGGCTTACTTACTGTGCAGATTTGGTCCTGTCGATCTCTTCAAGGTCACCGGATCTCTGCGCTGGCACGCACGTCACCTCGCCTTCTCGATCATCTCATAGCTCAACGAGGCTCATTATGGATAAGGGGTCATTTGACGCGGGCTCAGCACCCCAGGTTCTAGGTGAGTGTTTTCTATTATTGGCTTTGTGAAGCCCGGAGGCTTTTGATCCCAATCAAATCTCTGAGATCTACTTGGGCGGTTGTCTCGGCCCTCCCCTCAGCATGTCTTTCGTATTTCCAGCCCCCTTGTTGCATGTCCATGCACATGTTGCATCCGCCACACGGCCTGACATGCCTATCTTTCTGGCCCATGGCCTATGAGTGCACCTAGCCATGAGGCGTTTCTCCTTGCTAATACAACACCGAGGATCGGACCAAGCGGCCCGCAACTTATTTGATCACACGCTCATATTTATCTTTCGAATAGGTACAGAGGCTTCGACTGCTGAGTTGTCAGCGGCCCCGTCGCATGGCGTAGCATCTGAGACCAGTACTCGCCAGTCGAAACGTGCTAAATGTCGTTTCTTCAAATCCAAAAAGGGTATGTACACGTTCTGAGTTTCATTTGGGGGCTGTTTGCCTGCTTGGTCTTTTAAAAAACTCCACGCGTCATGGAATACGGGGTTTGGTATCTCGCGTGCCGCAAACAGGCCCTTTTGCGAACGCCTGTATACAGTATCTGTCATGTCTCCCAAAAGGGAATGCCGAGGCCTCGACTAGTACTGCATGACTTGCGTATGCCCTAATAATCTGTGCCTGTGTTCATGTTTTGGTCATCCTGATGTCAAGCGATGTGTTGTCAGATCAGATGCTAACGTTCATCCAGGATGCCGGCTTGGATCATCATGTCCATACCTCCATGATGCCTCGGCTCTGGAGTCTAATCGGTCTCCTTCCGAGCAGCAGACACCTACTGAACCTTTGCATGGTGATACCCAAACTCCAGTACAGGAAATGGTCGCCGGGGCCCAGAAGCTCACCATGGGTGGCAACCAGCCGAAGAGCACTGCTACTTCGGGGCCAGCCCAGCCCAAAAGACCGGTTTCTAAACTAGAGCAATCGGACCCCAGAGAATTCCAGATCAATCAATTGAGGCGGCGTTACCAACCACAGGAGACCAATGACGACCAAGGTTCTATCTTGACCTTTGGATTGGCTCCCTCGGATCCTGACTTCCCATTCGAGCTGGAGAAACTTCAATGTGTTCTTCGTGTTCCGAAGTCATATCCCAATGAGCGTCCTACACTTACGGTGACCAATGCTGAAATGCAAGCTGCGTATCAAGCCAACGTCGCCCGAGGGTTTGACGATATTGTCAATTTTACGATCCGAACTAATAACCGCGGAACTTTGTTGACGTGGCTGAATAGCTTGGACAAGCAGCTTGAGAAGCTACTCACTACCTTGGAGCGTGGACCAACCCTGAAGTTCTTCTCGAATGTCGGTGATGCCACTGCTCCTAAGGAGCCATCAAAAGTTGCAGAAAAAGCTCCAAGCCCGAGCTCATCTCAGACTCACGCAAAGCCATCGACTACTCGAGCAACAAGGCCAACTGTGGCTCCACAAGCCCAGCGACCAGCTCCCAAACACTCAGTTGAGGCGAAAGCCACCGCCGAGAAAAGGCGAGCACTCGAAGTAAAACAACTCGAGGCACGCCTTGGGAGGATACCCATGTTCCAAAAGATGCAAGATGGGAGAACATTTATCATTCCAGTCCAACCAGCCAAAAAGGACCGCCTTCCCAGAGCACTTCAGGCACTGAAGACAGTGAAGCTGATTGTTCCAAATTTCTACCCACTTGAACCCAGCTCGATTAAACTGCAAGGAGTCGATGGTCCCGAGGCGAAAGCCACAGAGGCAGGATTCTTGCAGTGGGTGGAACAAACATCGCAGCTGAATCTGGTGTCCCAAATCAATTACTTGGCAAGCAATATGCACAAGTTTGCTGAGACGCCTCTGCCAGAAGAGAAAGAAATCAGTGAAGATATTGTTGCAAAGGCCGAAGAAGAAGAAGAAGAAGTAGAAGAGCAAGAAGTAGAAGAGTCCACCGAAGCTCCAACCCAAGATTCAGAAGATCGACCCCATCTCCATGTCATTCCTCGGCCACCAGAGTGGTCAGTTCCAGATCCTCACAGTGGCGCCGAGGATACAACAGAGGAATCTAGCTACGACGAAGACGAGCATTCGGAAGATGAAGAGGATGAGGAAGGAGGCGCTCCTGTACCGCCATCGGTGGATACCAGCACACCTGGCCGAGGCGTTGCACTGTCTTTCCCATTCTTGGAGCTTTATGGCATCGAGTTATTGGAGCTTTCTGCTCTCAATATTACCGTTAAGTGTGATCGATGCAAAACTGCCGTTGATATCAAGAATGTGCCCCAGGTTAGCGACGAGAAGGGTGCGATTCCAAAAATGGAGTCTTGCAGGAAGTGTGCTAATAACATGAGCGTTGGTGGGTTTTCGATCTTGCTCCTATTTCTGCCTTGGCTATACTGACTTGTTAAATATAGCATTCCGGAGGCAGTTGATGCACACTCATGCTAATCGCGCCGGCTATTTGGATATGGATGGCTGTACCATTGGCGATATGCTTCTGAGGTAACTTATGGGATTGCAACGTACAAAGATTTCTCATTTGACTGACTTGGTTCCAGTAACTTCATCCCCACATGTGCCGAATGCTCAACCCCTCATCCAGCACCTGGTATATCCGCCGTTCGCGGAGAAAGTGCTACGGCTAGTTGCCGTGATTGCCATCGCAAAATGGTCTTCAAGATCCCCGAAGTGAAGTTTTTGCTTGTGGGAAGCGCAGCCAGTAAGTTTGAATTGCCCAATATGCGACATCCAGTTATACTAAGTACCAAATTCTTTAGTCTCTGGCCGCGGTGGTCTCCCTTTGAAGCGAAAGGTAAGTTATCACATGATATATTAGTTGATTGATATCTGACCAAATAAATAGCCCAAGGAAGTCCTCGGCATTGTTGCAGGTCAAGAACTCCCTAGGCGCGGCCGTTGCCAACACTACGCGAAAAGTCAACGTTGGTTCAGATTCAGTTGCTGTGCAAAGGTTTTCCCATGTGATAAGTGCGTTTCGTTCCTCTCTGAGCCCCCCTTCTTCAATAGCAGTGATATTAACCAACTGCACTAGATGCCACGACGCAGAAACCGACCATCCGAATGAACACGCAAACCGCATGATCTGTGGCTACTGTTCGCGAGAACAAGTCTACAGACCAGAGAATTGTGGAATCTGCAAAGCTATTCTCATTGGAAAGGCTGGAAGTGGATTCTGGGAAGGCGGAAAGGGAACAAGAAATCGGGCTCTGATGAGTCGGAAAGGTATGCTTTTTCTTGCAGATTCTTAGAGTTTCTACTTTTGGCTAATTCTGTAATAGATCCGAGGAAGTTTAAGAGAATCGGTGGGAATGCTCCTACCTCGAGTGCGTCGAAGAGAAAGTAGAGGTCTTGGATAATGTATAACTATTGCATTGCATAGCATAGCCATTGGAGATACAAAGGGAAAACGAAAAGTCTTGTGTTGGGTCACTATTATAAACGTCAAATATAATGCATTCAACTCACACAAGTACACATTTAAGATAACCAAGTTTCCCACGTTGAGAGTATGCTAGGAAGGGTTCAGTATGCATCTAGGACATACGTACTTCCCACTAACGCTAATCCATACATTATACCAGGCAAGTATACAATTTGTATTCAAAGAAAGAGTTCAAATAATACCTGAACAAGAATCGCTAAATGTACAAATGCAAGTGGCTCGACTGCAAAGCAACAGCCCGTAAGAAAACAAATATGGTATCCAATGAGCCCTCTCCTGCAATCTTTCTTTTCACTTCGAGGTTGTTTTTTAAATAAGGTTACCACGAAGCTCCTGTTCCCGTTCAATAGCCTCAAACAGCGACTTAAAGTTCCCGGCACCAAAGCCCTCAAAGTTATGTCTCTGAATAATCTCCATGAAAACAGTAGGGCGATCCATCAAGTGCTGAGAAAAGAGATGATGTCAGCAAAAAGTCCAAATCCCAATCCCATAGTCAACTGATATCCAGATACATACCTTGGTAAACAGCTGAAGCAAATAACCACCCTCGTCGAAATCAATCAGAATATCAAGACTCTTGATTGTCTCGAAATCCTCTTTGAGGACTAATCCAGATTGCTTCAGGCGGGCCTGCATATCTGTGTAATATGTCTCAGGAACCTTAATGAACTCGACACCACGCTCCTTGAGATTGGTAATGTCGCGGATGATGTCGTCTGTTTGGAGGGCGATGTGCTGTACGCCAGCGCCATTGTAGAAGTCGACGTATTCTTCGATTTGGGATTGCTTTTTTCCCTTTGCTGGTTCGTTGATGGGCATTTTTACGACCTCGTTCGGGGAGGCCATGACGATAGACTTCAAGGCGGAGAACTCACTGGAAGGATAAGATTTAGTTTGAGAGATGAAGATTGGGCGAAGGAAATGGAGTACTTACGTGCAAATTTGGCTGTCGTCCACGCTCCAGAAACGGTGGAAGCCGAGGGCTTTTTCGTAGCTGAGAAGATAGAATTAGCGAAGATTTGATCTGGAATTGGTGTATGAAACTTACTACTCGCAGATCTGATCCATCTCATCCCAATCCTGGTTGCCCACACAGTGATCAATCTTCGAGAGGTGAACACCGGGCAAGAACTTAGCCAGAGGATCAACGACTGCAGTGTCATCACGGTATCCTGGCAAAAAGGTTCCATGATACTGATTCCGCTCGATGAGCGTATGCGTAGTCTGGCCATAGGTCTGGATAGTGGCAACCTTGACATGGCCAGCCTTGTCTTCCAGAATCTTAGGGTTGGAAACGACCTTGGCGCCGTTCTTCACGGCAGCATTGAAAACAGCATCGACATCATCAACCTCGAAAGCAACGTCCTTGACTGCATCGCCGTGCTTCTCGAAATGACTGTGGATTTCCCGCAGCTCGGCCTGTTCTTCACTGTTGAAACGGTCGGCCTGCTCCAGAGACCGGAGTGGTGAAGTCAGGATGAAGGTCACATTTCCGTTGCCAACTACGTGCGAGCAGACGGTCCGGTTGCCAGTTTCAAGGCCTTTGTAGGCGATCCGCTTGAATCCCATTCGGGTTATGTAGTAGCTTGCTGCTTGCTTGGCGTTTCCCACGTACCAGTGTACATGATCGTAGCCACGATATGTTGCCAGCGAGGAAGCAGCATTTGTTGAAGGGGGAGGACTGCTTGAAATTGCTGAAGGTGCCATTTTGATGTTTGGTAGGTAGGGTTTGGGTGCAGAAAAGTATAGATGGAAAGTAGTTGAAGTGGAGGATTGATTTGATGAGAGGATTCGCACGCCTGCTTTTAAATCATCATTCGAGCACCTCTAGCCGCATTCTACGGATATTCTCCAACCTTGAAGTTCTGGCGGCTTGGAGGGCCGGTTATTGCAGGTTCCTGGAGTAGCCGGAAATAGCCGGGCCTGATAACAATATCCGCCCTTCACTTCAACCTTGAAAGCTTCTCTTGACCTTCTTTTCTTTTTTAAACTACTCAAATATTTTACCGAGTAGTACATCTACCAGCTTTCAATATGACGAGCATTGCATCTGCCCGCCCATCCTTAACATCCAATGATTCGGCCGTACTTCAAGCACTTTTCGACGCCGAATCCTCTCCATCATCGGGGATCACGGTTGATCCATCCCTACCCTCATGGCCATCTTCTTTAAAAATCTCCCAAGAAGATATATCATCCCTCGGCCAGCGTGAAACAGAAATCATCCGCACACTGCAAGCCGATGAACAATCAAGCGAAGAAACAGTCAAGTCCGCCCTTAATGACTTCGATACACTCATCAATCAATATCCAACCTATCCATCTGCGTACACAAACCGAGCACAAACACTCCGTCTTTTGATTGATATCATTCACAATACCCATGAAAGCAAAAACAATAATGTTCAAGCTTCGATCTCCGAGCTAGACGATGCAGTTCTCTTCTCACCCCAAACTTCAGAGCTATCATCTCGTATTTTCTCTGATCTAGGACAGGCGATTACTCTGGCTACGCCGGTTTCACCTGCTGATCCTGTCTCCTCTGTCCAAGGACGTCTTTTGGCTGATGCACACACGCATCGTGGTTATTTACTTCTCAAAGCAGCACGGGGCAAGAAGGCACAGCTTGAGGACGATGGATCGGATATTTTGGGTCCGGAGCGATTGAGAGGACTTAGCGCCGATCAATTGGAGGAAATGGCAAGTCGGGATTTCTTCTTTGGGGGGCGCTATGGAAATAAAGTTGCCCAGCAACTTTCTGTGCAGACAAATCCTTATGCGAAGATGTGTGGGGCTATTGTTAAGGAGGCCATGAGGAAGGAGGTAGAGGGCTGAATGTGTGAAATATTAGTCTAATATACCCGTTCTCTCTTCGACGTTTGGAATAGTAAACCGCACAATATATTTTGGAGATTAACTTCATTTGGACTATCCTTTTGTCACTCGGTAGCTATCTGCAAAGGATTCCCATATCGCCTGTGGCTGTGATAAAGCTCCACTTTAGGCCTTTTTGTTAGGGTTGACAAAGTGCCTCTTCAACGGCTTCCAACTGTGCTCATTGTATTCCTCCTGCACCTTCTGGCAAGTCTTCAGGCCCCATTCCGAGACACCAACCATCAAAGAACTAAATCAAATGTCAGTGATCAGTACTACAAGACACTTGTTATGCAGCTTACCTCTCAAACATGAAAGCCATGCTCCCATCGCCGACCTTTTGCGGCTTCAATTCCGCATTACTAGCACCCTCGAAGGCACCGTAGTCAGGACCATGTGCACTCATCACATTATGCAAACTAGCACCAGCAGGCTGGAAGCCACCACCAACTTTTGCATCGTAGTTACCGGCAATCAATCCCATGAACTCGGACATGGTGTTGCGGTGATACCATGGCGGACGGAAGGTATTCTCTGCTACCAGCCAGCGAGGCGGGAAAATTACAAAGTCGGCAATCGCTGTACCAACATGATCCGAAGGACCTGTCAATACAGTGAAAATAGATGGATCAGGGTGATCAAATGAGATGGAGCCGATGGTATTGAAACGGCCAAGATCGTACTTGTAGGGGTAGTAATTGCCGTGCCACGCTACAACATCGAAGGGGGTGTGGTTCTGGCGAGCGGAAAAGAGAGTGTTGTTGAACTTGCTGTAGAGCTTGTACTCACTCTCCTCTTCGTCGTCGAAGTCGGCAACGGGTGCTTGGAAATCGCGCGCATTGGCCAGGCAATTGGAGCCGATGGGGCCCAGCTCGGGAAGCTCGTAGTGGCCTTGGTATAGTTCACAAATGTAGCCGCGGACAGGGCCGTCAGGAAGAGTGACGCGGTATCTGACACCACGGGGAATGACACAGATCTCATTCGGACGGAGGATAATACGGCCAAGCTCGGTCTGGATATCAAGAACTCCGTGCTGGGGCACGATTAAGAAGTCTCCGTCTGCGGAATAAAAGGCTTCCTTGCCCATATCCTTGCCGGCAGCATATAGTAGAATTCCTAGTCCTTGCTTCATCGTTGGATCGCCAGATCCAGCGACCAAGTGCAGTCCATGTACCCAATCGACCTTCTCGTCGAGGTCGAATGGATTCCACCGTAGTTGGTTGGGAATATGATGAAGTTTATGGGTCTCAGTGGTCATCCGAGTGTGATAGGAGTCGGCATCCTCGGCGAAGAAGTTCTCATGTGCCGCTGCAGGGAGGATGCGATATACCCATGTCTGCTTGTTTTCATGCCGAGGTGCTGTAAATGCAGTTCCTGACAACTTCTCTGCATAGAGTCCATGAGGGGCTTTCTGTGGAGAATTCTGGCCGATTGGAAGAGCTCCCTCGACAGCTTCGGTCCTAGATATTTGGGTAAGCCCGCGGCCATTGCTATACTTGAGGTATATACACGTACTCGTGGTATGAGCCGAAGCCTGTCTGGTACTTGTAAGGATCGGGGTGGGCGAAGTTGGTGACAGGCATGATGGTAGGTGACTATGACTATGTGCAGTTCCAGTCCTGTCTTTGTATAAGAAAAACAACCGAGGAGCTCTTCAGCGCAACGTCAGAGCGGGAATCTTCGGCCGCGATTATCCTGTTGCTTCCGCGCTTGGCTGCGGGGGTGCGGATGTATTCCGCTCGCTCGGAACTGAGCGTCGAGGGGCCAAACATCCGCATAGTTAAGATGAAGCTTGCTTTTTTCTTTTTCTCCTTTCTCTTCATTCTTCATCAGATACCTCATCATGACTTCGTGGTTCCAGATCCCCAAGAACTCGCCCTTTTCGCTGGCCAACATTCCGTTCGGCATCATCTCAGCACAGTCTGCTTCAAAAGCTGCCGCAATTGCCATCGGTGACCATGCGCTAAACTTGAGCACATTCGCCTCTTCGGGAGGTTTCTCTCAGCTTCCTGCAATTCAGCAGCACCTGGCTGTTTTTAACCAGCCAACACTCAATGACTTCGCTGCTCTCGGTCGCCCTGTGCACAAGCAGGTCCGCGAGTATCTACAGAATGTCTTCCGCGCCGACACACAATTCCCGCAGATCCTCAAGGATAACGCTTCTCTCCAAAAATCAGCCCTACTCCCTCTATCTGAGGTTACCAACCACGTTCCTATGCAAATTGGTGACTACACCGATTTCTACGCCGGTCTGAATCACGCCTACAACATCGGAGTCCTCTTCCGTGGCCCGGACAATGCACTCCAGCCCAACTACAAGCATCTGCCTGTCGCATATCACGGCCGTGCCTCCTCAGTGGTGGCTTCTGGCACTCCCCTTCACCGTCCCCAGGGTCAAATCCTGGCCAACCCTACTGCCGACCCTAAGGTGCCTATCTTCTCTCCTTGCAAGCGTCTCGATATCGAGCTTGAGCTTGCCTGCTTCATCAGCAAGCCCAATGATCTTGGACGGCCCATTCCCATTGATGAGGCCGAGAATCACATCTTCGGTGTCGTTCTCATGAACGATTGGTCTGCACGTGATATCCAGGCCTGGGAGTATATTCCCCTCGGCCCCTTCAACGCAAAGAACTTCGGTACAACCATCACCCCATGGGTAGTCCTGATTGATGCCCTCGAGCCTTTCCGCGCTTCCGGTTTGGAGCCTGGCAACCGGGAGTCTCTCCTCCCCTACCTGCGCGAGAAGCGCGCCGAGAATGCCTACGAAATTCCTCTCGATGTGGAGGTCACCAACCCGGGTGGCAAGCCTACACTCATTTCTAAGAGCAACGCTCGCAATTTGCTGTACTCTTTCCCTCAGATGGTTGCCCACCACACCATTACAGGTTGCAACCTGCGCACTGGTGACTTGCTTGGATCGGGTACTATCTCTGGTACCGACTCTAAGACCGAGGGCAGTTTCTTGGAGCAGACAAATGGGAAGAAGCCCATCATCCTGGCTGATGGCTCTGAGCGTATGTTCCTCGAGGATGGCGACACTGTTACTCTGCGCGGTATGGCCGGCACAGAAGGTAACTATGTCGGCTTTGGTGACTGTGTTGGCACTATCCTGCCTGCAATCTCCCTGCAGTAAATGAACAAAACTCAAAATGAACCTTATGATGTTTCTTTGACTTCATTCCATAGTCTCTAGACAGTTTGCAATAACAATACTCAACCTACAATTCATGAAATCAACCCAACCACAAGCCATAACCCTCAGCTAAGAGTAACGCTCCCTTAACTTCAATCCACCAACTTCCTACTCCTTAACCTTAAGTTCTTCAGGCGTATCATCCTGGGCCCTCCAGTGCCCCAACTGAACAGCCCGAACCTCCTCCAAATTCCCTACAATGCGACAGGTAACCGGAAACTGCCCCAAATCAACACCAACCCTCTCGGCCCCCCAAGCAGCGGGAACCAAGCACAAATCAGCAATAGTAATCTGATCCCCAACACTAAACCGCCCGGCCGAGCCAGCAACAACAGCCTCATAAGCCCTCAACCCATCAACAATCAAATCCCGCGACCACTCCGCTCGATCCGCCCCAAGCGGCGCAACACGCTTCAGAATCCGGAGATTCGTCACGGGCTGCACATCGCACGCAATGATATTCGCCAGGGTGCGCACTGTAGCCCGGGTTTCGGGGTCAGCAGGGAGGAGTGCTGGGCCTTTTTCGGGGAAGGCTTCATCGAGAAACTCCAAGGCAGCTAGGGACTGGGTGATTATGATTGGGGGTTTGGTTTCTTGTTCAATCACTAGCGCGGGCACTGTGCCTGATGGGTTGATGGCTAGGTGGGCTTGGCTGTTTTGTTCGTTCTTCAAGAGGTTCACGTAGACTGCTTCGTATGGAATGCCTTTTAGATGGAGGGCTATTCGGATGCGGGCGGAGCAGGAGCTGCGGAAGTAGGTGTGTAGAGTCACTTTTTCAGGCATTTTGGTTGCTTGTCTTATGGGACTTGGTGGTTTAATAGGGTTTGGTAGGTTTTTGGTTGACCTTGGATGTACGATTGTAATGGATGGAATGTTTTGATTTTGAGACTATGAGAACCGACTCGTGTTATATTGTTACATCACATCAAAGGTGCGGAGTTCGTATCCCGTTGCATATGAGGTTGGAGTATACAATCCGGGGTTGCGGAATAAGTTCCGTTGCTCTGCCGAGTTAAAGCGCGGATTCCGGCTGCATTTCTGTACTTACTAGTCTAGTGACTAGAAGGCTCATGGACTGTGGATATTTCGTGTCTTTCCTGTTTGTCAATATATGGTCTATCCAAGCTCTCAATTGATACTTTGGTTGCTAATGTGTTCATTGGTGCTGCCAATGCAGGGATTTTCAAAGCCACTGACCAAATCGACCACATTTTAACTTAACGTTAACCCACGTGTAACGAAAAGCCACCATATATGCTAATTTCCCAAGCCTGAAACCAATGAGCATATCTAGATCAGCACTAAAATGATTTCAATCATCACCCTTCCCATTAGCTCATGGGTCTGATCCTGCCACATAGCAACAGTTAGCGCGGGCGGGTATCGCCGGCTATTTCGGGGCTCACAGCTATCGTCCATACCCTGCAATTATCCATCATCAAATATCCACAGCACTACTGTTTCATCCGCTCAGGAACGGTTGACGATGGATGGGATCAGGCCATCCCGGTCGAGCCGGCCGTACCAGCGTACCTACAAGGCGTGCATTCCTTGCCGGCAACGCAAGGCCAAATGCGACCTGGGATCAGGAACCGAAGGCCGGTCCGATGGATTCCCGATCGGTCCACCATGTGTGCGGTGCCGCAGGGAGCTAAGGGAGTGTGTGTTTCCCGAGAAACGCGCGTGGGAGAGGTCCCGCAAACGAGGTGCGCTAGATTGATTCTCCATGCTGACGGGGTGGGAGTTGCGCGATATCTGACTGGTCCATGATCTAGCTCGATCTTCTGCGGACTATGAGACGGATGTCTCGCCCCGGCAGGTTGGCCATTTGACAGAGGCCTTGCCGGATGCTACTTTTGTTCAGGGTCGACATGACCAGTATCCATCCACTGTCGACAGGGCTGATCCGAAGCCGCAGACGAATCACTTTCAGCAGTCGCCGGGTTTTCAACCTGGGTGGTCGGTTCCCCGTGGTCAATCGCGGTCCCAATATGGCTCATATGATCATGGCGGGGCTATGGAGCGGCCACGTCCTGACCGACCTGATCAATCGCCCTCCAGTACATATGAAAACAACAAGCACCGGTCTAATTCTTCTCTGGCAAGCTCTATGATGCGAACTGTTGTTGCGAGTGGAAATGATGCATTGAATATTCTGTTTGAGGCGGCAACTGCCCAAGAAGAGAATCCTGCTGATACAAGTTCGGAATCACTGGCTGGGCCTCCGTCGGCAGGTCCTAATAATCAGGACCGAACACCCAGGAATTATGATGCTGCATTTGATCCAGTGACTAGGGTTATCTACCCTGTACAGCTATCTGATGCCTCGCGAGACACTCTCAATGTCTGGGAGGCTTGTCGGTTTGTTAAGATGGGCTGGTTCACTGCCAGAGAAGCTGTGACATTCATTGATTTGTGAGTTTTGCACATTGAAGACAGCCTGATACACCCCATGCTATTGCAGGACTAAATTATATCAGATTTTTCAAGAACATGTCATGTCTATCTCCAATTTTGACAGACTTTTATGCTAACCATCGATATCACTACTGGCTGATTACCCGAGAGCCAGTCTTGTGCTCTACTATTCTCATGATATCCTCTCGCTACCACGTTCTCCCCGGAGCGGGAGGTGAGTCAAGAAACTTCTTCATCCACCACCGGCTCTGGCTACATTGCCAGCAGTTAACGATGAGGCTTATCTTCGGGCAGGAGAAAGCTACTAAATCCAAGATTCGAAGTCTTGGTACCGTGGAGGCCTTGCTGTTAATGTCAGAATGGCATCCTCGCTCGCTCCATTTCCCGCCAGATACAGACGGCTGGGACGATGATTTAATTCCGCAAGACCCCAACACCCATGAACAGAATGATCAGCCTGCCAGTCGCTGGGTCGAAGATATGATTGAACCAGCACGGAGGTCAGATCAGATGTCTTGGATGTTGCTGGGGTCTGCACTTTCGCTGGCGCATGAATTAGGCATCTTCGAGACCGAGGAAAGTAGCTCGCCAGCAGGAGAGCCAGAATGGCGAGATCAAATGACGCTTCGTTGGCAGCGTGTACAGCGTCTGTTATATGTTTACATCAATCAATTAGCCTGGCGGATCGGATGCATGTCTCCAATCCCTCAGTCATTGAACCATGCTATACTGGGCGGACGAAAACCACAGGGACTGAGCCAGCCCGGGAGCACTTGGTTGACATTTATGGATTCATGGATTGAATTAACCAAGCTAGCGAAGTCGGTCACTGACATGTTCTTCCCGTCTGCTGCATTTGCACGGCAGCAACTGCACAGCGGTCGCTATGTCGGCTTGCTTGAACATTTCCGGCCTCTCCTCAATCAATGGAAAGACAGGTATCTGCAGGTTGAAGTCCTGGATAAGGCATTCTACAACGATCTATTTATCGAATACCACTTCGTCCGGGTGTACACGCATTCGGTAGGAATGCAGGCCGTGGTAGAACGTGCCGTGGCAGAAAACGATCCCAATAACTTTGATGAAGTGCGACCTATGGCCATCGACCCAACCGACTACGAATATATTCAAGAGGTGATCGAGGGCTGTTGCCAGATCTTGCAGAAAGTCACACATTTAGCTGATGCAGGTGCTCTGCGGTTCTCGCCGGTGCGCATTGTCCTTCGTATCACCAGTGCCTCGATCTTCTTGATGAAAGCGCTAAGTCTGGGTACTCGGCATGCAAAGCTTCAAGAGTCACTTCAGATTCTGGAGAAAAGCATCAAAGCGCTGAAATCAAATGCATTGGACGATGTTCATCTAAGCACTCGTTATGCTACCCTGCTAGACATGCACGTCGCGCGGTTACGGCGTAATCTGTTGGCGTCTTCGAAGGCGAGGAAGAACAGTCGAGGGAACACAAGACGATCATCCATGGGCCCCCCTCCTTGGCCGGACGCGGGCGATCGATCCAATAACATGAATACTCCCGTGTCGCAGGACCTAACATCCGACCTGGGCTTCATGCCGTCCTTGAACGATGTTGGTGCTGATGATTGGCTGTCGCTCCCATTTGATCCTTCGATGGCGCCGTTTGGTATGAGCAATGGAGGGCAGTTTCCGATGTATGAAGGCGGGGGGTTGGACTTTATCTTAAACCTGCCATCATAAGCTTGTCTGTACGTTAGCTGTTGTAAATAGCCCTCGCAATTCATGATACCCCGGGAGAGATCTGAGAGCAGGGTAAAAATAACCTAATGCAAAGTGAAAAGTTTCTTATCCCTGCAACGGCATTTCTTTCCCGAGCCTTCATATCATAGGCCCGGAAGTGTGGTCGAAAGGAACATAATCCCAGAATTCCTGAAGCTCCCGAGAGATTCGGTGGCGAACGGAATGCACGTGACCTGGGGTCACGTTTCCACCGAACGAAAAGTTCATCTCTTCCCCGACTGCTTATCGTTTATTAAGTGACGCCCCCTTCGCCTGGCATTTCTCGTTGCCATCAATATCCACCTCCCGATCCACTCTTGAACAGTCTGTACTCTTTGGAGTGATCAGCTGGATCTCCCTTAGTCGATAATTCGCGACCAAACAATCCGCCTCAGAACCCGACTCATCCCATCATCATCCTCCCTTCAATACAATGGATCACTCGAGAGATCCCTGCCCATGGGTCGCGCTGAGCGACTTCGGTGGTGCTTTCTGCATGGGTGTACGTCTTCTCAGATCATCAATTCTTCGGTCGTCCGCGTTATGACAGACCAGCTAATCCTCTCTTTCCATCCAGGCTATCGGTGGTGCTGTCTGGCACGGTGTCAAAGGTTTCCGTAACAGCCCCTACGGTGAGCGCCGGATAGGTGCTCTCACAGCCATCAAGGCACGCGCCCCCGTTCTCGGCGGTAACTTCGGTGTCTGGGGTGGTCTCTTCTCAACCTTCGACTGTGCCATCAAGGGCATCCGCAAGAAGGAAGATCCTTACAACGCCATTATCGCCGGTTTCTTCACTGGTGGTTCCCTCGCTGTCCGTGGCGGTGTCAAGGCTGCCCGTAACTCCGCCATTATGTGTGCCGTCTTCCTGGCCGTCATCGAAGGTGTCGGTATCGGATTCCAGCGTATGATGGCCGATAACACAAAACTCGAGCTTCCTCCTCCTCCTCCCTCTGAGCAAAAGGCTCTTGCTTAAATTTTCATCCTCACCGACCACTGCGCCCGCGCAATTCGACTCACCACACCGGTGGATTACGATCCATCTCCTTTTTCGATCTCCGATCTCTTGTCTTTATAACACATCTCACAATGAGTCTCTCTTCTCAGGTGTTTGGTTTTTGGGTCATCATCATTAAACGACATGGCATAGAGGTTCTTGGCTCCTTTATTTTTCTGCTTTTGTTTTAGCTTGCACTTCATACCACCCTTCCACTGTCTATGTCTTTGGAACTGTATTTTATGGATGGCGGGCTCGTTCTACGGCCAGTTCCTAGCATTGCCGTGTGTCTTTTCTCGGGACCATTTGGTTTTTCAAAAGTCCTCTTCTGCAAAAAGCGTCGGGATGGTGACGGATTCTTGTACATTAACGCACAGCTACCAGGCATAATACGCAACTTCACTTTCAAATGTTCAAATATTGATTCCTCTCTTCTCAGACCTTCTCAGACCATTGCATATTCAGTAGGATTCAAAACGGACTTGATCGATTGCACACAAGGTTGCATCACTGACTTCTAGCGTTATCTCTCCGCGCTCTCTCTCTCCCCCGCACCGAACGACCAACCTCCAGTTCAAAGCACATAGCATTGCATTGCATCCCAGGACCACTGCAATGCCAGCACCGGCGATATTCAAACCAACCCTAATAATCCACGGCGGCGCCGGCAACATCCAACGCCCAAAACTGCCCCCAGACCTCTACGCCAAATACCACACCTCCCTCCAATCCTACCTCCGCTCAACCCACGCCCTCCTCAAAAATGGCACAACAGCCCTAGACGCAGCAGTCCACGCCGTCTCCCTCCTGGAAGATGACCCCCTGTTCAACTGCGGCCGCGGAAGCGTCTTCACAACAGCCGGATCAATCGAAATGGAAGCCTCCATAATGGTGACATCCGTGCAAGCCCAGAACGAACCCGACCCCGGCTCCATAAAGCGTGGCGCCGGCGTCATGGGTATCAGGAACGTACGACATCCCATCCAACTCGCGCGCGAATCACTCCTTCGAACGGGTGTTGCGGCAGATGGATCGGGGAATGGTGATGGGGGCAGTATGCATTCCCAGCTTGCGGGACCGTATGTTGAGACCCTGGCGCGGGACTGGGGACTGGAGTTTATGCCTGATGAGTGGTTTTGGACGCAGAAGCGGTGGGATGAGCATGAGCGTGGCTTGAGGGGGGAGGAGGAGCCGCTGTTTCTTAGTCAAGGGACTGTTGGGTGTGTTTGTTTGGATATGTGGGGTGGGTTGGCTGTTGCGACTAGCACTGGGGGGTTGACGAATAAGTTGCCGGGGAGGATTGGGGATACGCCGACTCTTGGGGCTGGGTTTTGGGCGGAGGCTTGGGATGAATTGCTGGGTGGTGCTGATGGGTTAGATGCTTCGTTCTCGGTTCGGAGCTTGTTGCATGGTGCGCGTAGTTGGATGGCGGATTGTTGGCCGCAGCTGGTGCGCGAGTTGGATCCTCCGGCTTATTCGTCCCTTTTGTTGGTTGATCATGATGCTTCCTGTGGCTCTGGTGCGATTCGGCGTGCCATTGCTGTTTCTGGAACAGGCAATGGGGACTCTTTCTTACGTGTTGCGGCTGCGCGTACGGCGGCTGCTATGATGCGGTTTTCTGGGCCGGGCAAGTATCCTTCTACTCTTGCCGATGCGGTGTCGGCTGTTGCTGGGCCTGGTGGTGAGCTGGAACGTTCGGCTGGTAAGAGATGGCACGAAACTGGCGAGGGAGAGGGTGGCATCATTGGTATTGAGGCGGCACTGGCTGTTAATGGGGCTTCAGATGTGAAGTTGCACCGCGGCAAGGTTGTGTCTGACTTCAATTGTGGTGGAATGTGGCGCGCTTGGGTAGAAGAGGATGGTTCTGGGAAAGATATAGAGAGAATCATGGTCTTCCGAGAGGAATATCAATAAACAACAGTAGATAGCTTAGCATTGGTACTATACGAGGGAAGTGAGTTCACCAACTTCTTTGCTACACCAAAGTCAGCAATTATGTCCCGTGGATCTACTGGTGTGCGTTTGATTCGACTATTGGTGGCTTTCCTGACAAGGAGTCGGGCTTTGACTGCCCATTGAACAAGTTGCTCATTCTACTATATCATGTACTTTGCTTGATTCCAAGACTACTACTCATGCGTACAAGTGCTTCAAGATACTACCGAATCCCTGTGAATAACAGGAGATTGGGTGGAATGAAAGTGGATGGATAAAAATGCACTCGTGTAATATTCATACAATCATGCTAATCGTACAAGTTCAATCAATGGCAAATTGGAAGCTGGCTTCCTGGGTATCATGCATTTCCATCAGTAGATCAATGGTTCCATCCAGCCTCATAAGGCTACAACTGTGAGAGCAAGCGGTGGACCTCCATGGCGAGATAGCACATGAAATAACTGCTCACAGCTCGGACGCAGAAGCAAACGCCAAGGCCTGCAGCTGGAGCTTGCGGTTACGACGGAGCAGAGCTGCGAACTTCTTGTCCAGCGAGTCCAGTTCCTTCCGAGTCGATTCGAGGTCTTTCTGGGATCGACTAGCGAGTTCTCTGAGCTCTTCATTGGTAAGTCCAGCAACGTCGTCCAGGGTAGGGTTGGCACCGAGCATGCCTTGATTGTTGAGCATGTGTTGAGCAGTAATGGCTGCGAAAGAGCGGACAGCCGCGGGAGTAGTGTTGAGTAGTTCTGCGGAGTTGGCGACGGCCCAGTCGTGGTTGCGGGTGCTGTCAGCCTCCATGGCAGAGAGCACGTTGGGGGGAATTACAGAATCTTGCGCACCGAGAGAAGATGCTGGGGAAGATGCGCCAAGACGGGTGGGCATGTCCTCAACCCAACGGATGTTGAACTTCTCTGGATTTGCAAAGAGTGCTTCCAGGCCACCACTAGGGTTGCTAGAGTCGTCTCCAATCATGAAAGGGTCAGAAATGACAGTCATGTTCTTCTCCAGCTCAAGGTACCGATCTTCTTCCTCTGCATCAAGGTGGCGAAGCACACAGCCACGAGGTGTGATGAGGCATCGAGTCTTCAGACGCTCGTCACCAAATCGAACGGGTTCCCCGCGAAGTAGTGATTTGCGGTGATCCTCGTTCAATTCAGTGGGGCGCTTGAGAATATCGTAGTCGTCTGCGGTACATTTCATGTCGGTACGCTGGCTTAGATTGGTAGGGTTGAAGAGCGAGCTCTTGTAGAGATCCAGCTCGCCAGACTTGTGCATCTCAGCAAGCAACTCGTGCAGAGGCTTGGTCCGTTCCACAAAAAGGTCCTTGATGGACTTTCCAGTGGCCTCAGAATCCTTCACCAATTGCTCGACTGTGTTATTGGTGCGCCAAGGCTCCATAGGGGGCTCGTTTAGACGAGGCGGCTCTTCAACGGGCGGAGGAGGAGGCGGCGGAGGAGGGGGAGGGGAAGCTTCCTTGACAGCCTTTTCTTTGGCCTTCACCTTCTTGGGAACTTCGGCCTTGGGTTCAGACTTGACTGGAAAGCTGATGCCTGCCTTGGCTGGACTCATGGTCTCAGTGCCACTGGCAGCAGCACTGTCGGTTGTGTCCACAGTAGTCTTTGGTTCCTTCTTAGTCTTGCGCTTTCGCCCCATGATAGGAGCTTGGACGGGCTCTTCGGGTACAGGTACGGTTTCGACTTTTTTGGCTTCCGCTTCCTTAGCCTTTTGCTTTCTCTCTTTCTTGACTTGGCTCTTCGTCATGGATCGGACCGGGGCAGAGCCAATGCGAGAGGAGGCAGGAGGAGAATTCGCACGAGAAGCAGAGGTAGAGGGATAGTAATCGGCTTCCCAGCTGTGATCAGCCGGTGTATCAGGTCGGCTGTTGGACGAAAGGCTCTGACGCCTAGAACGTGGCTTGCTTCCTCCCATGACAGAGGTCGTCACAGAAGGCGAATCGAGGACTGGAGGGGGAGTTTCGCTCTTAGTCGACTCTACGACACGTAGAATACGAGGCTGGCGAGGGAGAGGTGAATCGGAGATTCGGGACGCGATGGTCTGAGGCGTGTGAGGACGTGACCCAATTGCAGAAACAGAACCAGGAGCAGAAATCTGCTCAGACTTGGTAGTGGCAGCCAATGGAGTGCTGAACTCAAGCGGACTGCCTTTCGTCGTCGCAGAATTTGGCTCCGGCGGGACAGGAACTTTGATAGCTGTATCGTTGGTATTAACGGCAGCTGCCAAATCAATCTTGCGCTGGGCACGAGCCTTGTTTGCAGGCTTCTGTACCGGTGAGCCCAATGAAATCTGGGATGCGTCTTTCACACGCCCAGATGTCACCGGACCTCCCACAGTGAGCTCTGGGCTCAACGGCTGGGAGTGATTTTCCTCCCGGTTTTGATTAGGTGTACCAAGTCTTGAAATGCTAGCCCCTAAGCCAGGCGGCAGCATTAATGAAGGTGAGGAGGGTTTCGATGAGCTCAGGTGTTCTTGAAAAGCAGAAGTAGAGGGATGAGCGTGGGGTAGAGGCAACCCAGGGGGTAGTGTCGGGGTTCCAGCCCTAGCGGCTGATTCAGTAGGCAACTGAGACTTCAGAAAGCCGAAACTGTCAATAGGTCGACGATCCTTGGATTGTTCTCCGAGTGGAGGAAAATCCTCATTGACTAAGAAGACCAGCGAGATCAGCAAACGTTCGGATGTGGCAGGATGAGAGATGGGCAGATGATGAGTAGAAAGCGACAAGAAAACAAAGCAAATCCCAAAAATAGAGTGTGACGACTAAGCAACGAGACTAACAAGAATACAAATGGGGCAGGCACATCAAATAATTACATGATAGGCTGCGACTCCCGGGGCATAGAACGTTGCAGGGGAGGTCGCCTATGTAAACAGCGGCTGTGTGAAAACTGATTTCGAATAAGACCCTGTTTCGGCTTGTGGTATCAGGGTAGGGACATCTTAACGTACATTAATTCATGTAAAAACGGTCCACGGTCATCAAGACGCAGTAGATAGTATCATGAAATCCGGATGCAAACAAGAAAGAAACGGAAAGCACAGCCGCCGAATACAAAGGGAAACCAGACATGCCAAATGTCCATTAAATGCAGAGACACCTTGGAATAAGGAAAAGGCCGGGAATAACATGCAGTAAAAAAGACAGCCAGGGGGGAAAACAGTCAACGAGTCCATAGTACGCCAGAGGCACCCCCTGTCAACGCAGAAATCAGAGCAGCCAGATTGATCGCGAGTAGGAAAGCATCAAGATGCAAAGCCCGGCTCTTGGATAAAGAGAAAAGAAACAGGAAATGATATCATGTCATAAGAAGAAAACAATCCCATCAAGGGAACAAAGTCATGACTGAAAGAGCAAAGAGGGAAATTGGATCATGGGTATGCGAGAAGGTAGGTTAGGGAATGACTGTGGGGGTTTCACCAGCGACTGATGCCACCACCATACACCATTGAGGGATTGTACCCACCTTGACCTTGACTCCCATATAACGCTTGCCCGGCTGTAGCATTCGCACCGACCTGATGCATTCTCGCCTGCAAAATGCTCGGGTCCGCAAGATCTACTACACCACCTCCACCGGAGGAAGTGTTAGCGTGTCTCTGCTTCTTTCCCTTTTTCTTCTGCTTCTGTGGGCCACCAGGTTCAGGCATGCCTGGCTGAGACCCATAGAACGAGCCGAGAAGGCCATTGGTGGGAGTCATAGGGGGTGGGGTATTGTGCTGTTGAAGGAAAGGAATCATGAACTCACGCTTAGCCGCCTCCTGGCCTTGTAATCCACCAACATTTGTACCAGTTCGTCCACGCAGTAATTCGCGCATCAATTCCGGGGTGGCATCTTGCTTGCCGACATTGGACCCGAGTCCTGAGGTGAAGCCATGACCTTGAGCAAACATTCCACCACCACTGATTGGAGGGGTACCAGCCGTCTTCAATCCGGGGGAGGACCTTGAACACCACTTGCATAGAAACCGCTCGCAAGGCTGTGCTGAGGGCTCGGAGCCGACAGCGGGTTGGGGCTTGCGGACTGCATCTGGCTCATCATGCGAGCATTGGGGATGTTCTTCGAGTTGGCTTCATTGAAGGAGAAGCGGGAAGACTGTCGATTCTGTGCTGCCTGCAGCGCATTGAATTGGGCCATCTGATTCTGCAAAAGTCCCTGGCGGACTTGAGCAGCTTGATCGATAGCAGCGGAGCTTAAAGGGTCAGCCAGACCAGCTTGTTGGTTGCCAGCAGATTTCAGCAACATCAATTGCTGTTGCTGAAGCGGGGTCAAACTTCGTCCAGCAAGGTTCAGGCCTTGGAATTGGTGGCTGGTAGCAGATACAGGAGACCCGACAGTGGAGTTATCGGCAGTGCCCTGCTGCGAAGGCGGTTGGATGGCACCATGTGACTCTCGGGTCTGGCGGCCACGGGGAGGGTTCGCATCCTCTGGTTCACCACCAAGCTGAAGGCTTCCAGCTTCGCGACTGTCCTCCTCGGCGGCAACAGATTGAAGTAATTCCTGCTCACGGTTAAGACGTTCCTGCTCGACCTTCTCACGCATAGCTCTACGCTTGACACCACCGTACGGATCGATGAAAGACGGATAGTTCTCGATTAAGGTGACCTCTTCGGCGGACAGTTCGGCTGTTGAGAATAAGAATCTGAAATTTGGCGATGTGATATCCTTCAACAGATCATCGAATGGCGTGGGTTGCTTTGGAAGCTTGGTGATTGCACGCGGGCGTGACTCCGCAGCGGCAGGTTCGGGGTTGGTTGGCGGAGTAGGTTGCTCAGACTCAGGGGAGATTGGAGATGGCTTCTCGGGTCGCCTTGGCTCTTCAACCGGAGTTGCAACATTGACGTTTGCAGGCCGTGGGCTATTAGATGTCTGACTTCCCGTGAGACTAGTTCTTCGAGTTCTCTGAATGGCAGCATCCTTGTTGGCCCAACTGGCAGATGATGGTAGAGCAGGCCCGTCTGGAATGATCGATCGACCACTGATAGAATCATCTTTGCTTGGCTGTCTGCGCATCGGATGAGAAATAGGTTGTACGGGCCGCACATGTGCAGGGACGCTCGAGGGGGTAGGGGGGAGATTTTGGCGTTGGGTGGATATGGTGTTCATCGAGGAAAGATCCTGGCGACTGTAACTGTCACTGTCCTCCCCAGTCTCATGCAAGAAAGTGCAATTTCGGTTGTTGCACTGCTCGTTTCGAAGGAAAGAGGAACAGTATTTGGTCGTGCCGTATTGCGCTCTCAAGACTCGATCTCCATTTCCGGAGCCATCCACGGCGTTGATGCATAGAGCGGCATCGAGTTTGCGAGAGAAGGTCACATAGACACCAATTCCCTGGTTAGGGTTGCCACCGGGCTTCGCCTTGCTGACCACGATTTTTTCGATTTCACCATATTGGCCAAAGTATTCGCGACCACGAAGGGTTTGGAGAAGTTGATTTTCGTCGCGGATCGTAGGGTTGAGGCCGATAACGTAAACCAAGTTCTTTTGGACGACACGAACACCGGCTAAATTCTTGCGACTGGAAGCCTCGATTTCGCGTTTCTCGGCTTCCTTCTTCTTGGCTGCAGCTGCCTTGCGGTGCTTTAATGCAAGATCTGCTTTGAATCTAGAGTCGAAAAAATCTGGTTAGTTGGGTGTGGCGGGGCGGTGCCGTTGGGCACAAAAGGACTCACTCTTCCGCGTCAGGAATCTTGTACTGAATAGTACTTTCATCGTATCCACGTCGACAGTTGGGGCATCGACCTTCTTCACTGTGGGTTTTGATGTTGTTGTAGCAGAATTGGCAGATCTAAAGCCGGTCACATGTTAGGGCTGTGGTCAAGCTGAGTGAAGAAACAGTGATCATGTTTCCCCAACACAGAAAGAAAGCGTGAAGAATGACGAAATGCATACCTGATATCCACAAGGGCATGGCTTAAAGTTCTTATCGGAAAGATCGAACTCTTCAATGCACAGGGGGCTGTGGGTTGATCAGTACTCAAGTCGCGCGATCCAAACGGAGTTTGATACATACCAGAACTCGTCGTCATCGTCGATGACCGAGTCGATCAGTGAATGGCTCGACATTATCGCGGGGGGATGTATGATAATCGGAGAGGGACACAAGATCTCAAACGCCGAACGGATGGGAGACGAGGGTAAAAGTGGCCCCGAAACCAAGACAAGAGGAACGAGTATTAAAGGAGGTGGAGGGGCGATAGTAGGAAACGACGGAGGAAAACGAAGAGATCGATTGTTATGTAGAGGATGAGCGGGAAGAAGAAAGGAAGGAAATTGAAGCGCGGCTTCATTTTGCTGGCATTACCCGATCGCGTTTAGCGTGGTTAGATCAGCTTTCACGTGACCGCAGGAGTCGACCACTCTAGTTTCTCGCAATCCGACTTACGTCCCCTCCTCCCGTTGCATCTGCCATTGCTCGCACTACACCATGGCCTCCGCACGCTCCCTAATGCGCCTGGGCTCTGGACGCTCTGTGGCACCTGCCACGAGGTCCATGGCCGCCCGCACCTTTTCTTCGGCCTCCCTGCAGTATGCTCCTAAGGCTTCGACACAACCGGGACCGGAACCTGAGAACATGCGCCAGGCGCAGCGCCCGCGTACGTGAACTTGATATGTCGATCTCATTTGGTCAATTGAGCTAACCGAAGCGTCTTCTTCCAGCCCAGGGTCCCCTGCGTGCGCCCGTCGTCAACCCTACCGACAAGTACCAGCCCATGGCCGATAGCCTGCACAAGTACGGACAGTACATCATGTCTTGCTTGCCCAAATATGTGCAGCAGTTCACCGTCTGGAAGGATGAGCTCACCGTTTACACTGCCCCCGCCGGTGTCGTCCCTCTGATGAGCTTCCTCAAGAACCACACCTCCGCCGAGTTCACCCAGATTTCCGATATCACCGGTGTCGACTTCCCGACCCGCGACCAGCGCTTCGAGGTCGTCTATAACCTTCTGAGTGTCCGCTATAACTCCCGCATCCGCGTCAAGACCTACGCCGATGAGGCCACCCCCGTTCCCAGTGTCACTGGCCTGTTCGAGGGTGCTTTGTGGTACGAGCGTGAAGTCTACGACATGTTTGGTGTTTTCTTCAGCGACCACCCCGATTTGCGCCGTATCATGACTGACTACGGCTTCGACGGTCACCCTCTCCGCAAGGACTTCCCCTTGACCGGTTATACTGAACTGCGCTACGATGAAGAGAAGAAGCGTATCGTTATTGAGCCCCTTGAGCTCACCCAGGCCTTCCGTAACTTTGAGGGTGGTTCTACCTCTTGGGAGCCCGTTGGTGCTGGCCAGGACCGCACGCCTGAGTCTGTAAGTTTCAACCTTTGATTATTCTCTGATACACTGCCAAGCAAGTGCTAATTTCAACGACCGCAGTTCAAGCTTCCCACTCCCAAGCCCGAGGAGAAGCAGGAAGAGAAGAAATAGAAGAGAGCTGTATGCGTATCATTTTCTTTGCCATGTTTGTATGTACATATCCGTCTGTTTAATCGATGGTCTTTTTTGGTCCGAGCAACAAAACAGAATATGTAATACCATATGTAACGTAGTCAAGTCATACAAGAGTATGAAATAGCCCGAGTGTAGGACAGTAAATCGCATAATTGAACTGCAAACCCCAAACCAACAATTACAAGCCCATTGGAATATACTCCGTTTCGCCATATCAATTGGAGTTGTCTTGGCAGCGGGCTCCGCCTACGAAAAAAAAAAAAAATTAAGCTACGGCAACATCGAACAACCTAACAATCCGCGACCCTGGAAACTGCCCTCGCTTTTCAACCTCCCCAACCTCTTCGACTATTCCCTCGCGCTATATTCTAGTCATACCCGCTCACAGATACTCAACATGCCGAAACGCAAGCTCGCCGAGCTCAACGGCCCCCCGCGGTCAAGCGACACCCGCAAGATGTCGATCCACGGCACCCGCCTGACGCAAATGTTCGAGAACGGCGTACAACTCCTGATCCGTGCGCTGAAGACGTCGCGCGGATTTGAGCGACAGAAGCTCAGCCGACGAGAGAAAACTGCGAAGTCGCAGAAGGATATGAAGACACTGGCGCGGTTGGCAGAGGAGATTGAAGCCTTGAAGGTATTGTCTTATTCGCACAGCCTCTCACGATAGTCGTTTACCCCGGCCAAGGAACTAGATTGCTAACATTATCCTTTTATTCTTAGACACTCAACTATCACACCGTCTCGGAAAAATACCTATTCAAACAACTTATCAAGACAAAACGCATTGCCGAGACACGGACATTCGGCGAGTTCCAAGAAGTCAAGAAAGTATCTCAGGATGGACCGAAAAATACTGCCGAAGCCAATATCCTTGCGCGCCTATTCAAATCCACGCCCGTACAGAAAGAGATGCCAGCTCTCATGGCCGGTATTCGGAAACTGCTGAGAGTCGACGATGCGCCGGCTGGAAAGGAGGACAAGAAGGAAGTTGTGCTTAAGAAGGCTCCGGCGGATGATATATCCGACTCGGAATCCGAGGGAGTGACATTAAAATCTCGGCGCGGTGAGCAGGACTCCCGTGACGTTGAGATCTCTGGTGACGAGTCTGGAAGTGAGGATCTGTCACAATTCAATTCGCGACTTGCTCCTGGTTCAGACTCTGAGGATGAGGCCGATGAGGAATCTGGTGATGATGATGACGAGAAAGACGAGGGTTCAAACGCAGACGACATCTCAGATTCGGTCTCTCGTTCACCTTCGCCGGACTTCTCTGCGGAGGATTCTCCGCCGGCTAAGAAAGCAAAGGGAGTCAAGGGTTCTACTGCTCCGGTGAAGGATACAACATTCCTTCCATCACTCATGATGGGTGGTTACTGGTCTGGGTCTGAAGAAGCCACAGATGACGAGGAAATTTCCGGAAAGAAGCCGCAGCGCAAGAATCGTATGGGTCAGCAGGCTCGTCGGGCATTGTGGGAGAAGAAGTTCGGAGCGGGTGCCAACCATGTCAAGCATGAGGAGATGATTCAGAAGCTTGGTGGCCGAGACAATGGGTGGGATACCAAGCGCGGAGCTACTGATGGTGCGAGAGGAGGCAGAGGTGGTCGCCGTGGTGGATTTGGTGGCTCAGGACGTTCTCAGGATCGGCACGATGGCCATGCTCCTGCTGGGCGGTCTAAGCCTGCGCCCAAGAAGGATGAAGGTCCATTGCATCCTTCTTGGGAGGCAAAGCGGAAGGCTAAGGAACAGGCTACTACCGCTACGTTTGCAGGAAAGAAGATTTCGTTCGATTAGGACGATTAATTTGTATATTTATGAATGAATTGAGATACTTGCATAAGTCATTGAACAGACATAAACTGTCCATTTACGGTGTTTCGGTTTATTTATCAAACACGAGAAGCTGGCTTTGAACGACTCAATGGTCGCCTGTTGTAGTATTTCGAAAAATTCATCAGTCAATTTCTAGTATATATCTCGGCAGACACCAAAGTTAACAAGAAGCTCAAAGTAACTTATCAGCAGTCGCAAGATGGTATAACGAGTAATCAGAACGCAAAGACAAAGTCCAGCCTAAATGACGCAAAGAAAGCCCAGAAGCCACTCAACCCTTCATGAACTGCAACCAGTGCGGATCAGGCTCACCACTGGGGGTCTTGATCTCAGCACCAGACAGCCCATTAGCATTCTGCGCATCAGGTTCAAAACAAGGAATCGCCGTAAATTCGCCCAGCTCCTGAGGAAAGTTGGAAACAAAATGATCAAAGCCAAAGTGCGGCATATGCGAAAGTGACTGCTGCGAAATTGAGAAATTGTCGGAAAGAACACTGCCCGGAATATCGTTTTCTATATCCTGGTCTGGGTGCCCGGGTGTTGTTACGGGTCCGTTACCGACCATCACCGCTGATGGGGGTGTCATTGACAGGTTTGGATTTGGATCGTGGATTGGTGCAGGAATCGTCGGTGTGGCGTGGGCTGTTAGACCATGTGGCATATTCTGGTCGTTTGTACCGTAGGCTTCCTGTTGCTGCCAGGCGAAAGTAGATGGTGAGATGGGCCCTGCTTTCCAGAGCATTTCCCAATTCTTGAAGCGGTCGTAGGCCGATTCTACGCCTCCGCCGTTGATGATATCCGGGTGAGTCTCGCTCCATGCCTCTAGCCGGCGGATTGCTCGTTCGAGTGCTTCAATTACGCTGACTGCCGAGCGCGCTGAGCCGACGCCCATGGACATGATCTTGATGAGGGATATGCCCTGCTCGAGAGCAGCTCCAAGTCGTTCCGTACGCTTGGTCAACCCCTGTGCCAGGATTACCAGCAATGCTGCACGACAGGAACTGAATTCTGTAAATGAAGCTCGTGCAAGGCCTTTCTCATCACGCAGTAAGCGGCACAGGTCGATAATTTCCAGAGCAGCTTCCACACAGTCTGTCACAAGAGTTGCGCGGCTTTTCGATAAACCGGAGGCACCCTTGAATGGTGGTGCTTGAGATGGTGTTTGATATATGCCCTTTATGTTGCTGAAAAGGAATGGCCGTCCGATGAAAACACGAGTGAGACAGTAGTCAAGCTTGAGATGAACGTTTGACCTGAATAGCGGTCCAGTGGGATTCAAATCACGACAGCTGATTTCCTCTGGGAGCGTTGACCACCAGTCAACCAGGTGTTTCCTAAGATTGAGCAGTCGCTCGAGACAATCCTGCTGTTGGCCTTTGCGATATTTTCGTAGTGAAGTGCTGTCCATGGTGTCAGATTTATATTGCAATCAAATGGCATGGAGGTCTCCTTACATCTCATTCGAAACCTGCCCCAGTTTCAAGGTCAACGTGATCAGCGCCACCATATTTGTATGGTTTGAGACCTGTTGGGCAGGCATGAGACCAGGGCAATCAACAGGGAGCGGGCCGTCAACATCGGGATCTGACAAGGAAGATGGTCTGCCGTGAAGAATACTTATGCGTCTGAAAGAACTAATTAGCAGGCGCACAGCAAAAGACGGTGAAGGGAAGCATACTTCTCGATGGTGTAAGCTGTCCAGAAGACTCGGTTACGAACTTCAATCATCCGAGATGATAGGCCCTCACCAGAGTATCTCCTATGCATTCCATTCTGAACCGCTAGCTTTAATGCCAGGCCAAAGTATGTATAGCATAGTCCGGATGTATCTAATGGGAGTAGGTATGTTCCAATCAGTAAACAAGCCTGTACACTACGGACAGATGCAGTGGCAATGAGATCTGGGAGAAGCTTCGAGGCGAATTGATAAAATGTCAGGCCAACTTCATCTTCGGAGAAATGATGGTCCTGGTTCGCAGTAGACCCTGATGGCAAACAGTTCACCGGCGTGGATGACTCCATATGGGCGAATTGTGTGCCGACTGCCAATACCATTAGAATAGAGCATACTGCACCTGCATCGTCCGATGACAAGCTTTCAGGGTCGTTGTAACAGATAGCCAATTTCTCAAGTAACCAGTCTTCCTCGACATAGAAATTATTTGTCTGAGCATACTTGAAGAAGATCTGAACGAGGAAGTCAGCCACATATCGTGGTGGAAGACAAGTAATCGATGATGATATCAAGGGCGACCCCGATTGAAGCTGTGTGCTTCGCCATCGTTCCTCGAATGGTTCGACTTCAGAAGTTGCCTGGGGTTGGGTCAGTATGGCCATTGCGTGCGCGTCTAAAGATGGATTAGACCTACATCTGGAGCCGCAGTCTTCATCCATTCATCAATTTTCTTCCGAATCTTCATTGTGAAGTTCAGATATGAGAATTCTCCAGAATATTCTATCAATTAGGGTTAGCACAAAAATCCCGAGTAAATGATGGAGCCAACCTACGGGTTGTATTATCAGGCATAGCCTTGATAGTGAAATCCTCTTCATCAATGGCAAGATCCTCCATATCATTGGGGTCCGCCCTCGTCGAAATCGCATCCGATCCACCATCGCGATGTTTGTGTTTCAAGTCTTCGGCGGCCTGGCGCAAAGATTGAATATCAAATCTAATATTTGGCATATAATGCGAGAGCAGGCGCTCCATAATATGCACTCTCTCTGCCTCGGCGATCTCATTGCGACTCAATGCGGCCGCCCGATCCAATAGCCTGCGGCGATATTAGCGGTCTGCACGGCAGAACGGAAAAGGGTCACGAGGCCCAACTCACGAGGCGGAAGTTGACCGACTCTTCTCATTGGGGTCGATGTGTGTGAAATTGCATTGCCGACTGTATCTCAGGCATCGGCGACATGGCACACCACCTTCGCACTTCTCCTTCACTCGGCGGCATCCATCACACCTGTAGGCCACGTGCGTTAGCGTTTTCATAGCTCTGGGTAGCAATTCGAGAATCCGGGGCATTGATTAAAGACCTACGCTCGCACTGCTCGTTTGCGGTTTTCCTCGGCGACACGAGGGCGCTTTTGCGCGGGTGCCGAAGTCGAGTCATCCATAGCCAATCTCAGCGGAATAGCGGTCGGAACATGGTCGTCACAGAGAAAGGGAGAGCGATGGGGATTGCAGGGGGGTACCGGAGTGTATGTATAGAAGAAGTTGAGGAAAGCCCGAGTCAGTCGAAAAACGGAGCGGAGATAGGAAGAGAGAAAGTTGCGAAATCCAACTTATCGATAAGTGACCCCCGCATGGCCCCAACCCCGGCCCTGGTTACGGGTTCGGTGGTTTCTCCAATGATATCTTTCTATGACAATTACATGCCATATATTTTCTACATGTTGATACATTTAAGCTATGGATCTCTAGCAAATTTATTGTTCAATTCAGTCAACAGAATGTATGATCTAATAGGGACAATATAGCAGAATGAAGTCAGGGGTCCCCTAGCCACGGCACAATGGATCTACATGTACGCAAATCTCGAGTCAATGACAAACAGGCTTTACATGTCAAAAGGTTTTGAGCGCTTGGATGGATCCTCGAGGTTAAAATATTTTATTATCCGTCTATGATCGGGCAAGGAAATATACCCTTGCGAATTTTCCTTCCCACACGACTTTTTTAGGCCAATTGTTGAATATATATACACCACTTACCTCCTATATAGCGTCACTAACATTTAGTTTATATAACGGATGTCATTTCACAGATTAGGACCTTCCAATCCGTGCTAAATTCCTAGTTTATCAAAGGTCATGTTAAAAACACATTCCAAATAGATCAAAACACCCTATCTCCCCATGTACTGGTGGATGTACGTATAACGTTATTAGCGTTAGGATTAGCGCATTTTCAGCTTACATTTCACCTCATATTTTATCTAAAAAAATGCATCGAATTCTTGGTATTGTAATGAATCAGATCAATCATCAGTTGTCGCCTAGCAGTTCACGAAGAAATTGATTTTTTGCCAAGGGTGTAGGGTCAATACGCACCAAGGGTATCTGGGTTTCCTAGGGATTCCCTAGTTCAATCATATTCCTTGGGTGTCGAATTTAAAATGCGATGGAACTGTATGTAAAATGGAATGCTCTCCTTTATTCAAACCGTAGAACCTAGAGACATGAGATACCTCAATTTGCTATGCTGCCACATAGTCAAAATGCGTACCGAAAGCCCACTAAGTCCAAAATAAATAGGCGAGAATTGATGATCGATCTGATCATTGAAATACTAAAAATTGATAAATTTTTCAATTAAAAGATGAGATAGAATATGAGGTGAAATGTAAAACTAGAAAGACATCATTTTTAACGCTCATGCTATACATCTATCATTCTATGGGGAGGGTTGTGTTTTTAACATAGCCCTTTATAAAGTAATCCGGTCGCGTATCTAGGAGCTTTACGTTTATCATCGTTACTTTCTACCAGTATATTTTTCTACCTGGCAACTCTTGGATCTATGGTCGGTAAGTTTGGCAGCTTATTTTAGCACCCTCCTCACAAATGCTTTCAGCCTTCCGAGATGCCCTAAGCCTTCCTCTCGAGCATAATACAAGTAGCCTATATTTCGGTAAAAGATCGATTTTGGATCCACTTGTGCTAACATACAGTGAAGCAGCCTTGTCAATTAGTCCCCGCGCTGACGGCAGTTTTGGATTAGGGAGCTACTCCGGCTTAGCGCCGATAGTGACAATATTACGGTCGACAATGCCTGTGGACGCACCATCTGGGTGCTCTTCGCCCTTAAGTACGCTGGTAAGTTCTGCTTATAGACCGCCACAGCCGAGTGGCGACGGTAGAGACTCAATTTGGAGGATCATTGGAAACCTATACTGGCATGTCATGTAGTTGGCGAACCTGCATTTCCAGACCTTTCAAAGAAAAGTGATTACCATATCGGGAATTTCTCGCCGACGTATTACCCCTTCTAGTTGTTTTCAGAACATCCCACCAATGGCCCACGCTGATCGTATGGACGTTATACACAATATGTTTTACAGAGCGCTGAGAAGCCCTTACCATCGGCGACAATCTCCATAGACGGCGATTCTCAATTTGATCAATACTAACATGTCGAACTCAGATAGTGCCCATTATGCGGGGAAGCTGTGTTTACGTCTGTCGAGAAACCGGACCTGCTCTGGAGCAGAGACCATACATGTATAAATAGCTCACATATCGGACAATACGAATGCACCATTTGTCTTTATCGCTTGACCACCCACCAAAACAACCACGACGGCATCCTCAAAACAACGCCTTCAACGGCTTCACTTAATCACAAAATCTTAGCCATGTCGAACGGAGACCGCCGACTCAGGATTGCACTTTTCGGCCTCGGTCGCCTAGGAGTCCTCCGGGCCCGCATCCTCGCCTTCCAGCAGCCTCGAATCAAACTTGTCGCCGTCTGCGACACAAAGCCTGGCACTGACAAATGGGCCGCAGAGAATTTGCCCCCGTCTGTCAAGTACTTCTCGGACCCCCAAGAATGTTTGAAGAGTAGCGACGCCGAGGCTGTTCTCATCTGCACCGCGACGGCTACTCATGCGCCCTTGATCCTGCAGGCCCTCGATCTCGGATTGCACGTCATGTGCGAGAAGCCAGTCTCTGTGGACATCGCTACAACTCAGGCAGTAATCGAGAAATCTGCTTCAAAGCCTGACCTCAAGCTTCTCGTCCCTTTCACTCGCCGATGTAAGTAACACTCGGCACGCGCTTTACAGAGTTCGGAGATTGACTTGCTCCAGATGATAAGTCTTACCGCCAAGCAAAGGCCCTAGTCGATAATGGAGACCTTGGTGAAATCCATGCTGTTGAGACGACTGGTATCGATCAAGCAGACCCCAATGGTATGATCATAACTGTCCCCTGTTGTCATTGCACAAGCCCCTGATTGACTGTTCTGATTAGCCTTCTTTGTGTCCTTTTCTGAGCAGTCCGGCGGCATCTTCCTCGACTTCGGTATCCACACAGTCAGTATCAGTCCCTTCCTTTGTCGACTGTTCACTTGACTAAGACGGCAATAGGTTGACGCCGGAAGATACCTGTTGGACGTCAAATCAGGCCTCTCTAACCCCAAGAAGCAAGTCAACAGAGTCATTGCATTCGGCCAAGTGGCTGTCTATGGAGACTTGGCCAAATATGGCGACGCTGACAATGCATGGGGCCTGGTTGAATATGCCAATGGCAAGATTTTCAAGACTTACCTTGGCCGTACACTCACCAGCGGTTTCGAGGACACGACTAGACTCTGCGGCACCAAGGGACATTCGATTATCAGCGCTAACTCGAATGTTGAGATTCGCGATCACCTCGGTATTCGCTCACAATCTGTGCCCGATGCGTTTACTCTTTTCGATGCGACTTTCTTGGCTGACCTCGCTGAGTTTGCCGACGCTGTACTTGATAATAAGCCCTTGACATGTCAGCCTGAGGATGCCTTTGAGGCGGGCAAGATCTGCGCTGCGCTGCAGTACTCATTCCGCAAGGGTCTTCCTGTATACTTCGATGATAACGGCATGCCCATTATGGAGTAATTGGTAGTGGTTGCATATAATAGTATAAGATACAATGAAAATAGACATCAGATTGTGAAACTTCATCTGAAATCCCACGGTAATTTTAGAGAGCTCCTTCATTATACTAGGTTTCAACTGAATAGATACGCACTTCATACCGAAAAAAGGACTTGTAATTTCCACTACCTACCTAGGTGTGGCTCAAATACTTCAATTGGCCTGTTGGAAGTTGAAATTTATTATAAAAGTCCAAATTCCGCGCAGATTACCATGACTGAGAGGTGTTTCCAAGGTTTCAGTCGTCTTATGAGGAATCTTGGGCTTGTAGTAGACCTTGAAGACTATAAGAGTTGTAAGTTGTAGGTAGTTATTAACGTCGAGGGTTCTAATGGCTCGGTCGTCATGACCAACCCGATTAACCATATGCCAATTTTAACGATAAGCCCTTGAACTTTGGCATATTTGACTCGCTTCCAAATACCCTCTCCATGTTCATGGGATCTGTTGCAGCGCGATTGCACGTCTGCATTATTTGCATTGCTTGTTTAGGCCTCACGGCACAGACCAGGCCCAAAATACCCCAAGAAATCAATACTGGCTTGGCCTATTAAGAAGAAGCAATGGAATTTTTAGAGGAGACTCTCTGTGGATACACTCCATGTTCGTATCCTGCCTATGTTGGTACGCTTGCAAATTCGAAAACTTCCAAGGTTGCTATAACAGGTCTATCTTTCCGTCGCCACTAGTTTATTGTCGATCCAGTCAGTTTTAGACAATCGTAGGAACCGTCCGAGTGTCGGTGTCAGCTGAAGCTCGCCGAGAGGATACAATACCGGCGGGCATATCCCCAAACAGCTAATCAAGAGATCCAGGTCGATCGCGGGTATCCTGTCATATGATAGGCCAACACGAAATGCGGCGACACTTTCCCGATTGGGAAATTTTGGATCATCTCTCCTCTTTGGGCGGGTAAATTGACAGTAGATGTATAGATCACTTGATGATGTCTTTGTCGAACATCGTATATAAGCAGCTCTGAATCTTGTAATCACTTCTCTTCTTCCCAGGTTGTCAGATGAGACTGTGAACATTGCTCAAGCCATTTCAAGATATACCCCCCATCATAAAAAAAGGAAATGGCACCTTTCCTTCAAGCGGCCACTGAGGCTGTCGGAGCCGGTACCGTTCCCGTCTCCAAGGCCGGCGTTCAGTCTCCAAGCGTGACCCTCGATCACGACAATGTTCCAAAACCTGTGGCGGACGACTTCATGTACGACTTCAAGTATAATCACAAACTGCCCACTACCGACATTTTGGGTGTTGGGATCCCTAATGATTGTAATGCTCAGAAGCAGGCGGAGGAAATCATGGCCCGTCTATCTAAAGCCACATTAGAGGCAGATGCTCAGGCTTTTGCTGGGCTGTTTCTTGACTATGGTGAGACCCATCGCAACCAAAATCCGAAATCTCGACTTTGACTAACTCCATTTGCACAGGCGTTTGGCGTGACAAGCTCTCATTTACCTGGGACTTCCGCACATTCAACTTCCGAGAGGCTATTTTAAAAGCCGCCACTGATCTTTTGCCTCAAACAAAGGCTAGAAACTTCAACTTGATCAACCCTGCACCTGCTGTGTCTCGCCCTTATGACGACTTCGCCCAGCTTCAATTTGTGGTATCTTTTGAGACTGAAGTGGTCCTTGCTTCAGCCGTCATCAATGCTGTCCTCACTCAAGATGGCTGGAGAATTTACACGATGCACACTGTTGCCGAGAGCCTCAAGCAATTCCCCGACCAGGCCCCACAAGATGGACACATGGTCGGTATTACTAGCTGGGAGAGCCAGAGGTCTGAGGCCATTAACACAGTTAATCCTGAGGTATTAATCATTGGTGGTGGTCAAAAGTAAGTCCCTATACAGGTCAGCTCCATGATATAGTACTTACTCGTTTCTACCAGTGGTCTTGCTATGGCAGCACGCTTGAAGGTTCTCGGTATGAGCAGCCTCATTATCGAACGCAGCGACGAAGTTGGAGATATCTGGAAGAAGCGCTATGAATATCTCTCACTTCACTTCCCACACTGGCCTGATGCCTTGCCATACTTCAAATACCCACAGCAGTGGCCCACATATACCCCAGCTCAGAAGCAGGGTCTATACATGAAGTGGTATGCCTCCGCCCTCGAGCTTAATGCCTGGACCAAGTCAGAAGTTGTCAAGGCCGACCAGGACGCCGACGGTAACTGGACAGTCATAGTCAACAAGGAGGGCAAGGAGACTCGAACACTACACCCTAAGCAACTCATCATGGCTACATCACTATGCGGCCTACCCTCCACGCCAGCCGTGCCCGGTATGTCTGATTTCAAGGGCGTGATCCGTCACTCCAGCGAACACAAGAGTGCCCGTGAGTTTGTTGGAAAGAAGGTCTGTGTCGTCGGTACCTCGTCCTCGGGCTTTGACACGGCCTTCGAGTGCGCCCGTCTGGGAATCGATGTAACCCTCCTCCAGCGGTCACCGACGTACGTCATGTCCTTGACTCATTCTGTTCCGCGCATGCTTGGAGGGTATGCACCTGACAAGAATGGCAACCTCCCCGATACCGAGACACAGGATCGTCTCAACTTCTCCATGCCGGTGGGACCGGGCGAGGAACTCGCCAAGCGTACGGCGAAGGACCTTGAAGAGCTTGACAGACCGCTTCTCGAAGCTCTCAACGCACGAGGTCTGCGAACATGGCGCGGCCAGCGCGATACTGGTAACTCCACATTAGGTCAGACCCGGAACGGCGGATTCTACTTTGATGCTGGTGCTTGCGACGAGATTATCAATGGGAACATCAAAGTGGAGCCAGGCTTTATTGAGAAGTTCACCGAAGATAAGGTGGTGCTAAATGGCGGCCGGGAGAAGGAATTCGACCTGGTCGTCTTTGCTACCGGATTCTCAAACACTATTGACTCTATTCGAAACACTCTTGGTGAGAAGATTGCCAGCCAATGCGGACCCATTTGGGGTATTGATGAGGAAGGCGAATACAAGACGGCTTACCGGGAGACGGGAGTTCCCAACATGTGGATCATGGTTGGCTTCCTTCCGATGACTCGGTATGCCTCTAGACTGTTGGCTTTGCGTTTGAAAGCTCTCAAGGAGGGTGTTTCTCCGGCACCTTACAAAGCTTAGATTCTATAGACGTCTTAAACATGAAGATATGAAGTACTTGAATATATTTCAAATGCCCGCATTTTTCGTTCACTTAGGTGTAGCTAGCTATAAAGACAACAAATATGACAGTAGAAGGGGCAATTACATGACGAGATGGTCCTAAGATAATTGGAGGTTCTGGGTTGGATATCTGAAGCGATTTGCTTTGATTTCTGTTAGTCAACTTGACTAATGTAACTTACCTAGAATAAAAAATCTTCGAACAGCAAAAGAGGGAACTAGGTAGATGTTTTCTACCATTTCAGTACGAGAATACCCTAGGAATAAAGGCAGTTTTATGCTTTCCCCTCAATTTGCACTTGTTTGGGTGCTGCATCAAATCATCTATTTGCCCTCATGGTAAATCCCTAAAACAAAGGAATTCTTTCTGCCAGGACTGATAAAAAAATGGAATATTTTCTAGATGATTCTCATATTCTATAACCCGATTCGGGCAATTTACTGCTTGTACCAGTCATCGAAACCGAGATCCCATCCAAATAGAGGAGTATTGATACGCTTCGCTTTTCCCTGCGCAGCCAGACCGTTCAGTAAATCCATATCCTCAGATGAGAGAGGAATGACTTGACTGTTACTGACAATACGGCTTTCTTTAATAGACTTGGGCAGTACAACAGTTCCCCTGTTAACGTGGTAGCTGATAAGTACTGTGGCGGGTGAAGTATCATTTCTCTTGGCAATCTCCTGGATCGCGGGATCAGACATGAGCGGAGCACCTAAAAACCGCCAAATTAGCTCTCGTTACATCATTGAAATGCCACCCCGGACACAGCTATCAAGGGGCACTTACCTTCAGAACCAAGGGGCGAGTACGCCTCGAGGAGAATTCCATGTTCGTCACACCACTTCTTCAGTGCGTGCTGAGGCAGGAAGGGGTGGAGCTCAACTTGGTTGACCGCAGGGACAACAGTCCAACTCTTCTTGAGCTCCTTTAGATAGGGAATGGACCAATTGGCCACGCCAATCGCCTTGACTTTGCCGGAATTGTATACCTCCTCCATCTGGCGCCATGTCTCACCCTGGTCCCAAGATCGATCTACCGATCGTGTGCCATCTGGGTTGACTGGAAGAAGCGCGTGGGACTCATTCTATATGTATAAGTTAGCTCTGCGAAATCTGATAGAGGAAATCACGAATCAACTTACGGGAACAAGTCGGACTGGCCAGTGAATGAGCTGGTCATTATATTAGTTAGGTTCTCGACAGCATGCGTGGCGCATAGACAAAAGCAGAAGGGGTTCATTTACGTATAAATCGAGGTAGTCGGTGCCTAGGGCGTCAAGTGTCTTTTGGAGACCCGCGGCGACATTGGGATGATCGGTGTTCCAAAGCTTGCTGGTGATGAAGATGTTTTCGCGAGGAACACCACTGTCCTTGATGCCCTGACCGACTTCGTGCTCATTTCCTGGATATGCTGTTAGATCCACAAGCTCGATCAATTCCATTTCCAAACGCACCGTAGATCCTTTTATCTGTTAGCCAATGCTATAGGTCGCAATGGGGACATGGGTATCTTACAATGCGGCGTCAATGTGACTATATCCGTTCTTGAGCGCAAACGCGACTGACTGGCGGACCTGACCTGGTTCAGATCTCCATGTCCCTGTAATTGTTAGTAAATGTAGCCAAGGTCCAAAAGAAGAAAACACGTGTATCATACCGAGACCCACGGCGGGAATTTGGGTGTCAGAGTTAAGCTTGAAATGAGTTGCAAGTGTCATATTGCTTTTGGTGGGAGATTAAGTGTATGAATGTTGCTGTATACGTTGAATGAGAATCGCGCAGGACGAGACAAGGAGGATTTAAATGAAAACATTTCCACATACGAGGGGTTTTAGGCCTGGACCAATGTCAACAGGAACATATGACATAGTCCGTCAATAATAAGTGCCCCACGAGAGATCGACTGAAGTCCAAATGCGTCTGCGGAGGAAGTTCTTTCCGGTTATGATGTCGGCCAGCTTGTTCCAAACGCCCAGCAGATGCCTTTTTTACCCAAGCAAGAAGTGGGGGAATTACTTCACGAGACATTTCCCACTCGTTCGCCGCAAAATGTGGAATCCCCATGGTCCGCCGCAACCTTCCAAATCCGGCAATATTGCGTGGGGTTGGAAAGGAAAAACGTGGGGGAATCGGTTAGCATAAACAAGGCAAACAATACAGGTTTCTGAAGAAGCGGGAATCTAATGTTGTTTCCATTGATTCGCTGGTAGTCACCCAACTACTAAGTCACCGGCGTGTGGAGGATGAGAGTGCTCTATAGACCGGGTGAGAGTTGGGTGAGAATCACCCGAGTCGCGCGAGCACTGCATTGATCCCTTCAGCTGAACAGTGGCAAAATACGATCAGATCGCAGCTAGAACCCTGATACATGCGTTCCAAGACCCATCTCAGCCCCAACATCAAGCACCTGCTTACCCACAACAAGATCCATCAACCCCATGCCAACACACTTGTAAACCACATTGCACCCAGTAGGAACATCAACCGCATCCTCCATAACCCCAGTCTTAGCCCCCAAAAGATCCCCCATCTCAATAAGCTGGTCCTCCCGGACCTTGGCCTCAATCAACTCCCCAGCCTCTTCCAAACAAGCAACCTTCGAATCAACATAAACCTTCCCCCCGGAAAGCAAAGTCCTCGTATCAATCTCCCGCATATGCGGCTTATAAGACCCAATCAGCGAGATAAACCTCCGCTTAGGCTTCGCCTCAAGAACCTCCCACCCAAAGTTCGGCTGCACAGCAGGCGTGCAGCTAAAGATAACATCCGCAGCACCAAGAACCGCAGCAAGCGCCCCCTGATAACCCCCATTCCCCTCCATAGCAAGCATCTCAAAATCAACAGCCGGATAGACCCGCCTCAGCCCAACAACAACATCCTCCTCAAACTCCCCCAGTCTCTCCCGTCCCCGATTGACAAAGGTCACGCTCCGAATCTGCTCGGGATAAAGCAGCAGCGCAAGTCGCGCATGCCACTCCGCCTGTCGCCCACAGCCGAAGACAACAACGTGGTCCTTGCGGATTGTCGTGCATCGCACGAACAGCGTCATTGTTGCTAATGCGGTGCGGAAAGCTGTTACTTCGGCTGCGGCGAGGAGGCCTTGGAGTCGGCCTTCTGGATTGAAGACGTTTATTACGCCCTGGATGCCGGCTTCACCGACTGTTACTACTTTGATGCCTGTTGTTTCGGTGTCTGAGACTGGCATGAAGATGCATGTGTTATTCTTTTTGGTCGTGAAGACTGTTCGGAGGGGTTGGTGGATGAGTCGGTCTGAGGCTTGTATTTGGGGGCTTGCTTCGCGGGTAATAGCCACGAGAGCGTTGCTGAGGGTGTCTATGAATGTGTGACATTGTTCCTGGGACAGGCTGCGGAAGATGTGCGCAACGTCTGGTTCGGAGAGGATGTGCATCTTGGTGGTTGTTGTCTGTATTTGTGGGGATGGGAGGGGTGAAGTAGAAGTTATGTAAGTGATGATATCCGGAAGTGAATGTTGCAGGACTCAACTATTTAAGAGAATCGGAGTAGATAGATCATAACGGGTGGTGCTTCCGAGCTATGAGGGGCAGGTCGATCCGGCGGGGACTACACTCGACACATCATTTTTCTCTTTACACTCAGTTACAATGTACATGAAAGTTGAATATTCAAGATTGATTTCATTGCTCATTATGAAAAATATTTATGACCAGAACGCCCTTGGGGATGCACCCCAGCTATGCGCAGACAAAAAGCACCCCGCAGGGGCTGATGCTAGGAGAGGCGAAAGCACTCTCCAGGTATCACAGAGATGAAGATGAAAAGAAAGAAAAGGAAAACAGTTACTGGCTACCACCGAAGCCACAGCGACGCTTCAGCTCACCAATCATAGCGATCTGAGAATCCTTGGTACGGCCGACAGCCTCGGTGTTCTCGACAGCACGACGGAGCAGGAAGCCCATGCACTCCTTAACGGAGCCCCAGGTCAGAAGCTTGAAGACGTTAGGAGCATCCATGGGGGTAGCACCGACAGAAGCCTCAGCATTCTCGAATCCTTGGAGCAACTCGCAGCTGACCTCATCCGCCATACCCTGGAGCTGAGCGTAGCTAAGGTCGACACCGTAGTCCTGGTTGCGGGTGGCCTGCTCCATGCGGAGCGCGTGAGCCTTCCGAACAGACTCGCGGTTGTGAGTAGCGATGATGACGTTGAGAGGGGGAAGTTCGGTCGGGGTTCCCTGGGTCGGGGCCTGGAGCATGGAGTTGTACTTGCGAGTGAGGAGGGCTTCGACGACTTCGTCGTAGCAGCGGTCGGTATCTTCCTTCTCGGCCCAGATGACTTGACGGGGCTCGGTCTTCAGGTAGGCACCGCGGACCAGCTTGACACCCAGGGTGTAGCCCTCGACGCGGGCAATCTCGAGGTGCTTAGCCAGAGTGGCGGGAGTGGAACGGAGGTAGGCCTGGTATGTGCCGTAGAAGATAGCGCGGCCGGGTGTCTGGGAGTTGCAGTACTTCTGGTACTTCATGATCCAGGCTTCAATACCGGGCTGCACAGCTTGCTCTTCGGCGTCGACGAGTAGACGCACACCGCGGGAGATGGCCAGGTCGCAGACGCGCTGGATAGACTCGTCCATGAAGTCGGTGGGCATGGTCTGCTTTTGGAGGAGGCGGAGGGCATCAGTGCCCATTCCGGTGAACTTGAGAGCGACAAAGTCGCCGGCCTGGGCCATGTCGACGGTGGCCAGTGTGCCATCGAGCCACATTTGGATTTCAGCCAGAGCGGCCTTGGCGTCATAGGAGGCATCGTCGTTCTCGCCGACCAGGACTTCACGAGCATATCCGAGCAGCACACCGCGGCATCCAAGATCCTTGATCTTACGGATCGACTCCTGGACCTCGATCTTGTTCTCACCGGCGTTGAACTGCTTGTAGATGGTGTGCTTCACTAGTGCGTTCAGCAACGGGTTCTTAGCGACATCCCAGAGGGCAGAACGCGGGTGTGCCAACAGCGAGAGAGTGTAGATGCATGGCTTGAGGAGGAGAGTAGAAGATGAGACAGAGAGTACCAGCAAAGAGCGCAGCACCGATGAGAGGGGCAGCTTAGCCAAGGGCGCAGTCAGCGCTTTGCGTGGTTGCGGAGGTGTAGATCGCGCGATTGGGCTCAACAGACTGGTTGCGGCAACTGATGAGCGAGAGTTGTTCGTGCCACTGACGAATCTCTTCGATTGAGCAGCAGCCTTGAGTGGCCGCATGGAAGGTGCAGCCTTCATGATTGTGTACGAGATGGGGTGAGATTGACAGCTCAAGAGGCAAAAGAAGATATCTAAGAAAGCTTGAGGAGAGAGCCACGGTTTGAAAAAGGTGGCTGACTTGTAGATAAGTTATGTCCATTTCTTTGGCAGTTGGAGGGCCGGTGGCAACCGCAAGGCACCGGTACGGTAGCAGGGACCGGGAAAGCCACTTCAGATCCTCGTGGGGAACATTATGGAGCATACTTCAAAGTAATCTCTAAATTTCTATTACTCATGATCTTTTTGAACGAGAACCCCTAACCCCGGTAAACGGGACTTTTGCCATGGCTTCAGGTACGCGCCATGACTACCACCAAACCAAGCATCCGTGCGAACATCTCCAGCTATTCTGTGCTTAACTTCAGATTCCAGAGAGTCGGGCCGGGTGGAGAGTGCACGGGCCAGCGATAAGCTGTGACCGGCCCGGTGCACCTCAGATTCTTTAGTCACGCGGTTTGGAGCCGACAGCCCTACAGGTCCGGTGTAGGACTATTTCATGACAAAATGAAATTTGAAGTTGACTAATAGAGTCTCCCACGTGCCTAGTGAATTAGAATGTGGATAGAAACTACAGTAATTTACCCCAGATATCGAGTCTACCCCGACAATTCCACGTGACATTGAGTCAAGCCTCACCAGCCAATCGGAGAGCATCCTAGCGTTCCACTTAAGGTTATTCCCGAAGAGCGCTAGAAGACGCTAGTTGGATACCCACCACTTCGAACACCCAAATAAAGCCTCTATACCATCGCATGACAACTAAGTTGGGTACCAGATATTGTTGCTATTCAAGTACTGTGTGCAATATACAGCCATGATAATAAATAATGAGCTTTGGCACCTAACATATGTGTAGCATTATCTGAATAGAAGTTTCCGTCTTTGCTTTTTTCCTTACATCTCTCGACCTAAACCTTTCCCCCTCTTTCACGCGGACAAGACAAACGCACATTTTGCGTTTTAAAGCTGTTCCTGGTGTGCAACGAGGCAAAACTGACACCTCAACTTGGAAAAGACCCTTTCCTCGTCCTCGCAGCATGCAGTTCAACCCAAGCCCTTACCAGACGAAGTGGCTCGAAAGCCCACTGTAGTCTGAACCATCGTCACATTCAATTCTTCCCCCTGGACAGCTGCATTGGAACTGACCATTTTGTCGGCAGTGGAGTGACACGTTCTACAGTTGATCCTGGGAAGTACTTTTATGCGTAAGATCAATCTGTCATTGACTTGTCATGGCTCCTTTGCTCATTGCATGCGTATATGGCCATGTAAATCATTGTCTACCTCCTTATGGATATTCTGGGTGAATTGACTGACTACCTTCCTGTTCCTGGTGTTTTTTGTTGGAGTTGTATATCTGGTTCGTACTCGGTTCATGCCGGTTCTAATGAAATTATTAAATTCATCTAGCACGTCTGTAGTACTTTAGATTTCTACAGTCTGCTCTAGTCTCGCCCACCCAAGCTTCTTGATCTCCTAGCTTGTCTTTGTGATCTTCTTCCTGTATTTTGGTCATAAGCTGTGGTACAAGACCCCATGGATGACCAAGAAATCTGGAATCGAAATATTTACTGGAAAACAAGAGATTTAACCCATTCAACGCATCTGGGTAGAAAAGGTTTGATGGTGGATTTTATAGATCTGAGATCTGAAAGATTGTAGTGGATCTGTGGTGGGGAATTGAACATGTATGAGATAACATGAGATAGCCCCAATCACCTTTAATCTATAGTTGTTCTACAATGTTACATATCTGAACCCAGATATGATATCTTAATGAACTGAATACAAGTCAGACAATAGCTTCCACAAGAGTCTCTGCTTAATTGGAATCCCGGCACCTGATCTACTTCTACTCCGGCCCGGTTGTACCACCCGGGACGCTTACCGGCAGCACCTGATTGGCTGGCAGATTCAATGCCCCACCGGTCTCCGTCACGGCAAATTGGAGCTTTGAGCTGTGCAGCACCGGTAGTAGCCGGCCTACATCATACCCCGCGTGCACTTTTCTTCTCCAACTTAGCTTTTAGATCTTCTCTTCTTCATCCTTGAGCTTGGAATACCATCAATATTCAAAGTAATCATGATGCAATCCGCTCTTTTGCGCGCCCGCGCGCCCGTTTCGCGCGTGCAATCGCTTGCTTGCCGCATTCCTAGCTCTAGCTCGCGGGCTATGGGCACCTATGCCACTTTCAAGGTTCCTCAGATCAACAATGAGCCCAACGTGAGATTTCCCAGAAACAAAATGCTAGAACTTTGCCTCCTAACAAACACCATTTAGAAACACTATATTCCCGGTTCCGCCGACCGCAAGGGTCTTGAGGATGCATTGGCGTCATATAAGTCCAAGGCTCCTTTAAGTGTGCCTTTGGTTGTTGCTGGCAAGGAGGTAAGCATGAGCTTTGAATGACGAAGAAGAACAACAATTCTAACATTGAATCTAGATCAAGAGCTCCCAGACTTTCACTCAGACTAACCCTGCCTCCCATGCTCCTCTGGCAACTTACTCCAATGCTTCCAAGGCCGACGTGCAGTCTGCCATTGAATCTGCTCTCGCTGCCCGCAAGTCCTGGGCCGACACTCCCTTCGCCGAGCGTGCCAGCATCTTCCTCAAGGCTGCTGATTTGATCGCTACAAAGTACCGTTACGATATTATGGCATTGACCATGCACGGACAGGGCAAGAACGCCTGGCAAGCCGAGATTGACTCCGCCGCCGAGCTCTGCGATTTCTTCCGATTCGGTGTCAAGTACGCCGAGGAGCTCTACGCTCAACAGCCCGCTCACCACGCTCCGGGTGTGTGGAACCGTCTTGAATACCGCCCTCTTGAAGGTTTCGTCTACGCTATCAGCCCCTTCAATTTCACTGCCATTGGTGGTAATCTGGCTGGCGCCCCTGCACTGATGGGTAACGTCGTTATCTGGAAGCCCTCGCCTTCCGCCATTGCCTCCAACTGGCTCGTTCACCAGATCCTCCTCGAGGCCGGTCTGCCCAAGGATGTCATCCAGTTCGTTCCCGGTGAGGCTGAGGAGGTCACCAGCACCGTCCTAGAAAGCCGCGAATTCGCCGCTCTCCACTTCACTGGTAGCACTGATGTCTTCCGCATGCTATACGGCAAGATCTCCCAGGGTGTGGCGGACGGCAAGTACCGCAGCTACCCTCGCATTGTTGGCGAGACCGGCGGAAAGAACTTCCACTTGGTTCACAAGTCTGCCGATGTGCGCAACGCCGCAGTCCAGACCGTTCGCGGTGCCTTCGAGTTCCAGGGCCAAAAGTGCAGCGCCACCTCCCGCGCCTACATCGCGTCTTCCATCGCCGAGGACTTCGTCCAGCAGGTCGTGGCCGAGGTGCAGCAGATCCAAGTTGGCGAGCCTTCCGAGTTCACCAACTTCTGCGGTCCCGTAATCCACGAGGGTTCCTTCAACAAGCTGGCTGGTGTTATCGATGAGGCCAAGAACGACCCCGAGCTTGAGCTCCTGGTTGGTGGATCTTACGACTCCTCCAAGGGCTGGTACATTCAGCCTACCGTCTACCGTACCTCTAACCCGGACCATCCTCTTCTGTCTCGTGAGCTCTTCGGTCCCATCCTTGTTCTGCACTCCTACAACGACGCCACCGAGGCCGACTTCACCAAGATTTGCGACAAGATCGACACCACCGGTAACTACGGTCTCACCGGATCTGTCTTCGCCCAAGACCGTGAGGCCATCCAGGTTGCCGACGAGGCCCTCCGCAACGCCGCCGGTAACTTCTACATCAACTGCAAGAGCACTGGCGCCGTTGTCGGCCAGCAGCCCTTCGGTGGTGCCCGTGCCAGTGGAACTAATGATAAGGCTGGCAGTGCCAACCTCATGTCCCGCTTTGTCAGCTTGCGCTCCATCAAGGAGGAGTATGTTCCCACATACACCGTTGCCTACCCCAGCAACGCCAACTAAAAGGCTGAACCCCAGACCTTTCAGTTGATCCCGCATGCTTTATGATATATTGGCGTCAATCTTGCATCCCACCCGGCGTTTTGCTTTTTTTTTTCAGATTGTCTTTACAAGATCCCGAGGGATCTGAATACGTACATGTCTGTACTTCAGACACCATTCCATGTAACGTTATCAATTATTACTAGTTTCGTCAAAATCAGAGTATAACATTTCCATTCCACCCAAATCTTTGCTCATGATGTCCTCTATCCCCCTTTCAATCTGTAGCACAATTTTTCAACAAAGCCTGCATACTCTCCATAGCTCGATTAGCATAAGACCCCATCTCATACTTCTTCCCAGAACCGCCCGGTCCACTATCAAAGATTTCCATGGAAAACCAACCCCGGAACCCAGTCCTCAACACCGCACGCGCAACATCCTCAATGGGCAAATATCCACCATCATACGGCATAGGCCGATAGTCATGACTCCACCGGCCTCTCGCCCTTAACCCCCCAATCACCTTATCCTCCAGCGGTGGCGAAACCTTATACGCATCCGAGATCTGCAGCAAATAAATCTTCTCCGCAGGAACAGTCCTCGCCAGCTCATCCATGCTCGCATGGAATCGCGTCTTCAATTCTTCTTTTGAGACATTTTTCATTAAACCCGAGGAGGTCGTTGGATCCCCCCATTCACTGCCGGCCGTTTGGAATGTGTCAAGGCAGAGGCCGCAGTTCGGGCGATCGACCGCCTTGACGATTTCCCAGACGCCTTTCCAGTCTGGAGCGTGGGAGGACCAGCACCAGTTCTCGTACGCAAGACAGTATTTGCGCTTCGAGAGCAGATCTGAGAGCGTGCGGAGATCGCAGATTATTTCTTCTTTGTTGCAGTGGAAGTTCGGGAGGTCTGTTGGTGTATCTGTTGCTCCGACCTGTTCATGGATTTATACATATTCAGCGGGTGTGCTTTGTATTTTGTGCTTTGAGGGATTTTTCTTGGTTCTTGTAGGCGGGCTTACCTGTAGCAAGTCGGTCCCGACAACATGCATGATCTCCATCCATCCTGTTGCTCGTGCGAATGCTTCTTCGCGCTCTACTGAACCCTTGTGCCAACCTTCGAAGTTGGAGAATGGCTGGAGCATCATGATTGACAGTTTGTTTTCTTCGCACAGTTTGCGGATCTGATCTGCTACGGGGAGTAACTCTGGATAATTGTTCGGAGCGATTTTGCGGCCGGTGATGTGGGCGCCATAGTCTAGGATGTCTGGGAAGGATAGCTCGATTGCGGTGAAGCCCGCTGCAGCGATGACTTCCAGTCTGCGGGGGAGTGTATCAGTTGGACTGCAGCCAATCGAACATGAGGCGTAAGAGAGAGGAATCTTTTGAAGGCTGGCGGAGGTAATTTGGGTCATTTTTTGTTGCTTGTGTTTTTTGATTTGCTTGGTAATTTGGGTTGAAGCACCGAGGATTCCAATTATCATACTGGGAATTTGAAATTACTACAATTGCGCTATTTTGCCTTGGGTCGGAATTTGTGTTGCTTCACTTGGTGTTCATTGTGATCGAATCTTGTTCTGAGGGCCTGTCACGTCAGAGAGATGTCATCTTAGTGCCACTTCCTCAAAGTTGTTATGTTCTGTCCAAAACAGTATATGCATCTTCTTTTGCCTGGTTTAACAGCTGATATATGCCACAGTGGCTAAAATGAAGGCAATCTGGAATGGAACCTCCTATTTCGTATATGATCACACCTTGACGTTATCCGCAACAAAGCCCCGTTGCCACAGCCTGCTCATTCAAGAAGAGCTTAAGATGTATGAGACGTTTCCAAGAATTATTTATCAATTGAATGAAAATTGAGCCTTTCCCTGGAACTATTCAGAAATACAGTATCTACATGCAGGAAAGACCGCCACATCTAGCTACAATGCCGTCTCCAACCCACAAAGGAATAAGAAGCATCGGTGTTGTTGGGGCCGGCAACATGGGTTCCATGATGACACTCCGGTTCGCCGAACTTGGTCTCGAAGTCTCAGTCTGGGACATTGAAAAGAAGAACGTCGACCAAGTTGTGGACCATGCGAGGAAAGACCAGGGCATCAAAGGCCGAGTTTCGGGTTTCTACAACATCAACCAATTTGTGAAGAGCGTCGAGGGCAAGTCCGACCGCAAGCTGTTCATGTTCTCCATCACCCACGGTAAACCTGCAGATGAAGTCCTTCAGATGATGAAGCCTGATCTGAAACACGGTGATATTATCCTCGATGGCGGGAATGAGAACTATCGCAATACCGAACGTCGACAGAAAGAGTGCGAGGCTATTGGTGTCACCTGGATTGGAATGGGTGTTTCCGGCGGATATCAATCTGCTCGACGCGGACCCAGTTTGTCACCTGGCGGTGACGCCAAAGCCATTGGACGTGTTATGCCTTTCTTGGAGTCGTATGCTGCAAAGGATTCCAAGACTGGTACGCCCTGCGTGAAGCGGATGGGGCCAGGAGGTTCTGGTCATTACATCAAGATGGTCCATAATGGAATTGAAGGTGGGATGCTGTCTGTTCTTGCTGAAGCTTGGTCTTATATGCATGACGGACTTGACATGGAACATGATAAGATTGGAGACGTGTTTGCCAAATGGAACTCTGCTGGCGAATTGCGGAACAACTTCCTCATTCACATTGGTGACAAGATTCTCCATACTCGGAGAACCCCTCAAGGTGACATCAAGGGGGAAGGTGCCAGTCGTGATGATGGATATGTCATTGATGATGTTCTTGACAAGGTCGTTCAGGACGATGACAATACCGAAGGTACACCCATGTGGTGTTTGATGGAATCTGCTTCTCGACATGTCTCCTGTCCCACATTAGCTGCTGCTCATTATATGCGGATCTCTAGCGGCAACCGTCTGGAAAGAGTTCGTGCTGCCAAGAAGCTGGAGATGCCCATGCCGAAACCCATTCAGGGAACTCGTGATTTCTCCGAGATCATTGAGAATCTGCGCCAAGCCGTCTACTGTTCCTTCCTGGCTTCATTCTGTCAAGGTCTGGAATTGATATCTCGGGCATCTATTGACGAGAATTGGAACGTCAACTTAGGAGATTGTCTCCAGATCTGGCGTGCTGGGTGTATCATCCAGTCTGACCACATCGCCGATCTACTGCAGCCACCACTTGCCGCCCACAACGAGCTCACCAATACCAAGTTTGTTGATTCGGTTGCCCATGAGTTGCACCAAAGCTTCCATGGTTTGAAGGAAATCGTTATGGAGGGAACGTATTCTGATCAATACATTCCAGCGCTGTCGGCGACTCTGGAATATCTGAAGTATGAAGGTGGACTGAATTTGCCCACCAAGTTCATGGAGGCTCAGATGGATTACTTTGGGGCTCATAACTATAACAAGCCAGGTATTCCCGGTGAGGACCCCGGCCCTGTTCATAAAGGTCCTCATCATTATGAGTGGCTGCCAGCGTAGATGAGGTGTACATACCAAATTGTCTTTACCAGTGTCTTCTTGCCTCTGGTGGTTATATTCTCCTTTGCATGTCCTGCTAGGTAAGTGAGTGAATGTCTGTTGATTGGCCACTTTGCTCGGAGACAATCACAATGATATGGCGCTAGTCCTGAAATGGCCAATTGCAGCCTCAGGGACTATTCTGCACGTGGGTCGATCTCAGCCAATCGGAGATGGAGTTTGCCCGCAACATCTGAAAATTGATGGCGCAAGATGCGCAGCTTCTCATTCTTTCGGTCCTTCTCTTCTATTACCAAACCCTTCATTCGAATTGAATCTCCCAAACAAATAGCCCGCAGAATGGCCTCCCTTCCCACCACCTACGAGGGTGCGTAAACCCACTCCCCCTCGCAAATCATACCCCTCACCACCCCCACCTTGCCCAGGCTGACAATTGCAAATCTGACAGGCTCTGTCCCTATTGCTGTTATCGGAGGCACTGGCCTGCGTGAGCTCCCCGGCTTTACCCAGGTGGCCTCGCTGTCCGTCTCAACACCCTGGGGCAACCCCTCCTCGCCCATCACCATCCTTCACCACGAGTGCAAGCACAATGGCAAGGTTGTTGCCGTTGCCTTCCTGAGCCGTCACGGCGCCCACCACCAGATCGCCCCCCACGAGGTTCCTGCCCGGGCCAACATTGCCGCTCTGCGCTCCATCGGTGTCCGTAGCATCATTGCCTTCTCCGCCGTTGGCAGTCTCCAGGAAGAGATCAAGCCCCGTGACTTTGTCATTCCCGATCAGGTCATTGATCGCACTAAGGGTGTTCGCCCATGGACTTTCTTCGAGGGTGGTGTTGTTGCCCACGTTCCCTTCGGTGACCCCTTCGATGAGGGTATGGCCAAGGTTGTTCGTGAGTGCGGACACAGCCTCGAGGGTGACGGTGTTGTCCTGCACGACCGCGGAACTCTGGTCTGCATGGGTATGTTATCCCCGTTCAAGCTGCCCCATATTCTATGCTAGTATCACTGACCCGTTCTTTCCATTTACAGAGGGCCCTCAGTTCTCCACTCGCGCCGAGAGCAAGATGTACCGCTCATGGGGCGGCAGCGTGATCAACATGTCTGCTCTCCCCGAGGCCAAGCTCGCCCGTGAGGCTGAGATCGCCTATCAGATGATCTGTATGTCCACCGACTACGACTGCTGGCACGACTCCGCCGACGTGACTGTCGAGATGGTCATGGGCAACATGAAGTCTAACGCCGAGAACGCTCGTCGCTTCGTGACTTCCGTTCTGGATGCCCTGGCTGGCGAGGAGCACACCGATTTGATCAACGCTAAGCACTTGGCTGGCGGTATCAAGTTCGGCATCAGCACTCCCCAGGCCCACTGGAGCCCTGCTGCCAAGGAGAAGCTGGACTGGCTTTTCCCCGGCTACTTCTAGATTAGAAGTGTTCTGCGCTGCAGCATGCATTAAGATACTATAGATATATATTATGACAGCATTTATGCATTATAGTTATGGCATAGATATGATTGAATAGTTAACGAATCTGAGATTTGATTACGTATAGTCATGAAGATCCCTGAAGTCAATATGAATTATTACTACCATAAGGTCATCCAATAGCTTAAAATGTAACCCTTTGATCATTATATTTCCTGCACATGTCCATATCTATAAGAGATGCTAGTGACATTGTCCATTTTGGGTTATAGCTTGCACGTGACTCCATTATGGCCTGAGGCATGAATAACGGCGACCTGCCAGATAGTCCGCCTTATCTTCCCCCAGACCCGGACATCAACAAGGGATCGGAACTGCGCTGATTGACGACCCGTTTCGATAATGCAAGCTGCATACACTCCCGCACAAGTACGATAAACCGCATTGCAGCGATCGACAGTGCGATCCCGTTGACCGCTCAACCAAAGCTCCACCAATCCGGACCCTGACCGCAATTGAATAATGGGCTTCGGACTTTCTTGCGCACTGCTGGTATGAAGTTAGTTACCAGAAGCTTGCCTATACCTTGAAAACAACCATTGGTCTGTCACAAGAACTTCAAGTAAGCAGGATGAGTCCTTCCGTGGAGAGCGAAGCTCTGTCCGGTCACCATCAGATAACGGAGCACGGTACGGAAAGGCGGACGAACGGTAGCACCAAGACGGAGCCACATTTGGAACCTCGTGAGCTAGAAAAGCAGCGACACGAGATGGCAGTACCGACGAAGTTGTCCAACGGTGTGCCTAGCGAAGGCTTAATCGATCGGGGAACTGGGACGAAGGAGCAACGGACACACCACTCGAACAATCATTCCGAACACCACTCTATGAATGGCGGACATAAAATAGCAGAGTCTGGATCGGCAGAGCAGGGTCTCGGTATTCTTGTTGAGCAATCACCAGATGACGGGGAGACACCTGGTCGGTTTTCCGTCGTGGACGTCTACGACGGACCCCGAACAAAGGCTGCTCTAGCTGAGCTATCTGATGACCTGCAAAACAAATCATCCGAGGATAAAGACAAAATCATGAAGTTGTCTCCTGAGAAGATCCAGGAACTCACGTCTTCGCCAGAATCGATACCCTATCGACCTGCAGCACCAGAGACCAACACTGGTAGACGAGTGGTATCTGACAACCCGCATGGAAATGGCACCTTGGCCCGATCTGAGATACCGGAGTTCGTGCTCCAGTCTCTTGCCGACAAGCCAATTTCTGACGGCCTACCAAAACATCGGCCTTTAAAAGACCTGCTGGAAGATGTCTCTGCGCCGGCGAGCCCTCTTCCTCGGGGCATACAGAACCCGTCTGTTCGGACTCGCCCGAATCCATCACGAACGGTGTCAACCCCTGGCTCCACACGTCGTCCACCTCCTGCAACACCTAATAATGAAAGGTTGGCCCACACATGGGCATCACGATCGAAGCAGGACAAATCCGCGCCGGAACGCGACTTGAAGAATCATCTTCTTGCATCACCTCAAATCATTGAGACTCCTATGTCTCCGACCTTGTCATCGTCAATCCCGTTACCTCCAGTTTCGCTGCCAACATATCTTCAACTTGAGCTTGCATCTGGCCGGCCTTCGCCGTTGTACATACATCGCCCCGCATCGAACGACTTCCCATATGAATCATCGCGTGTGAAGATTGAGAGGCTCATGAACTTCCTCATGCTTCCACCGCTGTTGGAGCAAGTGCTTTGTTTCGGGAGTCTTGCTTGTCTGGACGCATGGCTGTATTCCTTTACCATTATGCCTTTGCGCTTCATCAAGGCTATCTACATACTTGTTGGATCATGGGTCATCAATTTGGGGGCCGAGGCTCGGTTTATTTGGAAGTTTGTCCTTAATGGAATTGGGCGGGTCTGGCGCAGAAGAAATCTAGCTTCAAAAGAGGATCAGCCCTCAAGGCGCGGGAGTGAAGCAGACGTCACACCTCGGCCTCCAGGATCTTCTACGGGACTAGATGGGACAACTGCAGAAAGAGAACCGCGGCAGCTGCAGGCAGAGCCAAAAAGGAAACATCGCACCTCTGAGTCCCGCAGACATTATCACAGACGAAAGAAGTCTATGCCATCGGCTCTACTTCCGGATGATAAAGCCGATATTTTGACAGGCTTGCTTATGATATCCACCTGTTGTGTCCTAATGTACTTTGACGCCAGTCGAATGTACCATTGGATTCGTGGACAAGCTGCGATTAAGCTTTACGTCATCTATAACGTGCTGGAGGTCAGTGACAGACTCCTGGCTGCGCTGGGTCAGGATGTTCTCGAGTGTCTCTTCTCCCGAGAGGCTCTCGAGCGCCGCCCTGATGGCCGAAGCAAGATCATCCGCCCATTCTGGCTATTCCTCTTGGCTTTGGTCTACACGGTATCTCATGCGACCTCGCTGTTCTACCAGGTTATGACTCTGAACGTCGCCGTGAACTCCTACTCCAACGCATTAATCACTCTGCTTTTGTCTAACCAGTTTGTCGAGATCAAGTCAACTGTCTTCAGGAAGTTCGAGAAAGAGAACCTTTTCCAGCTTACTTGTGCGGACGTCGTGGAGCGATTCCAGCTCTGGCTGATGCTTACTATCATTGCCTCGCGAAATATCGTGGAGACGGGTGCTTTCAACTTCGTCGGGAACTTTGGTCTTGGTTCTAGTTTCTCTGTTCAGACTTCCACAAGTACGAACAGTACACCATTATCCACACCTCCTCGCACTGCATCCTCCATTTTGCCTCAAGCGTTCACAATGTTCCCATCATCAATTCTGTCTTCCCTGAATAGCGTGAACTCCTTTATTCCAACCCTGGCACAGGTGCTCGGTCCATTCCTAGTGGTGCTGGGCTCCGAAATGCTAGTGGACTGGCTGAAGCACGCCTACATCGGTAAATTCAACAACAACCGACCCGCAATCTACAGTCGATTCCTAGACGTCCTAGCAAAAGACTACTACACCAATGCCTTCGGCGAACAAAACCTTACCCGCCGCATCGGCCTCCCAGTCATCCCACTCTCATGCCTCTTCTTCAGAGTCTCAGTCCAAACCTACCAAATGTTCCTAGCAGCCCTACTCCCCCAACACCCCTCCTCAACCGCAATAGAAGCAACATCCCTCTCCTCAATCCACAACCAATACGCCCCCTCCCCACTCCCATCCGCACCCCCAATAACATTCGCAACCCTCCTCCCAGCCTCAGCAGCCCACGTCAGCGCATTCTTCCGAACCCTCCTGGAAAACGCCATCCCATCCCCAGCCCAATCAGTCCACATTTTCACCGCCGTCCTCCTCCTCACCGGGTTCGTGGTTCTTCTCATCCTAAAACTCCTCCTGGGAATGGTACTGCTCGCATTTGCGCGCTCACGCTACAGGAAGATCAAAGCAAGAGAAGCAGAATCAACTTCCAACTCCAATAAACCAACCCCCCATCTATCCCACGCCCACCACCAACCCGGCCCCAGTGAACAGCAGCCCGTGCCGCGCGCCCGCGAGTTCTCGGTCGAGGGGAGCCAGCGCACTGGCGGGTGGGGCATGGTCGAAGTTGGCGACGAGAAGCGTCGACTGATCTATGCTGATGATGCGGATGGGTTACGTCGTTTGAAGGAGAAAGAGGACAAGAAGGAGAAGGAGGAGAAGGAGAAGATGGATAAGGAGGGGGAACTTAATGTTGATCATGTACAGCGATATGAGATGATTGCGAAGAAGATTTGGTGATGGTTCAAGGCGGATTGGTAGGTTCCGGAGGTGTGGTTGTGTTGGTTTATGTGGATATACGGTTCATATTTTACATCTGGACATCTGGATGTCTGTCTTGTAGATGTGTATAATATCATAATTTCCATATCCCTATTCTTGTACAGCACTGAGATGAAAGTAGGGAAATTCGATAAAAATGTAAAGATCAATGAATTCATACATATCGCGGAAAAACTGAAGGAAAAGGATATCAAGTGAAAGGGTATGTACAGGATCGTCCGTCATAAGTGTAAACAAGTGATCCAGCCATCAAGAGAGCCAGCTCTCCTGTTCTGCATCATAAGATGAGTGAATAGACTTTATGGCCTCGCAATAAGGCTAGAAGATGTCTAATGAATATCCATCTAATACTGATGAGTATTCGACCGGTTAAAATAATGGCCAGGCGGAGCGCGGTGCATAGCAGAAGGCGAGGCAGTATTCGCGCGGTTAAAGTTGTACCCAGCAGATGCGGGATTCCATTGGCCGCGACGCTGCTCGGGCGAGGGTGTCTGCGAGTGGCTTGGCATAGATGGGTTGAATGCGGCGTAGCTGCCGTTTTGAGGGGCAGGGGTTGCAGAGGTCATGGGTGTGAAAGTCCGTGGTGGAGGCTGGATGGGGGTTTGGGCCTGCGGTGGAGGCGTTGGACGGTAGGTTGCCGGGGTCATGGATCGTCCGTATGGAGCGGGTGTTGCGCCGGTGCTGGCTGGGGTATAGGATTGTGTGGAGTATGGATCCTGCGCATAGTAGGGTGACTCGTGCTCGTAATCGGGCTCGTGCGATTCGTAGTTGTCTTCAGCGTACTTATCTTCGGCGTAGATGTCTCGTGGGCCGTAGGGGTCGTAGTTTGAATGGGGTTGTGCGTGTGCTGGTGTATGCGAGCGATGGAAGTAGTCATCTGCGCGGATGGCGTCTGGGGAGGTGTACTCTGGTGCCGGGGTGTGTGTCTGTTGGTATGGGCGCGAGTGGGACATGTTTCGTGTTGGTTGTACATTTGCTGGCAATGGCGGCACTGGAGGAGCTGGGGAATTGTGGCGATCAAGGGGACTGTAGCCCATTGCGGCCGCGTTGCCTGCCAGGGAAGCCGAATCCGACATCATTGACGTTTGGGTTGTAGTTCGAACCAGCGGGGGCTTGGTGTCGAAATCCAGGTTTGGCAGTGTTGGGTTTTGCTCTGGGTGCGCTGCTGAGTTCGACCGAGTGTATGGGGGCAGAGTTGTTGCAGTGGTACTCCGAGAAAGACTAGCCACAGAAGTTACAGGCACCTTCTCACCAGTAATGGACGGTAGTGTCGGTTTCGAATCCGAGCTGACCAGACTTGGCTGTGTGGGGGTTCGGTTCTGCAATTTGAGACCCTTTGCCAGTGCTTTGTTGTTCTTGCGGTGGACAATGCGCTTGAGACGCTGTCCAACCTTGCGACGACAGTATCTTGAAAGCGTACCGTCCTCCGCTGGGATATGATGGAACAGGAAGATCAGGTAGAGCACGATCGCTGAGATCAATTTCAAGACGGAAAGCACCCAGATGACCAGCGTGAAGAGCATACCAAATAGAACGACCGCCTGAAGGTTGTTGTCCTCAGCCAGAATTTTGACATTATTGAAGAACTGCGAGGCTCCAGAGCTGCCATCGTCCTTGGCTGCGTTTTTACCGCCAGGGAGGAGATCCATCTGCATGACTGAGTAGAGTGTGATGGCATTGATAACCTGACGCGGGCCATCTGCAAAGACTGTATTCATCCAGAATTGAAAGGAGAAATGCGCATAGAGAGCAACATATTCAGCTGCTTTCCTGTCCTTGGTCAACTCGGCAAATACAAGGAATCTCCTCCATCCACGTCCCTTTTTGCCCAGCCGAAAACTCTGGATACGAACGGCCAGCGGGTCAAGGAAGCTGCGAGTGATACTACCAGAGCGCATGGCCCGAACGGCATGGATCCATCGGTAAACCAAGATGACGAACGAAGCGATAATGCACGCGGCAAAGATCCATCGCGAGATGTAGAACGGAATGGCAGGTTCTACTCGCCCAGCCCATCGCGAGAAGGCCAGAAGATTCACGGCAGTGAAGACATCGACACCATAGACAGCGAGAGAGATGAAGAGGAATATCCATAGAAAGAAATATGAGAATCCGGTCCAGCAAGACTCAGACTTGAAGTCATCAAGATTCTAGCGCAGGTCAATTTCCCAAGTTCCCTCCGCGTAATTTTGCTCTGGAAACTTACCACATAGTCCCACTTCTCCTCCATTGCGGTCGCCTTCTCGCGGTCTCCGGAGCAAGACATTGTATAGTAGACCTGGTCCTGCCAGGGAGCAATCGGTCGTCAATTGAATGGTGAGATGACGGAAGCTTAGATGGTGACTTCCTCGGGCCAGCCGGGCAAAGTCGTGAACAGAGTATCAAATGAGTGGTGCGAGGGAAGTATCGTAGATCGGAGCGAAACGAGTGACGGAGAGTGAAGTCTTAAGCGCATGAACGGCGCATAACTGCGCGAGGCCAGGGCGATCTGTCAGAGTTCGAGCGCGAGGCTGTACGTGTCAATGAGCGCTTGTGTTTCAGAGCGCATTGAATTCAATGCGGGTCGAGAGCTAAGATTGGCGGATTCCTTTGTCGCCAAGCAAGGGGGGAAGGGAGGCGGGGAGAGTCAAGTGCCGGCGTGTGGAGAAGGAATGTCAGTTTAGTGTAAATCAGGAATGAAAGAGAGACTGGAATGAATGGAAACTCTGGAGGTCAAGAGAATGAGGTTGGAAAGGGGAGAAAGATGAAACAGTGCGGCAGGGGGTGGAGATGCGCGATATGCACTTTAGGGCTGACGCTTGGCTTTGATTGTAACATCGCCCGGGTTGGCTGGTCTTGATTGTTTTGATGGGGTTAATAGTCTTGGTAGTTAGTCTATGGTCTATTTTCTTGTGTTGAATTGAGCACCTCTGACTTAAGACATCTGGTTTACAGCTAACATAATAGGTCAACATTAACATACTGCCCCAGATAATATCACTGGCCGAGCACGCGCCCGAGGAGGGTCCCTACTGAACCCTGGCCCACATCTTGACGGCATTGAACTGAACAAGAAAATGAAGAGGCGTGTTCAAGTGGTCTATAAACACCCCTTCCATAACTTACTGTGCAGTGAACCGAAAACAGTTCGTCAAACCCAGATAACCGAATCCCACTGGTGAATATTCTCCTCAAATGCTGCTAAGCGCCATGGTAACCGCTCTTGGGTTTCAAAGATGCATTGCCAACTCATTAGTCTGCCAGGGTATCTCTCAGCTAAGTATAGCAGGACTGGCAGCCTGAGGCCTATCATCGACACCTGAGGTGTCAAGTGTCACCCCTCTCACCTATCTTTCCCCCATCTTTTCTCCAAGTCGGCGATTAAATCGACGCATCATCTGTAAGACTCCCAAATCCCTCCCCAAGTTGCCCATTTCGAGGCAATGCCGAGAATTGTGGCAGTCGACACGTTTGAGGTCTCACCTCACCTCAGCACTACCAGTGCCTGCACTAAAGCGATCCAGTGGCGTGCTGCTTCATTCAGGCTCAATGGCCCATCTCGCGACAAAATATGATACACAATACAAAAGTGGATGAGTGCCAAGCTACCATCATTGGCCAAATTCCCAATGGTGACGTCGATTAGATGCAACTCGGAAGTCCTGCTCGCAGACCGCATTTATAAGCTCAGGTGAAGCATAACTTGCGGGGCAGCTTATAAAGAGCTCCCCATTCCTCCCCCTCAAAGTCGCTCACTTGAACATAAATTTAGAATCATATACATATAACGTTTTACATACTTCGATTTCAAGGTTCCCAGCCATGTCTTCCCCAGACATCCCCAACAAACCAGCCAATGGCATCTCCTACTACACCCCAGCCCAAGATCCCCCCGCTGGAACCGCAGCAAGTCCCCAATCCGACGGCACAAAGCCTCCGAAACTCTTTCAACCCTTCAAAGTACGTGGCGTAACATTCCACAACCGCATTGGTCTCTCCCCACTATGCCAATACAGCGCCGACGACGGCCACATGACAGACTGGCACGTGGCGCACTTGGGCGGCATCGCGCAACGCGGTCCAGGATTCCTCATGGCAGAAGCAACCTCCGTCCAAGCAAATGGGCGCATTACACCGCAAGACTCGGGACTCTGGAAAGACTCGCAGATCGAGCCGCTGCGCCGTGTCATCGAGTTCGTGCACAGCCAGAGTCAGGTGATGGGTGTTCAGCTTGCTCATGCTGGGCGGAAGGCTAGTACTGTCGCGCCTTGGCTCAGTAAGGCGGACACTGCGACTGCTAAGGTCGGAGGATGGCCTGATAATGTAAAGAGTCCCAGTAATGTGCCCTTCCATGCCAGTTTCCCGACACCAACCGCTTTGACGTTGGAGGAGATTGAGGAGTTCAAGAGGGACTGGGTTGCTGCTGTTAAGCGTGCTCTGAAGGCTGGCGTGGACTTTGTTGAGATTCATAATGCTCATGGGTATTTGCTTATGAGTTTCTTGTCGCCTGCTACCAATGATCGGACTGATCAGTATGGTGGGAGCTTTGAGAATCGTATTCGGCTTTCGTTGGAAATTGCCAAGTTGACTCGTGAGACTGTTCCCGAGAGCATGCCTATCTTCTTGCGTGTCTCTGCTACGGACTGGTTGGAAGAGTCAATGCCTGATACGCCATCCTGGCGTGCGGAGGATACGGTTCGATTTGCAAAGGCGCTGGCCGATGCTGGGACTGTTGATGTGTTGGATATTAGCAGTGGTGGAAACCACGAGAAGCAGCATATCCATGCAAAGGCTGCTTTCCAGGCACCATTTGCCGTTGAGGTGAAGAAGGCTATTGGAGATAAGCTCATGGTTGGCTCAGTCGGTATGATCGGTTCTGCTTCTTTGGCCAATTCCCTGCTGGAGAACGATGGGCTGGACTTTGTCCTTATCGGTCGTGGATTCCTCAAGAATCCAGGTTTGGTCTGGGCTTGGGCTGAGGAACTTGAGGTTGATATTTCCATGGCTAATCAGATTAGATGGGGCTTTGCCAGTCGCGGTACTGGTGGCGGCCCTTACTTGCACAACAAGAAGCAGAAGCTTTAGACGTTATCTCTAGATATTTGAGTAAATTTATATTCAAATATGAACTATGATGAAGTGATTGTGGAGCTATTCATGGATGTCCATTGAATCTAGCTGTAGGGTGCCGAGCTATATAGCCTGCGATATCAATTGCCCCATTAAGAGTCCTAGGGGGGCTGCATTGATTCTGATATGTAGCCAGCCCCAATTCAAGCCAATTCCTTCTCATATCAAATTTCGCAATCAATCGAATCTCCTCCTCTCCCCGATTTTGATCCGTCCGGACGAAACCATCGCACCGGCCGGCCGGCCCAAAGATGGACCGATCAATGATTTCATATATAAAGCGCCCCTAAACATCAGTAAATCAAGCCCCAAAGTCCTGATATGTCCAACTGTAATTGAATCGCAATATCCAAAATTCAAAATGGTATCCCTACCCGATGTCCAATTCTCAAACACCCAGATCGCCAAGCTCCCAGACCTAGTTGCTGTCTTCATAGGCGCAACGAACGGAATCGGCGAAGCAACCCTCAAAGAATTCGCCCGCTCAGCCAAACGTCCTCGCACATACTTCGTGGGCCGGTCCCAAGAAGCCGCGATCCGCATTACAGCCGAATGCCGACAGATCAATCCGGACGGCGAATATACCTTCATCCAAGCAGATTTGAGTCTCATCCGAAACGTTGACGATGTATGTCGGGAGATCCAAAGAAGAGAGAAGAGGATCAATCTTCTTTTCCTTAGTTGCGGGAGCATCAAGTCTGGGTCTGGTGAGTACATGGACTAGTACGTCGAATTCAAGAGAGTTCCGGGGCTGATGTGTAACAGATACATCGGAGGGTCTTAATATCATGCTTGCAACACAGTATTACGCACGCATCCGGTTCGCTATGAACTTGCTGCCGCAGATTCAAGCTGCGAGTGGTCTCCGGCGTGTTATTAGTGTGCTGGCGGGTGGACACGAAGGACCAATTCACGAGGATGATTTCCAAGCCAGGAAAATGAATATCTTGAGTCTGCGTGGACATGTTGTTTCGATGACCGATATGGCATTTGAGAATCTGGCGGCGCAAGCGCCGGAGGTCAGCTTTATTAATGACTATCCTGGTACGGTGAAGACGGGTCTTCATCGTGAAGCGGAGGGATTTCTGATGACGCTCATGGTATGGGTTTTGGCGATTATTGGGCCTTTTCTCTATATTCCTATTAAGGAGTCTGGAGAAAGACACTTGTTCTTTGCGACGAGTGCTCAGTATCCGGCGCGTTTAGGTGAAGATGGCGTTGGGGTTCCCTTGGTGGATGGGCTTGAGGTTGCCAATGGGCTTGATGGGAAGGCTGGGAGTGGTGTTTATAGTATTCATTGGTCTGGAACTCATTCTGGTGAGAAGGTTGTCAGGTTGGTGGAATCGCTGAGGGGACAGGGAATGGTTGAGAAGGTATGGGAGCATACTGTTGGCGAGTTTAAGAGGATTACGGATATGAGGAGACACCGGGAAGACTGAAAGAATGTATGCAAAGGAGTGCATCACGATCTGAGTCGGTAGTAATTTACTCACGTAAAGTTACGTAGCAAGCCGTATCTATAGCGTATATCTAATATGAATCTGTAGCCTTATATTTTGCTTAAATGTGGATAAAGTCATCATTCATCATCAGGACTCTAGAAACACAGTCACGAGAGTGGTATAGATCATGCAGACAATCCCCAGCGCAATAATCACTATATCTCGTCCTTTTGCCCACCGATTATTCGCAATACCTTTCCAATGCAGATACGCCGGATAAACAAAGATCAAGGGAACACACAAAACGGATCCCACCAAGGCAACGAATTTATCCAATTGCCTGGCACCTAGTGCTGCAATCAAGCCACAAAGAACGACAAGGCCGGTCCGGAACATATTCTTTTTCCACTTGATGAGAGGGGCTCGCTGGCCAGATTTGCGCCCGAATATCCTTGCTTCCAAAATCCTCACAGCAGGGAACAGCTGCATTGGTGTGCCCACAAGAATAGCCAGTGAGAAAGACAACCGAACGAAGTTGACGAAATTGTTTGTCTGCGGGAAATTGCTGATGATATTGATCTTTGTATCGCTGCCAAATGCCCCGTATGAGAGCACTCCGACAGAAGCGAAAAGAAAAGTGATAAGGGCCATGACGGTGTTGAGGATGCGGCCAAAATGGTGTGGGTGTGACATCGAAGATTGGATAGGGAGGACCAGCCCTATACCCTCAAACAAGAACACGGACGACCCGATCATTAGGATGAATTTGTTAGGGTTGAACAGTCTGACAGTGGGCTCTAGGCCATCGCGAGAAAATTTTGAAAGATCGGAGTAGTATATGTACCCAATGGCGATGAAGATGAAGACATCTGCAAGTAAAGCTACTCCTCCGAGACGGGAGATTTTGCGAATGAAGGCGAGAGGCACGAGAACAACTAATTGTAGCGCGATGATAAAAGAAATGGATGACGGTGTGCGGATATAATCGGTCGCCACGCCCTCCACAAATGAAAGCAGGTTGTCCGCAGTAAAAGCGATGGCGGCACACACGAACCCAAGCTGCGACGTAGTGATCGAAACACGAATCAAGGAGCGAAGATGCGTGCTGGATATAGCTTCTCCAATATCGCCGTAGCCGCCGCCATACCGTCTTTGGCATTCTAGCAGCAAGTGAAAACAGGTAGTGGTCATTATCGAGACCGCGATAAGAGCAACAGATGAAAAGAGTATGCCGCCGTTGCTGAAAGCCTTGGGAAGAAAGATGATGCCGGTTCCGATGAACGCCTTGAGGAGTGTGAAGAAAGTTTTTACGTCTGACGCGTCCCCTCGAGAGCTTTCATGACGGGCAAGCAGTGGTCTCCTTTCCCCCTCTGCTTCATCAACCGGTGCCCCGATTGTTTCAGCATCTGTCTCATCTTCCGACTCAGCCAGGTCTTCACCGGCGAACCTGCCGTATAGTTGTAAAAAGTCCACGAAGCTCTTTGGCGTAGATATGTGGGTGACGCCACGCTGAGAACGAGCCAAAAACTGCCGACGAAACGCCCCTGGCTCATTTCGTATCGTGCTCTCTGGATCATCGTCTGCTTCCAGCCTTGGGGAGTAGGAGAAAGTTGCTGCGCGCTGATTCAATCCGGCCCGTTTCGAACGAGCTTCAATACGATAGATGTCGCGATGAATATCCCCGCCTTGCAGTTTGAGAGAGGATTGTTGGTTCTCATCGTTGCCTGCACTGTTTGCATCACGCCCACCATCGCCATCTTCAGTAATGGCCTCACACGCTCCGGTAAATCGGGGATGCAAATGCTGGGAAATGACTTCTGCTTGGTTGTCAAGCTCTTCTTGATTTCGAGTATCCGCCATCGTCTCTCAACGTCTGTAGAAGGGCGAGTCGATACAGTACCCAGAGCCCCTTTTATTTGTAGTAAATACACGTGGGTAGCAAGCTGGAAATGTTCAAAACAGTTGAAAGCACTAGCCAACAAACAATCTTGGAAGTTTCTGCGGCATGACGTCATGATCATGTCCATTCTAGACTCTCGCACAGCGCATGACGCCTGGGGCTCGGCCCGACCCAGCCCAACCAGGCCCCAAGCAACAAACATCGGGGGCTCAGACTCGGCCTTAAGGCTTTATGAACCCCAGACCATGCAAATATCTCTTTACGCCATGTTTAGCCCCCATTTCTGGACCTCAATTGGGGGTATTCCATTTGAAACTTGTAGTCGCGCGCATTAACTTCATAATTGTTCCATCTTAATAGGTTTCTGTATCATAGAAATACAGGTTCTTACTAGTCAACTCATAGTCTATACTTTACAGCCTCGCCCAAACAAAAGAAGTAAACGTTCCTACGCAAAATCATGTGCTAGAATTCTATGAACTATATGTACCGTTAGACTCGGTTAAGTCTATGTACGATGGTGCAACAAAAGTTTTTGGCCGCGTGTACTTCGGGCTTCTGAACCACTATTTCTGGCCAGAAATCTCCGGAATTCATCCAATTGAATAGTGTAATGGAAACTCCGCGATGGCATCCTGGAATAGCAGACTGGTCCATAGTGAATAGACAGAGCATGAGGAACACCCAACAATATGTCATAAAGCAGGATTATTAGGGTAAGGATCATATGAAATAAAAGAGAAGAACAGAGATCATTGAGAATGGTTGAAAATTTGATTGAGACCTGAGCGAGGTTGGGATCAATTGAGAGACCAGGAATAAACTGAGGACATAGACAATTGTAGTCAAATTGTTTGATGCTCATTTTAACCAGTAATTCCTTCTATATTTAAGTTATCCCTTCTCTGGTTAAATCTTTTAATCGTATACGTATTGACTCGATTTATTGTTATATCCCAAGGAATCCGTAAGTCCTCGATTGCTCGTTGCATCCGTAGTAATCCGTTGAACCACTTTGTTGTTATATCTTGAAGTCATGGACGTTTACGGAAACTTTGAATGATTTCATATAGTTCTCGATTTTTCTACGGAAATCTTGCCTGAGCTATCATGGTTTGAGGATTGCAATTCAGCACCAGACATTCCGAGCTCTATTACCGTCATCGAAACACGTCCTTGAAATAAACTTGTCGGATTCGCACGCGACTTGTCACTTGAATAAATAAACTGCCCGTGATATACTTTCTCCTAATGGGTGGGAGTTGGCCTTGGCGACAGGCCAATATTCGTAGAGGTCTGAACTACGAATGCGAATGCGAATATCTCAAATTGTTACGAAAATGTATTCGTGCCGACCCCTACAGCCAGGCATTTTGTTCTGAATCTGTACATAGAACGCACGCTTTGACTTTGAGTATATATCCTATTGCTCCCGAGGTCTATCCTATCTTCCACTTGCAGATAACTCAAAAGGTTGCAATGTTGTTACAAGGTCTTAGGCAAAGAGGCCCCTTTAGCAAATCCCCACCGATACTGAAGTCGCGCACCATCAGCCGACGCATTTGCAGAATGCGGCTATAGAGACTTATCGGCCCAAAACTCAGGTCCCGATTAGAATGAGTCGCACGACACAGATGAAGGGGTTTGTTCAATAAGCTCCAAGTTCACCAAGGATTTGGCCTCTGGCTCCAAGTTGCAGGAACCGTCATTCTTCAAGATCGTGAACTTGGTCTCGTAGCTGCGGTTTATGTTAGGTGGGCTTCAACAACCAATTTGAATATGGAGAAAAACGAACCTTTCAACTGCACATGTTGAGTTCTTGTAGTGTGCCTTGGTCAGGCCGTAGAGGTGGAACTTCTTCTCAATTGGGTAATCCCCATCGATGGACACAGTGGTAGGGAAATGCTACATTTGACCAGAGTTAATTATCTCCTGGATTCGACTGTTTCTGAGATGCTGGGAATCAACATACCTCTCTAACCATGAGTCCATCTTTCACATCTTGCGATGGGTTCCAGCCTGCCAGCTCGATGGTTGAATGAGCGTCGAAGAAAGCGCTGTATCCAGCTGCGGTGGTATTGGTCGCTTCAGCAGCCTGGTAGAATCTGCAATTGATCAGCTTTCGATGAGACTTGAGTAGCTTTGGCCGAATCGACTTACGACCCAATCCAATTTGCGAAGGCAGGATCAACACTAGCCTCTGGGGCATAGTAGGTCAGATTCACAGCTCCTGTGCTTTTAGCGAAAAGACCCAGGAGCGCCACAGCCCAAGTTGTGATATGCGTAGAGTGAGACAGCATGTTGATTTGATGAATGAGAGATCTGCAAAAGACTTTCGATCGAGCTATGAAGACTTTCACATAAGCTCCGCCGGCGTAGAGATATGCTTTATATACCCCTATTCAGATGGTAACGGAGATCACTTTGGTCTGCCCCGTAAGTCCACTGTAGCTCATACGAGGCTCGGTATTCGGCTGGCCAAAAGCACCGGTTTAGATCAACTGGGAATCTTCATCCGAGGTGAACATCCGATATTTAGCCGTTATTAACACTAACGGTGGTAGATTGTTTTCTCCGAGATGCGTGTCGGAGGAGAATCGGGGCTGTGGAGCAGTTCATCACTTTTTTGGAACATCAATGATTTTCTTTTTTACATTCGATTGGTGCCTTCGAATCATGGAAGCCCCTGTATCATACTGCGACCTCCCCACACAAATCCGAGAGGGTCCACCTAAACCCGAACCCTTTCACCATAAGGCAAGATTTGCATAGCCCCAGCATTCGTCAGAAGACTCAGAACTATACTCTGCGTAAGGCTAATCCTCGGACATGAACTCCGTTTCGAATTGCTTGATTCGAGAAGCACCAAAGACAAATATAAAACCTGACATTCCTTTGAGCAATGTGTATCAATTCGCTCATTTATCACTTGACTTTTCTTCACTCTCTATCTCATCTCCCTTCTTCTTTACCTTTGTCGCCATGCCAGCTCCGGGCTCGCTCCTACATAGGAGCCTTGCTGCTTTGCTTCTAGGCACATCCGCCGCCCATGCCCAGATCTGGGATCAAGTGATCGACACCACTGGGGGACCTGTCCAGGGTTTCAAATACTTCAGCACCGAAACTCTCGAGGACTTCTTCAATGTTTCTGAATCCAACGTGACTGCGTTCCTTGGTATTCCATATGCTGCTGATACTGGTTACCACAGTCGTTGGAAAGCTCCACAACCGCGTCAAGCTTGGAAGGAAACGCTCAACGCCACCGAATTTGGCTCGCCGTGTCCGACTAAGTTCACCTCTGGCTATAGCGAGGACTGCCTGAGCTTGAATATCTGGACGAATGCAGATTCGGTTCATGCGGGACTCCCTGTGATGGTCTGGAATCAAGGTTCGGATCTGCCCAGTGATATTCCGTACTGGTATGGTGGCGGAATGGCAATGAAAGATGTCATTCTTGTTTCTTTTAACCGCCGTGATGATGCATTGGGATACCTTGCTCACCCAGAACTGAATAAAGAGGGACTTGAGGCTTTCGGCCATGAGACATCAGGAAATTATGGTGTCCTGGACTTTTTGGAAGTCTTAAAGTGGATAAAGGCAAACATCGCCGGCTTTGGTGGTAACCCAGACCGTGTTGTGATTGCTGGTCAGTCATTTGGCTCGTCACAGGTCTATCATGCAGTGAACAGCCCGCTTTTCTCAGGCTTGTTCCATGGTGCCATCTCGGAGTCTGGTATTCGCTTCCCCCGTGACCCTATGCTGGCAGGCCTTGCCACCTCGTATAACAATATGTCCGCTGCTCTCTCACATGGGTTGAACTACACTGCTTTCCACAATGTTTCCACCATCGCACAATTACGATCTCTATCATTGTCTGATCTCATGATTGGCTCTGGTGACAGTGTTAATAGCACCTGGATTAACTCGATCACGGCTCTTTCCGCGGGCTATCCCGACATCTTCAAGCCAGTTCTGGATAACTTCGTTCTCCCGTCAACTTATCTGGAGACCCTGGAACACGGCCCAGCAAATGATGTGCCTCTGATTACAGGAAACACCTTGGATGAATCTGGCGCATCACCAACAACAAACTACACCCTTGCGCAATACAGACATTACAACTTTCTCCGATATGGCAATCTGTCGGAACGGTACTTCAAGCTATATCCGGCCACCGACAAGAAAGGTCAAAGCACAGCCAATGCTAGCTGGAACGATGCTGCCCGTGACCAAGGCAAGGTTGGTGCCTGGGCCTACGCTACTGATTGGTATCGCTCCGCCTCCTCCAATTTCTATACCTATTTCTGGACACACGCGCCCCCAGGCCAGACCGAAGGAGCCTTCCATATGTCCGAGATTATGTACGCATTGAATGCGCTCTACTCTTGCAACAGCACGTATCCATTTACTTCTGAAGACTATGCCATTGCAGAGAAGATGTCTGCTTATTGGGCAAACTTCGCCAAAACCTTGGATCCGAACAATGGCGATTCTTACACCGGGTCTGGTCACTTGCCTCGTTGGAATGCCAACTCGCCTAAGGGTGATCAGGTTGTCATGGAGCTAGGAGATTCCTTCTCTGCAGTCGAGATCACTAGTCAAGAGAAAGTCGATTTTGTGATGGACTATTTCCATCAACAGCGTCCTTACTAGAGAAAGGTCCGACAGACTGAGTGTATTGGTTGCTGGACCATTGTATATCATTTTCTTCACTTCTCAACGTTAGCCACTACGTTCTTCTGTTATCTTTCAATTCAATCGAAAGTTTCATTTCTGGCTTTTTGTCTACTACTGCTCCCAGCTTCAGGAAAAGATATTTACCCCAATGTAATACTGGTAGCGGTGACTTTTTATGTATTCCACATCAAATGTTGTTCTCCGTCCAAAAGGCTACTAGTTCTAGAGTGTCCTAAAATACAACGTTCTGCATGATGGAACTCTTAACGCTTGACTTGAGAAAAACCAATCTTCCATGGGAGAAGATAACGTTCTCGCCCTCAAACCTCTCCTGCACCCTGTCTCCACCTTCATGACGCATGGGTGGAATATTATCTGAGTATTCACAGAGCCAATCCTCAAGGTCATCAACTGTCATTGATCAAACAGATATGCCGCGGGGTAGAGAGGAACGAGAACAGTGTATGGTGTTCCAGGGACAACCGACGCTTTATGAACGGACGGTTCAGCGAGAACTCTCGTTTCATTGAAATCTTTCGCCCCTTCATCGCGGTGCGAGAGCCGGAAGAACCCTCTCGCAAAATTGTTCATGGGCTCACCATGATTACCACGAAAAGTGACAGGTTTCCCTTCACTATCATGAGCCCGAATGTAGACAAAGAGATCCATGTCCATGGATTGAGTCATGACTTCAATCCCCAGGTATGGAGATCCTAAAAGCTCAAATGGAGCTCAGAATGGGGCTTCAAGTGAGAAGTGAATGTTGTCCTTGAATCTACGATACGAAAACGAGCACTTTTCATCCGTAGGCTTCACGAGTGACATTTGTTTGTCCGGGGTGAGGTAGAAGCTGATATCTTCTGCATCAGGGGGAGGGTAGACGACTTCGTTCTCGGGGTAGAAGGTATCACTGCCATTGAAAGCGTGAATGCTGCCCGGCAGGTGAAGTTCGGGGTCTGTCCAGTTACCCGAAATATAGAATGGAACTTTGATGTCGGAGAGCTTTCAGGCTCTATCAAACACAGCCCAGACACCCTCAGTTGGATATTCGGTTGTAGCGCAAAGATGAGGATAATCGACTCTGTTGGCAACAAGTTCCTCATCTTTGAGCAATCCATCTTTGTTGCCACCCTGAGATGGGACGACGATGTTGTTGTACCACTGAAATTGGAAGTTGTTGCTGTAGACGCCGCCACGTCGAACAGCTTGGTACATGGAGCAAGCTGACTCGTATGACATGACACAAGTCAAGTGTGGTGGCTTCTGCATGGCAGCCCAATATCCCACCATCCCGAAGTAACTGATTCCGGAGAATGCGACTTTAGCATTTGACCATGGCTACACAGCTGCCCACTCTACCACACCGTAGAGGTCTTCGATGTCGGTTCTAATTAGCTTTGATCTCATGTCTTCGTGTTTTGAATGGGGAGTTGAAGCCTACCTTGGCCCTCAGCATCTTCCTGTATCTGGAGGGACCTTTCCAGTCCAAAGGGGTCGAGTCTTCCTTGGCTGCCGCCAATACCGCGAGTATCAACTCGAAAAAGAGCATAACCGAAGTCTCTGCACTTTTGGTCGAAGAAGTCAGCAAACACCATTAGCGAAATATTATCAAAAGCCATACACCCAGATAGTAGGCTCGCATAACTCAAAACAAGCATCCGGTCCCAAAGGCTTGATATTCTTGTACATCTCTGCGTATATCGGAGTTTGGGGCAACCCAAAAACGGATGCATGAATATCTTTGCCATAGGGGCCCATGCTGCAGATTACAGGGACCTTCTCGCCACTTTCGGATGCAGAAAATGGCAGGAAGAGATCCGCACAAAGTTCGATTCCATCACGCATGGGAATATAAGTATGCCTAATGCGAGTGTATGCTTAAATGTCGGCTTGGAAACCCTCGTATTTGGGGCGAGGTGATGCCATGGTAGATCAAATTTGGAAGAAAAAGGCTTTTGTCGGGCAGGAGGCAGGTATGTAGAACGAAGGTATATTCAGAAAAGATAAACTATTTCAGAGGAACCAAGCTTGATAGTCCCCTTTCTACATTGTTCGGGTCTGCCCCCAGAAGTGTGGGCATCCGACGGTTCCCTGGGAGCCGAGAGAGATAAGTATCTACATGTACCCCATGATTATACGTATATGTACTTGATCACACAAGGAAATGGATCCCTGGAGACCCCACCGCAGGTCCACTCTAGGCCTCCGGCGCTGCGACTTCCGCTTAGTCAATAGCATGCCGGGCGCCCGGGAGTCTCCGGGGCCCCTGAGCCCCGGAGATTCGGTGATTATTCAACTTCACAAGTCCCCATTCGATCACAGTTAGTACTGGATCCAGAAATAACCACGCTTTATAATGGAAATATCGCGCATTCCGCCTAGTAACTCGGAGTCAATTTTTGTCCACTTCGGATGTTCACTTTCGCGATCAGATATAAAACAGCAATGGCAGACAACGATGTACATTCACAATTGGGACTTTCTGGCACTGCTATTACCTGGTCGCGGTCTCCAATGATTCCCGGAATCAAGCAGCTCATTGTGCTCAGACGCAAGGCTGGAATGACGCGTCAAGAATTCTTCGACTATCATTATCAAGTGCACGGAGCCATCAGCACAGGCACCAACTCCTGGTGAAACCCCACAGTATGTAGAGAGCCCCGAGAACCTTGGAAAAAAGCAACCGACCATACATTGGTGAAACTCTGACATAGGAAATATTTCCAAACTCACTTTAATGACTCAGCCTACCATCCTCAAGGTCCAAATTTTGACCTCAACTCTCACCCTCCCTGGGCATTTGGGGACGACATCACCGAGCGTGAATGCTTCGAGAATTTCAAAGCACTCTTCATCCATGGAAAGGCAAATTCGCCGGTCAACCAGGTATTGTAGGCTAACTACAAGGGCATAAAGTACCTACCAAGACAATGATAACAATTTCAATATTTGATCGCCAAAGTGTTTGCCTTCTCACTTCTAAGGTTTCAACTAGAATGTCTGACTGCCGACTAAGATGTCCAAAGCTCCTGGACATAGAAATCTCAACTGTATTCACTGGATATATAGCCTCTCTGATGCTGTGGATCTTAGTTAAGTCTTAATTTCGGGCTTCGGGTCACTTTCATTCTCAAAATTCATAATAAGATCAAATGAGTGAATTGAAATGTTGATGAGATAAACATTGACCACGACTTTCGGTGCAGACAGCATTTGAACCAAGAACCAAAGCATAAGTAGACTCCGGCGCTCATAATTATCAAACTAGTCTTAATGATCTCTCGGTTGGAGTGACGTGACTAGATGGAGAATCGCCTACATAGCACTACCTAGAGATTGGGGAGAAACTCTGACCAATCACGGAAGAAAGCGAGACTGAATGGGCCGCGCATTCGGGGCTTGCCGACTCACACTGTACGGAGTACTCCCGATGTAAACCTATTTGCTGATCTTGCTTTTCTATTCATTCTTATTCAAGTCACTCCGACTGACCTGTTCGGGGGCCAAGCAATCTAAACCGATATCGGCAAACTATGAAAGGCATGGTGCATCAATCGTGATCTTGCTTTTTTATATGCCGATATATTTTGCTTTCTCATACACTTTTGTTTGTTGTCGGTTTGAGATCTTATCCGAACAATATATCTACTCACACACAGATAGACGCATCAGAAGATGAGTACTAGCTTTACAGGCCCACTTTCTGTGCAGAATGTTGAGCACTGGAGAGAACTATGCCAGGATCTCCCAACGGGTGTTTCCCCTGCCACCAGTAGCAGCAATTTCAAAACGCCAGTGAGGATATCTGAACCTTGTCAAGGGGGAAACTTGAGCTCACTCGTACACCCAAGGCATGTGCGGCCAAACCCAAAGCCAAGAACTTTAGCCGTAAGTTCGTCAAGGAGTCTAATGGCAATACACTAAGGCCAGCTTTTGCGCTAGATTTCATTTCCCCCGAATCAGCTAGCCGCACGGTATGAAAAACTTCAAAATCTGTATCACAAGCAGTGGACACACCTCAGCAGAAGAAAACATGTTAATGGTGTTGTGTGCCATAGGGCTCTACGTTAAAAGTTACCGCCAAATACTTGAAAACCCCAGGTAAAGACAAGAATCTCCCCATGACATCATGGGCTAACGATGCACTCAAGGAATAATTTCTCTGGGGGGTGGATTGCCTTCGCCGGACTTATTCCCTTTCGAAAGGGTTCGAATAGATGTTTCTCAGCCCATGCACGATCATGGCCACTCCGACTCTGCAGTCACGCTGGATGCCAAAAAGGGAGATGTGCGGAAGGGCAAAGGCTTTTATGGTAATTCAATCATGCCGCCGATGACAATCCATCACACCTTTCAGACTGACGTGAGGAAAGACCTTGAGGTAGCGCTCAACTATGGTCAAGCTGTAGGATCTGCCCAATTGCTAAGATTTGTGACTGAGCATACCGAAGCATGTGCCCTCCTCGCCTGGTATTTTTTATCGATCATTCACCTGACAAGTAATTCTCTTAGATCGTTCACCACCCCCCTTACTCAGATTGGCAATGCTGCTTGACCTCTGGAACAACATATGCATGGGACTCAACACTGCGCATGTTAACTCAGCGGGGTGACTATGTCCTCATGGAAGAATACACCTTCTCAAGTGCACAAGAAACAGCCCTTCCATTGGGCTTGAAAATCGCCCCTGTTCCAATGGACAATCAAGGATTGAGACCAGACAGGCTGGATGAGATCTTAACCTCGTGGAACGTGCAGGCCCGAGGGGCAGCCAAGCCACATGTGTTGTACATGATCCCAACAGGCCACAATCCCACTGGGTGTACACAACCCGCTTCGCGAAGACAGGCTATATACATGGTGGCTCAACGGCATGATCTTTGCATTGTGGAGGATGAGCCTTACTTCTTTCTCCAATCGCGAAGGGACATGGCAAGCGAAAGTCAGGCTAAGCCCATTGACGACCAAAAGTCCTGTCATGAACAGTTCATTCGCAACTTAATTCCATCTTACTTGAGTATGGACATGGATGGAAGGGTGTTGCGTCTTGATTCGTTTTCTAAAGTCCTCGCCCCTGGGCTGAGGGTTGGCTGGATCGTGGGCCCCGAGCAGCTTGTTGAGAGATTCACTCGTGGATGCGAAACTTCCAATCAAAACCCCTCTGGTGTCTCTCAGCTCATGATATACAAGCTTTTGGACGAGCACTGGGGTCATTCTGGGTATCTGGACAGGCTGATGGAATTGCAGAGGTCTTACGCAGTACGCCGAAATGACATGATCCGTGCTTGCGAGATCTACCTACCACGCGAGGTTGTCACTTGGGAAGTGCCCATCGCTGGGATGTTTGTAAGTGCAATATCAGCTCTCTAGTATCAATCATTGCCTAACAGAACGAAGCATTGGATTGGCGTTGACTGGAGAAAGCACCCTTGCGCTGAAAGTGGGCTTTCTCCCGAAGATATAGAAGAAAATGTGTTCCAGGCTGCGGTCCAGGCAGGTGTTCTCCTCTGTCGCGGAAGTTGGTTTAGAGCGGGTGGAAGGGCCATCGAGGGATCTCTTTACTTTCGCACCACTTATGCTGCTGCTGAGTCCCATAAAATTTCGGAAGCAGTTAAGCGACTTGGAAAGGCATTCAGACTGGAGTTTCAGCTTGCAGAATGATGATGCGGAATGGTATTGCGGTTACACTGGTGAATCGAAATTGGATGAAGCAATGAACGATATCGAATCGGTTGGCATTTATCGCATTTTGTGACGGTCATATTCCTCAGCACACTTCAACATGGACAATACTTATAGTCTTCACATCAAAAGCCAGAAACGACAAATTCAATTCGATGACATGGCCTTCTGGCTCCTTGATGTAGACCGCTATAGCCAGTGTGAAATGCTTCAAGTATGACTCTGACAAGCAACTAGACAGATCCGCTAGTCATTGAAGACGTTGTGGATGAGATGCATCATGTCTTCATATCCCATAGAAGTCGTCTCCGCGTGCCACGGAGGTGACATCATTGGGCTTAAATCATCTGGATTTGAGGTTGGTACGGCGGTCAACATGGCCAAACCTTGGGTAGGTAACTGTGGCATAGAGTCATCGCGGAGTTCAGGCCCAGGTGTCGGGCATGTTTTTGTCGTCAAAATCAATGCGCTAAGCAATTTTTTGACGCTGTGGATCCGTCCAGCGACAATGGTGTTACAAGCCATCATAGATAGAACAGTCACACCCCTTTCGACCAGGGATATGGAGTCTTCTAGCCCGTGTCCACATATCGAATTTAGACACAAGGTAAAGCAGGCAGTCTCAACCATCAACGCATTTGGTGGTAGGTCCTGATTGATTGAGGGCCCTTGTCAGCACAATCATCATGCCTGAATGATTTTCTGATAAAACCAACCTTGACTGCTGATCCAACTGCAAACTGCTGCTCTGCCAATCTGATAATGTTTTTTGCAGCATCAATCGCATGGCCACGAGACTCTGTCAGAGCTGCTAACGAGAGATCAGGGGCTTCTCTTTGCAGTGCACCCCTCTGATGCTGTCTCTTCCTGTCTTGTGAATACAACAAACAAAATGGCTGGTATATTATTATAATGGAATGGTGGTATACTGGTAAGGAAAAAAGAATTAGTTGAAATTAAGGGCCCATCTCGGTGGAGATGCATACTCATCTCTAACAGAAATTTAACATTTCGTTGCTCGTGCAAGTTGCCATTGAGGACAGTTTGACAAGACTCGGAGCTTTTCGTGAGATATTGATCAAGATCACGGTGAAGCTGCTGTGAGATTTCCCATAGTGTGTCAAAGTCCATAGTATTCGAGTGCTGTGTCTTTTGGATGTCACGGATGCAATAGCCAAGCTTTCTGATTGCGCCGGGGAAAAAAAGACTGTCTGTCTCTGGAATGCTGATGTCCACTGGAAAAGAAGATGATTTGCCTAGGAGGAAGGAAATCCACCTGAGTCACGGGTCAGCGCTTGATTCAGACTTAAGCAAGGTATTGGCTGAGGGCCCCATGTTCGACATACCTTTCAAATGTGAAGACTGAAATAACAGTACTAAGAAGCTCCGGCTCGACCATAGCCTGCCAATCCGATTGAGCGACGAGTAAATGTAAACCAGCATTGAATAACTTGCGACTGGTGAGACTAAGCTGGAGGTGCGCTTTTTCATACTGGCCGACATGGGACAGATACTGGGCGTAACTAAATCAGATCGGTCAGCCACCTGGCGGTTCAGAGGTAGGAAGAAGAACATATTATAAGCAATCCATGTTGGATCGTTGAGACGGTAGTTATGTCTGCATATTTAGAGCCATAATAGTGGGACTTCCTGTAGAGAAACTCCCCAATCTCATAGCACGAGGTGGTTGTGGCTCCGATAGCCAAAATTGCCAGTGAATTGACGTGATCCACAGCAGAAATGTTCATCATCACCGGCATGCCGTATAGATTACATACTGACATGTTGAGGAATTCTGATGTCTGAAATGGAAGGACATGCGAAAGACTTTCCGTGTAATTTACTAAAAACTGTTGACATAGTGGCAGAGGAACGGATGAGAGATCGCATGGTCCTGACATCGGCATTTGCGTAATGCAAGGTTCTTTCCGTGGGAAGACTATGTCATGGTATTCAAAGAAGTCAAGGGCTTTTTTCCCGTTGAAACATGGGGCGTCGCTCATCTCGGACTCCGTGTCATGATTCAAAGCGCAATACAGGTGATATAATGCTGCCACGTTGGATGTGGGGCCGAAGAGCGCCGACATCTCTCCTAAAGAAGTCGCATGCGTTACATGAATCGGCTTTAAAACCTCTCTCATGTTGATTGATTTGGATGGCAGGTCTGTCAGAGAGCTAGAAGTGACCGGGCTTGCTGAAGACCATGATGGTGCCTGCCCGCGAGCAGGCAATAACTGCGCGGGTGGTCGACGTCGTAATCCCGTACGGAAGAGACATTCTTCATTGGTTTTTAAACATCGCTGACACGGTGACTGGCCATCACATCTCACTTTTCGGGCACGACAACGTTGACATGCTTTTGAGATATTCGTTCCCCGACTCAGTGTCCCTGGAAAGCGATGAGATTCACTTGGCAACCTCAGGTATTGGCAGACGACTGACCTTTTTGGGTCTTCGGTTGCATGATCTTGTTAGGATTGCTATACCTCATAAAGTAAGATGGTTTCCAAATCGCAAGATGGGCGACGTGACAGGTTGCGTGGAGAAAGAACCGAAAACCCGACGTTACTGCAAGCAGGGGTTAGTACTTAAAGGCCACACATTCAATGGTTCAAACAGTCCATATGTCCAGGGGCTAGGCTCAATTTTGGTCATTAAACTGAAGCGTCGGGGCGCACAGGAAAGAGAATGCCCACATGGTGTCCGAAGTAGGAAGCCTAAGGGTCCAATGTTTCAGCAGGTTTCGCCGTATCTCCGGGGCTCGGATCAAACATCCCGTTTGGTGCTCCCTCGGCCGAACCCAAAGCTGAGGCAATCTCGGTCAAATTGTTCTCAGAAAGGAAAACTTTTCTGGGGCGTGAGAAAAGTCGCAATTTGAACCATGGACTCTCAGAGAATGCACAGGTGGCTACTGCGTACATCAGTCACTACTGGAAGCCCCTTTAAGGGAGGGGAAATTTCAACGAGTCGTGGTCCTACCGACACACCCCTCGCAGGTAGGCTTAGCTCTACGCAAGATGGGGCACAGGTTACATCACAATTTCGTGGGTTCAAAGTACTATATGCATACGATCAAGAAAATCTGGTAAGCTGCGTGGCCCCAGGGTCATCACTTAATTACCTCCTCCGCCCGGGGCTGCAAGTCACGACGCTCGGGATCAAAGGACCGAAAGGAGCTGAGAAGGAATCATCCTTGCCGCGAAGGCAAACGCTATGGCCATTGTAACCACAGCGGTGAAAGCACAAAAAAAAGGCCCAGGTGAGTCAAGCTTTCAATCCCAGGTCGTTCAAACTTAGTACTTCTCCTATTGCCAAGGCGAGTCGTCCGAGTGAGACTGGGGACGTATTTGAAGTCGAACCGGGACTCCTCACCCAGGCCCATCTTCTCGTCAAGTATCATGTTGTTGAAGAAATTGCGACGGAGATAGAAAGAGAACATTAGCACAGGTAGGGATCGTTGCGGCAATTCACTTGGGCAGCTCCATAGCTCAATGGGAGTTCCCATGTAATAGGCCGCAAGCCTCCACAGAGCGATGTAGTCCTCGATCTCCTAAATACTAAGATAGATTCCCGACCGTAGAAGACCTAGCCAGACGGTGTGATACCTTTGGAAGCATTTAGTGACCCAGAGCCTTACTCTTCACATAGCTAGGCGAAGGAGAAAGGGTCGGAGAAGCTATATATTCAGGGGGGCTTTGTGCTTTTGTTTTATAGTTCATCGCCTACAGAGTACCAAGGTAAGAAGTCAATGCTTACCCAAAGGTATTGCGGCCTCCCGACCACCTTTCTACTGCTTAGTAACATAGCTTCCTAGTTACTCTTCCTTTCACATGCCTAGGCAAAACAAAAGGCCTAATAGGATCCTCCTAAACCCACCAACAATCTCACAATCTCTTAACTATTTCACAAATCTTAAAAGGGTTCTTAATAATAAAGAAGAATAGTAATAAGCCCTAGAAAGGACGTATACTAAGCTTACCTATAAAGGACGCGAAGCTACTTACGCGCTACTTAAGTATCGGTTCTATAAGTCACCTATATATAAAGAAACGGCTTCGTATATTCGTACGTAAATTAAGTACTAGGCATAGGACCCTATTAGACTTAATCAGCCTACGAATATTACTACGCTTCTTCGTATATTTAATAGATAGTACGTAGATATAACTTATATACCGGTAGAAGATAGTATTAAAAATGTTACTTAGGGAAGAGAGGTAATTAGTCTTCCAAGAGTAGTTCGTAAGTACAATTCTCTAGCGCCAATTTTGGAAGGTAGAAGATTTTGACCTATATTTGCTGTGCGTACTGAAGAGGAAATCCTAGTGTCTACACTAAGTAAGCTCTAGTAGGTCTCTATAAGGACTTCTACTTAACCAAAAAAACTGTATCATATAATCGATGTAAGTCCTAAGTCGCCGAATATAGGCTCGGTATCTATATAAAGAACTTCGCAAAAGAAATATAACCATCTACTCTAACAACATTGTAGCACTGACCTTTATTCGTATTTATAGAAGAAATATTGCCGCTCAAAGACCCTATACCGGTCTTACACCAGAAAAATATACAGTGGCGCGGATTTAGGCTTTACCGAGGTCACTGAGTCGGGGATTAATAGAATCCAACCTCAATGTATTTGACTCACCGTCGACTTACGTCACATAACGCGGCGATTTGTTCGAGACCTAGGTTATATCCCGCAAAAAGAGGTTACCCGAATGTCGGTGCGAATGTTGTTCCTAGGATCAAATTGGCACAGGATATAGAGGAACGAGGACCAGGGTGAATTTGCGTGGTTCGTTTGCTAGGTAGAGTCGGCAGCATTAGCGAGAGAACGTATGAGAGAGCGTAGAGATAAGGCGGTGCTAAGTATCTCATGCAAGCTGAAGGGATTGAGTCAATCGATAGAAAGTTTCAAGAGGACAGCAAGTCACTGCAGCGACGTGGGAATACGTCATCTCCAGACCAGAACTCCCAGAAACACCAGTAGGCAGTGCGGTTACCATCGGAGCAGGCGAAAGCTAGAAGGCAAGACGGAGGGAGGGTGAGGGGGGCTGATCAGGGCTGCTCAGAAGAGAGCAACGGGGTAAGCAGCTCAGGGTCGCTCAGTGGGCAGCTTAGGGCAGCGGGGTGACTAACTCACACTGGGATCCGGGAACTGATCGCTTCTCGAGACGGCAATGTTATCGTCAACATTATTACAGCTAAAGGATGATATTTAAACCGTACCTTCTCTATTTAAGTGTTTTGTTTCATTATTTCAGTTTACATACTATGACATAGCTTTTCCGCTTATAATTTAGTATTTGAAATTTGAAAACTTTGGGTTTAAGCTCTAGGATATTATGGAACTAGTCCGAACTTCTATTTTATCTACTAATAGGATCCTTCTCTACTACCTACCGGGCTATTATTAGGATCATTTCGACAACCCAGAGCCCCATGGGCCGGGCCCATTAACCCATCTGTCAGCAGATCACGTGCAGCACCCTACACTCTGGCCCCAGCTAAGTTATAAGTAAACCGAAGAGGAAAAGAGAAACCACAATCACGCTCAGTGAGCAAGAGAAGGACCCGCCCTGGTCCGGCCTACATGGCAGAGGTTTTCCGGTACCTGGGGTTGATGAAGCAATGCGGCTGATGCTTTCGGAGAGATTATAGCGCCGCACATGGGTCTGTTCGTTACCCAATGGAGTATTCTTTGCGAGTTCAATCCCGAATTCCGTAGTTCGTATCCAATATAATCCACTCCAAATCATGATGCCTAATCTTGATCTTTAATCCCAGTGTTCTCTTACCACGTGCGAACTTAATTAACAACCTACACGTTTTGCATATCCTTTGCCTCAACTATAACTCTCACATCATCTAGTTATCGCATTCAACAGATATCTACTTTCATCACGCGATTGCAGTCTGGATTCGACTTGAACCAAACAAAGGCAAGACTTTTGTCAGCGGCCCCCACATTTTGAATTGCTTGTATTCGCAACTCAACTTGCCATCTAGCAGGTTGCAAGTGAACTCGTGAGACAGCACTATCATAAGTATCATATATCGCTGCTTCCGGAATTAACTTCTCTGGATACTCGCCATGACCACTGTCAACGATGGCCTCAATATCGCCTTGATAGGTATGGCTACTGGGCTGTATCTCCGACCAGAATATGCCATCTTCGGCTCTCAAATTGCGACCGGCGCTATCCTCTTGGTAATTATCACGGCGCTGAAACTGACCTATCGTCTGGGATTTTACCCGGAATACTTCAGCCCGCTAAAACATATCCATTCACCTCCGGTGAGCTAAGCAACTTCCTGTCTGTCAATCATGTCTAAGCATTCATAGAATCGACACTGGTTGAAAGGAAACACAAGCTCCTACTTTCTGGAAGCCCCCTTTGAACATATGCGGGAATGGGTCAAGAAATTGCCAAATGATGATCTCATTCGATTTTATGTCGTCGGTAACCTCGAGAGACTCTTCTTGACAAGCCCAAAATCGTTGGGCGAGCTCCTCGTAACCAAGAATTATGATTTCGAAAAGCCAGAAATGATTCGAGAGAGCTTGCGACGCATCACTGGCGATGGTGTACTCCTTGCTGAGGGTGATGAGCACAAGGTACCACACAAAGTGATCGTACATCATGCATGCAATTGACACGATGAATGACAGACACAACGAAAGAACCTCATGCCAGCCTTTGCATACCGCCATATCAAGAACCTATACCCAGTATTCTGGGCCAAGAGCATCGAAATGGTGAAAATGATCGAACAAGACCTGAATGCCAGACCCTCGACTAGCGACAACGTCGTTCAAGTCAGCAACTGGGCCAGCCGAGCAACACTCGACATAATCGGCATAGCAGGCATGGATCACGATTTCGACTCTCTCCAAGACCCAGACAATACTCTTAACAAGTCCTACAGACAGATCATGCTCACCCCACCCACCTGGTTAAGACTCGTGTTCGTGTTCAGCTTCCTCATCGGCTACCCAGGTCTGTCCCGCAGATTCCCTTCGAACTGGAATACCGAGATCATGAAGAGCGGCGAAGTGATCCGCAGCGTGGCCCGCCAAATGATCCGTCAGAAGAAAGCGAAAATGGAAGACCCAGCAGCTGAAACCGGAATTGATATCGTCTCTGTCGCGCTAAGCAGTGGAACCTTTGACGAGGAGAACCTTGTCGACCAATGCATGACATTCCTCGGCGCAGGCCACGAAACAACAGCCTCAGCTCTCCAATGGGCCGTATATGCTCTCTGCAAAAACCCAGAAATGCAAACCCGCCTTCGCGAAGAAGTCCGCGCCAACCTCCCGTCCCTGAGCGACGAAACACCCATCACGGCAGCTCAAATCGATAACCTGCCTTACTTGAACGCAGTTTGCAACGAAGTTCTCCGTTTCCACCCCTCCGTTCCAGCCACAATTCGAATGTCAGTTCGCGATACCAGTATTTGTGGTAAGAATATTCCAAAAGGAACATTGTTCAGTATCTCTCCACAGATCGTGAACCGTATGGAAGAGTTCTGGGGACCGGATGCGGATGAATTCAACCCGGATCGCTTTATGGGTCCTGGAAAAGCGAACACCGGCGGTGCTGTTAGTAATTATGCCTTCTTAACCTTCTTACATGGCCCGCGCAGTTGTATTGGTCAGGGCTTTGCGAAGGCTGAGCTGGCTTGTTTGCTTGCCGCTACTGTTGGTCGGTTCCAGATGGAGTTGAAGAACCCCGATGCTAAGTTGGAGCTTCGCCAGGCGGCAACTGTTTCGCCGAAAGATGGAGTTCTTGCTAAGTTTACGTTGTTGGAGGGGTGGTAGGTTGTATCACAACGCGGGCTATTTAGTGCTGCATTGGATGAACTTGGACTTGGTATAGATTGCCCGAGAATAGCTGGCTATTCGTGTTCATATACTATCTCTTACCAAACTCTCCTCCTTTTTTCGATCTCTGATATTATACTTGGTTTAAAGCACCACCGTAGTTTGCGAGTGAGTTCCGCTTCTATCAACCCTACAGCTTTGGCACGTTGGAACAGTCTCCCTCTGTTCAACTAGTTCAGTTGCTCTTTTGAAACCCCTAGTGCCCAAGGCCCATCATCAAGAATCGTAGACCGGCGGACATCCCTGGCGGTCATCGTAGCGGTATAGGGATTGGCGCGATGCATGGATTGGCTAGAACGATTAGCAAGATATCAGATACGATACACACGAAACTTGCCGATTATCCCACCAGACCATATCGCCACCAGACAGCCATTCCATGCTAAACACATACTACTCTAGTTAGTCCTTGATCCTGACTAAGAGTGGCTCGCCGTGGACTTACTTTCGATTGAGTGCAGTGCTCAATTAACTCCCAAATTAGCCGTTGACTTTCTTCAATATCCTTTCCGACAATTCGTTTGGCATGAGCAGCCAGGTATAGTGTCTTTCGTCCGTCAGGGGCCACTTGGACCAGACGATGATAGGCAGGCGGCTTGGCTGCCAGTTCGTGAGGCAGAGGGTTTCCAAACACAGCCGGCGACGCAAGCTTTCGAGAATGCCACAGACTATGCTATGTAAGTCAAGAGTTTTTTTTAGAGGCCAGAGCTCTCAAAACAAAAGTGACGACTTACTCATGTTCAACAACGAGACTCTCAATCTCGTCTTTCTTCGCTTCAGAGAGATCGGCGTAGGCACGGCGTGTGTCTGCAAAATGGGTCCACGATCCACCCTTGACAGGACTTCCATGAGACAGCAGTATTGAATACTTGGATCGTTCTTGATGATATGATGAGTCCTATGTTGGTCAGTATTCGTGCATCTTGCTCGTTGGGGACTAATCTCCCTACTGTATGCCATAACGCATTCCCCAAACTATGATGGTACCTGCGACTGTCGACTTTTACCAGCGAGCCATCTAGCTCAATGCTATTCTCATCAGCATATAGCTACCCTGCAATATCCACCTTGCCGCGGGAAACTCACTTGGCCACGTCGAACAGTAGAGGCTCCCCCAGCCTGTCATTTTCCCGTCCGTAGAAAAACGGATTCACCTCCAGCTTTTCACCCAGCTGTTGCGAAAATGCAATATGTCGACTATTGTCTAGTCCTGTTTTGCGAAAGATCAGTACTCCATACTGGTCTTGCAACGCGACTAACTATTATCTTGTTAGCGATCTCTTGTGAGCACTTCGATGATCACCTACTTGGGCCACAATGTCTGCTGGAACAGGCTTGCTCCAATCGACGCCGTATACTTCTGCACCGAAGGAGGAATCATCCGAGCAGAGCACCGGGTGTATGGTTAATGCGCCTTGCATTCTATGAGGAACACCTGTCCGAGATGGACAGGTGTTCTCATACGACAAAATATGCATTTGATCATACATTGAACTGAGCTGCATTTGACTTGAAGTTGCGAGACAACCGTTGTTTTTGATGTCCTGTTCAACACGTTTAGATAAGACGGCTTGCAGCCCGCGCGGGCCGACCCCGAACATACCGACGCGATAGATACGGCTACCTCGAAAGCCTAGCAATATCAGCTATGAACGTAACTATTCTCTCATTGATTTCTTTCCATATCGTCGAGATGGCTTCTGTCAGAATTACAGCAGGACCCTACAAATTCCGCGCGACGTTTGAATCGTCGGCTCCCAAAACAGAGGCACTCTTCCGCTCGCTCCTCCCATACCGCCAAAAGCTGATTCATGTTCGCTGGAGCGGCGAGGGTCTGTGGATTCCACTGGGAGAAGCTGATTTTGGACTGCCATTTGAGAATCATACGGCTCACCCTGCCGCTGGTCAGATTTTGTTGTACCCTGGTGGCATTTCCGAAACGGAGATTCTATTCTGCTACGGCGGTGTTTCCTTTGCGAGTAAAATGGGTCCATTGGCTGCGAATCATTTCTTGACTATCACTGAAGGAAATGAAAAGCTGAAGGCTTTGGGTGAGCTTGTGCTTTGGGAGGGAGCTCAGGATATTTTGTTTGAGATGGATAGTGCTGATGGGTAAGCTCGCTCTTATGACTTTTACCTATGATGATTATTTGAAACTAAATTCCTTTCTATGGAATTGGGTTTAGACGTGGTTCTGCGAAATTGTAATATCGGCTTGCAATTATGGGATCAAACCGTCTATATGCAATTCGGGGAAATCAAGCGATTCCCCAAAAAGATTGCCTGCCCAGTCAACGCCAGAATCGTTCATCAAATCCAACAGCGATTGAATTTCCATATCGTCAATCTCTTTCCCTTCAATATTCGGCTGCTCCTTTTCGGAAAACAGTACTAGAGAGACTGCGTAGTGGACAATGGCTTGGAAGTCGTGCGCGAAATGAAACGTCCTTGTCGGGCTCACGCTCTCAAATATTTCTACTCCTAGTACAAGTAGTCGAGCAAGGACTGAAGATGAAGATGAAGGGATACGTCCAAACGCTTTCTCTTTATCGAAGCTGGAGAGTTGGTAGCAAATCTGAAGGTTCTCTGTTTTTCAAAAAATTAATGTGAGCGGCGATGGAGCGATTTTGATTTATATTTGTAAGAATCTTACCATCAACAATGCCTCTTATGTAGCAAAGACAAAGAAATGTTATGGCAAATGTATGGGAGATCCAAGTCGAGTCAACTGCATAGTATAGTCGACAGACTGACCCACGATCTGCATGGTATGCCCCTTCGGGAAAGCTAGACACGTTCTGGGAGTACAATGAGATAATAATATCTGCATCGCAGCTCGATTGGGACAATAAAATCTGTGCAGCAGCAGTTAAACTAGCTGACAACGCTTTTCGAAGATGAGGTTGAATTGGATCTGTAAGTGGTTGGCGAATGCGTGGAGAGGAAAATAGCGGCGCGAGAGATGCACAGTTCAACGAGAGTCGATACCACTGTACACATGTCAGAATGAGAATTTGTGGGAGAATACACAAGAATAGCTAGCGACATACCCGGGCTGAGGTGAATGGTAAGTGGCTATGGTGAGATTCCGTTTTTCCTGAGAGCGTCAATGAGGAGCAACTAAAAGATGTCATGCAAACATACGTAAGCAAGAGAACCAAGATCTGTGCATATGTTAGAAAAAAGACCCAGAATAAAGCCTCCAAAGGGTCTCACGCACCTTTCCCAATCATCCAAATCGCTATTCAACTGTTCCAAGCATTTTGGCTGTAATTGACGACCAGACCTATCCCCACAACTAGACATAGCGAGGTAAACAAGTCCGACAAGCTCCACAAGACCCCTTACGCGAGAATCAGCAGGCGACTGCATCAACTCACTCCCAACACATTTCCGCGCAACCTCAACCGACGGGCCAGGGTCAATTGATGCAGGTAGGCCGGATGTAAGCATAAGGTTGAAGTTGCAAGTGAGCAAGTTGTACCAGACTCGTAGTCTGTTGATATCATCTGCCGATGGAATTTTGCTTGGATCTTTGAATAATGATGTCGCCGATTGCTCGAGGCCCAAAAGGACGGAATATCGTTCTGCTAACCCTAGTACAACCCAGGCACTGATTTCGTTGTATCGACTTTTCGACTGAGATGTTTGACCAACGCTGGGGTTCTGGGAACCTTTATTGTCTTCTTCGTCTTCTCGACTGCATGGCATCCACTGGGCATAGAGGAGAAGTACACAGATAGACTCTAATGTAACATCCGATGGAGTGGGACGTAGTAGGAGTCTGGAAACCGCTTTGTCGAGTAATTTTGTAAGATTGTGGAACTGGAGGTGGCTCCCGATACTCTTTCCACTGGGGAGAATCCACAGCATAAGCCTATAGATCTGAGTAATTGCACTTTCCGCTTACCTTCGGTCCCCTATATCCCAAAACCTAGTACCGACTGAGCATATTGCTAGAATTAATGCTGGGCTTTGTTCAAGGTACTCCCGCCATAGGAAACAAATATTTTCATCAAGCACAGGCGCCGAGGCATGGCAATGCTGGAAAAATCTGGTTCGTGTTAGCGAAAACGCAATTCTGACAAGGGCGGTAGGACGGTACATTTCAATTGCTCGCTGGACATCCTGAACCGAGATAAGCCCCTGATATATAGGGTCATATATGCTTTTGTGCTTTTGTGCTGGGCGAGTGAAACTTTGAGTTCCTTCCTCCGCAAGTACTCTCAGTGATCGGAGTGTAGCGATAGGAGGACCCAGATGAATCCCATCAATGCTTGATTCAGGAGAATCATATTGATACTTTTGACCAGAGGACAAGTCTTGATGATGCTCAAGGTGGTTGACCTCATTCTGCTGATCTGTATTTACTGCGAGTGAACTGTTCTTTGTCTCTAGCTCCCTGATTCGCATTTCATGCTGGTTGAGTCTGATTTGAAGCTTAGCATCGGTTGTTCAACTGATAGATAGCTTTCAATGTCACCTATTTTGCATTTCAACCACCAACTGTACGAGACTCGATGGACTCTGCGTCATTTCCACTGTCGGGGCTCTATCTGTTTGAAATGAACAAGTGATGTTTAGCCTTTGACATCGCTTGCATGGTAATTGCAAGTTGGTCTCTTCAGAAGATGGTGAACACCGCTGTTTGCGCGCACGACACTAACTCAGTAGTAGTGAGTATTGGCTCTGTATATTACAATTATGCTACTCACTTGTAGACAAGCTCGAGCAATCCGACGGGTTTTGGCTGGGCGTTCATCATCAGTGCTGGGGTTGTCTGGCCAGTTGACGCTTAGAGACATGATGCGTCTTATTTGACTAGATCTAGCAAAGGGACATTACAGAGTATAAAGAATCGAATGAAGAAAAAAGGCGAATCTGGACACTCTCATTGCTCTGATAACATCTCGGACGCTGATTCGTTGGTGATACTCATTTCCGTGCTGGGGTGGAGCAACGAAGGTCCCAAAGTCTACAATCCGGTTAGGGTTTCATGACTGTTGTGACCCAAGTCTTTGAAAACAACGAGCGAACAAATGGCATTATATTCTTCCCCACAAGATTTACTCATAGAGCCAGTTGGCGACTCGGCGAGGATCTTGATCAACCCGAGACGGTACTGATGCTAATTGGCTGGGCCCACGCTTGACATACTTCCCATCTCGCACCTTTCCAAGTATCTTGCCATTTGCCCACATCACCTTGCCGCGGAGAATGGTGTATCGAGGCCAATTCACGAATCTCATTCCTTCATACGGAGTGTCTTTGGGAGTAAAGGTTAACCTCAGTTGGTATAAAAATGCCCTGTTGCAGCACTTACAATCGACGTTGTGATGTAGCATGGAATTGGTTAAATTGAAAGGCGAGAAGGTCTTCTCCGGATGCCACTAGAAATAGTAATGGTTAATATTCATATGTTGACAGCGACTCAATGCGAGGGTTAATAGCTTACGATCACGAGATCGGCGTCTGATCCGGGCATCAACGCTCCCTTCTTGGGGTAAAGGCCATACTATCGAGGTTTAAGCACGTGTTAACAGGTTCAAGTGGAAAGGCAGACAATAAATACCAATTTTGCTGGGTTTGTTGACGTTAATTCAACAAACCTTTGGGGCGTAATACGGCCACTGGCCAATGCCCCTGTATAGAGCAACGGCAGTCTTGTTTCCACACCGGGAATACCGTTGGGGATGAACCGGAATGCTCCATTTTTCCGCTTCAGCAAACTCTGCAGCTCTTCACCACTGCATGGGTTTTCGTCCTTCATACTTTCCTTGTGCTCTAAGACACCGGACGGTTTCCCATGAGGATGGTCATAGCGAAAAGGGCAATGATCAGATGAATAGATCGTAAATGTTCCGTTTGAGAGACCACTGTACAGAAGTCAGTCCAATATACCTTGTATGCAATGCGTCAATTCTTACACAAATAGTTCCTCGTGGTCGGCATCAGTCGGGGGTGGAGGTGGCGAACAGATCATCTTGCTGTTTTCGAAACATGTTGGCGAATGGAATTTCTTCTGCAAGAAAATTTAGCGGTTGCTTTTTCAATTCAGTTTGATTAGAGTACCAAATCATTCCAGGTGAGATGGAAGTATTGAGGACAGGTTTCTGCATAGATTGGCAGTCCCATTGTTTGAGCATGACGCACGTTGGCAGCACCAAGCTACCTGGTTCAGTGAATGTTATCTTTCAGAAGGACTCCACATACCACGGATCCCACATGAACAAACAAAATCGGATTCTGAATGAGTTGCGCTAGGGCGATTGCTCTATTCGTGGCTTCGCCCTCGACAAGAGGAGGGCGCGACAAGGCGTGATAGTAAGGCGCTGATAAACGTCAGCAAGTTAACACTATATAAACAGTCAAGGATTACATACAAACCATTCCCTTGCTCTCCAGCTTCTCTGCATATAGGTTAACGTTGTTAATTTCCCTGCAGTGGCAATTTTACCTGTCAACCATTCTATCATATCCCCGTTTTCCGCATGTACCATCTAATAGCAGATAAGCCATTATTCAGGATCTAGGTTGGGATAAGGAGAGCGCTCACTGTAGTTATCTGATTCTTCCTCGCCGCAAACATCACATCCAGCATTTGCGAGTCGGTCAGACGTTGCGTTGCATATGTCAAGAATAACTTGCAACTGCTGATTCCCCAGTCTTGAATCAGGACTGGCAGCTCATTCTCGAGGATATCCGCATCGTTACGAACAATGATCATATGGAATCCGTAGTCCACGTAACTACCGGTTTCCTCTGCACGAGCATTATATCTTTCAGCGACTTGCAAGAGACTCCGATCTTCTTCATCTCTCGTTTGAGTAGCAAATGTGATGATGGTGGTGGTTCCACCAGCAACAGCGCTTCTTGACCCAGTTTCAAAGTTGTCAGAGCATTCGCCCCCGAGGCCATGTGGTCCTGTAAACATTAGATCGATATCGTTACAAAAGATGTGTAGAAGATTCACCTGTTTTCAAATCCTGACATAAATGAACGTGTGCATCAACACCGCCAGGCATTACATAGGCGCCTCTGTATTCTATGTGTTAGTCCAATATCTGCTTCACAGAATTTTAATCATGCGTACTCGGCATCTATGATCTCAGCCCCTTCCAACTCATCATCTGTGAATTCGTTTGCAAGCGACTGGATTTTGCCATCTTTGACTCCAATCCAACACTCACTTCTACATGTTAGCGACCGTACAATTTGGCGTCGACGAGTTCGGAGGCTTTACCTGATGTCACTGGCAGTCACGATCGTGCCATTAATAACCACCAGATCAAATTTAGGAGCCATTTTCAAATTGCGTGTCGATTTTGAATAACGTTATAGAGAGTATTGGAATTGGGGTAATAGAACGCAGCATGCGGCATACGCGGCGCTCGAGCCGACAGCGTTCGGCTGGTGCCGCTTATCTGCCCCCGCGGTGCTAGTATTTGACACCCATGGATAGGAGTGTCGACGTTATCGCTATCAAGCTATTGAGTCACGGTAGGATCAGTCAATATCGTGTGTCTTAGTTGCTCGTATCGCCCCGTATCTCCATACGACAGTCCCGTTAGATGGAGACTAATTGGGGTTTCAGCTTATCATTCATGCGGGCCCGCCTATGGGAAGAGAAAAGGCCTCAAAACGAGAACATAATTTCAGAACAGGTCTATCTACCATATTCACTAGCATACAAAGTTAACAAAAATTACTGATGGGCGATACTGGATCATTATTTAGATTCTCTCCGAGATCTTCTGCCACAGAGTCTGTGAGGTTCCCTAAAGAGTCGAATATTAGAAATGAGACTTTGTATGATATACGAAACATACCTTTTCAGTGACCTCAATCGAAGATCCGGTGACAAAGTCCATGTCGGCATAATTGACCATTTTTGACTTGGTCCAAAACTTGTATCCGAAGAAGAGTACCGCAAAGAACGGAATCGGGAAGTAAGTCGTGACAAAGGAGGAAGCGTCAAAAGTGGGCACTATAAAAGATATCAGCAAATTGAAGTAGAATACGGTACTTGAATTTGTGCAAACTCACTGAAGGAACCGAACCCGCCGAAGATAATAACCATGCCACAGATTGAAATTCCGTCTAAAAATTCCCATTAGTATCTTTTTCAAAGAGCCTTGCATTGTAAACTTACAATAAGAAAGATAAGGTTGGAATGGCGCCATGTATGGGAGTGTCTTCCGATCAATGCCCTGTGCTTTGAGACCCTTGTTCCAGCGAATGCTGGTCCATAAGATACCGGTCCAGGATATCATACCGCACATAGCAGTCATATTAGAGACTTTTGAAAGTTAGCCCTGTCATTTGACAAATCCTCATTGACTGTCTTAACTCACAGTAGCCAAAAACTTTGCCCGCCTCTCCGTGAGCGGCGGCCATGAATGAGAGGAAAGAGAAAGCACCGGAGAAGAGGAAGCAAACCCAAGGAAATCCGTCTTTCCGAGTCTTGAGGAAGATCTTCGGGGCATGGCCTCGTGATGCAAGTCCGTATAAGGCTCTTGTAGAGACAAAAAGATCGGCAGTGCCAGCGGACCATGCACTGGTGAGAAGAGCCGCATTGATAATGGATGGGAGCACTGAGATTCCAGAGTTCTGTTGTTATATGTTAGTGCTGTTCCGAACCTGGTACAGTGCCTCAACGCTAGCTTACTTGAATCGCAATAACAAAAGGACTTTTGGCAGCAGTTGAAGCGAGACTGAGAGATGGATCGGATGGAGAAACAAGAAGTCCAATCTGAATCTGTAAGCATGCTACTAGTCCCGACCAACTGTTTGAATTCTTACCAGGAAGGCACTGCAAATATAGACTAAACAGAAGAGATAAGAGAAGGTTAGCCAATAATACTTCAAAGGTCACTGATTTCCACTCACACAGCACAAGTCTAATCCAAACACTCTTGATCGCCCGCGGAACGTTCTTTTGTGGCTATAATGCATCGTGAGCGAGGTAAACTTATATTTAATTTCTGAAATCTCACGTTTGAGGTTTCGGCAGCTGCAATTGCTGTAATCTCAGAGCCAATGAACGCAAATGCAGCGTTGATCAAAACTGTGCAATGATGAGCGACTAGGTTTGCAATTGAACCTCGACCTTGACCTTACCGCTAAAGAATCCGAGAAATCGACCCTTCGCACCACCTTTGAACAATGTTAGTCCTCAAAATATGTTGAAGCACTTGATTTCAGCTTACCAATTCCATTGTACTGAATAAATCCCCCAGTCTCGTGCCAGAATTTAAATCCGATTGCTTCATGGTTAGGCCCGCCACCAGCACTGATGATAACGCCTGTGATGATGAGACCAATGATAGTCACAACCTATATAAGTCAATACCCCTGTGGTTTCCAACTCTAGGCATTTCCAGCTTACCTTGATCGAACAAAACCAGAATTCCATCTCACCAAAGACTCGCGTTCCGGCGTAATTGACGGCAAACTAGACTGTCATCAGCCTATGGTTCATGACTTCAGTCATCTGCGCCACGTACCACAACTATAAGCATTAACCCAACCCACATGGCATTATTGCAAATTCCAGTGGAACAGGTCGAGTCTGCTTGGCCTGCGGGTGTCCAAAAGGTAACTAGAACAGCGGCTGCAGAAATCTCGGCCGGTAGAACAACTGGAAAAATGAGTGATGTGATTATTTGGGATCATCAGAAGTTTTCGTACCAATGTAACTAGAATATTTGTGAGTCTTAGTTCCACTCGAGGAGAGCAGGATGTTACTTACTTATACCAGAACAAAATACCCATAGCAAATCCAAGTTGAGGAGAATTAAACCGGCCAGCCAAGGCAAATTGACCTCCAGGAATCGGGAATTGCGACACCATCTCACCAAGTGCAACCTGACAATGATCATCATCAGCACTTAATTTGGAAAAAAAGGAGAGGACAGAAAAAAGAAGCGGTTTTACCATCACTGAGTATAATAGCGAAGCCATGATACAGTATCCAATGAGAAGACCAGCGGGTCCGCCATTCTTGATGTCGCTTGCTGTGCCTAGGAAGAGACCAGTGCCCTGACCATTGATCAGCTAGAGAACCGGAATTGGGGTATTGTGACTTACGATCACACCTCCAATGGCAATCATTTGACTACATAATGCTGTCAGTGGCTCGCTATTATCAAGTCTCGAGCATGCTGTCACTTACAGATGCCGGGGCTATGTAAATTGTTAGTCAAAGGTAATGGCGATTCTAATATGTTGTCTCGACGTACCTTGAGCTGCCGTTGAAGACCATGGTTGCTACCTGTGTCTTGAATAGTTCCCTGTTGAACAGGAATCTCACTGGTATCATAAGCCAGCTCCTTTGTCTTCTTGGATATACATTAATTTTGAAACAGGCGTACGTCTTGTCCTTCAGGACGACATAGAGATATCTCACCTCGTTCATAGTGATCGCTGTTCGTCGAGGTATTGGTCTGAAATCTAGAGAATTGGGAGAGTCTATTATATTTAAGCATCATGATATCAATTCCTCTATCAGACCGCCACAAGAAGTCTAAATGCCCATCTTATCTTGGTGAGGCTTCTCTCACGGGCGATAGCTTAGATTGCAATGCGGGTCAAGCGGGCACTTTCCGCGCTTTTCTTATCAGCGGGCTGAACGCCGATCCTCCCGACACTTGCACCGCATCCTACACATGAAGAGAGAGTCATGGAACCCTTTAAACCGGATTCTAGCAAGTTAGTTACTCTGCTTCATATTCACTGATGTCTATTTGGGCATTCCTAGCGGTTTTAAAATGACAAAGTATACCACACGTCCACTGCTTCCCGGGGTATATGTCCCCCTACCCACATTCTTCGATGGAAATCAAGAAATCGACTATGACAGCTACAAAAAACATCTGTTGGGTAAGACATTTATCAATGTGGAATTTGTTCAAATCTAACGACTTATCGTGCTCTTACCACAGCTATGACCACTCGTGGTATGGGTAAGTCAATTGACCCCAGATTCAGAAAGCATCGACTGATCCGAATACCTGTCCAGTGCCAGTATGTGCTGGATCGTTGGGGGAGGCTGTTCACCTTGTGAGCTAAGATATCTTTATTGTTACATTAGACTATGGTGTTAACTCTTGTTAGGATTTTGAGGAGCGTGCCTCTCTAATTCGCTTCATCAGATCCACTTTGGACGAAGCCGGGCTGCAATCTACACCGATAGTCGCTGGCGTGGGAGGACTCAGTACCAGAGAGACAATTAGTTTATCGAAAGCTGCTGCAGATACTGGAGCGTAAGTCAATACTGAGATCTGGACGCCACTCACGTTCCTTCTGACGGTAGCAGAGATGCGGGAATGGTAATTCTACCTGCTTACTACGCCGCGAGTCTGAACACCGATGTAGACCAAGTCATCCAATACTATGTTGATATTTGTGAAGCATCTCCAGTATGAGTTGTCTGAGAAGTCCCACCTATGCATAGGTAGCATTACTGATAAGGTGACAGATCCCTCTTTTGTTATACAACTTCCCCTCAAATGCTGGTGGCCAAGATATGTCGTCAGACGTGATCAGCACAGTTATGAAGAGGACTACCAATTTGTGTGGCGTTAAATTAACGTGAGTGGCACCCTTTGAGTGGCCGACCCTTCGCTAAAACAACAAAGCTGACAAAAGAAGATGTGGTGGCAGCATCGGGAAACTGATCAGGCTGGATGCCATGATCTCTGAAGACTTCACAATAAACGATGTGCGGAAATTTCCATTCTTGTTGCTTGATGGACTTATTGCGGATCTCACGCCGTGGATGAAATGCGGCGGGCACGGAACTGTGAGCGGCATCCCCAACTTTACGCCCGTGGCCGCCATGCGGCTGTGGTATCTGTTGAATCTGTCATCACCAACTGAGGGTGAGCGCAACGAAGCAAAACGGATTCAAGGAATTCTGGCTCGGGCTGATGCTGCCGCGGTTCCTGGTGGTATTCGGGCAATGAGTGAGCATCTTGTGAAGAGCTTTGAGAAACGCTAAACTAATTGATTGATAGAGTACGCATTGAATAAGCTACATGGATATGGTGTTGCTCCACGAAAGCCATTGCTTCCACTAAGAGAAAGTGAAGGCGAGGCCTTTATGGATGTTTTAAGTGAAGCAATGCGACTTGAGAATGAACTGACAGAAGGAAAATTAGCTTTATAGTCATTTTTACTGCCCATTTGGCACGGATACTTGTTCCAAGCAAAGTTAAACTTTTTCTCGAAATTGTGAAGGAGTATCTTCCATATTCTTTTCGTCGTCTACAATTTGTATTCTTCCTCGGCAACCTTGTTTTCTTCATGATCAAGTCGATAAGCATCTCATTATGCTGCAGATAATTCGACAAGGTAGCACATAGCTCGCATGTTGTTGGACACTTTTGAGTATCTCGGCGAAAGAAAGAAACCTCGGGAGGTTCAAAAAGTCACCAGGAGTTCGAATCCAATCGTCAATGAGCTCTGCATCAGAGCCTGCCTTCAAAAGGAGGTCCACAGCTGCTATATTACCATTGGCAGCCGCCCAAGATAAAGGTGTTTGTCCAAAAATATTCCTTTTGGTAATATCAGCGCCATTAGAGACAAGCAGCTCAAGGATATCTGTATTTTGCGATTTTATTGCCCAGAATAACAAGGAATAGTCTCCTTTTGTGACAACCGATATATCCGCTTCACTTTCAAGCAAAAGCCGAACAATCGCTGTATTTTCCCTGGCAATAGCTGAATGCAATGCGGTCATGCCATTTTTTGCAGGAATATCCGCACTTAAGCCTGCATCCAAGAGCAAACATGTCGCGCTATAATTTCCAGCCTGACATGCATGGTGGAGAGCGGTATATCCTTCGTTGTTTTGAATAGAGAGTTCGAATTTCTTGGTCAGAAGAGACTTGACAATATCGTCCCATCCATTGGCAGAGGCTATGTGAAATAGTGTATCTCCTGTATCATCCGTGATTGGAACCCAATACTTCGGTTTGTAGTCGCGATCAATGCCTGGAATAGCTTGAGCCAGATGAATCAAGTCCAACGGTCCGAGCAGCCGAGCTGTGAGGAGTAAGACTTCTGCTGGGAGAATAGGGTTCCGCTTGGGCATTGTAGGATATAATGGCAGATATCATCAAGATGATAAATTTCAATGAGTTGATAGAACGCAGGGATGAGATAGGTAGGTACTATTATACTGTGATATTCATCGTCCCCCAAATTGGGGAAGTCTGGCGTTTTAGCCGGTCCAGCCTATCTACATTAGATGTCGCCCCCGGAATACAATAGAACATTCTTCTGGAAAATAATATCCACTAGGAATCTGTGTTTCAACGTTGTGATCGTAGATAGCCAATTATTGGAGCAAGATTACCGAGATGGGCGAGTTACTTGTTGTATGAGAAGGTGGAGCGTTGTGAGCACGTTGCCCTGTCGGTTTAGAAGTTCCCTTTGGACTAAGTTAATTAGTACACTTCTATCACAAAGTGAAGAACTAATAGCTTCCTAGTAAAACACTTGATCAATTTGATGCAATGGATTGGATTTTCCTTTGTGTCTACTTCAAGTGAGTCAATGCCCCTGAGACCGCTTTGAACAGCTTATGGCAACATTCGTGCCGTTGGAGGTACTCCAAGAGAGCAAATTTCTTACCACACCGATGGTAATGACGAACCATCTATTTGCCCCGATTTGGGAAGCGGGGACTAGATAAATATTCAAGTTTACGGCATTCGTCGTTTAGTTCTCACAAGCAACTGGTTGTTTCATCATTGTATGGGGAGGGTATGGGATGGTCCCCAAATTGGGGAAATCGCCTTCAACTATGGAGATTCGTGATCAAGTCAGATACCCGAACGATTGCATAGTTCAAGCAAACAGCGATTTGCTAAAGCCTTGATGAGCTGATGTTTATCAAGGCCGTACTTGCTTCCCTCTACTCCATGCCCACTCTCCTTGTTCCCCCCGAATGGCGATTCACACGTGCTTGCTTTACCTGCGTTAGTTCCTCTTATGCCACACCAAAGGCAATGAGCCACAAGTATTACCCTTCCGATGTTCCGAATGAGGAAAGAACTCGAGATATCGAACTTTGTGCTATTAGAATCTCGATGGCTGGTTGAATACTTCATCTTTGTCTAATATTCCTGCATGTGAAGTGATCATTCTAAATTTTCATTTCATTCGTGAGATATATTTTTCAACGTCGAGGTCCCATGTATGATGAACTGTACCAGTGCTTTCCGGCCATCCAGCTTTTGAGGTCCCTCCGTATGCATTGCACCTAGGACATCTTTTCGGTAGATGTGCATACCAAGTGATTTGGCTTGATTTTCTAGCTGATCGGGTACATATGCCGGGATGACCTCGTCCTTTTCTACAACTAGGAGAAAGATGGGTGGAATTGTACGAGGTAGTGGCACCACTGCGCTGGATGTCCAATTTTCAGAGCTTGCAAGATTAGTATCATGGTCTCTCCATGCAGCAATTTCTCTCATCTTCGCCATGATATCCCACGTATTCCAAGAAAAAGGCCACATATACCGATACGGAAGCCACTTCTGTGGATACAGAGCAATCAGCATATCTTTGATACTGGAAGTCGGTGCCTCCAAGATCAACCGAGAGACTGGCGAGAGTAGTCGGCCACTGCTTGTCTCTGAAGTTCGGCTCAAGCTGTCTTCAAAACGTGGAAGATACGTTGCTGTAGCTGTGCTTGCAACTGCCGCTCCTAGGCTGTGGCCCCAGAGCACAAGTTCAAGATCGGTATTCGGAGCCGCGTAGGTCTCTGATACCCAGCTCAAAAATGCCTGGGCGTCCATCTCAATACCAGATTGCGTGGCGCGGCCCGAAGATGTCCAGTAACCACGATACGACAATGCCACAATCCTATACTCTGTCTCTGCAGATTCCGATTTCGCCTTCGTGGTTGGTTTTGAAGCCTCCGTGATTGAGCGCAAGACCTGTGAGAGAAGCGGCAGTCGCATAGGCGTTGAACCACCGTTTCCTTGAAAATAGCAGATAATAACGAGTCTCCTTTTTCCGGATTTCGTAATCTCTTGATTTTGAGCCTTCAAAGTGGACGCATGTCCATGATCCTCGAGCTTGGACGGGATACGACCCTCACAAACGGTCAATTTAGTCCCATCAAGACTGCGTATCTGGCTCTCCTTCCATTTTACAGGGCTGCACTGAGCTTCATATTCTGATATGACCTCCGAGCGCGTGAATGGCGGTAGCCAGGATATATAAAGAAGCTTGTTCTGCATGACGATAATCCAGAAGCATTTCCACGTCCAAAGGCCCAGGAGGAGTCCGATAAAGATGAGTGGCGGAACGAGAATACTTGGAATAGCAGCTGTCGCTAATCTGCGCATCTGGGTGTTTTTCAATAGTGCGTGGTGGGTGATGTTAGGTCTCTTGCTGGTGGTATGGATATTATTTGATAGGATGTTGCGGGAAGGAATCCTTGGCTGCGAAGGGCGGACATGTATTAATCTTGCATTCGACCCGCGCAGCACGCGTTGTAGGGTGCATCTTGCTGACATAAATTTGTACTTGGCCAACAATGATGGTAGCATTATTGGGGGATGTTGGTTGTTCGCGCGTTCCAGGGGTTTGAACCAAGGTGGACCTGAAGCTTGAGTCAGCAGTTGACGGCGGAAACGCGTGATATATCAATGGAATGAGATGGACGCCTTCTACATTGCGTGGATATCCTATTAAAAAACTCCTGATATGCAGGGGCATATTTTCAGTGAATGTAACAAATCGATCGACTTTTAATGAATACAGAGCTAGAGCATTCAGTAACTAGTATGCTTGGGCAGTCTCCAACGGCCTGAACCTCGACTCGAATTCAGCCCCGTATTGCTTATAACAACTGTAACCATACTTTCTGTAATGAATGTGGAGGTACGATAGGCCGTATGTTGGACGATAGGGAATTAAATACGGGCAAACTTTTGGTTTGAGCTTGAGGCTGCTAGAGACTGCCGTGGTATGCCACACTGAAGTCATGTAAATAGGGTCGAGTTCAATTTGAGTACACCGGAGAAGAAAAGTATGTCTATATAGGGCGTCCAACGCCCCAAGTTCCAACAAGCAAAGTAAATAACAAGGTTGTGAAGATTCAAATGGGTATTATGGGTCGTCATCATCTGGAGTCGTGATATGCAAAATTCAAAACGCAACCGCAGAAATAGAACAGCGTAAAAAGCCAAAAGAGGCCAACCCCGAACCCCAATGCAATCAATGCAAGGTTTCACAGAACTTTCGATCTCATCCATTCACTCGTCCCTACTCCAAGGTTGAGTCCGTTCCGCTCCCACCAGAGTCGAACACGGCCCTCAGCCCCAGAGGTAGGATCTGCGTCTTCCAGCGCTTCTTCAATATCACAGGTCTTGAATTCGACACGCATGCCGCAAGTTTTCCACCACTGGAGCACATGGTCGTGTCCATTTTTCGTGGGGCCAACAAGCACCTGATTATCAAAGATCATTTTAGGACCCTTGAGCTGATACCAAAACTGGAGAACGTGTACGTGGCCGTGGGTGCTTGAGATGCGAGCGACGTTCTCGGCGTGACTGTATGGAATACCTGATGCATCCCACCAAGCGAGTGATGCAGTGCGACCAGACTGTGCCGCAAGAAGGACGGATTTTCCGGGCTTGAGGGGAACAGGGCTGTGCGCTGGGGCATTTGCGGAAGCAGCCTTCCACCAATCAAGAACGTCGATCCGGCCTTCGGCACTGGCGGCTTCGAGAGCACGCTCGCTGTACCGTAGTGGGAGACCAGAATGGAGCCACCAGTCTAATACGTGAAGATAGCCGGCTCGGGAGGCGCCGTCCATGGCATCTGCCATGTATTCTTTGTTGGGAAGAGCGGGCGCATCGCGCCACCAGGTGAGAACTTTGGGGTTGCCGTAAATCGCAGATGCACGGTAGGGAATATTAGTGAGGCGAGAAGTGGTCCAAAGCAGGTCCAGGTGATTTTCAGTGAGGTATGAGAGAATGTCGGTTCGAGAAAATTTAACAATAAGGTGGCATGCAAGGTCAGAAAGCGGTTTCCACCGAGGAAGAGCGTCAATCCGCTTTTTGATTGCCGCGAATGATCCTCGCAGCATGGTATATTCAAGGGAAGCTGGTGTGGACATTTTGAGTAAATGGTTTTGCCATTCCTGGGGGACGGGGAGGTTCGAGGGAATGCCCACAGCTTTCGCTGTTTCCCAATCTCCAAGCTGATCTTCAAAAACGCTCAGCCATATCTCGAGCGGTAAAAAATGGGCATTGCCTTCGGATTTCGGGATGCTCCGCAACGCACAGCTAGTCCCGCTTGCCGATGCCAATGGCACGCATGCGGTTGTTGATGCAGTTTTAGTAGCGGTCAAATTGCCATTTATACTAGGCCCAGTCAAATTAAAAGCCCGTGGTGGAAGTTTCAAAGTTGTTTCCAACGTTTCGTGTAGCTCCTTTAGCCCATCCCACGGAAGTATGGTTAATTCTTCGGGCCCGTTTGACTTCCAGAGCACAGGCTTGACAATGCAGACCCAGGGCCAGTAGCGGCCTATCTCGCCCAGTTGGCGGGAGCTTAGCGGGTGATCCCATTCAGACACAGTCATTCCTGGAATGAGTACAACTGGTTTCTTTGATACCCAACCGCGGAGCAGCGCCAAGGTCAAGGTGTTTGTCAAACCAGCTAACATCGCACCAAGAGCTCCAGCATCAATGGGTGCGACCAGCAACATGTCCGCCCATTCACATAGCTCGGCAGTTTTCGCCTTCAGCCATTTCCGCGCCCCTGTTTTCTTATCGAATGTTTGGCTGTCAACCGTATCCATATAGTGTGGGATCTTGTTGGTGCCTGTGAGCAATGCCGAGGGCTCATCTGTGATCAGGCGCAGCTCGATATTTGGGTTGTGGATGAAGGAAGGAAGGACCGTATCGGCGAAGGCACTATCGGTTGATAAGAGAAGTCGTCGTCGCCGGGAATGTGAAGGTGTGGCATTCTGAACTGCTTGATCGCAAGACACCTCGTGTCTCGCTTTATTTCCAACCACTGTTTCCTCAGAGTCGCCTTCCATTTCACTCGCCGTGGACCACGCTCCCTTGGCAGTGTTGTTTCTCTGATGAACTGGGATGGATAACTCAGATCGAAGACCGACTGCCATGCCCGGATTGGCTAGCGACCATGAAACTTGTAAGGAGGTGGGAATAGTCGACTTTATCGGTGTCGCGTATCGTCGGGGATATATGGGAACAAAACGCCGGAGAACAAAGCGGCCGGACTCGAGGTGACAGAGGGGGAGCAATTGACGCTCTGAGCCGTGCAGAAGATTTGAGTGCTTATGCGGCGCTGATGGGTTGATCGCGATTGAATCATGCAATCCTTAAGGAGGAGACGTGAGTTTCAGGCTGTCATGCGACCGTTAAGGTACAAGCGGTGAGGTGGTTGCGTTGTCCGACTTGGGCGTCGCCACGTCTTTGCCACTCCCAGGATTGGGCGTGCAGTAGCTACCGACTTCTTGTCAAAGGGGGGTAGGTACCACCAATGATAGGATATTCAAATGTTAGTTCGAGGGTCTCTGCAGGTCTCTGCGGGCTAGAGATGGACGTGCATGAAAAGCTCGAAGTGATTGGGTGTCATTTGTTCGATCTCGGCGCCTGAGGCAGCACCGCATCTTGGGTGGTGTCCGAGTTTTAGTTAGTGTCCTAAGTATTACAACGATCATCCTATCTTGGGTATACTCACTTTAGCTTGCAGTGGTCTTGCATTGTTCCGACTTCCAGACTCAATACATACACATGGACATAGGTCATTGTAAACAACAGCTTTTCTCTGCTGGTCTGAGCTACCACCGCTGTCGCGAGGGCGATTAGAATTAGGCTGAGCTGATGAGTCTTGTCAGATTTCAAACCAGTGAGGTCTGATGAGTGCTCGGTGAGGACTCAGTGGCGTCCGAACATCTTGCTAAAATTCAATAACGGGTTGCAAATTCAATCGATTATGTGACTGTAGAACCTGTGAATATAGAACCGATGCGCATGCCAGTGCTAACTTTATACTACGCGGTAATTATAACTTGTCATTGAGATTTGCAACTTTGAGAGCTTGATTTGGACAGTCGTTCATTGAACAGATTGTAGTAGTTTTGATGCTCACCTCCCCCAAATGGAGGCATTATTACCCTCGACAAGGCAATAAATGCGCCAAATTTGCTTCGTTGTATCACCTCAAGTCAAGACTTGACTGGTTGAATAAAGCTGTATATTCCACCGAAAGATCATTGCACAAAGAATTGCCCACCTTGCTCACATCGGGAGCTTTAGACTTAGTGAAGAAGCAACTGGAGTGTCTGTGATGGTGTCTTTTCCAGTAATTGGTAGACTGCTTCGGAACTGAGACCAGGTGGTCACCGAAGGTCTAGGAGAGTCCATAACTTACACATAATTATCATGCAGTGGCTGAAGTAAAACTTTGTGGGTATAAGATTAAGGCATCTATACTGCTCGATTTAGTGCTCGCAGACCTCTTTCAACTAGGCAGCTATGTGCAGCGCTCCAGGTGTGCATGGGATCTCGGTGGTGAAAATAGCAGCACCCATCAGTGACGCGGTCACTGAATAAAACTCAGTCGAGTACAGAAACTCGAATGCCTTGTAGGTCAGTGTTTCCTGTGCTTCTAGCATATCTGTTGTTGCTACGAGTAGTATCATTGACTGTTCTCGCATCTCTGATACTGGTACTGGATTGAGAATTTGTTACGCCCAGTCATGTAGCTCTTAGCTCCATTTTTTCAGCATGAAATACAGATATTTTTACAACCCCTTTACTTCTTCATCAACTTTTCTTGTACATGGTGTACTTTGCAATCATTTCTATGCTTGTTGGAATTGTCTCATCCCATCGGTCTCCCCATCTACTCCATTCGCCCCTTTGGTCTTTTCGTACGAGTGTGTGGCCTACATCCTGTCTCAAAACTCATCAACTGAACACAAACCATACTGTAAAGAACGGTCCACGGAATATTTGATCGGCTGGCCCCCTCATCCCTCCCCTTCGGTATAACTTAGTGGACATGTGGGGATGTATGACATAACAGAAGCGTTTTGCAAATTGCTACGCGATATTAATTATCGTCTCTCTGCCAGACATCAGGACTGCAAGGAGTCAGACCAACGCGTCCCATGTTTGACTCTACTAAAGGAACCGAACTTTCATGTTTCGGAGCAGTTCCTTATCCCTAAAGAGATAATAGACGCTACCAATCTCGTCTCGCTCTCGCTTATGGCGATTGGCATCCTGTAAGCTCCTTTTTTTCTAGTTAGATGGAAGGATTTGAATCTCAATATCGCGAGTCTTTATTTCAATAAACTATCCAAGGGCTTAGTGACGGATGAGTCTGAACATGCTCTTTATTTGCCGATATTCTGGTAAGATTCGTGGCGATAGCCAACTACAATATATCCGCAGTAATACAACGTTACATATCCTTTTCAATGTCTGGCTTATGATTCTTGGCTTGAAATTTTGGAAATTTCTGCCATGTAAGCGAGACTAACGATTCAGAACCCCCGCATCAATGAATTTTAATGCAGGACACGGTTGTAGTCATGACGTTGATCAGGTCGATCGTCCCCCCGCAATTAACACATCTATTCCAACCACGAACTCTTTGTTGTGGGCGAATATACCACCTTCACAAATAGCTCCAATTTGTACCTAGGGTTTACTATGTGTGGTTCGCGCAAAAATAGAACGATTGCTGTTGGTTGGAACCTCCGTACCAGGAATCGAACAATGATCAATGAGACCCGGGTTCTTTGTATCCGAACCAAGCCTAGGGTAGTCGAATATGACATAATAAGGGTTTCAACAGGTTCGTGCTCGCTCTCGCAAGGGTCCAGAGAAAGGTGGGTGCTTCGGAATGACCGGTTACGGGTTGATGTTGGTACTGGTTCGGTGTTTCAGTAGGGCTCCAACAAATCTACCGAAACAATATGCCTTACCGACAAGAAGATATGTTTGAAAGATCATAAAATATTGCTCCTCTATCAATTCAGCCACAAAATCATTGCAGGTTATTTTCCCAAGCTACTGGCTGAGTTACCACGGGGTAAAGCTTGGAACTTTACAGGTAGCTCATTCATGGGTCTCTGCACTGGACCATTTCCATGTAAAGAAGAGGAACCTGATCATAATTGGAATTCGCAAATCACTATTGGTCAATATCATCAGTGTATTCAGGGTGTGGGCAATCAAAACCAATCGCATTAGAATGCATCTAGGGCTCGAGCCGTGGTAGACATATTTGCCACCCCGGCGGCCCAGCCCATTGCCCTTTACAGTATTTGCTGGGTCACGATGTGGGATAGTCTTGTCCTGTGGATGCAACAAGAAATACGATCTCCAATGGTAAATGACGTCGACTATATTTCTTGTTTGCCTAATCGGCTAGTAAATTTGGTGTAAATATTTGTTGAATCAAGATAGGATGCCTGGTGCCTCTCGGTTATAAATAGTGTGATTGTTTCCCAGGGAAGAACCGCTTGTTTACTCTCACTCCAAGGAACTTATATTTCAATCGCCTACTCCATTCACACTCTCTCTCACAATGAAGAACTTTGGCACCCTCGCAGCTTTCGCTGCCGGCGCACAAGCCCTAGTTGCTCGTGATGATAGCTGCTGCTTCCATCTTGATGCTTCTGGTGATATGACTGGCTCCGTTGGCCAACTGAGTGATGGCCAGAACCGTATCGGTGATAGTAGCTTGTCTCCCGCAGAGTTTTGCATTAGCCCCGACGGCACCATTACTGATGGCAATGGCCGAGGCTGTATCCTGACCCGTGAGTGAAGTAAACCATCCTGGTTGAAGTTGAGCTAACAAAGGCTTCAGCCCCAACCACCCAGCTCCAGTGTGATGTTGGTGCCACTCCCACCCCAGGCTTCTCCGTCAACCCTTCTGGAATGCTGGAGTTCAACGGCAACCCAGACTTTATTGCCTGCGAGACCGGTCAGAATGGAGGTTTGAACATCTACACCACCGATAGCTCCGATCTCAGCAAGTGCAGCAAGATCATGCTGAATGCCGATTCCTGCGCTGCTCCTGCTGCACCTGCTCCTGCCCCGTCGACTGGCAACAACTGCCCTACCACTTTGACCTCAGGCAACTTTGAGTTCCCTCACTTGATTGTCCCCATCGACTCCAAATCCCCCGATCAGGCATTCGGCACCCAGTTCAACGGCACTGTGACGTCGACTACCTCAAGCATCTTTAACTTTGATATTCCTCAGTCTGACTCTGGCAAGACTTGCAGCCTGGTCTTCCTCTTCCCCGAACAGAAGGATCTTGTTACCTCGGCTTTCAGCTTCAGCGGGGATGGAAAGATTGACGTTGCTAAGCTCTCCAAGCCTGCCGATTCCAAGACCACATTCAACAACGCCCCTTCAGTTGATCATGATCTTGGCGATATCACTGTCTCGCCTGGCAACTCTGTTGTTGTTTCAACCTTCTCGTGCCCTGCTGGCGATGCTGTTGCCTACGAGCTGAAGAACGCTGGTAGCACTGACCTCGACTTCTTCCAGGACTTTAATCCCTCCCCGTGAGTTTTCACCTTCTACTAGCACAGGAATGTCGTGTTAAACTAATATTCTTTTAGTATCGGTCTTTTCATTACTGTCTGTTAAGGAAACATGCAGATAATCATATCTCGAATACTCTTTAATAAGTGATACTTGTACCATCAATTTGGTAAAGTCGTGCAAATGTTGTGTAATGTTATTTGTTATCTTAGTGAATGCCTTTGATGCTATTCATTCTTGGGGGGAATAATCATTAATTGTTGGTGTTGGCAGTCTCACAAATAAGGTCTTTGCTGTATTATTATCAAATCTGAATATTCATTTCATAAATTTCGCTTCCATTGATGTACAAGGGCAAGCATAACGATGAGCCTCTGAATTATAGTTGCTGGACATCGTAAAGTTGATTCTGGTATGGATGAACCGCAGCAGCCTCTTCAATTTCCATAAATTGTGTCTGCCCCTCTCACTACTCGGGTACACTGGAAAGAACCCCATACTCCAGTCTTCTATTTGGTCGATATATTCTGCTAAAACAATACTGTATTATCTGCTGTAGAGGCGATTTAATCGGCCTAGAAACCAACTTTTTATCACTGCGGAAGCCTTTGAATCTACTACTATTCCTTGCCATAAAACTATTTCAATTTTTTGACAACTATTATTACCCTTTATATTACCCCTTAATATTTATTTCTACTGAGACGTAGTGTTTCTTCATTACACCACAACGCTAGGTGACGGTAAGGCCACTTCCGGCCTCCGATTCGCCGTCTCAAAGAATACTTGTTTTATAGTTTTCATAGAATTCTTATATATGGTGTTTGCATGTATTATTTTTCTATTCAAACTTGTGTTGAAGTTCTTTTGCCACATTGTATTTGTGTTTGGAACTTTAGTTACGTCCCTTTTTTCTTGTTTCAAGTTCTGTTTATGTGTTTCTTCATGTTCTTGTTCTTTTATTGAATCTTGTTTTATTTCTTGTTTTGCTTAATATTGATAGATCTTAGGTAGGCTAGTGTATATATTTAGTCCTATAGATCTAGCATAGTCTATAGAAATTAGACTACTTTCGTTTCGGGAAGATTTCGAGGGATATAAAGATCTCTTACATCTACTACTTAGGAAGTTATTATTATATAGGATATATAGATTATAAGCTCCTTATACTTATACTTTATAACTACCTATAATTTAGTGCTAATAAGCTAATCCATGATTATATACGAAGAGAGATAAGTTAAAGGGTTTAAGGAAAAGGTGATCCCTAGCTAGTATATATTATGAAATATACGAGAGAATATAGAGCGAGATAGATAATAGTCTATGGAAGGGGTGGGTGTCTAAGTTAAGCGATACCGTTAATCACACGTAAATCATATTATATCTATAGAATATAGTAAAACGCTTAATAGGTGGCTACTCGTGACCTTATCTTCTAACTTAAACGTGAGTAAAGGAAAAATGTCTTTATAATATAAACGACACCGTTTAACCCTACTTACTTATTCCCAACCGGTTGAAAACACGGTCGAACCGTATTTCGAGGCCTAAACGCGTCTAACACGTAGGAAATCTTATACTTCCTAGCCCTCCGCTTCTTAGCTTAAGGCCTTGGCGCAAGTGTAAAAAGCTGATACTGTTATTTCTGGAGTGAGATACCCTATTCAAATCAAACGAATGTGAGTATGACGTCATTATTGTCGTGATATAAATCGGACAGTATGCCACGATACGTCAAGAAGCCAGATAACCAAAGAGAAAAAAAAGCATCAATCAAGACACCTGAAAAATAGCCTACAAAACAAAAAACATACAACAGTAAGGATTCGCTAATGGTCACCTAACTGAAGAGCCAGTAAGAGAGAAGGGATATTATTTGCTAAAACACTACAGTACTGTACAGTTCAATCGAATATACATGTCGTTTCAATTTTCTATCATAAAAAGCCGAAGAACGGATCCGCTTATGTCAAGCTGAACTTATGCGCTGTCTTTTCCCCGGTTGGAACCAATTCCCTCCTTCTGTGAGGCACAATATGCATCTTAAAATGCTGATCTATCCCCAATTTGTATTAGAATCAGGATGGATGGCTGTGAAGGCTAGTCCCTATCTGGTACCTTTGATGCATAGCCAATGAGAAACGGCCCCCTATCCCGATGCAGTAATTGGGGCTGAAAGGTGGATATAGCCTATTTGTACAAAGCTCAGCCGAATATGAAGGGCTGAGGCTTTGCAACACATCAATAGTTATAAAAGGGCAGTGTACAAGCTCAATAGATGCTCCTTTCTTCATCATAACTTCACTCTTCAAACATTAGCGAAGATGAAATTGCTTCTTCCAACTTCTCTGTCGGCCGTTGTAGCCACAGCTCTAGCATCACCATCGGTCACCATTGACGCTGGAACCATCACGGGTGGAAAGTGCAGTGGTGGACAAGGTGCGGTGTATTACAAGGGCATTCCGTTTGCCGAACCTCCTGTCGGGGACTTGCGATTCGAGCCTCCCAAGGCCTACAGCAAAAAATACTCCAATGGGTTACTGGAAGCAACTGTGCCGGCTCCATCCTGTATTCAATTTGGAACTGAAACTGTACCATCCGGAGCCAAATCTGAAGACTGGTAAGTCGCACCTCTGACCTGACAAACGACTATTTGTTTTAATGGATTTTATTTCTTTAGCCTCTACTTGGACATCTGGGCTCCATCTAGCGCGACCAAAGACTCCAAACTTCCCGTCAAGGTTTGGGTCTTTGGTGGATCCGACACAGAAGGCGGCATTGAATATCCTCTGTATGACGGCTGTAACTTGGCCGAGAAGGACACAATTGTGGTGTCACTGAACTACCGACTCGGACCCCTTGGCTTCCTGGCACTAGATAGTGCCGGATACCATGGTAATCAAGGAATCCAGGATCTTATTCTTGGTTTCGAATGGATTCAGAAAAGCATCTCTGCTTTTGGCGGTGACCCTGTACGTGAGTTCAGCTTTAACTTCTCTCCCCCCGGGGCAATTCTTGACTAATGATGGTTTGGAAATGCAGGAAAAGGTCCTCGGTTTTGGGCAATCAGCTGGTGCCACAGATATGTACACTCTTGCGACTCTTGCCCAGGCACCATCTCTCTTCAAAAGCGCGATCATTGAATCGATCGCTCTACCACAATTGACAAACAAATCGATTGCTCAAAAGCTAGGTCGGTCGTTTGCGAAGAAGCTCAAGTGCGGCCCCAAGGATGTAAGTGAATAATTTTTTGTTATATACATACTGGGCTAACCTTGCTTCAGAAATCATGTCTGCAGTCCAAATCCCCGGCCGACCTCCAGAAAGCATTTTATTCCGATTCATATATGAATTCAGGTATCGGAGGACTTGATGGAATTGGTAGTTCCAATAGCCAGACACCTGAATTCTGGCCAATTGTGGATGGCAAAGTCGTCAAAGAAAACCCTCTCCATCGTGGTGCACAAGTACCGACAGTTTTCGGTTTCAGTATGTTTACTCTTTCAGTATTTTGAATAAATGAGTCAAGGCTAACACGTCAAACTTTCAAGACCAACAGGAGGGCACTTTGAGCACCATCGGGAAATACTCGTCCCCAGAGCTCATTGCGAACCTTACGGCGGTTGATTACAAGACTTTTCTACGAGGAGACTGGGGCCCTGCAGCTTCAATTATTGAGAAATATTACCCTCTATCTGCGTTTGAATCTGCTGTCAAGAAACTCGGATTGACAGCAGGATCCGGCGTCTTTGAGGCTATTGCCCAAGTTCTCACAGACGTTCATTTCAAATGTCCGACATACCAGAGTGCGCTGAGTACTGCGCGTAACGGTCATCCGGCATGGGCTTATGAGTTCACTCTTAACTCTACCTGCGCATGGCTGGATACACTTGTTCCCATCGCAGACGATCTGTCATTCCTTGGTGCCGCTCATACTGCCGAGATCCCATTCGTATTCAGCAACTTGGATTTCAGCTACCCCGAAGGGAACTACACCTGCAGTAGCTCGCAAGCTGAGCGAAAATTGAGCAATGAGATGATCAGCTTATGGACCGCGATGGCGAAAAATGGCAAACCGTCCACCCAGGCCATTGAATGGCCGCAGTTTAGAATCACATCAACAGGCTCGAACACCCCGGGAATGATCTTTGGTAATTCAAGTTCCCCTGGTGAGATTGACTTCTCCATCTGCAAGTTGTGGGCTCAGGTCAGCGCCATGCTGGATGGAGGGAACACCACGACGACAGCAACAGCATTTCCCAGCGGTAGTGGAAAGCCGACGGCTTCTTCGACCACTATGGCTTCACCGACTAGTTCTCTATCGTTTGGTGGTGGAGTCATTATCACGCCCTCACTTGGAGTTTCGATCATGTTGAGTGCGATTTTAATGGGAGCTACTATCCTGTTTTGAAAGACGTTAGGTATAGTTGGACGGCTTGTTCATGATTGAGACGGATTTAGAATGGGGGGAAATTTCAGTTAGTGGTTAGACTCATGGTAGATCCGCTGTTAATAAATCGTCGTCAAAAGTGGCGATGTGCTAGTGTGATGATAATGCATGCCTTACATTTCCAGCATTCACTCCGTGACATATTGTAGGCGTGCCGGACGACAAGACTCGAGAGATTCAAATAAGAATATTATAAATAGCCTCTTTAGCACTAGCTTTATTCCCTTTGACTAAAATGCATTTCATCGAAACCTAATGTCCCTATTATTGTACCACCACGTCTGGCTAGCTAGACAAGTGACTCCAGCAAGAATTATAGCCCAAACGCAGACCAGACATCAGACTGTAAAAGACGTACAGAGAAAGCGTTGAGATATTCGGAGGTAATATCATCCGGCAGCGCCACCAGCCTTCACGTTGGAGTGAGGCGTAGCAATAGGACCATGGAGGGCGTGACTTAAATAGTCCCTACAAGTATTAATGTCCCACGAGCATCGATTGAAATTAGTGGAAATCCCGGGACTAACTCGATGGAGGTGGCATTTCTTCACAGTTTCTCTCATACTAAAAGCATATACAGTACACACACACACACACACACACAATTTATTAACGCCCGGCGGCTCAGCCGAAAGGGCAACTATCTCTGATCTACTATACATTTCCTAAGGTATATAGAATTGTTAAATTAGAGAAATAAATAATTATAAATTTAATTATCTATTTCTCTAATTTATCTACCTTCGATCTTAATCTCTCGCAGATTCTTAATCTCACTTTGTTTTTATCATTTACTTAAATGATCCCTACCCCAATAACCTAAAAATTATACGAGTAGTAGAATAATAGACAGTCGATAAGTAGAACAGTTCTACTATTCTACATTCTACTTATCTATAGGAAGGACTCGGGGTATATATAGGCAGTATATATCTAACTTAGTTCTTCGTGTTCAATTATCTATTATTACTTATATCCACCTTTAGAAAACCTTCGTGACTCGTACAACTTAGTTATAACTTAACAACACTACGATCGGACCAATACTTCGGTATGGATCTAATCGGTGCTCTACTTAGCATCGCTCCTCGATACCCTCAAAAGGACTTAGCCCGTATAAGGCCTATTCAGGCAACGGTACGGTTGAGAGACAGATCGTTGACGTTAGAAGTCAGCATTCCAGGCAAGTATAGTATAAACCACAGGAATCTTCTAACCTAGCGACGACCCGGAAGCAAGTGCGTAACACTACCCTATTATAATAACGGTTTAGGTTTTAGAATATATAGAAGAATACCTTTATAGGGATTTCGTTTTGAGCGGCTACTAGAAGTTCTAATAATTTAGTATAATTATAGTAAACGTAAGGATATCTAGATAGCTAAGAGTTAGAGTGAAATATTATAAGACTAGATTTAAAAGGATATATAAGAAAATGTAGGAAGAATATTTCCTTAAAAAAATGATATTTTAGGTACTGATACCTCCTTACGCCTATTATACTAATAAACGTAACATAATAGGATTAGTATAGATTTTAGCTTTATAGTTGATATAAAATAGGATTAAGATAGTTTATCAGTATAACTATATAATCCTTACTAGGGCTAATTAGAACTAGTTCCGCTTCGTTATAGATTAACTATAGGAGGTTATCCTAGGAGTATTAGTATAATATAGACTATTTAGCAAACTTCTTTAGCTAAGGCGTTAGTACAACACTTATCCCAAGCCCTGTTCGACCATCACTAGTTGATGGCATGGCGTGGAGGAGTACAAGGACGGCAAATCATAAGAGTGGCTAAGTACTACTGTTCATTTGCAGGTCTATATACTGATTGCTAATTACATTTCTGATAAAAAGCCAGCTCGATTACGACCTTACCGACGAGCCAAATTGTTGTGCAGTTTATGCTCTCTCATAGCAAGACTGGCTAAAGCCCCCAACACGACGAGACCCAACAGGGTCAAAAATACAGACCGTAAGGAAGTCATGTAAGCGTCCAACACACCAGGAATCCAGTCTGCGGGAAGATTCCAGATCTCATCCAAGCTATCACGAAGACGTCCAATCAGCTCCTTTGCGTGATCGTGATCACCAAATCGAGACCAAAGCCCCTGCTTGAGAGTGTTCTGGAAGACGGCTGAGGCGATAGTAATACCAATGGTGCTTCCGGTACTTCGGAAAGCGTAAGAGGCGGAGGTCACCACGGCATGGTGTTGATGATCCACCGCGGAAATGAGCGCCACCAATGTGATGGTCAACATGCTGCCGTAAGATGCACCACCCAAGAAGAAATAGACAAACGGTAGTCCGATAGGAGTAGACAGAGTCATGGTGCAGATCAATCCAGCCGAGATAACCTGGATAGCCATAGCAATATAGTTGAGTAGGTTATAGCGGCCGCTGGCACGCATGATGAGACCCGATCCTAAAGATCCAATCGAGGTACCGATGGCTTGGGGGATCAATCTAGCGCCAGCAGCAGTGGCCGAAAGACCCTGAACCTGGAAGTAAACAGGTAGGTAGAAGAGAAGTCCAAACACAGACATCGTGGTGAACCAGTTGGTCAAACAAGCAGCCGCGACCGTCCGATTCAGGAGAAGGCGCACTGGGATGACAGGCTCAGTGGCAACATAGGCTTCGACGTATATGAAGATACCCAGGAAAACAGCGGACATAACCAGGGATGCCAAGACCAATGGGTGAGTCCAGGGTACCTGGTTTCCGCCGGTGTTTAGGCCCAGAAGTAGAGACACCAATGTCAGAGCTAGCGTAATGGCACCGAGGAAGTCGACTCGCTTGATCCGGGCAGTATCCGATTCTTTGACAGGGATTTTCACCTTCACTGCGACCAAGATGCAGGAGATTACCAAGAAAGGGACCTGAAGCAAGAATGCCCATCTCCATCCCAGTGTGTCATTGATCCAGCCACCGAAAACACCTCCAAGTCCCATTCCAGCACCGTAGCATATATTTCCAATACCCTGCCAGATACCGCGTTTGCGAAGAGGGATCAAGTCCGACGTGACAAAGGTTGAGATGGCTGTAAGACCACCTCCGCCGACTCCCGCCACGACGCGACCAAGGATGATCACCCATTGAGCTCTCGCCAGGCCACAGATCAGGTTTCCAAGGGCGAAAAATACATTGGAGAAGACCAATCCCCAGCGACGGGAGTAAATATCAGTTAGTCTTCCGCTGAGGGGTTGGCAAGCGGCATTGGAGATCAGATAAGAGGTAGCCAGCCACGAGAGCAGCGAAAAGGAATTGAAGGAAGACGAGATAGGCGCGGACAGCGTGGCTACAATTGTTGTGTCTGTGATAACCCAGTTCATTAGCCCTCGGTCAATCGTCAAACAATTGAATTCATACCTAGCGCTGCTAAGAATACACCCAGCCAGATGCTACCCAGGATCCAGATCAGCTCCTTTGTGCTATGCTCTTCTGGTAGCGGGGTATCCTGCGCATTGCTCTCCGATACATCGCGGAGAAGAGGTGTCTGCTCCGATGCAGGCTGTCTCTCCGAATCAGACATGGTGAGGGTAAGAGTGAAGATGAACAGGAACAGAAATGTTCAAAGTTGCGGGATGACGAAGTGGAGCAGGGACCGGCATTCTGCCGCGTGCGGAGAATGCCTGCGGGGGAGACTCGGTGGACAACTTCACCACCAGAGTACTATCTATTCCGACCATAAACTGCATGATCGAGATATGAGGGCATTTTCAAGAGTCCAGTCCTCTTGTCGGAAAGACATGGTCGAATCCTGGGCTTGGTCGGGACGACTTCCCAGGGTTGTGCCAATCTCAGTTATTGAGAGCCTGGAACCTTGACAGTGTAGATAATCAGGGACCAGATATCAAACCAGTGGTTCCATTGCATTGTGCTTGGTTGGGCAATTTTCGGGCTTCAAAAATGATCAATGGCCAGCTTCGCCAACGAATCATCTGCCATGGCCATCAAATGCGAGCTGTCATAATCCTGAGGGCTTAGGCAGTAGACTGCTCATTATCTGCCTTTATTCCTCGTTTTTCCTGCTAGCTCATGCCATAGATTCCTCTGATCCGCGCAGCATTTCACTTCAACTCATCTTCGCTAGCCAGAATCTACATATCAAAACTCCCTTTTCTCCCTTGGGAACCCTCTTTCGCTGACCATGATACCCGGAATAACCAACTGGGATGATCTAGGTTTCTCTTTTGAGGAAGTAGATCATGTGTCTAATAAATTCCAGTACACATCATTTGGTCTCGTCGACGACAACGACACCTTCTATTATGGCCAGCTAGGCGCCCGCAAGACGGAAATATCGCTCGAAGGAATCATGGCTGCTCTCAATTCTATCCCGGACAACACCATACTATCCCCATGGTCCTTGTCAGAGGCAAAACTTCGCAAAGCACCAGAAACACTACCTACAAAAGTTTACATCAAACGCCCGGCACTAGAACAATACAGCATGCTTAAGAAGCGAGGGATTGAGAAACAGCTATCCAACGCACTCGTAGCAGAGGCGCAAGTGTTAGAAGAGCTATCACAACATCCACACCCAAACATGATCCGCTACCACGGCTGTCGGGTCGCGCGCGGGTATATATCACTGGCCTCGTGCTTGATAGACACCCGCACGATCTACAGACCCATCTTCAAGATGGGCACGACACAATCGACATACCCGTTTTTATGGCCGCGCTCGAGGCTGTGATCCGCCACCTACATATGCTTGGTTGGGCGCATAATGATCTTACTCCAACCAATATTCTAGTTAGCGAGGCCGACATGCCGGTATTGATTGACTTTGAGGGATGTCAGAAGCTTGGTACGAAGTTGAAATATATTCGGGGGACCGAAGATTGGATTGAAGGGGAGATCGGGGACCATACCACGTCGGAGGTGCAGCATGATACCTTTGCGCTTGAAAAGGTTCGGGCTTGGCTCGAGGATCCAGGTTCGCATGAGTGCGTTTTGTCTGCTAGCTCTCAATTATCACCTTAGACTGCCCCAAGTGTTATACACATCCAATATTTGTGTACCATAGCTCTTCTCCTAAGGCAGCAGGCAATGAAAATGCATATGAGGCCGCTCGGTACATGTGTCAGTTACGCTGCTCTGTGCCAGGGCAGCCTTTGCGTGGATACCATGTAAGGTAGGACAATTAATCATCACGGGTACGAAGATCTTGATCTGCAGGAAGTAAGTTTAGTAGATCTGTAGATCTGACATCTAATCAACCATATGTAGCTGTCAATCTATACGCTCATTACCTGGGCAGACTTCTGAAGTTCAAATTGTTATGTTTATCTGAGATTTACGTTCGCCCACGGAGTTCAATACGGCGAAGACTGAGGATACTGCTTGGTCAAAGTAAAATGAGCTCCCCCCCCTGCTCTTTCCTGTTGCTCTCACCTTCGTCAATCCTCATTTCCTCCCCCGACCTCCCGAGATCATCTCCAATCACCTCGGCTTTATCTCAGATCACATTGGCTTTATCTCAGTGGCCATGAAGAAACGATGTTGCTGATCTTCTTCACTTCTATCATGTATGTATTCATCGTGATTCAAGCCGCAGTGTGGACTCGGTCCATCCTCATGAAGTTCAGCCTCTGGCAACTCGATCGCGAGATCAGATTGGCAGCCAATAACATCGACAATTACCTGCAGCACTTCATGGCCCATGGCAGAGAGGAGCACGAACTGTCTCCGCAATTTCAACGCTGCGAATGCCCACGGCGAAAGTCTTTTAGCTCGTTTCCAGGTACACCTAGCAACCTATCGACCTCTTAGCCCAGCTGAGGCCCTCGACCATCTGGAGGCTATGATCAGCATGTGCCTCAGACAGCATTTGGTGATTTCTCAGCTGATAATGAGGCTTCTCGCCATGGAAGCAGAGCATCTGGCCCTCCGAGCTGAGTTGGCGATACCTGTGGCGATGAACCTGAGACAGATTCGAAATATCGAGGCGCGCATGCGAGCCATCGAAACCTTGTTGTCAGTCTGCGCTCTTGTGTTTTTTTTTTACTCTTCTACCTTTTCACTGGCACGCACTAGTATCTAGTTACGGCCGTATCGACAAATGCCGAGTTCAACAGCCATGGACAGAAACAGGGCATCCCCGCCTTTGTGGGGAATCTGGGGAAGACCAAACTCGGCAATTGGTCCGTCATTTTCCCGAAGTTTTGCCCATTTCATTTCACTGTCCCCTCACGCCTCGGTCATCCACGATATCTACTGCTGCAATCATCAAACTCGCCTTTAGCGCTTCTATTCTATGTCTGATTAGAGATTCCTAAACCTGTTCAATGGATGGGAACTACCACGTTCATCCATACCGGAGACTTGCGTTCTCACATGATCGAGCCAATGAAGTTCTGTGGGTCCCTGTGATGGCTCAGACGGAAATGGGCAGCCAGACGCGACCAGTGGATTGCAGGACTTCGGATTTTAGCCTCGCCTGATGACTCGTTGAAAGATTTAGACCTCCTTCCCCCAATGTCTAAGACGCATATTGGAACCTATGGGTTGGTAGTACTTATCTGCTCTTTTGTTCGAATCCAAACATGTTATTGTTCAATTCAAAATTTTTGGTGAAATATGTGCACTACTCTAGTGTTGATGGCATAATCTAAGCTCCTTCTCAAACCTTAGAAGCTAAATATTGGCTCCGGTTCGACAAGAGTCCATGTGCATGTAGGTCGTGGGTTTCTCTTGGAGGTGTTATATCTTTTTGCTAAAGCTCACCTGGGTAGCTTTGAGAGAGACAGAGGCTGGCTCCGATGACTATCAGACGCGATGATCTACCCAACTCTATAATCAACCCGATGCTGTAGATGCTAGACATGGTTTTGACCGATGGACTGTCAGATAGTGGAACTTCATCGTAGATTTTCCTGAAACATACAGTAGAATGTTACCAAACACATCCATTCCCGGGCGTTGGTACCAATAAGTGAGGGATTTTGGAAAGTTTGGAAAGTTTGGAAAAAGCGGAGATTTGCGCTAAGTGGGACGTCTTGCGTGTTCAGAGAACCCTACTTCGTACCCTAGATACAGTCCGGAGTACCAACCTGCACAGGGTCCCAACTACCACTTGCTCATTACCTTGACGTCAGCACTGGAGATTTCCAACCCATATCCCCTGTTCAAAGTGCTGCTAGTCATGGCCGTTCCCGTAGCAATGCCTAGCTTCCTCTGCTAAGTTGTTGCCTCAGCTGCAACTCCTAAATTCGGCCGATCATCCCTTGGCCCACTATTCTCAGCCATACCAAGCTTCACGGCCTTCTGCTGCTTGTTTCGTATTGGTCCAATCGACGCCACAGCCTGTTTCGCGTGGTGCAGCATATCTCTGTCCCGTCCCTTTCGGCGCCACTTCGGACCTTGCAGTTTATTTCGTCACTTTCCCCACAGTTTTTGCCCGGGATTTCCAGCTCTCTCGTATGCCGAGTTACGGCTCCTTCGATACAGCCAGGAAGCCAAGAGTCGATGCCTCGGAGTATTTCATCGGAGCATATTTAGTCTGAGCCGCAGCCGGTTATGAGCTTCGTTCAAGAGCTAGTCGGTCCATATCTTTTCAATATGACTCGTCTTTCTACGTTGCCCCTGTTGGCTTTGGGCTCTCTTGCCGTCGCTAGTCAGGATGCCTTCAAGTCGAAATGCGCCAAGTTTGCCGATCAGATCAACATCCCCAATGTGAAGGTGAACTTTGCGGAGTTTGTACAAGGCGGGACCAATTTGTCCTTGCCTGATAATCCTACTTCCTGTGGGCGATTCTCGCAGGTTGTTTCGGTCGATTTATGCCGAGTTGCGATGGCTGTGACCACTTCCAACAGCAGTGAAATCACTTTGGAAGCTTGGTTCCCTGAAGAGTATAAGGGCCGCTTCTTGAGTACCGGAAACGGTGGTATCTCGGGTTGTAAGTGTTACAAAGTAGAATCCTTCCACCAACGTTATCTATTGCTAAACCGTCATCAGGTATTCAATACTATGACCTGGCGTATACAGCCCAATTAGGCTTCGCCACTGTCGGAGCCAACAACGGACACAATGGCACTTCTGGAAAGCCATTCTATCAGCACCCAGAAGTAGTGAAAGACTACGCATACCGCTCTGTCCACACCGGAGTTGTAGTAGGCAAGAAGCTCACCAAGCAATTCTATGACGAGGGCTTTGACAAGAGCTACTACCTAGGATGTTCAACAGGTGGCCGCCAAGGATTCAAGTCTGTTCAGAAGTACCCCAACGACTTCGATGGAGTGGTTGCAGGGGCCCCCGCGATCAACCTGATCAACCTGTTTTCATGGAGCGCACACTTCTACCCCATCACCGGCTCACCTGGGTCCGATACATTCCTGACAACCGCTCAATGGCAAATCGCCCACAACGAGATTGTCCGCCAATGCGACACCATCGACGGCGCGAAGGATGGCATTATCGAAGATCCCGATCTCTGCCGTCCAGTTCTGGAAACCCTGACCTGCGACCCCCACGCATCAAACAAGACAAGCTGTCTCACCAGTACCCAGATCAACACCATCAACCAAGTCCTCGCTCCGTTCTACGGACTGAATGGCACTCTTCTCTACCCTCGCATGCAGCCCGGTTCGGAAATGCTTGCTGCCAGCCTCATGTACGATGGCTCCCCATTCCCGTACAGTGAAGACTGGTACCGTTATGTCGTCTACAACGACCCAACATGGAGCGGCGAGAATTTCACCGTCAAGGATGCCGCAGTTGCCCTCGCTCAGAACCCGTATAACATTCAAACCTGGGAGGGCGATCTCTCTCCTTTCCAGAAGTCAGGTGGCAAGGTCCTGCACTATCACGGTCTGCAGGACCAGCTTATCAGCTCTGAGGATTCAAAGTTGTACTACTCGCATGTCTCCCAGACTATGCAGCTCTCTCCCTCCAAGTTGGATGAGTTTTATCGCTTCTTCCAGGTCAGTGGTATGGGTCACTGTGGTTCTGGTGATGGCGCGTATGGCATTGGCCAGGGGTCTTCCACTTATGATGGTACTAACCCCGAGGACAATGTGCTTATGGCTATGGTCCAGTGGGTTGAGAAGGGCATTGCACCGGAGACGATCCGCGGTGCTAAGTTCTCCAATGGCGTTGGCTCTCAGGTTGAATATAGACGCAAGCACTGCAGGTGGCCTCGTCGGAATGTGTTCAAGGGCCCTGGTAACTATACTGATGAGAATGCCTGGCAGTGTGTTTAGACAATAGAGTCAGCAACCTTCCTGTAAATAGAACGTTTGAGACTGAATGCAATTCATCTCTAGGCAGACCAGTTTCTTTCATTCCTGGCTTACATGTGTATTTTGAATGTGAATATAAAGTATTCCAAGTCGTCTTGTTCACTCAAACTCCAACAAAAAGTATATCAAGCACACGTCATGGCAGAAAGAAGCGGGAATCACCGGCAGAAGAAGGCGAAGGCGTTAGACCGCCTTACCTGTTGCCCGGGTTGGAAATGTTGATCTGAACCACTATATATCCCGCTATTTACTTTCCTCCAATATACATAGTCTGGTCAATCCATCATCCCGTTGACACGTACATATCCCGCCACACAATTCACCGTTCACTAGCCTGCGCACGGATCCCCGTTCGTGGCCCGCAGAGAAGCTACCCCTCGAACATATACCAGCCGCGTCAATCTCGCGTACTCAATCATCTACATTTCATCCGGCCTCAATCGCCCTTACACCCAAATTTCCCAACTAGAATGGCCGACCCCGAGATGGACGAATTCGCACAGACCCGCGGCGACGACGACCTCTTCGACGACGAGATCATCCCCGTCTCCGCGCCGGAACCACAGAAACAACCGGATGTCATTGCCCCCAAACCAGAGCCAGCTCCAGCTCCAGTACCCGAGCCAAAAGAGACATCTGAGAAGCCAGCTGCTGAGAAGCCAATTCCACGTGGGGAAACTCCGCAGCGCGGCCGTGGCGGAGAAAGAGGTCGGGGACGACGGAGTCGGGGGAAAGGCGGACGCGGTGGGAAGGATTCTGATTCAAAGAAGCCGGAAGGTTCTCAGCGGCGCAAAGCTTCTGTCCCTGTTACCGAGGCCGAATCCCAGGGAGATGCGGGTGCCTCGAAGTCTGAGAAGGTCACAGAGGGGTCCAATGAACAAGCTGTGGAAGTTAAAGAAGGCGATGCTGAATCCAATGGCGCTGAGGCCCAGCGGGTACCGGCAGTCCGCGGTGATCGAAGTGCCACGGGTGGCTTGAGAAAGGTAGGGACTTGATTCCTGTGGGATGAGGCGAGAGCAGCAAGCTAACTTTACCCAGCCGAAACTCACCGAAGAGGAGCTGTCCAAACGTATCGCTGCCGCCAAGGAAAATGCCGTCAAGAAAGCTGCGGCTCATGCTCGTGCAGAGGCTGACCAAGCGTCATTTGTGGAGCGCGAGCAGGTTGCAGCCAAGAAACGTCGGGAGGAACTTGCACACCGCCGCGTGATGGACAATGAACGTGAACAGAACAGGCAACGAAAGCTCAAGGCTCAAACTGGGCGTGAGTGGGATTCGCAGAAACGCGAGGAGGATTACAATCCCCGGGGTGGGGGCAGCCAATTCCGCCGAGGAATGCACGGCGGTGTATCTGGCTATGCACGACGAGACTTTGACGATGGTCGCGCAGAAGAGACACCCGATCACGCTGATAGCCAAAGAGGTCGTGGTCGAGGTGGCCGAGGCGGTCGTGGCCGCGGCTCTCCGCGTGAGCCTCGGGGAGAGAGGCCTGGCAAGGGTTTGTCAGACAGTAAATATGCAACACCAAGTCCTGCCGCGCCAGCGCTGGATAAGAGTGATTTCCCCGCCCTGCCTGAAGGAACCAAGAAGCCAGAGACGAAACCTGAGACCACTAAGATTGAGACTACTGTGGCACCTGCTACTGCACCTGCACCTTCAAAGTCACCAGCTACTTTGGAAAAGCTTGATTCTACATTTTCGCCGATCACTGGAACTTGGGCTGACCAGTTTGAGGATGATGAGTAATGATCTTGCTCACTGGACATATTCTGCTTTCCCTTTTCTTCGTTCTATTGCCTGTCACGACTTTCATTGGATTTCTCACGACACGAAAAGATTCATGTTTCTCTTGGAATTGATATCCCCCTTTTTGGCCGACTACTGGCTCATACAAAACTTTTTTGCATGCTTTACTCAGAGTTTCGGTTTTACTTTTCTCTACATAACTTATACCCGTAGGTAGATCTATGGAGATCACTCCAATGACAGTGAGACACTACTTCGTAAGATCATCATGTAACCCAAATTATAACTGACAAACAATCGTACACCGATTGAATCTTTGCATCTGGCTAAATTGATGCAGACCGTTGCTGTCATCGGCACTTTGATTGGTCTAGTGTTGCGTCAACGGACAGCAGTATGCAGCCAAGGAATTCTCCGAGGTCGTCAATATTTCCTAGAATTTTCCGAAGTCAGAAGCCGCAGTTCTCTGCCCATATATGTTATGGGCAATACAAGATGGATGATGATAGCCTTAGGGCTAGAGAGTCTCTCAGTACAAGTCGGGAGCGGAGATAGCCGCGTCTCCAAATTGGGGATACACTGAAGAATCAAACGGTAGAGCTCGGCTACGCAGTGCCGAAGTGACTAATGGAAACCCCGTGGGAAAGCTCCCCCCACAGTGGGGTTTGGGGTATGGTTCAGTTCTTTTATGGACGTGTCGCTCTTGCTTTGCCATGCGTCCTATTCACCATGTCGGAAAAACGTGAGGTTGATGGGGCTCAGCCGCCTCTCAGCCCTACATTGGACAACTCCCCGTCCGACAATCTAGGAACTGGACCAGATCTTCCGAAAAAGAGATTAAATGGAGGCCTCGATGCGTGGCTAAGCGTTCTTGCGGGATTTTGTGTTTTTGTGAACTCTTGGTGGGTTTCTCTCAGTATGGTTGCTGTTTTATAGTACTGACAACTATATCAGGGGCCTATTGACAACGTATGGAGCCTTCCAGGAGTACTACCAGACTGTACTTCTTCCAGATGAGACACCCTCGACTATTTCCTGGGTTGGCAGTATCCAAGCCACCTTGATCCCCATGGTTGGTCTTGCAACAGGCCCTCTAGTTGATGTCGGCTATCTACGGCCTCTAATCATCGCTGGGAGCTTTTTGACTGTCTTTGGAATGATGATGACCAGTCTCGCCACATCCTACTACCAAGTATGTTCATAACTCAGCTTCCATCCAATGGACTCTAACCGAAACAGATCCTCCTGGCCCAAGGCTTTTGCGTTGGAATGGGCGGCGGCATCTCCTACATCCCAGCCCTGGTAGTAATCTCCACAAACTTCACCATCAAGCGGCCCATCGCAATCGGCTGCGCATCAATCGGCTCAAGCGTCGGCGCGGTGATCTTCCCAATCATGTTCCGCCAACTCCAGCCCAAGATCGGTTTCCCGTGGGCAGTGCGCTGCATCGGCTTTATCAGTCTGCTGCTTGCCATCACCGCGTGCGCCATTCTGTGTCGACGTCCGGGTGGAAAGGCGCGCGCGAGAAGCCTTATCGATTGGAAGGCCTTCCGCGAGCCTTCGTTTATGATGTTCTCGCTGTCACTGACCTGCGTCATGCTTGCCTACTACGTCCCGATTTTCTATATTGCTTCGTATGCGCGGACGGTCGTGCATACGACGTCTAGCTTTAGCTTCTACATGGTTGCTATTGTGAATGGGTCGTCGGTCATTGGTCGTGTTGTGCCGTACCTGCTTGTTGCGTATATCAAGCCAATTGGGATTCTGATATTTGCTGTGGCGGCTTGTGCCATTGCTATGTTCGCTTGGATAGCAGCTACCGGTACGGCTGGCTTCATTGTTTGGTCATGCTACTTTGGTGCATTGAGTGGTGTTTTGGTCACGGCGCCTACGTCTATCGTGGCACATCCGGTGTTCTGTCCGGACTCTTCCTTCCTGGGAACTCGTCTGGGTATGATGTGGGGCATTTCCTCCTTCGGGGCTTTGGCTGGAACGCCTATTGCGGGTGCTCTGGTCAATCTTGATACTGCGTACTTTTTGCGTGCTCAGGTCTTTGCTGGGTGCATGATGGTTGGTGCTGTGTTATTGCAGCTTTGGCCTGCTGTTAGGGTTATTCGGTATGATCGTGATCATTCTTGTAAATCTTGACTTGCATTATAGAATTTATATACAGAATCTACATTTGGAAACGCGAACATACGTACTTCATGGAATTTGAGAGGCACCCAAACGCACTAATGGCTATGTTCGCCTAATTATAATCATAAGCCTGTTTATCAGTTAGCGAGTCTATTAAGACGCCGAAGATATAGCAGTATCCACTAAACTAGTATCTACCTACTTAAATATGGACGGCGTAATAACAGTCTGATTAAGTAGATAAGTCGATACTAGTAGAGAAACCCAATAACTTATATAACCCCCCTCCCTTTCCTTAACTTATAGATTAACCGTCCCTTAATTTATATCTCAATAAATAAAGAATTATACGAGTTATAGCGGATAAACTAATAGTCTAAGTTTCTTCCTTCTAAAATAGTGCCCAGGTCCGTGTCTGGAATAGAAACTGATGGGGTTGTCGCTGGCGTTCTTTTGAAATGTCCCCGAGTTCTAAGAACACCCAATTCAGCCAATCTTGAAAACGGATTAGTGTGGTTCTCCAGTACCAATATGGCCATTGGAAACAGAATAGACCCCATCTTAGTTCTCGCTTCGACGGGTTAAATTGACCTGCCTAAGGTCAGCATCTCGTGCGTTGCTAGCAGTATCAATCAGGGTCTGGGTCACAACATATCACCATTTCCGAGGCCCAATGCTGAAATTAGTTGAAATCAGTACTTATTACATGAAAACACACTTTTGTATTGCTACCAAATTTCACTTGGTGGACCCCTCGGAAGTGGTTTTTACACCTGTATCACTCTACCCATAGGGCTGTTAAGGACCTAGTAACGAAGATATATTAGACTGAGTATCCGGAGACTGAAGGATTAGGTCAGTCCCTTAAGATAGTGTTAAGATGATGATATACTTACTTATATGATTATCACCTAACGGGGTTATGTCAACCTAGGGGATAAATAGTAAGCCCGCGCTGATTCTAGGAATCAGCGTTTAGACTACTTCTCTTACAATAAATATTATTCATTATTGTGCACGTTATATCAGGGATCTATCTCGCTTACCCATTCATAACTCCGAGACTAGCGTAGTCTCACAACCACCGTCTACCACGTAAACATGCAAGGTAGTCCTCATTTAGGACCCAAGAGGTGTAAATGTGTGTAATTTCGAATCTTTCGTCAACACTTTATTACATATTATCCAAAATCTGCAGTGATGGCCAGCATGGAATCTCCCTCTCTGGAAACCGCGATTTCTGTTTGGAGTCAGGGGCATCTATCGAGAGTAGCCATTCTTTAATTTTGAGAAAGCTTTGAAAGGATTCGCGGTTGGAATGATATTAATAGTCTCGAATTAGAATCAGTGCGACGTACTTAACTTGTTCATGGTTTCATATACAGCCCAGTTTGTGTATGAGCTTGTAACTATACAGTACAGTTCCCGTCGCATGTGGCGGGGAACCACTGCACCAGGGGCAAATTGAATGTCAAAGCTGAGGGGAACATGAGAAGAAGAAAGTATAAGATAGAATACAGTAATGTTCGAAATCAGCTAGGGAGGTATAACTGATTTCGAAAACTACTGTAAAATAATTACAAACCAAAAAAGTGCGGTGCGATCTACTTCGCCTATAAATCCTTGCTGGTCGAAGCATAATCCTGCCCTTCCTTTTCCTCAACATTGAACTTCATTTTCCCCACTTGTCACTGCACGCAGCACCAGCGCCACTGGCACCACCGTACGATTTCCTCATGGCGGCTACCGAAAATTCTGGTATCAGCCTTATGACCCAATACTCTATAGTTCTACCGAAGAGGCAGGCAACTGACTCTTCCGGCAAACCTATACCTGCATGCGACCCCGATCAATGTGCTGCGGCAATAAAGGGGGAGGGAGTCCCCACCGATATAAGCTCGTTTTGGCATCAGAGAGCAGTTATACGTGGGATTCGTGATTCACTTCAATTTGCAACAAGCCCGGCAATTATTGAGCTATGCTCCGGTGACGATGGTCAGGCCCATCAATTTTCCCGCGCCCGCAATGCTCGCCTGATAATGAGTGATGCAATCCCCGATATGCAAAATCCTGCCACTCAGCCGTACTGTATATGGTATCCCGAGCTTGCATCAGAAGAAACATATCGCAAAGTTGCCCATCAGTATCCGTCTATGCGGTATCAAGTAGGCCGAGCGTGTGCTGCAGCATGCTATACGGATCTTTACAAAGAATTGGACCTTCTGCCTGACGTTTCTATCTCGGAAGAATCCCGCGAAGTCGACAAAGACGCCGAAATCTACAAGCTTATCATGTCCGCCTCCCAGCGATATGTTGTCATGGAAGATTTCTCTCGATCCGTTCATCTTGAAACCCCACGAACACCTGCGTTTCTGAATGGGGATATGAAGCCCCGATGGGCTTTGGGGCAGCGAGTTCTCCCTGGTAAAAATTTATCAGAGACGACTGCTGATGATATTGACATCGAGGAAGATGGATTTATCGGCTTGAAGGATATCAACCCAGTGGAGGACTACGCTCAACTGGGCCCAGGCCAATCCGATCAATTGTGGATGCCTCTTCCGCTTGATCTCCCAATTCTCGAAAAGCGCCTTCAGACACAAATGGCCGCGTGGGAGGGCAATGTGGATCGATACAGTCGACTAATGCACCCACGCAGGCTGAGAACCAAACTTGAATACAATTGTGTTCTTCGTGGCATTTATCACAGTACAACCTTCGCCAGATGGTGGGCCTATCAGCTGGAAACAAACCCTGGACGGGCTATCCTCCCAGGTAAATTGCTTGGCCAAGGCAATGAACGGGAGTGCAGGGAGATTCGCAGTGCGATTAATGCCCGTATGATAATGAACAATGATATCTCTGGTATCGACGATGACTCGGACTGCCTCCCGTGGGTCATATGGGGGCCCGTGAAGCCCTCTGAGAACACTTTAGCTGATCTGGTTCGAAAGTGTCCGTCCATGGGACATCAAGTTGCGATCACTTGTATAATATGTGATTACCAATCGATATTCGGAAGGTTGAAGCCCCCCTACACCAAATCCTTGTATGTGGCTGCCAGGCGAAGTGAAAATCCATTTTACCTACAATACCTTGAGGAAATCATGAAGAAGCACGACATAACTCCCCCGGACTTTCACAAGTTCAAGGACTTTGATCACATTGCACCAGGCTTGCAGACTGATCTGGAGCCTAGAGATGATCTCACTGATCACACTGTCAGGTACTATGACATGGAGATCGGGTATGGGCAATATCAATGTGGAAATGAACACGAAGAAACTCCAGGTACATATGGAGGTGGGCTAGCGAATGCGGGAATGGTGGAGAGATACATGTGGCTCTCAACTGAAACTGCACAGAAGTTAAAAGATGAAGTTGAGATACTCTACCCAGGTGCGGATACTGGTCTTTTGTATGGCGATGATGAACTTTATTCCAAGCTTTCACGCGGTATACAGCCCATGGATTGGTAGTATGTAGGTTTCGATATGTCAAATACTGTTAAAACCACCACCAACTGGGGCTGTTGAGGCCCTAGTAATGGAGACATATCAGACTAAGTATCTGAAGACTTAAGGGACTGGGTTACTCCCTTGAGATGATGTTTTACTTGCTTATATGGTTCGTTATATGGTTATAGAAACCTAGGTGATGAATAGTAAGCTTACGCTAATTCGAGGAATCAGCGTTTAGACTACTTCTTTTATAATACATATTATTCATTGTTATATACGCTATATCAGGCACCTATCTCTCTTGCCCATTTACAACCCAGAGACTAGCGTGGTCCCACACCCCTATCAAACCATCTCCCCTTAAGTAGTTAGTAACTCCTTATCCTAGACTTAATTATCTACGGCCTAATCGGGAAGTCATGGGGGTTTTTATATAATAGTCAGCTATTGAAACGATAGCTAAGAGCAAGTAGGGAAGGATATTATCCCAAGTGAATTTCAGGGTTCAAAATTAGTTACTGCTCAAGGTATTGCTTAACAGTCACTTACTAAGTCAGGGTTTTTCGGCTAAGAAACTTAGATAATAGTAGATCACCTAGACAAGTCAGGGGCTTCTTGCCAAGTAATGATTACCATGCGATCCAACAATTATCTCACTACCTAGGTAGGTAACATTTCATACTAGCTTATTAATTTGCATATTTCTTGTCTTCTTACCGAAATAATAAACAGGAGATCAGAATGATGATTATGCACGTGGGTTGGTCCATAAAAGCGGCACTAACTCATCATGACTTCATCTGGGGTTGTGGCAAGTAGGGATGAGGTCAAGATCCAAAGAAAAATATAAAGCCAGGATACTTTAACGGATTCGAGCAATAATTTATCACATTTTACTGAATACGCTTGTCATAAGTATACCACTTTCAAATTCAATTTATTTTCCCAACATCAACGCAGATCGTGAGTATACTTCACTGCCGACGATGCCCTTCCCGATGCACGCCCATATCTACTAAAATTCGCCATTTGTCAATGAAAGTTCACTAACAGCCTTTCTTTTAGATACCTACCAGAATGGTCAAAGAAGCAGGTCCCAGCGGCGGAAACAGCAGTTCCAACCAGCCGACATCCTCAGTCGCTGGGGGCACAAGTGCTACGCCCACGCCTGCCAATAATGTCGGTGGCGGCTCCGGTTGGGGAGACAAGCTCTGGTTATCAGGTCAAAATCAAGGACAGGGTCATGCAGATGTGTGTCAAGATTCCTTTCTGGGATTGACATCATGAGAATTACTGACAGGGTACTTTGACTCTAGGCAACAGATGCTAGATCAACAATGGGTTCATTTCTCGGTCTAAACGATCAGAAATCACGCGCCGAGAGCAAATACCTTCAGCGTGCAGGCTTGGCTGGAGATAGTTCCAGGCCTGTGAATGACCAAGGAGAGCCGACCTGTGCGAGCGAGGATCATTCGTTCATGGGACGAAAGCCTGGTAATGAGGGTTCTTTGCCTGGAATGGAGACTATCAGGAATATGACTAGTTGGTAAGTTTGATTTGATATATGAATAACTTGTTTGATACCTAACGAGGGACTTTCGATCTAGGAGGCCTGGCCCTAGTGAATAAATGAAGCTGTGGGTGCTGGACTTGATTTGTTCTTATGATATTTGTATTTTCTCGGTACTGAATGTGGATACGTCATATAAGTTACATACTGCTTAATTGTAAATGCAAGACAGACATGTCGCAATCTCAGGAGAATCAGCTCGTACATTCTAGCTATTTTGCTTTTTAAATTGATGTAAATGAAAGTGATGCGTAAGATAGGATATGAAAAGCTGCTGAATCATAGCTAGACATTTTTTTCAGGGCACAAAACACGGAGCAGGTAGGTTGCAACCAGGCGGAAGCGCGTCGAGCTGCACCGGTGCAGCTTCAAAACCCATACACATAAACTACTTCTTCATTCATTGCTGAAGAGAGTATATGGATTTGGAACCGCATTCTTATTCATAGGACCCTCAAAATCTCATACGAAGACCTTAGCTAAATGATTCCACCAGATGTATGTATTATTTTGTCTGATTTATAACTTAGAACCACTGCTAGATTGCTCCGTCTTTCTCTCAAGTGCCTTATAAAAAGCTTCTTCTAACTCAATCAACAGCCCAGTAACGGCTGCATCCCCGGCTGGCATAAGTTGCGTAAAAAGAGCGGCTGCTATGCCTGTTTGTCGATCGATCCACTGTCAAATGTTAGAACATAAGTTTATAGAAACGAACGCAGTGAATTAGTCCAATAGTAAATAGCTATGATTGAAATAGGAAAAGGATTTTGTCTTACCCAATGCAAGTTTGGCATCCCACTCCAATTAATAGTACCTGCTCGCCGTCGGCGGGGAATATCCTTCAGCGTCATAGTACCGGCTATACAATGATCTGCCTGTGCGTCATCATCTGATGATCCGATCCCAAGGACTCGTCTCATCTGAGAACCGAGAGGCTTCGGCATGGCCATTCGAGATGCCTCGCTCAACTGGGGCTGAAATAGAATGTTAATGCTATCATTGGACAACAATGGATATCCACCTCCCACAAGAGCAGAGAGTAATTTCATATAGTCGTTGGGCGTGCTGAATAGGCCAATTCCACCCAAATTATGTCTAGCAGGCTGATCCAGAATGATAGGTCCTTTTTCAGTGGACTTTTCGCCTTGGTTAATACTTATTCGGTATCCCATCTCCAATGGAGAAGGCAAAGTGTCGCGATGCAGTTCTGGACGAAACGTAGTTGAGTTTGCTCCAATCTTTGACCAGATATTCTCCTGCATGTATTCTTCAAGTGTGCTTTTGGTCAAAATTTCAATCTTGTTTTTGTAAGAATCTAGATCCAAAGAAAGGAAAGGAAAGGAAATAGCTCTGAGCTACTCACTACTCGTCCAGACCAGTCTATTCCACCACCATAAGCCCATGATGTTCCCGGCTGGAACATGAGCGGATGTGTATATCCTTCCTAGAACAAGTTTAGACTTAGCAATTCAACTTTATTCAGACAATTTATAAAGCAACACAGGCGACCTTACCAAACTTCCAGAAAAGGTATGTGTTGTTCGACCTCTGGATTCTGACCATTTTTGAAGTAATGCCGACGACCTGTCATACATGAACCCTGAGCTATGACACATCAGGTCACTTGTAAAAGCTCTTATTAGTACGGAGTTTCTTCGCAAAATCGGCCGACCCTTGGCGTCGTTCCAAGCTCTCTTTGAGCCAAATAAAACTTACCGCAGAGTCAGCTTTTTGCGCAAAGGCTCAAGCTTATCATGGGACAAAGACTGTGAAGTGTCTTCAGTGGGATAAAAGTGTGAGGCGTTAGTTACAACGAGGCACACAGTGTGTAATTGAATTTTACGTACCATTGCTATCTACGAAAACTTCGATATCTCTGAGCTCAGGAACTATTTCGCGAGCATCATCGTCTAATGAGACAATGCCCCGTTCAACCAGCTGCATAACAGCTACTGCTGTTGCTAGTTTGGTCATGGATGCAATCCAACATAGCGAGTCTTGGTTCACAACAGATGCATTTTGTGTGTCAAAAGTCGCTTTTCCGGTAGCGTGATTGTAAAGTGCTTTCCCTGTGAGTGTTGATTAGTATTTCAAGGACATGTCATCCATCAATATTTTCAGAAGAAATAAAATACTCAAGGATCAAGTGGGGGAAAGGTGAAATGTATACCTGAACGGTCAATAGCAATGAAGACCGCGCCGTGTAAAGACCCCGTCGATGGGTCGGTGAATTTTTCGAGAATCCGATTCAGGTCTTCCATTGTTTTGTAAGTATGTTGTTTTATGTATGGTAATAGATGGATTTTCGGATGCAGTTCCAATTCCCCCGCAGTATATATGTAAGAAGGCGTAGGTCTACCGAGGTCTGCTTTAACCGAGGTTTGCTCAAGATCAATTGTTGAATGCACTCATGGGTCCCGGGCTCGATGTGTCTGCAATTTATGGTTTGCTGTGATGTTTGCCATCGGCGAATGACCTGACATACAATGTTGCTGTTCCAATCTCTTTGCCAAATTAAAAATTAAAATGCATTCGTTTCAATTGTGACTATTCGACTTTCGTGTCTTTCCCACGAAATTTATCACGCAAGGCTACCAATTTGCCTAATAATTTGCCCTTCAAGCCCTGTGCGCCAAGGGCTTCGGCCTCATTCAGAGACACCACACGCCGAACGAGAATGTTGAAAACGGTCCCGAAAGCAAGTGCAATAACAGTACTAGTGAGGATGATCACATTGTAGGGCATACTGAAATCCGGGGTAGGTAGCTGAAGAAGAAGACTGGTAGAGCGGATATAAATCGGCGCACTGTGGGTCTTGTCCAAGATACGGATGACTGCAGGTGCAACATTAAATCCGCGATTGGCATCCGGAGGATACTCGGTATATCGCAGAATGGCCTTTTCGAAGTCGTATGTGAGGGTAACGGTCGATGCAGCTGGGACTGAGAGCGCAAGCTCCAATTGTGTCCCCCGTTCACGGTCAATTGCAGGACGGTAGTATGTCTCCTTGATAATGTCGGAGGCGGGAATTTCGCGTGGGATCCCATTGCTTCCTGTAATGGTTGCACGCAGAGTGTGAATATACGGCCGCAGGAACCATGGGAGACTCTCAAAGTAAATGAAATCGACCGGGCTGGTGTTGGACGGGTTGCCAAAAATGATGCGCATACCACCACGCTCCTGGCCATGACCAACAATGGTTCGTTCGGCATGAAGTACAGGTTCATCTAATGGAACTTCCGCAGTCACTGCTTGTTGTGGAATTGAGAGGTCAAAGGATGTCGATGGCGCTAACTCGAAGCAACGAGTGAACCCATCATCCCTTTTGATTTCTTTGGTTCCTTCGGGAATGAAGACGCTCCTTTCGTGGGGAATCCTCAAACAGACGCTTTGTTCACTGGCATGATCGGAGTCTGCAAGAGGGCAAACGCCAGTCAGACTCCGACCAAAGATTTCCGCTAAGCTCCAAGCTTTGTCGTTCATCTTTTCTAACGGGTAGCAGGTGTCGTCTGCGTGATAAGATTTGGAGGTATCACAAATCAATTGGTCGTTGGGCACAGGTCGCGGAATTGGGTTTGATCGAGGCCGCTTTGAACGGTCAATGTCCAAGACCATATCAACAGTTTGCTCGATTTGAACCACACATTCTCCATCCGACGAACAAACCGGCTTCACGTCCACGGACATACTCTGCCATGCTGCATCAAATAGCTTGTGGCCATCAAATAAGGTAGAAATTCCGGCTTTTCCTTTGCAAGGAAGCAACTTCAAGAAAGGGGTTAAGTTCTCTGTGCAGACAACCTCACCGGGCAGGGTTCCATGCAGCAGATGAAGTTGGTCGGCGGCCGGGTGGTCTCCAGTGGGCTCGAAAGAAACCACAGGCCGAGTGGTGCGTGTTGAATCTACAAAGTTCAACGAAGCGCAGAACAAGCCGGAGAGGGATTGAGTCAGGGTGATCCATTTTGCAAATGCCCTAACAATGTTAGTATTTCGAGTCATTAAATCAACTCAAGTGCAGTAGTGCATACTCATCATCGCCTGGCGCATCGATCCATGCCCATAACTCCACGCCGGTGCCTCCTTCTTTGCTTCCGTTCCACGGCCTTGGTCCCCAGCTTTCAGCATCCCATCTTCCTGTAGTAAATCGTAGATGAAGCTCTTTTGTGTGAGCGTGCTGTAAGATTTGACCAAGCGCGCGGGGCAAGTATCTAAAGTGCTGTTGGTCGAATGATTGCTGGGATGTATTGCTCCGGAAGTTGAAAGATGCTAGGAGGGAGGATTGAGGGAGAGGTTGCAATAGTAAGTTTTCATGATAATCAGAGGCAATTGCCGGCAAGCTCCATAGCGATAAAAGGAGTGCGACAAAGGGCAAAGAGAGTATTGAGAGGGCCGTCATGACTTCATGCTTGCCGGAGCTCGGTCTTCATGTATGCCAATTGACAGGAGAGGAGAGGGTCGATGGCGAAAAGACGGGAGTGTGAGCTATAGCTCCAGACAGCCAGACCCTGTTAATCAAAACAGAAATCAGAAGTCGGCATCGAATATATAGCGAAATTCCCAAGATCTGAGAGTTGTCCATCTGGTCTGTTGACTGCGGAACTCACCGCCTTCCTTGGCGCCAAAAGCATCAAAAACGAAAGACTTCGCAGTTCGCCTCCAATCAGCCCATTGACAATCACTCGCCCTTTCTTTTGCTAAAGGCCTGGTGCATACGCAATCATCATGGCGGCGGAACAAAGGAAGCTGCTTGAGCAGCTCATGGGAGGTATGTGGCTCTCCTTGTACCCCTCAAAGCCAAGCTCCCGGTCTCAACATGTCCCCGGATCAAGCTAACACTGACTGTTCTGATAGCGGACCAACTCATTGGAGCTGGTGCCCAGGGTCGCAATTCCCAGCTCTCTATCACAGACGCAAAAGTTTGCCGGTCCTACCTGGCTGGCACATGCCCGCACGATCTGTTCACCAACACCAAGCAAGACCTCGGCCCTTGTCCGAAGGTTCATAGTGAAGGGTTGAAGACAGAATACGACACTGCATCTTCGTCAGAGAAGGCGAAATGGGGCTTTGATTTCGATTACATGCGCGACATGCAGAAATACATCGACGACTGTGACCGCCGAATCGATAGCGCGCAGCGCAGACTTGAAAAGACGCCGGATGAAATTCGACAAACCAACACTCTGGTGCGTTTAGCTTCTACTTTCACCATTTAAGATCTACCTCTATAGTCTGCTCTATTTACTGACTTGTGATAGCTCAAACAAATCGCCGATCTCTCCAACACCATCAACTCCGGTCTTCTCGAAGTCTCCATCTTAGGCGAGACAGGCTCCGTCTCACTGGCCATCAGTGAAATGCACAAAGTCCGCACTGCAAAATTCCAAAAGGAAACTCTCGAACGCGATCTCAAGAACCTCCAAGATACATCTGGTCCGTCCGGCCACCAGAAGCTGCAGGTATGCGACGTGTGCGGCGCTTACTTGTCTCGTCTTGATAACGACCGCCGTCTGGCCGATCACTTCTTTGGAAAGATGCACATGGGATACTCGGATATGCGCAAGAATTGTAAGAAGCTGAGCGTCGAGCTCAAGGGACGTGCCCCGCCTGTGCGTCAGAGCGAAGAAGACGATAATCCTTACACCTCTGGTGGTCGTCCCAATGCCGGCCGGGGTCCTCGCTATGGTGGGGGTGGCGGCGGTGGCTATAGACGACGTGGTGGTGGTCATGGAAGATACTGATCTGTGTCCCTGGCTTGACCTCCAGGTCTCGGGTTCGATCCTTTTGCATAGCGCAGGCGTTTGATTTGATTTCGTGAACGATGTTCGGACGGTGATTAGGGGGATACTAAAACAATGTGCTCAATATCCAGAACTTATTTTTCTTTTCTTTTGTACTTGGCCATGGACATATGTTACCAGCCCTAAACCAAAGAGCACTACAGCAGAGAAGATGTTGCTTTCCTCTCCTATTCTTACGGTCAATGACCCATGCAGAAACTACATGAATAACTCGAAACTGCTACTTACATCTAAATCATTGGAGATTAGAATGTAAAAAAAGTTAAAGATAAATTCCTTTCAGCTGGAACCGGAGGGAAATGATGCAGGTCTCTGCCTATGAAGCTAGCTTTCATAAAAAGCTATGGACAACCAGTTTTCATGGTGAGAAAACCCAGCAGAAATAAAAGTTGGAAACTCGGTGGTTTGTATTCCACGTCAATAAAGCAAAAAGACCCCTTTTCCCAGACTTGAGCCCCGAACACCAGACTGCGAGTACAGCCTTGCAAAGGAATGATGAAAACTTGACATGAAGTAAACTGTACAGAACAAATGTGTGACAATCGTAAGCATAATATTATCAGGGCCCTATTGCGGGACCTGGCCACCGTTCGCTTGGGTCTCGAATAGAGCTTGCATCAAGGTGTCGTAGGATGCTGCGGCCGCCGGTTGACGAGCCAGGATCTCACGAACAACGTTCAGCTGTGCTATTTCCACATTGGGTGCGGTCTGCAACAATTTTTGAATAGCAGGTGCTTCGACTTGGGAGCCCAACACTTGCACTGCAGCGGGAAGACCAGTCAGCGGCGGCTGCTGAGCCGGGACTTGTGCCGGTTGTGTAGGCGTTTGCTGATTGAAAGCTCCATTGTTCGAGTTGTACCCGCCGAAGTGGGGAGGAGTTGGTGCGACTCCAGCGCTGAACTGAGGTTGTTGGGGAGTTCCCGCTACAGCTGTGAGGGGGCTAGCAGATACCGGTGGCTCCTGGCTAGCCTGGTGGGAGGATGGCTGTACGGAGGGAGGGTTTGACTCGCCAGTCTTGACGACGAAGATGGTGAGAAGCATGCGCTCAGTGATAGGCGGTTCCAGTGAGATGTTTTCAAGCAGTTCAATGAATTCAGGCATCTTTGTGGTGCCGACTTCCATGGGAACAATATAAGTATCCTTGACGGCAGACAGGGGGTGCTTTCCGATCACACCATATCGTTGGCGACTGTGGAAGTAATCAAAGATCTTGTCGAAGCCAGTGCGGTCCTCGGGTTGGCTTGGGCTGGTGACGGCAATCACAGAGACGTCGGTTGACTTGCTGAATTGCAGACCGCAAAGGTAGTCTGTCGCCCGTTTTATGTCGATACGTCCATCAACAAACATTGTGGGTGGCGAAAGCTGGCTCCATGGGATGCGGCCACTCAGGTCGGCGCCTCCTACATGCTTTGCAGACGATGAGAACTCTCCAATGGGGAACATTTTAACATTTCCACGCCACACAGTGCCATCGTCATCAAAGTCCTTGGGTGAATAGGGAGGAGAATCGGGCTCGTCGTCTCGCAAAAGCTGGTCGATCTCGGCATCTGCTTGGACCCGGCCCCTTGGCAATGACTCGCGAATATTTGCGGCAACCTCGGGGAAGACATGATCATGATGAGCACCTTCTGGCGAGACGCCGCGATGGGCATTGTCAATCTTGGATCGCTGCACCTTTGGACTGTTCGGACTGTTGCCGGTGGGACTGCCTTCACCCTCTCCGGTGGCACGACGGGGTCCGGCGGAGAAGACAGAGTCGTTGGCGGCATGGTTTTCGTCTTCAATCAACTCTTCTCCCTTGTGGGTGCGTCGGATCCGGGGGCCTTGCTCTTGGATAATCATGTGCTGACGCTCTGCTTCCCGCTTGATCTCGGCGTCTTTCTGCTGCAACTCTTCGCTGGCCATCTCCTGCGATGTCATTTGAGACAACGTCTTTGGAGAGAGACTACCTACTAGCAAACGATCTCGTAGAGAAGCATTCTTCTTTACATTGAAGTTGATCGAGCGGAATTGCGACTTATATGGTTCAGTGGGATCGCCCGAACGTCCGCAGATAGTCTCGTACATGGCATCTTCAATGGATAAAGCGAGTGGCTGGGCAACATCCTCCGCCGTCTGTCCAGCATTCAAAGTAAAAGCCTTGGTCTTTTGGGCCGCGGCAATCTGTTCTACAAATAACCTCAGGAGGGCTGTAGCCACACTCTTGCGGGCAGGAATGAGACCCTGTAGATTTCTAACCACGGGTGCTTCAGGAGTAGGGTCTGGCTTGATTTGAGGCTCATTCGACGTTGGAATGCCTGCGATGGTAGACTGCGGTGTGACTCTTTGCTGTTTGACCTGTGGACCCTGAAATAGAAAGTCAGCATGTCCAGCGAGTGGGTTGAATAAGGTGCCAGAACTTACACTCTCGGCCTCTGCGCTTTCCTCAAGCTTACGCTTCTGCGTACTTGATCTTTGAGAGTCAGCGTGGCCATTTTTCTCCGGCTCAGCTGATGCAGACAGAACAGGTGCAGGGGAATCATGGGGGCCAGGAGTAGTCGAGGTTGCAGCACGAAGTGGTGTGTCCGCATCTGTCCTGCTCTCACTCAGTCTTCCTTTGCGAGCGGTTCCCTTCTTGCCCTTCTTGCGCTTGGACTTTTTATCTTGTGCTTCTTGGCGGCGTCTCTCCGCGACCTGTTCCCAAGGCTTCTCGCCAGCAGAAATTTTGGCTAGCAAGGCTTTGTGGTTTTGAGGCCGACATTGTTCACAGTAGTATTCATCTGGCTCTTGACCCTTTCCGAATGTCAACCCCATGCAGTCGTTGTGTTGCCATGCCAAGCACTGGTCGCAGCAGATCATATCTCGCTCAACATCTTCTTCTTCTTCATATTCCCCACAGATGCATCGGATTATCTCCTCCTCGTCTTCTCCTTCTCCTTCGCTGGGACCCGGGGTAGGTTCGGCAGACAGTTTCGCGCTCCTCTCCTTGGGGCTCTTGCTTTTTCCTTTCTTGCCGGGGGCATCGGGAGGTAACTCGAGGTTCTTATGCTGGCCCTTGGTAGCGCGACCGGAGCGGCGTGGTTCATCTGGTCTTGCCATTAGCGTCTGGTCATTGAAATGGATTGCGACGTAGCTTGGGGTGGCGTTACCACCCCAAAGTGGTCTGACTGCGTTGTCCACAGTGGAGTACGAAAGCTTACCAGCCATGATAAATAGTGGATTGAGCGCGTACTACAGCGCTAGCAAGATAAATGTCTCTTCAGTTGTTCACAATCTGGGAGCAGATTCGCTACCCAGGGCTGACCACAGTCTCTACAGGCTCAAGGCGCTAAAGTAATACAACAAGAAGACGATGAATAAAGAGCCCAAGGTATTACTTGATCAACAAATGTGATCCAGAAAGGGCGCAATATTTTTTGAAACGGACGCGCGGGGGTGAGGAACGCGCCGAAGTGGGTGTTGTGCTGAACTGTGCAATCCCTTGCTGCGCGTCAATTCGACACTTGGCGCTGGGCGGGGTCGCGTGTAGGTGTTCAAACCTCAATCGCACACTTAGCAATAGAGGCTGGAGAGCAAGCTTGTAGTGAACACTAGAGTGGTGTTGGGCAGTGTCAACTCTGATGGCAAACGCAGTGATGCCAAGGGAGATGAAAGAAGGAAAGAAGTGAAGCCGTTAGGTGAGGAGAGATCAAGTGGCTTTGCCTCCCGAGATTAGTCAGAGTCATGTGACATCACCAGCCACAGGTTCGCGGCTTCGAATCTTGAAGCTTCTCCAGATTCCCCACTTGATCATAGACGCTTCTCTTATTTAAGCCGAGGCTAGTTCAAATTGCAACCCTTCTATCTGCTCTTTAGCTACCCTGACAACTCTCTTCCCACCCTCTTATCCCACTCATCCCAGATAATATGACCGACGTTCGATCCCTTCTTCGGAGTGAGCTAGCTTCGCGAAAGGGCACATCCCAACCAAACACAACAGGGAACCGCGTCACCAAGAAGCGTAAAGTTGACAGCGGAGATGGTGTGGTGCGGAAGAAGCTCCGCGCGGCGGACCTTGATGCTATCCCGTCGACCTCTGGCGCACCGAACACCGAGCAAACCACCGAAGATTACGGCTCAGGCCTCATCGAAGATGTCGCAGGCCCAAACTCTTCACTTTCGGCACCAGAGGAGGTCGTTGAGGAAACGCATCTTGCAGAAGACACGATAATTATGGCGCCACCACAACAACCTCAAGCTATGGCTATTGATGAAGACGAATGGGCGGCATTCGAGAGAGATGTCGCTGCACCGTCTCGTTTACCACAGGCACCTGCTGCTCTCGCTGCAGAGGCTACGATATCAGCAGCACCAATTACTACCGAGGAACTTGCTGCGCAGCAAGCACGAGAGAAGGCTGCTGCCACCCAAAATCGAGATGCAGAACTGGAAGGCCAGCGCGAGGATGCCGCGCGCTTTATGGAAGAGGAGTTCGATGAGATGGATCAACTGGAGGAACGTGTGAGGATTCTTAAGCAGAAGCGCGAGGAACTGCGCAAGAAACGTGCCGACGATCAAGCACGGGATGAAGCCATGGGGTCTGCATCAGCGGAGCAGGACTCTGCTGAAAGCGACAACGACGATGATGACGATGACGATGAGGATTGGGATGACTGGCGGTTGAAATGATTGCCTTTATGGTGAAATTGAATCTACGATTGGTCTATGCGAGGAGGGATTGCTCCCTCTCGTTTACAATGATACCCTCAGAGACTGAATGGCATTGGCGTCATGCAATATCGCCGTTGGCCTGTATTATAGAATTTGCCTGTGCTAATTTTCAAAATTTAGGTGTCTAGTAGCATCTATTGACTTGGCTTTTCTTCTTCACCTTCCACCTTGTTAATGTCCATGTAGCTTCGTAGTCCGTCCTTGTTGACCTTCATAGCCTCTTCAATTTCTGCCTCTCCTTCGCGAAGAAGATGCTTGCCACGGATGAGATCTCCACGCTGTCTCCGTTTCTCTTCCTCCACTCTCTTTTCTCGATCTGCTAAGGCCCTTTCGCGCTTCTCCCTCTCGTTTCGTTTTCGGTCAAGCTCGGCTTGCTCCTCTGGCGTCATTTTTACCTCCGGCGCTGGAGAAAGGGTAGATATATATGCTTCGATCAAGGGATTGCGCACTTTGGATGCGAGCCCAATATAGCGAATATCGGTAATGACTACAGTTGGCAAAGCTTCCACGTTGGAAGAGCGATTCAACAAGTGCAGCGGGACTGATTTGAGCAAGGCGGAGAGATCCGATTTCCGTGTGCTTTCCGGTTGCTTCAGGCGCGAAATGTACTCCCTGTAGAATTTCTCACGGTCTTTATCCGAAAGCTGAGAATCCTTCATCTCCGGCTCTTTCCTGTACTTGCGCTTGAACTCTGGCCAGTAAAGCTTAGGGGTACCATGTTCTTGCAGCAATGCCAAGTACTTAATGCGCGGGTCTGTCTTTTCCTGTTTCGCCTTTTGTTCCCTGACGTACTGTATGCGGTCTCGGGTCCAATTAGAGAATATCTCTCGTCGTGCTTTCATGTTCGAAGGCGCCGTGTATCGGGGATCTTCAATGATAAGCCCTTCTTCAATGACTTTTTCCCATGTCGTGAACGGATTGATTTGGAAATCGTCGAGCAAATCACGAAACAGGGCTTCAGCATCAGCCTCGGTGAGCGGTAGACCTTCTGCGCCCTCTTCCCATTCTTCTTCGCCGGCCTCGCCGTATTCACCTGGATCGAGTCCATAGTCCTCTCCCATGGCGGCGAGTTGGTATTCCATATCTTCCTCGGTGAATTCTAAAGGTTGGTCTTGGACACCCTCGCTTTCAGTTCGTGCGCGCTTGGATGGCTGGTCATCTTCTCCTTCGCTGTCTGTGACCTCGACCTCTTCGTAGTCATCATCGTCCTCTGCGCCTTGGGTTTCTTCTGTGGCTTTTGGGGGTTCTGTTTGATTGTCTTGCTTCGAAGGCAAGGCCTGTTTGATAGGTTCCTCGGGCTCCTCGCCTCGTTCTTTCTTTTCCTTCTTCTCGCGCTCGAGACGGTCGAATTCAACGACACCCTTCAAAACCTCCGGTGGAAATTTCCAAAAACTGTCGTTTGTGTCGGGATTATAAACAAATCGCCGCCCAAGCTTGGTCTTAACCAGTAACCATGGCGCGCAATCGGGTATGGCATATTTCTTCTTTGGTCGATCTTCGGGCCCTCTCTGGCGGTGGTCATGATAGCCTCTGCCACCTCGAAACCCTCCCTGGCCGCGTGAATCGTGTCGTTGGTCAACTTGCGCAGGTCCCGGGCCAAATCCTGTAGGTCCATAGGGTGTTGAAGAGAATGCAGGTAGTGTCTCAGGGTCATAGGTTGCTTGTGAGAGATTGGGCGCAGCCGGCACAGGCTCGGGGACTGCTTGAGGTCTCGTATATGTCGATTGCTTGGTTGAGGAGTTATAATAGTATAAATGGCCTGTTTTAGATGTTAGATATGTTCAACCTTTTCAATAATTCTCCAGCGCAAGACTTGCCGGTGGGAGCTCGATGCTCTGTCCACCCTGGGGGCAAAGGTGGAGGAGCGGTGTATGTTGATTTAAGCATGGCGATCCAAGTTAATTCAATTGAAAGAGGTATTTACAGCACAAAATGCCCCAGTTGTTGCAGGTGAAAGTGGTGAAGTCGCCGCAACGAAGCTTTGGTGTGGTCAAGTGGTCCGAGCTTTGGATGACAGAGGACGCGCCAGGGCGAGTTGCCTGGAGCTTCTACGGTCTTCACCAACCTCCATCATCTCAACCCTCCACAACCCTTAGTCTCGGCCCTTTCCAGTTTTTGTTACTTCCATTCCTAAATCACGATGTCTCGGAGATACGATTCCCGGGTTTGTTCCCCCCGTCATTCCATTTGTGCAGCTCCGGCTAACTTATGACGCTGCTGGAAAGACCACCATCTTCTCCCCAGAGGGTCGACTTTACCAGGTCGAATATGCGCTTGAGGCTATCTCTCACGCCGGTACAGCCCTTGGAATTCTAGCCAAGGATGGAATTGTCCTCGCTGCTGAGAGGAAGGTGACTAGCAAGCTGCTGGAGCAGGATACCTCCGCCGAGAAGCTCTACACAATCAATGAGTACTGCGCCTTCACTTGAAGTCCATCTTGGGCTCATTATTTCTATGGACATTATGAAAGCTAACCCTTCTCAGTAACATGATTTGCGCCGTTGCCGGTATGAACGCCGATGCCAACATTTTGATCAACTACGCTCGTCAGAATGCCCAACGCTACCTCCTTACCTACAACGAAGACATTCCCTGCGAACAGCTCGTCCGCCGACTTTGTGACCTGAAGCAAGGATATACCCAACATGGTGGTCTCCGTCCATTCGGTGTCTCATTCATCTACGCTGGATACGACCATCTCCGTCAGTTCCAGTTGTACCAGAGCAACCCTAGTGGAAACTACGGAGGCTGGAAGGCCACGAGTGTGGGTGCAAACAATGCAAGCGCACAGAGTCTCCTTAAGCAAGATTACAAGGAGGATTGTGATTTGAAGGAGGCCTGTGCTATGGCTGTCAAGGTGCTAAGCAAGACCATGGACTCCACAAAGCTGAGCAGTGAGAAGAGTAAGCTTTTTTCTGTCACATTTTCTTGTGCACCAATCCACATATCGAATCACACTAACCTGTTCATTAGTCGAGTTTGCAACAGTAGGCAAGACCAAGGATGGCAAGATCTACCACCACCTATGGACTGCGGACGAGATCGACGCTCTTCTTCGGGAACAAGGGTTGGCTAAGGTCGATGATGAGCCTGAGGCTGGCGACATAAAATAGATCTAACTCTCATGCCCTTTTTCCGTTTCAGATACTCAAATACAATCCTCTTGACTATAATCATCGAGTCGCATATCTGAAAGGTCTTGTTCAAACAATACATGAAGATGGTCTTGCTTATGCTGCATCTGTTGTTCACTCGTGACGTGTCATGCACATCGGCCCAGTCTCCAGAGTTGTCTGTCCGATTCTGGCTCCCAATTTGACGATGTTTGCTCTGAAGATGTTCAATCAGACATTACACGTAGGCTCAAGAGACGTGGATGCGCCTAAGTTTCTGCAGGTTCCCCAGTCTTTACAAATACATCCTCCGAGCGCACCTGATGCCATATATGTCTCCCAACTCCCCCATTCTTGTCAAAAAAAAACTTTTCTAATTTTACAGTAAGAAAGAGGGAGATATTGGCTCCTTGCTCTAATTTGCATCTTGAAAACTTCGGCTTACACATGTCTCAATGCATCCAAAGGTACAACAGGTGTGGAATCCGGCGGGCAACTATATATGTTCCCGTTGTCAGCCAACGGCCTTGCCCACCTCGCCTCGCAAAACTACCATTGTCATGGCCACTTTCGACCTTTCCGAATGATTCACACATTGGGCAGATTTTGTGACAGGTAACGTTATGATTCAACACACTTATATAAGCACACTGCATGTTATCACGTGCGGGGATGAGATGAGGGGCATTCCGTTTCACACGGTGTGTCCCTTTTACACAACTGTATCTTTTTGACTCCGACTTTGAATGGCCCTCATTCAATCTGAAAAAACTCAATGGCCTTCTCACCTGGCTGTAGTAGGTGCCACTCTTCACCCTGTGAGACTCGACCTGTCTCAGCGAACCGCTCATTCAGGGAAAACACGGCGCTTAAGGCATGACTAGTCCCCATTGACATTATTTGGGGGCTTGCCAGCCTATGAACGGAAGGCAATACAGAAATTGATCCAATTATATTTCTAGCCAGTCTTTTCAAGAGCAATGTGCTTCTCATATTACCTTGCAGAAACTCGATTGGGACTTGATGCCACGAACAAAATGATGAAACACTGCAAACTCCACCCAAAAAAATCGTTACAGGCAAAGGCAAACAAAATTGGAGGCAAAACTTCCGAAACAAATGAAAACAGGCCGCTATTCGCCTGTACAAAAGAGAGAGAAAAAGAAAAATGATGATAGGGACACCGCTGGCTATGCGCAACCAAGCCATTACTATCTGAGCAGAGTGCTTCTTCGGTCGTCCCGTTCCCGTTGCAGGGTGCGGATCTCTTTCTCTAGGTCCACGATCATTTTGTGAGACCGATCCATCGAGGCTACCAGGGTGGCACCCTCTCGTTCCCACCGGTCCAAACGTTCGACCTCGGCGCTTCGCCGGCGATATTTGGTCTCAATTTTCTCGCAGAGTCGGCAGTTGCTCTTCTCGTTCTCGGTCAAGTTGACGAGTCTCATCCCGCAAGTTTCGCCAGTGCGGTACTCATAGTTGCATCGGTGAGCAAAGCTGGTCCAGCTCCAATCCCCACACGCAAATCTCTTTTGGTTGTAGAAGCACATGCCTATCAGATCCGTTAGTTTTGCTCAATCTGCAGGTGCCACATAACTCACTTGCTCACGATTCCCCGTCTTTGTTTCAGCTTGAATATCGATTCGCTATTGGTTGCACCTGACTTTGCGGCACACTTGACCAACTTGATAGGTTGCCCTTTTCCTGATTTCCTGAAGGGTTCAGGTAACCTCAAAAATTTGAAACAAGAATTGAGTGGAAGCTTTCTTGTGAGGAATATCTATGGGTCTGGATTGCAGAATTCAGACTTGATTTATGAGACCGAAGAGGGTGATTGAGAACTGAAGGTATTCTGGGGGACCTGACTGGCCTATTTATGTTTCGGGCGTGGGTTTCGTATACCACAGTTCCGATATCCAATGTTTGTGTCGTTGCACTATTGATCGACGGTTACCAGTGCCCAATGGCTTATCATCTGTGGGTTCCAGTCCACGAATTTCACACAAACTCCCTGACCGTGGATCCGGTTGGCTGTGAGCAGATCTCCGCGAGGTGGGGACGGTATGATGGCCATAGTATATTGAATGGAGCCACCATTGACAACCGGTTGCTTCAGGAATGCATGCAACCTCCAGCCGTGGCGATTTCCTTTCATCACGGATTGTCAATGGATCAAAAATCCCTCAATGCATGGCTGTCAATCCTCGAGTTTTCAGATCGGACTACTGCAACCATGCTATCACCAGCTATGTCTCCCCGCTTTCATGTGCAGACTGTTCGCATGGATACACCCTCCTGTGATGCTGTTGCGTTTTACATTGCTGATCCTGCATGGCCGATTTGGTCTCGGCACTTGCCAGCTGTCGCATTGATGCAATGATCAGACTTCACTTCCAAGGATGACCATTTTCTCATGCAAGAGAAACGCTACTGCCTTCCCGAATGTGATGGGACTCTGCAAATCCCCTGTGGCTCCACCGCTATGGGATTTTCTATCTCAATGCGTGTTTTTTCTAACTGCTGCAATTATTGATTGGCTCAAAAATCCCAATTATCATGGACTTTGCCACGGGATTATGACCGACGCCCATGTTATATCCACACAAGTGTCTATCCGATATTACTGTCTGTGTGATTGCATACGCATGCACAGTCCAACTTTTTGCCTACCATTGCTCCTCATGGCTCTGACACCTCCTGCATTTGGGCCAATATAGACGTCGGCTTTGGGTCTCAGCATGTGGTTGCAACCAGTATTTCCCAGTCGTGTTGCGTTATTCTTGCCGAGCCTTAGTCGCAGGGATATCAAAATTCTAACCCGAGTCTCGTTCCACGCTTGCCGCACCTTCCCGCCCAGTGACTATCAGCCAATAATTCTCACCTGAGTGGCAATGCCTACGCTGCTGAGGCTCTATCATTGGCACCCGAGTTCGGGATACTGGGCAAGGAATTGACCTTTTTTCTGTACTCGTCCCGAATTCCAGGGATGCAGGCCAGATAGATCCAATTTCGTTCAGCTGATCTCAAACACCTGCAAAGAGGGATCCTGCATTTGCCCCCGCTCATGTGTGTGTTCATCATCATCCACTTGCTTCTTTGGGTGAAAATGATAGGACCGGATTGCTGTACGGCGCTCGCCGCAGACACGAACCGTGACACCTTCCACATATTGCAGAACCACATGCAGCTGCACCAAAGCTCGGAGACTCTGACGTGGCATGTTTCTTCTGGTTCAATTTGGAGATTCCTGGTAGCGAGGGCTGCCTGCGAGACTGTGGGTCGCCGTTTGGGGATTCGATGAAAGCCTCCACCCGGAGGCTCCAGATTGTTAATCTCCTCGTTGAGTATGACGGAGGATGACCGGTTTTCGGGGTCTGATGGAAGATCCTGCAGATTTATCTGCATTTCCGCCTTTCCGCATAACCGCAATCTACTCAGGGAGGGGGGTTTCGTTTTGGGGGATTTTCCATCGACACAGCACGCGATCGTCGGTGACTGCCACCAAGATTACGCCCAAACACTTGTACCAAAGAATACCCTAGGAAGATGATCCATGGCCGGCTTGTTGAGCTGGCAACTAGCAACCCGGGATTATGGCGAACAGCCGCAAAAGGCCCCGTCATACTCGGGAGGTCAATCCATTGCTGCGGCGAGTTGGGTGCATCCAGCCCAGAAAAATGCTCGAATCAACTTCTGAAGCCCCCCTGCCATTTCGCCTCTCGCTCCGTCTTACCACCGAAAGTTCCTCATACATCGTTAGTGTACCAGTCTTTCGTTCTGGCAAGGATCAGGCTGAGGATGCGGACAAAAGCATGGTTTTGATTTCTGCCCAACACGCGAAGTTGCCGGGTGAAATAGCAGATCAATTTGGACCCATGTGAGGCGTTGCAGGCAATTTTGCGTACCTTGAACCTTGGACTTACGTGTAACAACGTTGGAATTGAATTACAGGACCCGCATACAAGCTCCCACAGCGCCGGGCTCCTGTGATCCCGTGATCTTAAAGTGAACGGAGGCTCCCGCACCCTACACACGCCCTGCTTTTGACGGGCGACAAATGGGTACTGCTAGCCGTACCTTTGGGGCTCGAGAGGGAAAGTGCCACCGCCTTCATTTCTTGTCAGCGCACGGGGATTGGTCTGGCCATGGACTTATCCTGACTTGCAGCCGGGCACTTTGTCCAATGACAGGTGCTGTCTGGGATCCCAGTCATATGCAACTAACGAGACATTTCCCCACCCATCCTGCACGAGAGGCACGTTGTGCATCTTCTCAGCACTTGCGTTGAGCGAGGCCGAGGCCCTCTGCTTATTGGTAGATCGGCGCTGTCTCGACGCGGGCCCTCGCATTCGCCTAGTACCAGGTGCTGTTCCCTCCACCGAATGTCTGAGTATTGTGATCTTTCACTCCGCTGGCGGTACATTTCATGTACAATTTAACACGACAGAAGGGCGCCACCTTCCTTGTTCATTGTCTTTATTTTCTCGTATTCCGAGAATCACGTACTGATACAGACAAACCTTGCCACCACCCACGCCTTTCCACCATATCACTTACTGAAGTACACAGTCCCTTGATTGTTTCTGAAATTTCTCTTTTCCAAGGTATGTCTACAGAGAATTGAGTTCTAATCTACCCCATGATTTGCCATCGCTGCCAAGACCACCGAGCGAAGACCGAGCGCGCGTTCGAATGTGTCGTTGAAAGCCATCAAACATAACAAGATATTGCTCCCCCGAGACTAGTTGAAATCGACCTCTTATATTCCCCCATTTAATCCAACATGATAACACAAGTTTTGCTTGTCAGACTCCGTTGTAGCAAATTCGGTCCTGCCTTGGCCCTTCTTTCATTTCCAATTGTCTCTATTGCTCGTTCCCCGCAATGAAATTTATAAAATGAGAATAATTTCCATTTCACTAGTCTCTTAGACAAGCTTCACGTCTTTCTATGGATCTCAATGGGCAATAAGTGAAATGACTTAGGGCAAGCTTATTACCGGATTAGGCTAGCACAACCAGTTCTATGTAGATGACGTCAAAATGATACCAGGGTCCAAAGAACAGGGAAGAACAAGGATAATGACAGCTTGGAATGTTAAGCTTGCTCTAGTCTTCCATTACTAGAAGATAAAGAACCCATTAATTCTTGCCCATTACATCCAACATACAACCTCAAAATAGAGCCGACCTTCTATACTACTTCCACCACCGCCAAACAACAATTCAATACATCACCTATTCGGATCTAAGCTACCCAAAATGTGGAAATCCGTCATCTCAATCAGCCAACAAGCCACTCGAGCAACCCGCTCCCAATTCTCAACAACCATCCCAGCCCTCACTACCCCAACAGCATCAAAAGCGTCTTTCAGCACAACCCTCGGTACCCAAAAGTCACGATACGAAGGACTCCAGGATCGTGAAGCACTGGACCCCCAGCGCTCAGAAACCACCAAGTCAGGCACAGACGGCGAAGTCGCCGAGCATCCAGCCGCATTCGATCCGTCCAACACAGCACCAGAGAGTGAACTTGCAGCTACAGCAGAAGAGAGCAAGAAGGATGGAAAGCCAGACAGCCCCTTAGATATGAGCCCGGCAAATAAGGATGTCAGTGCTTGGAGAGGCCCGACTGAGGGTGGTCCGGCACGCAACCGAGACCGCGAGGCTTCTAGTGCCCGGGGATCGCCCAGCAAGAACCGGAGCATTCACGTCAAGGAGGATGGGACTCATGTTTCTCACAAGAACTGACCTTTTTGTATTGAAATAGAAGTGGTATACAAAAATCAAGTTGAATTTGCGGTTTAGTCTTGTTAATGTCTATCATTTTCTGGATTACAACAAGTTGTGAGAGATTGAACGGGCGATTCGAAGCGCATGATATAATTGAAAAAGATGAGCGATCCTTCAACACACTTGCAAGTGTGGCCGAGTTGGTTAAGGCGCCAGATTCAAGCATCCACACTTGATATCCGTCAACGGAAATCCTGGTAACGAAAGTTGCATGGGTTCGAATCCCATCGCTTGCAATTTCTTTTTGTATTTCTTTTTTGTATATTTGGACTCTTTCTGTCAATGCATTCATTCATTGGGGTAGCTTTTTTTATTTAATTTTCTTGTCTACGTACGGTATTCATGCTTGAGACGAAGTATTGTCTTTGTTAACCGAAGGGAAATACTGTGAATGAATGGTACACGTCCATATGTGTCTACTCATTCTCGCAACTCATTAAATCGCGTAGGAGAGAGAGGCCACAGATCCTCGCCATACGTGGACAAAATTTGAAGGCCATAGTACACTGGTTCATATTTTTAATTCTGTCATACACCATACCGTTGGCATGTTCTTCATAGATAAAACATGTATTGTTTCACAACCCGTATTGGCCACTATATCCGATAAGCTACTCATTCCTTAGTCCACTGATGGGTTTTCAGGTATTGATTGACATCAAACTATAGACAATCTCTTGTGAACGTGCCATGCGTGGCTCTCAAAGAGGCTGGGCGTGGGGGCCATGTCCGAACCCAACGCCCCGTCCAAACATCCATTTACAACAACCATGGCTCCAGTACTCCCACACGATATTCTATTTGTCATCCTCGATGAACTCGAAATGATAAAGGATCGTGTCCAGCTCCTTCAAGTCTGTAGATATTGGAATACTGCGCTATTGACTAAAGTGTATTCGAGTATCAACTTTGAGGATGCCGAAACCTTGGTACCCTTAGCGAAAGCGCTCCATAAGAATCCCCGACTGAAGCCTCTTGTGTATAAGCTGCGCATCTCGGACTTCTTGTGTGATGACTTTCAACGTGCCTATGTCTACGACCACCCCCTGTTCCACGAGTTCCTGCGATCATTCACGGACAGCAACGAGGAGCTAATAAAGTGGGAAGAGAAACTCGACATCGAAGACACCTCCGCTTGGCTCGCGCTAGTTCTGATCTCTCTCCCAAATCTGCAACTTCTCGATATGCGCTGGGGCAGCTATAACCTAGATTCGGAGATTCTGCTATGGGCAGTCTCTAAGATCGCAAGTAAATCTCCCAGCGAAGATCTTCCTTTGCAAAACCTACAAACACTCATTGCAAGAGCCGAGGACGTCCCAGAGAATCTCGAAACACGGGAATTCATCCCCTTCTTCAAACTGCCCTTGATGAAAAGGCTACAGCTCGATAGCATTGTTGATGAGTGCGACAGAAAGGAACCGAGCTTCGATATTACTTTCGATCTTTCGCCATGCATCTCACCTGTACGCGAGATTATCCTGCGATACTCGAACGTCAAGCGCGGGTTTCAAAATTTCATAGCCGCGTGTACTCACCTTGAGCGCTTTGAGTATCAGCACCATAACCAGGCTTCTTACGAGGAAGATTACCGTAATTTCAGGTGTCGACCTTTTCACGATGCATTGTTGTCGCAGAGGAAGAGTCTGCGTGTGCTACGTTTGAATGATATCGGTGTTACGAATCTGATTTACGAAAACGAGGAGGATGTTGATACATTTGGCCCTGATATTCAGGAATCGAAAGCCCAGGCTTGGTTTGGGACTTTGGTTGAGTTTGTGGCCTTGACAGAATTGAGAATGCCGGTGCGCAATCTTTTGGATTCCACGGCTGGGAAGGAGCCTGATCTATCTCTGAGCGAGATTCTGCCATATGGACTTGAGGTCCTTGTTCTTACCAAGGTTGATTTCGTTGAGTATTCTATGCTTGAGGGGCAGTTAAGACGCCTGTTGGGTATCCGAGAGCGGCAATTTTCTTGTTTGCGAAAGATTACACTGCAGACTTTCCAGATGGAGGTTGCTCCTGGAGAAGTACTTTGCTTGGAGAAGAGGAATTGGGGGGTTCCAAAGTGCGCGGAAACGACATTTGCGGGCGTGAAAAGTTTTTGTGAAGAGCAGGGCGTTGAGTTTAGCTTTTCCCGTTATGGTGATTTCCAGATTGTCGCCAATGGGCAGGTGGAATACGATACTAACGAATTTGGCGGCTTAACCACAGACGAGACTTTATATTGATTGCACACCCTATATGGAGAGTAGTTACAGGCAGTTGAAGCTATCCTAATGTCGTTAGGCAGGCCAAAGTGATGGTTCAAATGCGAAAGGATTTTAGCCATGTCTCTTCAGTCAATCTACTAAAAAGCCAAAGCGGCAGCAACTAGATTTGGAATCGGAAAGATAGATTCAAGCCACCCGAGTAAACGATTAGAATGAAATAGGACGCAAGCTTCGAAAATTTCGTATATATTTTGAGGCCATGCTGATTATATAAATCTAACATGAACAGCCTCACTGACTAGCAACCAATTGGATAGACGCCTCACCACGAATTCTTCTCCATCGATTCGTAGTGCGCATGAGATCATCACACCCATCCACAGTCCATGCCCACTTTCGCAAGAAACCCGGCGTAAGTTCCCAGCTTTCTTCTAATGTAGGATCCCCCCATAGAATAAGTCCACTACGAGAGGCAGTAACTTCATCATCATGCTCGTCCCCTAAGACCTCAATTTGACTTGGAGAATCATTACGTCCCAGGAATGACTGCTGCCAATGATCGAAAGAGAGAAGGATTGGATCGAGTATGTTGCCAATGACATCTCTGACAAGCTCCAAATGATTGAACGAATCTTCCCGTCGCATCAGATTCTCTCGCATCCTGGGAAAAGGAAGCGTATGAATCCATGAGTGGTGAACAATACTCATTTGGGTTTGCGTCAATTGAAGAGATGGTGGCAGAGTTAACGCCCCCTCGGCTTTGGGAAGCACAAGTGAATACTCGGCAAAGACATCTTCAAAGTCCTTGGCTTGATTTGTATCGGGCAGTATTGCTATAACTGTGCGACCGAGTATGTGTTTAGTGTCGCAGAGTCCACGAAAAACATTCCACTGTATGAGGTGGAGTAAGTGGTCTGCTGATATGGACGGTGAAGGAGATCGTGGAGAGTGATGTGACCCCAAGATAGACACATGATATAAACATGTTCTAGAGTCTGACTCGAATTCGGAGACGAGTTGAGCCGACGGATGAGTTATTTGGGAGGATGGTGAACTTGAATGACTGAATTGCCTATTTTGTCCTGGCGGAGGCTGCGTGGAGCCAACTCGCCACGTATGTATGCGGTATGGATCTTGTTTTCGCTTGAGATGGTCTGATGACTTGGATTTGAGCCTCTGTCCTGATAATGATGTTAGAGATTTACTTCGCCTAAATTTGAATCCATGCGTAGATACTCACTACGTGCCTGTTGGTTGATTCGATTCTGTGTTCTTTTCCGCAGCCTTCTCTCTAATTCGGTATCCAGATCTTTGATTTGGGAGTAGTTGTATATTGAAATATTCATTTTCTCGGTCGTTAACTTTCAAGAGAGGGGAGGGAAAGGGGAGATGAGATCGATAAAACCGACCCGGATCCATACATGTACAAAGCACCAGCCTAAACCTAAGATAGCAAATCTGTCAGCCGGTGGATCCAGAATTTTCCATCGTATTAGTTGCATAATTGAGGCGTAAGCAAAAATGGCGCTTTACTGCAATTGGTAAATTTTGTCAGCGCAGCCAAGACTTCCAAGTATACACTTGTGAGCCTACTCACAGACGGAAAATGAGATATAAAAGGACATAGAAAACCCTTCCAGGTACTGATTATATGCAATCAACAGTCCCGGAATAATTACTTTACACATAACATTTTCTCAAACTTTTTCGGACCAGCAATGTCAAAATATACCGCCGCTCACGCCGATCCCCAAGGGCCGGGAGATACCCGCCCAACTGCTCTTCAAATAATCGAAGATGAAGGCATAAAAGGCAAACTCTCAGACAAAGTAGTTGTCATCACCGGCGTCTCTTCTGGTATTGGTATTGAGACTGCTCGTGCCCTCGCAACCACCGGAGCAACTCTTTACTTGACAGCAAGGAACCTTGCCAAAGCGGAAACTGCCCTGGCTGAGTTCTTCAATCCGGTCCAAATGAAGCTCGTTGAAATGGATCAGGGCTCTCTTGAAAGTGTTCGCAAAGCAGCAAATGCCATCCTTTCTGAGACCGATAAGGTGAATATCCTGATCAACAATGCTGGTATCATGGCTGTTCCCGATCTCGAATTCACGAATGATGGGTTTGAATTGCAGTTCGGAACAAACCATCTTTCGCACTTTTTGTTATTTCAAATGCTCAAGCCTGCATTGTTGACTGCTACCTCGACGGAGTTTCAGTCCCGGGTTGTCATTGTCGCATCTGCGGGACACAAAATATGTGGTATCAATACGTCAGACAATTACAACTTCCAAAAGGGAGGATATGAGGCTTGGACTGCGTATAGCCAGTCGAAGACCGCGAATATCTACACGGCTAATGAGATTGAACGTCGTTATGGATCATGTGGGATCCATGCCCTGAGTTTGAATCCTGGATTCATCGCGACTGGCCTGGGCAAATTCCTTTCTGCGGAGCAGATCGATCAATTGGTACAAAACAAGGAAATGATGAAGATCATGAAAAGTGTTGAGCAAGGTGCCGCAACGACTGTGTTGGCTGCAATTGGGAAGGAATGGGAGGGAAAGGGTGGAAGGTATTTATCTGAATGTGCTGAGGCGGAGCGCGCCCTCGATGATGATGATCCCCGTAACGAGGTCTACGTGAGCCACACCTACAGCCTCGAGGATGAGGCTAGACTGTGGAAGGATTCATTGAAAATGGTTGGCTTGTCAGATGAGTAAGGTCGGACCTCAAGCTTGGACAGAGGAGCGGTTTGTTAATGTTATTTGTTTTCTCGTTGAAATTTGTGACAAACAAGTACATATATCCAAACAATCAATGTAACGGCAGTGTAAAACCACATGGGATCAAGACATGAACATTAGTCATAGACATTTCTCGTTTCATATCACGAAGCCTTAGGACGAGCCCTCCTTGCCGTACTTGATGATATCACTGCCGGCCAAGGTCCAGACTTTCTCGCTGCCAGCAGGGATATCACCTTCAAGTGCCTTGAGACCAGCATTGACAGCAGCCTGACCAATGACATCGGACTCCTGGGCCCAGCCATCCTTCAAGCTAGAGTGCAGCTTGCCAGCCCAGCTAGCAACAAACCGGATGCCAGCCTCCAGCGGACGGCTCTCGTCGCGACTACCAGCAATCAAGCCAGGGCGCAGGATGACTGTATGATCAAAGCCCAGCGCCTTAACATCTTCTTCAATTTCACCCTTCATACGACTGTAGGCAATGTTGGAGTCCTTGCTGGCACCACTCGATGAGATCAAAACGTAGACCTTGGTTCCGGCCTCGCGCGCGGTCTTGGCGAGTTCCACATTGAGACCGTGCTCAATCTTATACTGGTTCTCAAATCCACCTGCAGCAGCTTTGGTGGTTGCGAAAGAGGAAATGAAGATGTCTGGGGTCGGGGTGAGAGAGGAGAGCTGGTTGGCCCAGGTGGCGGTGTCGTTGGAGATGAAGGTGGTGAGCTTGGCATGGGGCGCATTAGAAGCGGCTGGAGGTGTTCGACGGGAGATAGTGTCTACGCGCGTCACAGAGGGATTTGCGATCAAGCTGGTGAGGATATGGGATCCCTGTGGTTTATGCGATTAGTCCTCTTCCAGCCGAGGGTATGGTAGATGTTTCCATGGTCAAAATGGGGACACTTCAAAGAGTTGTGACTTACCACCATGCCCGTGCAACCGATCAATGCCACGTTTGCCATTTCTGTGTCAGTGTTTGTACAGTGAAGATGTTATGAATGTTGCGGACGAGGGGGACGGGTGATGCGCACTATTTCGTCATTAGGACGCTAAGCCGTAACAGGCAACTGTGAACTGTTTGTTGTTACAACATGAGTTTTATAGACGTTATGTACCCAAGAGGATGGCAATAATTCAAATTCTCACTAACAATTTAATAGATCCAAGGATTTATGAATAATTGGAAGAAATAGATGTAGTCACAATTGTTCCCAGTCTGCTGGTTGACTGACATTCAAATCTTCGAGCTCTGGGAGAGCTTCTTCTCCTCTGCCTGGTAAACCTTGACTAATTGACGAACAGAAAGGTCAAGCAAGACATCTTCAGAACCACCAGGGATACGAATGCCAGGGACATCGCGAAGAATTGCTGTGTGGAATTCGGTTAGCATGTTAAAAACACATTCAAAAGGATTCTAGGACGTACCTTCTACCAATTCACCCTGTCCCGTCTTCGTAAAGCCACTTCCACCGAAGAGCAAAACAGCTGTCTGAGCGCACTCATTCAAGACCATGCCGGATTTGGCCTTAGCGAGTGCAGTCAAGCCACCCAGTTGACGATCGCCTTCCTCCTTGCTGAGATGAGTAAGTTGATACAGGATCTGCTCAACCCACGCCCACATGGTTTCAAGCTCAGCACCAGCCTTGGCTAGACGATGTCGAACCACTGGTTGATCCATTAGGGTCTTTCCAAAGGCCTCGCGCTTGAGACAGTAAGAGAATGCAGCCGAGAGCGCGACTCGCGCCTGTCTAGTAGCTCCGATGGCTATGACCAGACGCTCATGGTTGAAGTTGGTCATGATTATACGCATGCCATCGCCCTCTCGGCCAATGATATTTGATACGGGAACTTTAACGTCGTCGAGTTCGATATAGGTGGTGCCACCGGCTACCTGGCCAGAAACCTTCAGACGGCGCATTGTGACACCGGGGTGGTTCTTGAGAGGAACAACTAAAACAGACAGACCCGCTGCCCCAGGGCCACCGGTTCGAACGGCCATAGTTGTATAGTCGGACCAGATGCCATTGGTGATCCTGTCGATCGTCAGACGGTGAACACATGTTGAGTAGCTTGATCTTACCATTTTTTTGTGCCATTGACAATGTAGTGCTTGCCATCAGCACTCTTAACGGCAGTCGTAGTGATGTTAGCGACATCGCTACCAGCCTCGGGCTCGGTAATGGCGATACATCCTCGCTTCTTGCCAGTGAGCAAGTCAGGTAAGAACTTCTCTTGAAGCTCACGGCTACCAAACTTGACAATTGGCGAGATGCCAAAGGCGAAGCCTGCGTTTAGGGAGCCACCAGGTCCACTGAGACCTGATCGAGCCATCTATACCGACACAGTTAGTTATAGTAAACCTTGAAAAAACAACACATCACCGGGCATACCTCGTCGCAGTAGATACCAGTATAAATGTAATCCCAGTCCTCGACCTTGACTCCAAGAATATCATTGATTCCGAGACGCTTCAGCCAATCCACGGGCAAGGGGGCAGGCATATTGGGCAAAAGCATGTTATGCTTGCAAAACGTGCCAAAAACATGCTCGGGGACGGTGCCCTCGCGCTCCCACTCCAACGCATGCTGGAGTAGGTTCTCTGTCGCGAATTTACGGCAAGCTTGCTGGAAACGACGGTGCGCAGGCGTAATATACGGTGAAGGGAGGCCACGAATATAGGGTGGCTCCGAGAAAGGGATTGGATTAGCAGAGTTCTCCGCCATTGTTGAATTAGTGCGAAGCCGGTTTGAATCGAGATAGTATATCTAAGTGTTCAATAAGTTTTGTATCAAACTAAGGCTGAATATATTGGAGGTTCCCCGCATTACGGGGTAAAGCACGACCGAGGCTCGGTGTTTTCGAGATGCGTGTGTTCCGCAGATCCACCCTAGTTATGCTTACTTATGAATGCCGGTGCATGGAGGCCATATTTATCAGGCTGCAACATCTCATGTGATTTCACATTAACTTTCGCCTCAGGCAAGACTCGCCACCTGACCCTGGCTGAGTAATTGCCCCGGAAGCGGTAATGATTTGCCACTTTGTTCCGCCCGCAGAAAAATCTTATCGGGCGATAACGAGATCACGCAATTGCGGCTAGCCGCTTTAGGCAAAATGACTGGGGTTTTCTTTTATACTTGGAGAGAGGGGATTCTCTTTCTCTCCACATTCTTCTTTGTTTTTTGTTCATACCGGTGTTCACTCCGGTAAATAGAAAAGAAGTCATGGCATCTGTTCCAGCCTTGTCGGCCTTGAATGGCCCGACATATGTCACAGCCCAGACATTGATCCAGCAAGTCGCATACTTGCTGAGTGACAAGATCTTCTCTTACTCACCGGAGAGCTTTGATTTGGATGCTGCCCTCAAGGAATGGACTGCCAAGAACGAGACCAATGCCAATGGCGAGTCTCCTGCCGTCAAGACCCTTGAGACTCGCCAGGGTGCCGGCAACCTGGCTCTCGGCTACCTCTTCTCGCAGGACTTTGATTTGAAGAAGCGCCACGTCCCCCAGGGAATTGTTGCTTCTTCAGCCACCCTCCCCTATATGCGTGCAGCCCTTGAGCAACTCTCTTTGCTCTACTCTGTCGCCAGCCCCGTTGCCGCACACGTTGCCGCCGTCGACTACGCCGGCGAGGGTCTCGTCTCCGACTATGCCTCCGCCCTCGCTTTGGCGGAGGAGCTCGGACTTGGCCTTGTCTCCAGCGGCTCCGCCCACGAGGCCCAACACATGGCTCTCTTCACCACTTTGCTCTCCTCGATCCTCCCATCCGTCCACATCTATGACGGTGTCCGTGTCGGCCATGAGACCACCCGCGTCATTGACGTTCTCGACAAGGATGGCTTGACTCGCGCCTACGAGTCTGTCCGCAAGACTCTTGATGAGTCTCGCACCCGTCATCTCGACTCTCAGGGCAAGGTCCTTGATCTCCTCAAGACCTTGAACGGCGAGCTCGGAACTGACTACAGTGCCTTCGAGTACCACGGCCACGCCGAGCCTGTATCCGTTTTGGTTGCCTTCGGCACTGTCGAGGCTGCCCTTACTGCTCAGGTAGCCCGGTCTCTTGCCAATGATGGCGTCCGCGTTGGTGTTGTCAACGTCCGTGTCTATCGTCCCTTCATTGAGGAGGAGTTCCTGCGTGTTCTCCCCCAGTCTACCAAGACTGTTGGTATCCTCGGACAGGTTGCCTCTGAACAGGCTGTTCAGGAAGAGGGCGTTCACTCTGCCCTCTATGAGGATGTCCTTGCTGCTTTGACCTTTGCCACTGGCCGTGAGCAGACACCCGCCTGCGTCGAGATTAAGTACCCTCGCTCTCAGCGTTGGGACCTTGTCTCGACCGCCGCTGCCTTCCAGTTCATTTTCGACAAGCCTATCCTCCCTATCAGCAGCGAGACACACCAGCCTGCCACTCTGCAGTTGCTCGATCCCTCCTCCGTCCAGGAGTACACTTTCTGGGACGTCGACAGCTCCGCCACCAGCGAAGCCGCCTACACTCTTGGCCAAGCTCTTGGTGCCGACTCGGCAAGCAACGTCACCACCAGCAAGGCCCACGACAACCTTATTCAGGGTGGTGCTGTCCGCATTGATATTCGCAAGAGCGCCAAGATTGTAGATGCACCTTACGCAATCACTGCTGCCGATGTTTCTTACGTTGGTAGCATCGCTCTGCTCAAGGATGTCGATGTTCTGGCCTCTGTCAAGGACAACGGCAAGATCATTGTCAACGCACCTGGTGTCAAGGATGAGGATCTCGAGAAGAAGCTGCCCGCCAGCTTCAAGCAGGCCGTTGCTCAGCGCGCCATCTCCGTCTTCATTGTCGACCCATCAGTTATTGACGATTCTTCTCTGGAATCTCTTATTCTCCAAGCCTCCTTTGTGCGCGTTGCTCTGCCTTCCCAAGAGGCTGTTGCCACTAAGAAGCTGTCCGCTATTACCGGCAACGCTGAGGCCCTTGACAACGTGACCAAGGATCTCGAAAAGGTTCTGCGACAGATTGAGGTTCCTGAGACCTGGAAGGAGCCTGAGGGAATCAGTGAGGCCATTCAGCTTCCTAAGGACATTGCTACCAACAGCTTTGTTTCGTTCGACAAGAACGAGACCGAGCCCGCTACTCTCCTCAAGGATTGGGAGACTTCTGCTCGTGGCTTGGCTTTCAAGGAGGCCTATGGCACTAAGGATGCCCTTCGCCCTGACCTGGCAACCAAGACCTTCACCGTTCATGTCAAGGAGAACCGTCGTTTGACTCCCGTAACCTACGACCGTAACATCTTCCACATCGAGTTTGACCTTGGCAACACTGGCCTAAAGTATGACATCGGTGAGGCTCTTGGTGTCCACGCCGAGAACGACCCCGAGGATATCACCAAGTTCATCGAGTTCTACGGCCTGAACCCCGACGCTATTGTCGAGGTTCCTAGCCGCGAGGACCCCGCTGTTCTAGAGAACCGCACTGTCTACCAAGCCCTGATTCAGAACGTCGACATCTATGGCCGCCCTCCCAAGCGCTTCTACGAGGCCCTCGCCGAGTACGCCACCGACGAGAAGGAGAAGAAGGACCTTTTGATTCTAGGAGGCCCCGATGGTGCCACCGAGTTCAAGCGTCGCGCCGAGGTCGACACTATCACCTTCGCCGACGTCCTGCTCGAGTACCCCTCAGCCCACCCTGACTTCCATGAGATCGTCCGTATTGTCGGCCCTCTGAAGCGTCGCGAGTACTCCATCGCCTCCTGCCAGAAGGTCACCCCGACCACTGTCGCTCTGATGATCGTCGCTGTGAACTGGACCGACCCCAACGGCCGCGACCGTTTCGGTCTAGCCACCCGCTACCTAAGCAGCCTCCGAGCCGGCTCCCCCATCACCGTCAGCGTCAAGTCCAGTGTGATGAAGCTGCCCCCTAAATCCACCCAGCCCCTCATCATGGCCGGTCTAGGTACTGGTCTGGCTCCTTTCCGTGCCTTCGTCCAGCACCGCGCCCTCGAGAAGGCCCAGGGCAAGGAGATTGGCTCCGTTCTGCTGTACATGGGCTCCCGTCACCAGCGCGAGGAGTACTGCTATGGTGAGGAGTGGGAGGCTTACCAGGAGGCTGGTGTCATCACTCTCCTCGGCGCTGCCTTCTCTCGTGACCAGCCTGAGAAGATCTACATTCAGGACCGGATGCGCCAGTCTCTACCCGAGATTATCCAGGCTTACATCCGCGAGGAGGGTGCATTCTACCTGTGTGGTCCCACTTGGCCCGTGCCCGATGTCACCGCTGTTCTCGAGGAGGCTATTGCCACCGAGGCTAAGCTCACTGGCAAGAAGGTCGACACTCGCAAGGAGATTGAGAAGTTGAAGGATGAGGAGCGCTACGTTCTGGAAGTCTACTAGACTTGTTGGGACCACTTATGTTCTCATGATTTCATGTTTCGCATCTATTCCCCCATAGTTAGATCGCTTTGGTCTCTTGCATCATAGAGGTTTTAAAATGCACATATCACGATCTTTACTTTGACACTGCACATAGATTTCATATTGAATGTTATGGACAAGGTATTCACTTTAGTATACTTGTATTACGATTTTGAAAATTGTAATTCTGGCAACGCGAAGAAAAGTTCGATACCATGACTATAAAAAAGATAATGAAACAACGCACAGTTTCGATACAGTCTTGACAGAAGCCTAAAGAGGATGGGCAGCCTTGCCCTTGTCTATGTATGGTTTCAGTACACGGCACTTGAATTGGGTATCTGTTCCGACAATGCTTGCAGTAGCTTCTGTAAATGTAATGTCGTCTAGGTCATCTATCGTCTATACATGATTCTTTGAATGAGCCGTGACATTCAAGCCCGCCCCAAAGTTCCAAACTTGGTCTTCCCGTATGCGCCGCCCATTTCCTTCCTCAACTCCAATGCCCGTCGGTACGGGGGTGCAGTAGGAGGTTGGACTGGATCCAAGGTAACATAATCCGGCGGCAGCGTGTACGAGGCATCTGAGTCCCAAGAAGACAGATCTCCACACGCAATAAATGAGGGGATCCATCGATTCTCGACAGAGAACTTGTTAGAAAGCTTGGTAGGTTGATTATCTTCAGATGTGGTCTGGAGGTGGCGGACTTCTGTAGTATGATTTGGCGCAGAGGAGTTGCTTCCCGCCAAAGGAGCTCGGTTTTGTGCAAGTTCATCAATCTTCTCGCGAACCTCGACGGCAACATTGCCATCTTCGGATACAGGTACTGGGGCTACAGCACCTCCAAACAGAGGGTTCTTCAATGCAGCCATGCCAACCACTCCGCTGTCGCTAATAGGAGGAATGAAGCCTTCGCAAACAACAAAGGCTTCCAAGCTGCTTGCGCGACTACTGCGCGGCTTGGCGACACTGACACGCTCGAACACAGTGCGCAACTGTGCATAGAGTAGATCCACATCACGGCCACGGAAAATCTTGGCGACAAATTTACCACCTGGTCGGAGCACACCCATGGCCAGGTTCAGCGCCGCATACAGCAGTTGTGATTGAATATAGATGTCTAGGTCGTGGAGTCCCGTTACATCGGGTGCACCATCTGAGATAACCAGATCAACAGGGTGGGGTTGTCGGATAGCCTCCGGGATGGATGATTGTAAATCGGAGGCTTGGGCGTATGCTTCGGGGTCTAGGGCGCGCAAAAGAAGAGGGATTGTAGAGGGGTGGGTAATATCGGCTTTGAGGGTAGTAATGCCTTCGAGAGGGGCCATAGGCTGCAGATCGATTGAGACGATCTTGACATTTTTGCGAGGCTTCAGTTCGGAACTTGAACTGGGTTCGATTTCCATTTTATCGTCGTGGGTTGTCTCGTCGGCCAATTCTTGCTGTGCTTGGTGTTTCTTCTCGAGCCATGAGCGTCGCCCGAAGCTCTCGCCCTTGATCAAGACACGGCTCAAAACTTGACTCCAACTTCCGGGCGCAGCACACAGATCCACCACTCTTGTGACATTGTCCGGGTTCTCGTGCTCGAATAGGTCGAATTGCTCGTCGATTTGGATAAGTTTGAAAGCGGAGCGGGCGCGCCAATTTTGTTCTTTTGCGAGACGGTAGTAAGCGTCGCGCTTGTCCTTGGATGATTTGCCCATTGTGAATTGACAAGCCCGTCGAGGTCAATTGGCAGTCGAGGTGGGTTAATTTTGCGACGTGGGGAACGAAAAGATAAGATTCCAAGGCGGACTCACTTTTCTGCCGCTTTTTTTCTCTGCGAATCTTCCCGGCGAGCGAGTGTTTCTGGTCTACTTGCACAAGTTACAATCCTCTGGAATAACTCACAATCACCATGGGCCAAAAGAGAGGACATGATTCTAAAGCCCAGGCGCTCCAGACGAAAAAGCGCAAGAAGTCCACCAAGGCCGATGTATCGGATGAAGGTGCCAATGCCTTTGTCGGAGTGGAGGACCTCAACTGGAAGGAAGTCGCGCTTCCTGACCGTATGGAAGATGCAGAGGGATTCTTCGGCTTAGAGGAGATCGACGGAGTGGATATTATCAAGGGAGAAAATGGCGGCGAGGTTCAATTCAAGGTATGCATTTCGAAGCTATGGTCAATTTTATTTGAAGCTAACAAGTTTTATCAATTGATTAGGCCAAGTCGGGAAAGCCTAGAAAATCAATTTTGAAAGCCCCCGAGGAGGGCGATGAGGACGAGTGGGCTGGCTTCAGCGACGACGACTCGACCGACAAGGCTGCCAAGAAGACTCCCACGGCCGATGCAACCGATGTGAAGGAAGATAAGAAGCCCAAGAAGGAAAAGAAGAAGAATGAGAAAAAGAACGACAAAAAGACTGAGACGACGGCCAAAGAAGAGAACGAATCGAAAAAGCCCGAACAGAAGCCTAAGCAACAAAAGCCGAAGAAGGATCAGAGCATGAAAAGCGCTCTCTCATTCGAGGCCCTCGAGGAAGACGAGGACGAAGACAGCGTTGATGTGTCGGCCTGGGATGTGCTCAATCTCTCACCCGAGATTTACACAAGTCTTTCCAAGATGAAGTTCAGCTCGCCGTCAGCCATTCAGAAAGCTAGTATCCCAGCTATTATGGACGGCCATGATGTCGTCGGAAAGGCCTCAACCGGTTCCGGTAAGACTTTGGCCTTTGCCATCCCAATTATCGAGCACTACCTCGACACGAGAGGAAAGCAAGATAAGAAGACCGAGAAGTCTGACTCAACGCCAATCGCATTGATTCTTTCTCCCACTCGAGAGTTGGCGCATCAACTCGCAAAGCATATCGGAGAGCTCACTGCCAACGCCCCCGATACCAATGCTCGCATTGCACTCTTGACCGGTGGATTGTCCATTCAGAAACAGCAGAGACAACTTGCTGCAGCTGACATTGTCGTGGGAACACCCGGCCGAGTTTGGGAGATTCTGAGCCAAGGACAGGGTATCATCCGCAGGATGCAAAAGATCAAGTTCCTAGTCGTTGACGAGGCCGACAGACTTCTTAGCGAGGGCCACTTTAAGGAGGTCGAGGATATCCTAGGCGCTCTTGACAAGCACCAAGCTGGAGATATCAAAGACACGGACGAGGAAGCTCAGGAAGAGGAGGAGGAAGAACTGTCAGTGAGACAGACTCTTGTTTTCTCTGCTACATTCCACCGCGATCTTCAACAAAAGCTTGCAGGAAAGAGTCGCTGGACAAACGGTGATATGTTGGACAACAAGGAGTCTATGGATTACCTTCTTAAGAAGCTAAATTTCCGCGAGGAGAAGCCCAAGTTCATCGATGTGAATCCGGTAGATCAGATGGCCCAGGGTCTCAAGGAAGGAATTGTTGAATGTCCCGCTATGGAGAAGGTGAGATCCCTCCAAAATCATATCCACGAGTACATTATGGCTAACATTGGAGCAGGATCTTTACGTCTACTCCGTCCTTCTATACTACCCTAAGCACCGGACGATCATTTTCACTAATTCCATCTCTGCCGTCCGTCGTGTTACCCAACTCTTGCAAGCTCTTCAACTCCCTGCATTTGCCCTCCACTCTTCCATGGCCCAAAAAGCCCGACTGCGTTCTATCGAGCGATTTTCCTCGCCTACGGCGGACCCAAGCTCAATCTTGGTGGCCACCGACGTCGCAGCCCGTGGTCTCGATATCAAGGGAATTGACATGGTCATCCATTACCACGTTCCTCGCGCAGCTGATATGTACGTCCACCGATCTGGTCGTACTGCTCGTGCCGGTGCTTCTGGTAAGAGTATCTTGATTTGTGCCCCCGAAGAAGTCGTTGGCGTGGCTCGTCTCGCCGCCAAGATCAACGCCAAGAAGAACAAGGGTGAGGGTGCATCCAAGAAACTCCCTCTTGAGTCCCTCGACATTGATCGTCGGGTTGTGGCTCGCCTTCGTCCTCGCATCAATCTTGCCAAGAGAATCACCGACACAACCATTGCTAAAGAGAAGGTCAACACCGAGGATAACTGGCTTCGCGCTGCCGCTGAAGACCTCGGCGTGGAGTATGACAGTGATGAGTTTGATCAGTCTAAGGGCCAAGGCCGCGGCCGTGGCGGTGGTCGTCAAAGGCGCGAGAAAGAGGCCAGTGGTATGACCAAAGGAGAGATGGCGGGACTACGCGCCGAGCTCAAGCAGCTGCTTTCCGAGCGTGTCAATATTGGTGTTAGTGAGAAGTATCTTACTTCCGGTCGCATTGATGTTGAGGCTCTTCTCCGCGGTGAAGGTAACAAGGCCTTCCTGGGACACCTTGACCCGCTCTCCTTCTGATTGACTTTGTGACTACTGGAGCGTTTGGGGGTTTGTAAAAAGGATTTAGTATCTGTGATATAGTGTTACATACCAAAACATGTTTAGACCGGCTTTTTTTCTACTGTAGATTGTCATGCATTACTGTTACCTAAAAATCGGAGGTCCGGTTCTATCACCGTGTTGCTTCGGCAAATATTGATGCTGCAAGTTGGCCGAGCAGGCCTGAGCGGACAGTGTGTAGTCCGACATACATACTCCACAGCTGAGATTAAAACAAAATCTCATATGTGGAAGGAGGTTTGAATTCCACGCAGTATCCCAACTCGAATATGAAGTTATCGCACCGCCAACTCGCTATCTCACGCCGTTGGAGAAGAGATAGGCGAACGCCGATAAGAGACCAGCAGCTCACGTCACAGTACAGCCAAATCCGAGCCCAGTAACACCAAGGCCCTTGTACATGTACATGTGACCCATGTACTAACATTAACGTACATAAACCCAGGGTTTCCCCTCTTCCCCAACTTCTCCTTTTATACTCCCACATCATGGATCCCCAAATCGAAGAACTACTCAGCCTGGAGGCTGTTCGCTCCAGGGCGCATATTGTCCTCAGATTGGCCGAACAGGGCAGTTTGAACCACTTCAATTACCATAGTGAGCGAATGGAACAGACCACAGACTATGTCCTCAAGCTCATCCAGGTATGACCCACTCCCCTACCTCCCATGCTAGAAGAACATATCGTCCAAGCTATTCAAGAGGCCTATACTCATACAATCTGATTTTGAATAGCGTGATTTTGGCCCTGATAGATACCATCTCATCCCACCTCATGGTCGTTGGCAACATTTCGAAGTCGGCGGGGTTCCCCGCATAGACACTCTACTCGCCGAGTGGGAGGGGCAGGGATGCGACACCACGGAAAAAGCCCGGAGACTGGTTGATCTTTTCTTTGTTTCTGTTCTTCTTGATGCTGGTGCTGGAGATCATTGGCGTTTCCAGGAGTCGCAGACCGGTCAAACTCTGACGAGGAGTGAGGGTATTGCTGTGGCTGCGTTGCACATGTTCCTCAGTGGAGACTTTGCTGATAAGAGTTCTGACGTGAAGCATACTGTTCATGGTAAGTTTAAATTCACTCTACTGCCTTGTATGCGATGCTAATAAGTGGTAGGTGACGCACTGCGCAACATCAATGTTGATATCTTGTCTCGTGGATTACAAGTGACCGAGTCCAACCCTATGGTCGGGGTTCCTGCGCGAACGGATATTATTCGCAAACTTGGAGAATCTCTTCTCAATGTGAAAGACGTGTTTGGACCGACTGGTCGTCCTGGTAATCTGGTTGGTACGTTGAGTCAACTCAGTTCCCACACATAGTCCATGCTGATAAGCAATCTTTTTATCGTAGACTTCCTCCTGATCAAGTCCAAAGCAAATGGAGGAAAGCTCGACTACAAAGACCTTTGGAATGTGCTACAGCGCCTCCTCCTTCCAATTTGGCCATCTGACCGGACAAACATTAACGGTCAACCTATCGGCGATGCATGGCCTCTACGGGCACTTGCTCAGCAGGCTGGGGCCGAATCGAAGCCATTCTCTAATATCCAACCTTTCCATAAGCTGACTCAGTGGCTGGCATATTCATTGATGGTTCCATTCTCCCGTCTACTCTCAGTTTCATGGACTAATACTGAGCTCGGCACTGGCTTACCTGAGTATCGTAATGGTGGACTGTTCGTTGACATGGGTGTTCTCGAACTGAAGCCCGAGGCCTTGAAACGCGGACTTGAGTTGTCGGGTGGTAGTTTGCCTTCTTATGGAGCGGGTGATGACGAGATTGTTGAATGGCGGGCCATAACTGTTGCCCTTTTGGACGTGCTGCATGTGAAGATTCTCGAGCGTCTCGATGGTGTTACGCTTTCTCTGCCTCAGGTGTTGGAGGCTGGCTCTTGGAAAGCAGGACGAGAGCTTGCGGCAGCTAATCGTCCAGAGACCAAGTCTAGTCCTATTTTGAACTTTGGAGATGGTACTTTGTTCTAAATATGGCTGAACTAGCATATTTACAGAGCATGTTACTGCGACCCCAAAACTACATAGCACTGAAGAAGAGATCATCTGATTATAGTGTTAATGATTACGATGAGCAATAAAGGTCTACCATTCATCACACTGCTAAAAACACACCCATTGATCTAAAGTAAGCCAGTAAAGCAAAGCAGTTTCAGCGGAACCCGCTGTATAGATCCGGACGTTATCGGGATCGGCATGCCGAGTTCTCGGCATGCCTATCGCCGAAAGTCGGCCCTTTGAGCCCCACTGATGGACCCGACGCAAAAAATCTCGCGTGGCTTTCAGGAACTGGTTCAATCCGAAGTGCCGATTCTTTCCTTACTTCTGGTACTTTTGTCTTTTGATTCATTTCAGCATACCCAATACACAACTGTGTGGTCTCCTGGACACTGCTGCACCTCTATTTCAACAGTAACGCGAAACTAAAAGATCGGCGACGCACGCTAACGCCGACGTCGCAGTCTGAGCCTCTTCCAGAGTATGTACCCCGGCCGGCATTTATGCGAGGTCCTCTGACGCAATGGCAGTTAGTTTCCACCTGAAAACTTATATCAGCCTATAAATATATTTCCGACATGTCGAACATCTCCTCGATCAGCCGTCAGCTTCTCCGCTCTCGGAACGTTTTAGCACGCATTTCATACTCGCCGTCGGGCTCCATTACTCACCTTCACCAGCAGGGCCCGTCGCGCTCTGCGGTCGTCCACGACCAGGCAATCCCCCAAGACCAAAGACACGTCCCGAGCCCCGAGGGCTCATCATTCCTTTCTCAGACACATCAAAAGAAACCCACACCGCAAAGACCCCAACATGAATCCACAACCATCGACACCCTCATCTCCCAAGTCCCCATCGTCCAGACCCTCCGCAACGCCCCCAAAACTTACAAAGAAACCCGCCCTCACCTCGCCATCCCACCAGCAATCAGACAACACCACTTCGTAGGCGGCAGTCTAGCCGGCCCAGGCAAGCTCGCCTTCCAGCCATATATGTGGACATCAACAAGCAAGACAGACACTCAGCAAACAGCCAGCAAGGTCGTCTCAGTCTTCCACATCGGCCAAGACCTCTGCGGACATCCCGGCTTCGTGCACGGCGGCCTCCTCTCCGTTCTCTTCGATGAGGTCTTTGCTCGCTGTGTCTCTGCCGCGTTCCCCTCTGGCCTTGGCATGACGGCAAATCTCAATGTGGATTTCCGGAAGCCGGCAATTACTGATCGCATGTATGTCCTGCGTACGGAGACTGTCAAGGTTGATGGGCGGAAGGCTTGGGTTGAAGGGCGCATGACTTGTTTGCCGCTTTCTTTGTCCTCTTCTTCTATTGAGTCTGGTGGTATTGTGAGTGATGCTGGTTTGTTGAGTGAGGACAGTGAGGGGGCTGTTATGGTTGCTGAGGCTAGGGCTTTGTTTATTGAGCCTAAGTTTGCGGATGTGAGTATCAATGATTCGTTTCCTTTCTGTGTGGGGAAGGGTTTGCTAACAGATGTTTTAAGTCTATGGTTTCTATTTATAAGAACTAGTTTTGACCTGGTTCGGCTTTTGATGGGAGGTTGTTTGTTATTTTTATGCCCTAGATCGCGTTATATAGAGTTTGATGACTGATAGACTGATAGACTGATAGATTCCAAGGTTGATAGACCATATTATAATGATAGAATTCCTAATTGTCTGGACATTTTTCTCGTTTTGTCATCATTAGAGTCATTAATTCATAATGGATATTGAAGGATCCATAGATTGTCTAGCTGTGATAATCACTCGTAGCTTCAGCGATCTGCTGCCTTAGAAGGACTTGACTGAAAGATGGCCATTGTATTCATTGCTACTTCTTTGAGCTTCGCTTAAAGTACGCGACAGATCAATCAAGATGCAGCAAGTAATTATTGAGCGTCAGAGGTATTCCAAGTATCCAGGGGCACAGCATCATTCGACATCCATCGGTTCTCGGTCCCCATGAACATATCGATAGGTAGGTTAAAAGATGCATCCATCAGGTGCATGGGAGGAGTCATAACTGCTGGACCCATATATTCGTTCCCCAGCATTGCATTCGAGGGTGATTTGGTTGAGAATGAATCATTGGACTGCGGGATGGAACCCATCATGCCATTCCCAATGAACTGCATGCCGTTTGTATCAATGCCTGTAGCAGGCACAGACCCCGGAGCCCCGGCTGTATCAAAGGCGCTCTGGCTAGGAGGCGTCAACTGGGACCACCCACGCCGAGTGGAGCTAGAACGGAATTGCTCCCATGCAAGCCGGATCGAGTTAGGTCCAGGGGCAAAGGGCTTGCCGAGGGTGTTCAAATTTTCGAAAGCTGCTGGTAGGACATTCCGTGCGGCTGGCGTGGGTGGGCACACTGGGTTGGCCAGCACGAATGATATGATGCAGATAGTGGCGTCCCACTGGTATTGGAAAGCCGGGGTCCAACCAGACAGGATGTCTGTCTCTGATAGGACATGTTTCAGTATATTGGTCAACACGACAGCGTGGTTCAGAGCAGAGATTCCGAGACCATCAGTCAGTGGCGTGAGAGATGGCCCTCGTGGAGGGAAGCGAATAAATGGGCGGAGGGTGGCGATTTGAAGATGGTGATATGTGATTTCCAACAGAAGTCGTTGACGCTGTAGCCATAGTGGGCTAGCCGGGTTTAAATTGAGTGATGTGCGGTCTGTTGAAAGGGCCTCGCCTTCGCCTTTACGTTGATTTTTGAGAGACGGCGGCACGGCCTGCACCCAATCATACATAGTGCGAATTTCGCTGCTCATGAATCTTGCGAGTAGCTCGAGAGCAGGCGGATCTTCTTGGATGTCTTGTATATCTTTCTCTTGTAAGTCCTCGTCGCAGCGCGCTGCAAATACTTCTTGAACTCGACGTGCTGCAGCTGTCAGGCGGACATACTGTACATGAAAGCTGAGCCATGTTAGTTCTTCCTCGGGAGGTGATACCAACACAGTGCCTGACAACTGCACTGCATCACGCATATCTGTGGGGATCGCACAGCCGGCGTCAGCCGGGTTTATTAGCGGTGGACGGCCGAGCGACATTGAGATCTGACTGTCCAACTGGTACAAGGTCCACCAAATCCGAGAATGCAGCTCTTGTGTTGCCCTTGGCAGATCACCTAGAGGACGGAGGTGTAACCGGAGCATATGGGCGATTCTGATTCCAGTTCCAAGAAGTACAAGAGCGGTATCTAGATTCGAGATGTTGTAGGAATATATTATGCAGTAAATCTGACTCTGCAGGGTCTGGATGGTGGGGTGCTCCAGGGTTTCCATCAGCATGCGCTGGCTTCGGTCGTAGAAGGTATGTGCAGCTGTATGAAAATGTGCAGCTGGCGACTGTTCAGCGCCATTTTCCATGTTCTCCTCATCTCCCATAAAGATACTGCCATACTGCATGCAGACGGCCAACAAGCTGTCAACTAGGGCAGACGGCCGACGGGGGCCTTGGTCGTTGGTTCCAGTCCAAAGAGAATTATAATAATCTCGGAATTCCTCCTCTGAGACAATAGGATATATGCAATGATAAGATTGCCACATGAGGACCAAGAAGTTCTCTTCCTCCTCCCGCGGTAGGTTCTCGGCCTCGGCCGGTCCTAGGCGAAGGGTGGACTGTTCCGTCTCATCTGCAAACTGTCCTAGGGAATGTGTGGGGTAGTATCGGTTTATCTGTGAGATACGGATCGGCAGAGGAAATTTGAGAGGCTGTTCGTGGGAAGATTGGGACATATAACGGTTCAGGCGCATCACCATGTATGGCGAGGAGAAAGGACCAAAATGGATCACGCGTCCTGTTCGCGCCTCTGGATTTTGAAACCCATCCCATGTCACGCGATGTGTTTCTGGAAGCTCGGCGGATGCAGTGCCAGAAGAGAAATTCGACGTATTCAAGGGTTGTCGGGACGGATGCTTGGTGTCTCCAGGCTGTGTTTTCGATTCTTGGGTCAGTGTATCCATTTCCTTCTGAAAGTCTTTGAGTTGGTTTCGCAGTCGATGGATTTCCCTATTTGATCTCTTATCAGTTATCTCGGACTGTGGCTGAGCTCCCAGGATAACAAGCACAAAGAAGAGGTGGATAAGGGGTGCATTTCTTACCGATTCGCAGCCTTGAGAGAATGGGATTCAAATTGCTTGGTATTACTGCAGTGACCACCACGACTCTTGCAATTTTGGCATGGCAGCCTGTCGTCACACTTGATGCGATTGAGGCGACACCAGTCGCAGGCTCTCGCAACCTGATTCCGCTTGGGACGGGGCGCAGCGGGCTGTTCCGGATGATCAGTGGAGTTGAGGGCGGAGAATGTGGAGAACATGGTCAACAGTGCGATCGCAGGGGGATCTTCATGGGAGCAGTACAAAAGGCAAGTGATGAGATGCCAACCTGGTTTGGACCCCACGAACCTGTGGTGTGGTCCTCGGGTCCATTCAAGCTGCTTATCTCATCAGTGGGTGTGGCTTGAGATGAACGCACCAATGCGCGTAAGGTTTATACGACTTGGCTCAACGCTGCCATCGTCAAGTTTAGACTGACAGGAGTTTCCCAGATATGAGAGATCCACGTCATGTCCAGGGTGACATGTTCGAGTTTGATTTGATTTCACTCGGGCGAGCAAGGCCTCCCAGCACATTCGGCGGTTCCAGGTGCGCGAAAAAAAGAATAAGCCAAAACACCATCCGCCATACTTGTTTTCACACTGGATATCCATCGGAATATGGATAGCATTTCGAAATTGTGACTCGTGTACGTGTACATATGCGGCCGCGAGTGAGGGGAGTGAAGGGAACATAGGATATGGCCACATCTCAGTCGGGTCAGATACGCCGTGGAGAAGTTTATAAAAAGAAGGCGAGCGGAATGTGACGAGAGGTCCGACTAACTATCTGCAAGATAGTTCCGGCGAATTGTTTGCTGCTCGCTATATTCTCGTTGTTGCGGATATGCAATGGCTTGCATTTTAACTCAATCATACAACGACTGCATGATGAGAGCTCAACTGAACTGAAAATTGTGATGAGAACATATCTATCTTTCAGCAGTCATCTTCTCTCCCACCTGGGTCTTTGTCTCTTCTAGCCTGAAAACGGAAGTATAGACTGCCCGAAGGAGTTTCGGGATGCCCAATTCGAAAGGATCTAGAAGCCTGTGAGATCATTGGACCAAAAACAGCTGCGCCAAGTATCAAAGCTTTGCTCTTTGCATCTTGCATCTGTGGATTATGAACAATGCTCTTGGTTTGACGCCTCCATGTTATATTGGACCAAGACCTGAGCTTGTATCATCTACTACTCATTGCCGACATACCAATGTGATTAAACGGCTACCAGCGCATATCTCTTGGTCATCTTATTCCCAATATTGGTAGCCTCAGACATTCAAATTATTTTCGTTGCATAATTTATCCTCGATGTGGAAGTCACCCGCAAATAACACGAAGAAATATCGAGATTCAGTCACAGAGGAAACAGTACTATATGATTATTCTAGTAAAATAAGGCTCTTAGATTCTATCAACACCCAGAGGCAAAAGACTCTTTACAGCATCAACGATACTCTCTCTCAAGGGCCTAAACTGAATACCCAAAATCTCTCGCGCACGTGTATTGTCGAACCCATACACCCCCTCGGCGGGATACTCCCCTGGCTTCAATGCATCTCCAGTAGGGAGGCGCATCTTATACTCCGGGAACTCTTCCCCAATTATGTTGGCAATCTCAGCATTCGAAAAATGACTCGAGACGACGAAAAACCGTTTCCCTCCGGCATCTTCCTTCTCAACGGCGAGGACATGGGCAAGACCGAGATCACGCACGTTCACGAACAGGTAGTTCCCCGTCGGCGGACAACGGGTCTTGGCTGCGCCCGAAACGAGGTCTCGGATGCGCTGGTTGGAGGTATTTAGGGTATCGAGAGAGACGAGATTGTGAACAACGGGCCCCAGGACCAGGGGTGGGTTGATGACGGCGAGTGTGAAGTTTGGCTTTTCTCTCTCAACAAATTCCCACGCTGCTTTCTCCTGTTGGTAAAGAGTCAGTTGTCTAAATTTCACAGTTGATTGACATATCAGCAGAGATCTTACAGCGAACGTTTTGCTTGCGCGGTATGCATTGGCAGGACTGTCATTTGCCTGTTCTTTTGTGATGGGACTCCAGTCCGCCTAAAATTTTTGTTATTGAATGTCCAAGATCGAGACTAGAGTTTGCTTTGTGGGTGTTGTATACCTCTGAGTAAACCTTTTCGGCGGATGTGGCAAATACATCGTTGATTGCAGCAAAAGACGAAGTGACGACTACTCGTTTCACGAAGGGCGCATGATTCTGAACGGATTTTAAAATCCCTGTTGTGCCTATTATGGCTGGAGCCAAGAGCTCCTGGGCATCTTGGGCATGGAAATGATATGGACTGGCCGTGTGAATGACAGCTTCAAAGGGCGGGTCCGTCACAACAGCTAGATCAAAAGCTATTTCCCGATTCAGTAAGCCTTGCGAGGGTTTTCGATGACAGGATTGACTATACCATTTGGCTGAGCAATATCTTCGACAATGGAAAATGACAGACGGTCTTCTGCCATTTCCGGGTGGGCTTGTCTAATAGCATCTGCTTTGGCCTGAGAACGAACAGTAGTGACGACGGAGTGGCCTCGGGCTAGAAGGGCCTCCAGTACATGAGCGGCAATGAAGCCGCTCCCACCAGTCAGAAGTACACGAGTCATTGATACACTGGAGAGAGGAAATAAGAAAGGTAATGGTTGAATTGTGTCTGGTCTACACGACTTCAATTATATAGATTCATCCAAAGTGGATCAGCGCAGAACTCCGACGCCAATCAAGAAGGTGGAGCCTCGTGCCTCTCGGAGTTTCGGACTTGCCCTAAGGAGTTCGACTTCAAAAAGCTCCACGTCATCATGCTTCAGATCGTGTCAAGTACAGGTGAAAACACTAGAAAATATAATCTTCCTTCTATACCATCTCTGACCATGTCACATCATATTGGTTGCAATCCAAGAAAGCTAAGATAAAGATCAACGGGCCAGACACAATCCCGTTGACAGCCAATCATATTCGACCCTCACTTATTACTAGTTAATGGGGCTTTTCGGGGTATCTAATAGCTCACCAATCACGCATCTCTTGCCTCATCTCGTACAATTCCAAATATCTCAAGGATGAAGAACATGCCGTGACTGGCGTATATCAGCAGTGACTCCATACGATAATATATACGAACCTCGACGGAGAACGTATTCCAAATTATATAATTACCAGGGATTATATTGATAGTGAAATCAAAACATGCCTGGTTGGGTTGAGACAGTCAGCTCAAGATGAGAGCTAAAAAAGTCCCCCATCAGTTTGCCATGATTGTCATTATCAAATATGGCAATGCGATACGCCCCATGACGATCGATAGCAGGCTATCAAAGGTACGAATTAATTGATTATTATATCGATGAGGTACGCAGGATTGATAGATACAACGAAGATCTGTTGATTGAGCCCCTTCCAAATTGGGTTAACAGCCTGTGAGAGAAGGCTCTAAGTCTAATTCCGTAAAAACCACACAGAAGCCACTAACGGTGCAAGCCATCCCGATGCTACTTAGTAGCCTCCACAGAAAGTTGCAAAATATTGAATATGGTTCAAATCTCAATCAAAGTATTCTCCTTAGATATGTATATGCCTAGCTGAAATATCATTATTCTGCCATCAGAATGTCGTGAGACTGTTTAATGTCCTGCTTTATTGTTCTACATCGCCGAGTGGGCCTCTTTTGTAGCCCTGATAGACGCTACAGAAATGTCCCTCTTATTCTGTGGAGATAAAAACACTTCTTCTGAAATCTTCCATGGTTATGGTCCGTCATCGTCGGGACGGCCCGCTTCAAGTGGCGCTCCAGATAGCACACATCCGACATGCTGTGCATGGCTCGGTGGATTTAGCTCGTAGTTGTATCATTCAATGTGAGCCAGGGTGGATGGATAGTGAGAATGTGCCGGTCAAATAGCCTACGGGCTGTAGTCTATGATTAAATCGCTTGATTATGGTAATGATTACTGGAGGGTGTCGGAGACCATGTTGGGGCTAACATACAATGAGACCGCAAAATTTGTGGTCCTACCTAGCCAATATGAACTTAGTAAATATCTGTATTGCAATAACTACTAGTTACGTATTTAGTTAGTCATACCAATAGTGACCCGTGGACGTGGACGCCGCAAATTTCTCTTTCCCTCCCTTCAAGTCTCTATATACCTAAAACCAAATATCTCATGCTCGATCGCCGATACCCCCCCCCCCCCCCCCCTTCCTCCGCAAAGTTCTCTCTACCTCGAAATTCTGTCTTCTTCGTCTCTACCCCGTTGCCATGGTGTCGTTGTTTTATTCCTGCGCCCCTTCTTCAGTTTTGCAAGCTTCACTTGAAGCTCCAATTGTTTGATTTCATCAGAATCATACCCAGCATCAAAATCCCCATCTCTCATGGCCTCAGGTCCGCTGTCATCCTGACTATAATCCTCATCCTGGTTAACAGAACTATCATAGGAGGCGTCGCGTCGGAAAGCTCTTGGTTCTGCCTCTCGACGCCTATGCATATTTCCTTGATTGCGGTAGTTCGAAGTTGGACGAGCGTCCTTGCGAAGCCCATCTCTCTCTGCGAGAGTACCATAAGCATCTTCTTCGGGTGCTCCGTGGATATCACTGATATAATCATCAAAATGTGCAGTTATCTTGGCCACATGTCGGAAGTGGTCTACCGTAATGCGCGGTCGTTCCAGCCCAGAGGTATTGCCTTCCTCAAAGAAGTCCCAATTGGCGAGCGCGATGGCTGTTTGGAATGCATTTTTTATTTGTCTGCCGTTCCAGCGTCGAGTGGGTCGCTTCGCGTTCTTTTTCCAGTGTTCATCGACATATCTTTTGATCTTCCTTTCGTCAATATCGATTTCCAAGTTACTTTTCTTGATTCGCTGGATGTTCATATCCCAAATTTCTTTGGTTTGATCTTGTTCCAGCTTTGGATAATAGAGACAAATATGAATTCGCGATCGGAAGGCTTCATCAAACTCGCCAACTCGATTGGTTGTCAATATGATGACTCCGGAAAAGTACTCCAACACTCGAAGAAAAACTACCACCTTAAGTCAGCTAACGGCTCCATTCAAAGTCAATGCCACTTAGCACTGGAGCTTCTCAAATACCTACCGGAAACCAGGCTGTTTCTTTTGATATCACCACGCTCGCGTTTTGCCAAGAAAACGTCGGCTTCGTCCAACAACAGTACGCACCTCCACCGATGGGCTAGAGTGCAAAATGAATCAAGATTTCTCTCAGCCTCTTGAGCGCTAGTGCCGATATCTCCGCAAGTTATTGGCAACAAAGGTCGCTTCAATTTTGCGGCGATACATTCTGCTGTGGATGTTTTGCCGACACCGGGTGCGCCATGAAGTAGAATGATCAAGCCTTTGCCTTTGGCAGAAACAACATCCATTGAGAATTGATCACGGGTCGGTTCCGAGTCATTGGAGGTTGTATAAGATGGCAAACGAACTTGATTTGTAATCAATGCCATGAGAATGGTCTTGTGTTGATCAGGTAAAACCAAGTCCTCCAACTTGGACCAGCCTTCTTGTGCTCGTTCCATGGAGATTTCTTTAAGAATATTGATGTAAAATGAGGCCCACCGGTGGTCCAGCAAAGAATATCCATACAGACGAGGTGGAAGAAGTATTCGCTCATCATCCGATATCGAAATATTGTTGATGATGCGTCTGATTCCCAGTTCTGTAGTCCCCATGAACTCTTGTCGCCTATTCTCTTCAAAGATAGAATCATCGAAGACATCCGTTACCCAATCTCCATCACTCTTTTTAGGGAAATAATCGAGAATCTCTCTCTTGTCGGTCTTTGTGGGGGTTTGAACAATACGCCCACTGGTTTTCAGGCTCCACTTATAGAACTGCTCGCGAAAGTGCTGCACTCCCGACCCTTGGTCGATGATAACCTCGCCATGAACCTACCAAGGAACCATTAGTAGTTTCCTGGAATCCGATTTTTGAACTGTACCTCTGCTGCTTGAATCTCAAAATTATTGTAGCTGCTTTGAACTTTATTAGATTCGTTGAGGGTTGTCCCGTGGTACAACAAATGTGTCCGTGGTGCTAGTTGAAGAAAGCGAGCACCTCTTTTGATCAGATCATTCTTAATTTGTTGATGTTTTGGATCAAGGAAGAGGTGTTGTAGGGGGAGCAAGCTAACCAGCCTTTCCGCGCTATACGGCGTCACCACAAATCTTTTACCTCTAGGGGCTAGAGCAGTCCCATCAGAATCAAGATAAAAACAATCGATGATGAAGCTTGTTGTCTCGGTCCCGGAGCATCTCACAGCGTCGCAGCATTTCTCATCGTTTTCAGAGTCGGATTCCCATTGTCTATCATTGATCGGATCGAATGAGGATCTCCGCGTGGTATCAAAGCACACTCTCCCACCAGTGACATGAAGAATTCGATACGCTTGTCGTCGGATCTCATCATTCTCGGGGCAGCTGTAAACCAAATCACCGGGTTTGAAAAATTGCCACAGGTGTTCGAACGCTATTTTGTCCACTGATTGTGTTTGAATTTGTCGTCTGACGCTGAATATGTCTCTCATGTCGACATCCATAAATTCAACGAGACAACCAAGTTCATCTCGCTCGCGTGTCATACGGATAACAGCTTCCTTGAACTTTTCCGGGCCCTTTCCCTCAGTTTGTGTTTCCACTCTTTCTTCCGCCTGCGCTCCGCGAGTTTCGGCTTCTTGTACAGACTGAGCTAGCTCATTACTCGCCTGCTCGCATGCTACTCTGGAAGTGTGAAAAGCCTCCCGAATATCTTGTTCAATCTCCACAAGGTACTTGAAAGGCCTCACCAGGACGTTCTGCTCCTCTGTAAAAAGAATTCCAGTGTATTTCTCCAACACACTCAGGAGATATGTGGAATTGACGGCCAAACGATAAGGCGCATAGATATGATTTGGTGCATCAGACTTTTCCTCGGAGACCTCACTTTTGGATTTTGACTCTGTGTGTTTTTGTCTGGTTTTTTGCAGTAGAAGACTACTGCTCCCTTTGGACGAAACTAGAAGAACACTCTTTGTAGTATCGACTTTGCGCTCCTTTTTAACCTTTCGCCACATTTCTGGAGGCACTCTTGTGATTTTGATTTCTTGTAAGGGCTCAGGCTCCTGATTAGTCGTCGCACCGGCTGTTTCCTGAAGAGGTTCATTACTCTTTACGAGACTGCTGCAAAAACATGTTATTAAGGAAATCTGATGTTGCTATGAATCAATACAAACCTTGACGGCTTTTCAGTTTCATTCTTCACTATTTTGAAGTTAGGGAATGCCAAGGGACCAAGCTTTACTACACTCACCAGCACTTCCATCTCCACCAAGAATGCTGGCACCGGACTCTGGTTTTGCCTGGCTCAAAAGCTGCTTCTCGTTCACACCATCCCTGCCCTTAGGGCCGGTGGTGTCTAATAGGAGACTCGCATCCTGAAGTGGTGACTGGGTCTCACCCGTTGACACGGAGGAACTATGCATACTTGCAGTTAATCTCGCTGAAGATTGGTGGTGATTTCTTCGGAAACCTGAAATTTAAACAACAGTATAAATATGAAGATCGGGGAAATTCAAGTTGCTCGACTTCAGATTTCAGCCCTTTATATTTCGGGACAGAGGCTCAAATGAGGGGTTTCTGTAATTTATGCAGCTGATTCTCTGAAAACATTACGTGAATGGGGCCGGGGCTAGTGAGCTTACTGTAAATCGTCTGAGCGTTCATTCATCCTAATTTTTGAGGAATTGTGAACTAATACGCAAAACACCTTGACATTTCCAGGTGTCTGAACGACTTGTTTTGCGGATATTCTAGTTGCTATCGTTGTGTTTACCCTCTCCTTGATGTTAATCTTGATATGACTAGATTGAAGCATCGAGGGCAAACACTTCGGTGACACTAGACCGCGAACTAGTGGAGCTTTGGCGTCCGATCAAGCGCCCCCAAAGCTGTCACCAGCCGTGAAACTCTCAGCTTGTCCTTTCTCATTGATCCGGGACAGCTTTCAAGAACCAATTATATCGAAAGCAAGTGTCTATTAATATTTGTCAGCAGAAAATGAAATTACAAAATGAACAAGCCGAAAAGAAGATGCCCCGGAATGCAAATCTCAGCCCCTTTCGTCCAACAGCGCTTCGCCAAGTGCTGCTGCTGCACGAATGAAGGTCGACCAAGTCAACGCGAGGCTGTAACACTCCCATGCATGCATCATGCATGACCATGCTCACCCGGGCGCCTATCTCGGGTTGATGGGGGAAGCGAGAGCCTCGCTTTCAACTAGTAAAGTGATTGGACAGCCTTTTTTTCTCACCAGTGGCTCTCGGGGTCTCTAATCTTACTGTACTATTCGAATAAAATGGCATAGGTCGGGTGGCTTTAATCACCAGCGCTTTATCCCCACTTCGCCATAAGTTTGAAGAACAATTTTCTGTTCTCCAGCCCCTTCTTCTGCGAGCTTAGCTGCCTCCTCTATTATCTACTTTTGTTCTACTCTATTGCGCAGAGATCCAACTCTGGGTTCCCGTAAGAACAAAGCAGACATAATTCCGGCTGTTTAAGCGCAAAATTTATCTTCTGTCTCCTGGACAGTTCTAGGATGGATCGCAACCAAGCTAACGCAGGAGGCATGCAATCCCATCATCGACTGGGTAATCTAGTAGATGGATTCATGCGAAGAAAACCAAAATCCGAAATTCACCCAGCCCTCGAAACTCTCAGAGATGGGGAGAGTCGCTGCAATGCACCACCAGAGACTTTGATGCAGACTGACAGGCCTTCGGAATCAAAAGCTATCGCTACAATACAGTCAGGCTCTAGAAGTAGGGAATCAGAGGATGAACCAGATGATCTGCTGTACGAAACTCATCTATGATCCCGGCCCCCTTCCCCCCAGATTGAGACCCTGAACCCTGACAAATTATAGAGAAATGAATATATATAGAGACGCCATCTCCGAACGGGAGAATTTCCAACAGGCAATGGTGGTGTTTGAGCAGACCATCAATGAAAAAGGTCTCCAGAACAATATCACAGGTTGTAAGGTCCATACCTGGGAGGAGGTCCTTGAAGTAGTCAACAAAGCATCAGCGATCTACAATTCAAATTCGGGGGCCTGGAATAAGATACGCATCGCATTTCATAACTTTGGCAAGAACAACAAAGCCTTTGATGCGTGGCTAGGTCTCTTCCCATCCACTTCGGATTGGGTTTCCGTCATAAGTGGAGGATTTAAACTCATACTAGGGGTATGTTGTTGCCTATTGAATGACCTTAACCTGAAGTTGCTCATCACTCAAAGGCTGCCGCACGATTAGCTGATCTACGTGCCGAAATCTCGACGGCATTAGAGGAGATTCCCACCCTGTTAACCTGCATTAACAGAGCCACCAATATATTCAACAAACCCAGAGAACTTCGACAGTGCAGCACAGCCCTGTATGTCACAACACTCAAGCTACTTCAGCACATTCTCTCTTGGTATAAAACAAAGTCGTTAGGTATGATAGTACACGTTCATATGATCATTAAAGTTTATTGTTTGACATTGCATGACAGTCAAAATAACGGGCAGCATATTGAAGCAATCTGCTTACAACAATAAGTTGAGCACTCTGGTTCAAGATCTTAAAGTTCAGTCTGAACGGTTCGAGAGCTTGGCTCGTCTATGTTCCTATGCGAAAATCTCCGAGACAAGTGAACTGCTTCAGGCGCATGACCTTCGGACCCAGCAAGATCATAAAGAACTTTTCCAATGCCTTGAGTCATCTTTCGCTCAATTTAATACTTTCGAAGGTCAACTTCATTCGGAGAATATGACAAATCGAAAAACGCTTCAGACAATCAATGGTCGCCTAAGAAACCTTCAGATAATTACGGAGCAATTCCTGGCATGCCATGATCGGTTAGATCCCAACACGCGCCAAGGTATGTGAGGCGAAAGTACCAATTGAGAAACAAAATTATTAAGCCATCACAGTCAGAGGCCCAATTCTTCCTGCAAACAAAGAAGCTATATCTAGAAGAGCTATGCAAGGTAAGCTGATCTTCCGTGGTATCCTACGAGTGTTTCCTCGAGCTAATAATCTGAAAATAGATTATCTGAGGGCACGAGATAGAGCATTGAAGGTCCTAGAATTTGACAATAATGTGGTCTCAAAAGACGTTGCGACCAGTCTTAGAGATGGTTGGAAGTTACAAAGAGATGCTCAGGATCGGATTATTGCCATAATGCAGTCACCAAAGCTGCAGACCTGGATATCGACGAATACATCGTCCGTGATATTTATAAACGCCAATGCTCGCAGCAATGAAAGGCTGTGTTCTTTCATCCCTGCCAACCTGATTGATTCAGTGGCCATTCAAAAAAACAATCATGTCTTCACTATTTCGTTCTTCTGCAACATGCACTCTCTCAGCTATGATTCAAACTCTGGAATCACCAGCCTCGTGAAAAGTCTGGTCGCCCAACTTTTGATGTCTTATCCGGAGTTTGGGCTACAAACAGTCAACCAAATCTCACAAGAAGATGCAGAAAGTATCGATATGCTTTGCCAAATCTTCCAGCGCCTAATTTTCCACCTGCCCCCCGACGTCATAGTCTTCTGTCTTATCGACGCAGTCACCATTTATGAGACTTCTTCCTCCCACATGAAGGACTGCGAAGTAGTGTTCAGCCTACTTATCGATATTGTGAAGCAGACTCAAGACTACGGCTGTGTGTTTAAACTGATGTTCACCAACCCTCAAAATAGTGACCGATTTTACAAGCTTGTACCTGACCAAGCAAGTAATGTTGTCTGGATTCCAGGCCGAGTACCTCGGACAGGAGGACTTACACTTGGAATTGCGAAAATGCGAGGGCTTTTTCACGAAAGTTGAGATATTTCAAAGCATGAACAGATATCATTTTTCATTTCTTAACAACTTGTAACATGTCTACTGGTTTGGTTAGCTTTAAACATTTGGAAACTGGGTGTAGAAACAGGAGTGTGCAGTAATCCACACTGTATTTCTGGCTTATGTTTTTCGAAAGTTGAGGATGTATATAAACAATATCCGATACGGTGGGAGTCGAGGTAATGGCAGAAACTCGACAACTGTGCTTGGTTTTGCAGGGCAGAATCGTAGGGTTTCCAATTTTTTCTTCCTTTGGGTGTTACTCCTTTCAAAAATTCTTTCAATTACCTACAGTCTCGCTGCTTTCTTCGTCCCTTGATAATTGGCCTTCAGCTTCAAAGTTATAGCGCGATCTATGCCTCGCAGCAACAGCCTAATCCAGACGGGACAGGGACGATGCACCGAGCGAGAAATCATCACGAGTGGATTCCTTAGATCATTTATTGTGGGTAATTTCCACGAGCCTTGACTGCCAGAGATCCCAACACTGAACGCTGCATGGGGAAATGTCCTCACACAAAGGCTCAGGCTTAATAGATGCCAAATCCCGAGCATCCAACTCTTCAGTGGAACTTAAATCCTGGAATTCGATGCTCCCACATCGGATCAGCCACTCTGTCGTGACCCATAGTTTGCACTTAAACACGGTTACTTCTTGTGGAGCAGTCTCCAGGCCGGCGGCGATCTCCCAATAAGCAAGCACGATCCACGACTGAAAGCCATCAGACACAAGGCGTGAAGCAAACGAGTTGAACCGCTTTCATGCCTCAATGTCTTCAGATGAATAGTCGTCGAGATCTGTGGGATCTTCTTTGATATTAGAATTGCGCGTGCGTAAGAGACAAATTTGAGGCTTTGGGCTTGCTTACCGGCCCATTTGTCAAAGAGATACATGCTTAATTGAGGCAAATCTTCCCATTTTAGTGAGTTCTGTCGACACAAAGATGTTAGCCTAGCGTCTAGTGGCTTTTTGGTATTGATAGTTCCTCACATCACCGCTGCCCACGACCGCTCCACCTTCCCGTCGGAGATCATCAACAGCTGCAATGAGGATCTCATGCCCCGGATGATCGATAGGCACAATGCCCACCACCTCCAGTAACATCGCCCAGAGGTCCCAAAGGACGTCAGAGGTGATTTTGGATGATTCAGACCCCTGCGAGGAGATGTGTTCCCGCAGGGACCTGGCCAGATCTGCCGATGCCGCGGCGGGGTCGACTTGAGACGTCAAGGCCTCATTCAAGATGCGAAGAATATCCGCTTAGCTCTGAGTCAAATCTGGCCGCTTCGAGACATCAAGGTCGATACTTTCCGTCATGATATAGACAATAACTTGATTGGAAAAGGGTACTGGTTTGGTAGAAGCGGTGTGATTTCGATAGATTGGGTTGAGTACAGAACAGAAAGGATGGAAGTTGTGAAGCTATGGAAGAAGCGCGTTGTAAATTTAGTCGACAGATGACCAGGCAAGTTCACCCGAGCTGAAACACTGCTCGAATTATCACGCGCCATGGAATAGCTCCTAGTGTCAATCACTACGACCACTTTGGAAAGACCCCTTGCTCTATCAGATGAAAGTGATAAAACTGCGAAAAATGAAATGCTGTTTGACTCTAGCTGACAGAGCCTAGGGGCATTAGATACTTCAGTTTCATATGCTGCCACATAGTAAAACTACATGCCAGCTGCCCCCTAAGCCCAACAATTGCGAATATCATGATGTTTGATTGATAATTTATGGGGTGCATTAAAATGCCAAGAATTTGATACATTAGAGGCAAATTTTGATGTAAATTCTATTACTCAAAAAGCGCTAACTACAATTATGATGCCCAGGGCTGCTAATTTATTAGTCTGATTTACTTATAGGTGGCTATTTAGCAATTAACTATACTTTTAACCGACAAGACATCATCGCTTTCGTCGAGTCATGCGGCGACATCCACTAACTCATATCAGGATGAAACGATCATAGAGTTCGGATATTAATTTTCTCTTGAGCAACCTCAGCCTATACAAGAGAACCGAATTTGAACGTCGCCCGCCTTTTAGCTGCTATTTCTTAGCGAGGCAGTTGAAAAACAACATATTTGGTCCTCCGAAAGAACGAGACACGATCTAATTCTGTAGATATAGAGAGAAAATTCGGTAAAGAGTGCTAGGCAGAGCAGCCTCAACAACTTGATACACTCTTCCTCCGATTCTCCATTGATGTGTATTCCGTACATACTCCCCGATATGAATAACATCAGTCGCTTTTATATTTTCAATTTCATTGGCGATGATACAATTCTAACACTCAAGACTCAGTATGAACACTGTCTCCAAAAAGTTCATTCAGCGGAGAGGGGCCGACATCAGCAAAAAATTTGGTTCCAAATGCATAGGATCCTGTTATATATCGTGCCTCTTGGAAATTGGAGTCCTTCTTGTTTCGTCTATGACGAACCAACCAGAATCATAAAGCTCTGATCCGAGCGCATCCTGTAATAGGGAAAGTGACAGCTCCAGCAATCCATGACTTGCTCTCTTGATTTTCGGTTGATGTGCTGGGGCTGGTAAGGCTGGCGGTGGCCTTTAAAGAGGCGTTCTGAGTGTAGCTGCACAAACGCCCCAGTTCAACTGGCTTATATTGGCAGAAATCTGATGAAACTGCATCCAATATCCGATATGGTGTAGTGGCTAACATCGTCGTCTCTCACACGACAGCCGGGGGTTCGATTCCCCCTATCGGAGTTTCTTTTTTGGCAATGAAATTTTTGATGGTTCCGCTATAATATCGGATTGGCGGGCGATGTGGGGCGATGCCATCCATATCATTATCTACGATAATGTCATAGTATATCACTACCTAGGTATACATTGCCATTTTTTATTAAAGAATACGCTTCTTTAGATATAAAATGATCCTTTTCATACAGATATCCAAGATTGGTTACGGATGGATGGCAGACATTTGGAAAATTTTAGTTGAAGGACATAATTCGCAGGTATTATTCAGGTTAAATCGAATTTTCTAGTACTACACCACATGATGGTGGCATCTATTCCGTCGTAGCCAGATCGCTACCAATTTCAGATATTGCTAGGGCTTCGATGTGCTCTTGGCTTCGTTCCCTCGACATTTCAGTGTTCACACCTTCTGCGTCTGATAGTTTGCTGTGACCTTTTCGTAATATACCACAGCAACCGCCCCTACTTGCATAAAAGAACATTGTCTGTTTCATTGAAACGAGTGGCTCATTATACCCCTCGAGCTTTTGCCTTGTCTTAGAGATAATAAGAGGACAGAGCCCTTTGATACTTTTGTCGCCTTTCGAGGGTTTTGTTTCCTTTGTTTTCGGGTGATTCATGTCAGGTTGCTAACTTTCTGGTCTGACGTCTATAAATTAGCAAGTTTCTCTCTACAGATATTGATATCTACCATGGTATCTACTCACACTCTGACCTATGAGCCATCCTCTACAACCAACCAATACCCAGTTTAACGCAATTATGTTTAGGATTTTCTCCATCATCGCCACGGTCTTCACGCTGGTGTCGGCCGTGCAATCCCACGCGCTCTTAGTGCCTCTATACAGTCGGCCCGATACAATAGATTGGAAGCCAGTCCACGACTCACTAGAAGCGCATCCAAAGACGACATTCTATCTTATCGTCAACCCACAAAACGGACCGGGATCCACAGCGTTCCCCGATCAAGTCTTGATCACAGCCTTCGCAAAGCTAAACAGCTACGGCAATGCTAAGCTCCTAGGCTATATCTCGACACAATATGGGAACAGGGCCATTACAGATGTTGAGCGCGAGGTCGGCGTCTACTCCAACTGGGCCTCGTACAAGGGCAAAAACATCGCCCTCGACGGAGTCTTCTTCAACGAAGGATCAGATGGGGGAGACACTTTCAAGCTCGCGTACTACCAACAGCTCTCAAAGGCTGCCAAAGGTAGCAAATTGAACACTGTCATTTTCAACCCAGGTACTAAACTCGTGGCTAATATCCCCAAGTGGTTTGCCGCTGCGGATTTTATCGTCGAGTATGAGAACACTTGGGGCAGATGGGTTTCCCTCCCTCCTATTCAGCATTTCTCCGACATTAAGTACTATCATCACGTTGGTATGATGGTGAGGGGCACCCCTGGGGATGCTAGCCTTACTGATGTTGTTCATTTGGCTGTTAGTATGGGTCTTGGGGCTATATATGTTACCTTTGACGACAAGTACGACACTATTCTATCTATGCTTTCCGTTGTGAAAGATGCTATGGTTGTGAATTCTCCCCTTCCACGGGATATAATCCCCAAGGGAGAGGTGTACCGTATGCGCTAGTTTTAACGGTTGAAACTCTCATTTTATTCCCTCTCTTATCTGTTTATTCCTTTTGTCGAACAATATGAAATATAGAAGTTGAGTCAAATCGATTTTTTTATGTCCTTTGATCTCACAATTCCGATGGAAAGAAAGTAGACTGTTCTAGTAAAAACCTTCTCTTGAATATGATGTAGACGTAGCCGCCGTGATGGATCATTTTAAATGCAAGCACCGTAGCCAAAATACCGATAGCCCTCACTCCAAACCCTTAGCGCCATCCTTATAAGCCCTCAGATCATACTCATCAGGATAAGTCTCGAGAATTCTCTTCAACTCAGACATCTGCTCCCGCTGCTCCTCAGTGATCTCCTCGTAAACGTCCCTAAAGGCCTCCCTGAGAGGCGGCTTCATCTCCTGCTCGGCCTCACCAAACTCTTTTAGCACATCCTTGCGCATTTGATCCCTTGTTTCCTTCTCTTTATCCTCATTCCAAAGCCCCTGGTTCTCGAGCCACTTCCGCAACCGAATAATAGGATTATCGCGACGTTTCCAATCCTCCACTTCGACGCGCGCACGGTATGCGAAACTGTCATCCGAGGTACTGTGGTGCGAGACACGGTAACTCATAGCTTCTATAAGGACAGGGCGTCCTCCGTCGCTGAGCGCTCGACGTCTTGCTTCTTTCATTGCTTCGTGTACGGCAAAGACATCGTTTCCGTCTACACGGATTGTGTCAATTCCGTATCCTACGCCTCGGCTGGCGATTCCATCACCACGGTATTGTTCCAGTGTTGGGGTTGAGATTGCGTAGCCGTTGTTTCGGCATAGAAACACTACCGGACATGATCTTGTTGCAGCAATATTAAGTGCAGCGTGGAAGTCGCCTTCGCTTGCGGCACCTTCGCCGAAGTAGCAGGCCACGATTCGTGGATCCTTGTTTGGGCTTTGCATATCTTGCAATTTTAGCGCGTAGGCGGCTCCTGCAGCTTGGGGGATCTGAGTTGCTAGAGGTGAAGAGATGGTGTGCTATGTATTTCTTTTAGACAAGGCACTGTATTAATTCAGAGTGGGGATACGAACCATGCGAGGGTAATTTTGTCCATAGTGAACGGGCATATTCCGGCCTCGTCCGGTGTCATTGCAATTGGCGAAAAGTTGGCTCATGAAGTTCTTTAATGTAAATCCTCGTTGCTGAAATACTCCAGCTTCGCGGTATTGGGCGAACACCACGTCGTCTGGTGTTAAGGCGGCGGCAGACCCCACAGTAATACCTTCTTCGCCGGCGGAAACCTGTATACATTGATTAGAAACATCACATTCCTTTCTTGGGAATTTCAACTTACCATATAGAAACTCAGTCGACCCTGTCGTTGTGCCTCAAACATCACGACGTCCATAACGCTGACTACACGACAGTCAATCCCTTGATTCCGCGATAAATGAACAACAAACTAACCAGACAACATATTTTTGTACCATGTCAACACTTCCTCATCGGTCACATCAGGCGCCGGTCTTGTCTTATCAACCAATTCACCATCCGAATCCATGACTCGATAAGTAGGGATAGCGGGTAAATCCGAGGCTTTGAGGAAGGTCATATCGGTAGTGAACTTGCTATTGACCGCGCCCGGAAAGCGGACACTATAATACATTGGAATTAGCGCTTGCCCATACACAAACCCCAAATATTGAAGTGCCCTCACCTGTCCGACCCAGGCCGCTGCGAGATGGAGCTACTCCATCTCCGTGCGGGGGAGCATGCTGTCACCGGAATCTGGCTGCGAACGAGCCTGTTTCGAGCGAGGAGCTTGATAGACATCTTTGGTTGCCGCGATATTAACATGTTGCTTTTCGTATGAAAGGAGAGATTGCGGGGGATGTAGTTGAGTCTTGAATGTCTAGGGATGCGGAGAGACTCGGTTGGCGTCGGCGTCGGCGTCACTTCCGCGGCCCCGCGGCCAACCGAGCGTTTCTTTCGAACTCACTTTGGACCCCAGTTAACATGGACATGATAGGGTTAATAGGGTCATAGAATGTATGCGGAGGTGGGTTTAAAGTGGAATTGCCGAGTAGCATCTAACCTTATCGAATATCTGTTGTGTTGGACTGATCTACATGTTCGAACTTGATATTCTCAACATATGTTGCCTAGGCCCGACACAGCTTTCTTGTCACACTTGCAACACAATTACTCTTAACAAGGATTTCCTTTTACTCGGTTTATCACCGACAAAGATTATAGCACTGCACTTAAATGGTTCTAATGGTAGAGCTGCGCGTGGTCCTTCTCAATTCTATGAGTCCGCAGTTGTCCGAGTTAGCTAGGTAGGGCCTTGAAGATGGGCGAACAAGATCAGTCGGGCTCATCAATTTGATTATTATTATCAAAATTAGGTAGACATCAGATCAAGGCTGACAGAGGTAGATAAAGATGCAATGCAAAATTGATTAATGTGCGGCGAAATTTACAGATCTCGACGCTGTCTGTCATTTTAGCCAAACTGAAATCAGGAACAGCCACGGTGTAAACAGAAAAGACCCTGAAGGGATCAAGTGGCGTTAAGCAATCCATGCAATGAGAACATCGTACCTGAGAGAAGTCCAAAACGAAAAAGAATGTTCGTCATCCAACTATGACGGCAATTCCCCACTATTTCCTTGCTGGACACTATGACATAGCCGCAAAATGCTTCACCTGCCTTTATAGCTCGGTTGGAAGGTTTCTGTTCTTTTATAGCACACACAGATACACTACACTGCATACAAATACATCAATCACCATGCTGGACACTGATAATATCCAAAAGGTATTAAATACCCACATCAGCATTCCCATCCCGGAGCCCATGGTGCAGAAGATCACATCCCTACCGCCATTCATCGCTATACCAGGGGTCCAAAACTTCCGCGACCTAAGCCATGACGATAACAAGTTGCGCCCGGGGTTTGTCTACCGATCAGGAAACCTGTCAGATATAATGGACTCTGGCAAATGCATACTTGCCAGCGAACTAGGAATCACCACCATCTTCGACCTGCGAAACGAGGGCGAACGACAAAAAGCCCCGCCCCCTTCTGTCCCGGGAGTAGATACCGTCTGGATGCCATATGGTGCGCGACCGGCTACCTTGAACCTGCGCGACTTCGTTGGCGAGGACAAGGGCGCCAGTGGGTTTGTGAAGATGTACTCTGGTATCCTCGAGGCCGCTGTTCCAGGATTCACAGAGGTCTTCAAGCATATCCGAGATAATGCCGATGATCCTTTTATCTTTCACTGCTCTGGTATGTTCTTGTGTTCGCTTGTCATCGGGTTGATGAGACAGATGCTAATTGGCCCTAATCTATATAGCCGGCAAAGACCGCACAGGAGTTCTGTCTTCTCTCATCTTGCTTTTGATAGATCGCCCCCACGAAGAAATTATCAACGATTATATCCTCACCCGAGTGGGGTTGGAAAGCGCCCGCGAGAATCTCATGGAAGCCTTTGCTCTTAACATGGACTCCGATCAGGTCGATATCAGTCAATTGAGCCCCGAGGCTCGTGGCATGCTTGAACTGTGTGGTGTCCGGGCTTCTGCAATGGAGGCCTTCTTAAATTCGTTCCATAGTCAGTATGAGAATGGCGTGGAAGGGTATCTGACGACCAGACTTGGATTCTCGGCGGACGATGTAGCGACGATGCGCAAGAACTTGACCGTGGAGTAGAGGAAAGACTTTGGGTGTAAATAGAAACATATCTGTATACTAGATTTGATAGCATGGGCTGCATTTAAGACCAATTCACGAGGTCATTTTCGTTTGGACTGGGAATCAAGGGATAAATCCAACTAGCTGGCGGTCAAGAAAATTGCAATGTCATAAATCATTCAGTTGAGTACATCACACCTTACTTGTTACTCTGGCGCTGTCAAGATCCAATCAAGCATTCAACCCAGCCTAGCTCCACGACCCCTCTCCGCATAGCTCTGTAGATCATCGCCTCCTCCCGCCGCCGAGTCCATTCTGGGACATTTAGGACTTTATCCCCCGGTGACTCGCTACTCACCACTGCTACCGTTGCTTTCCCCCGCTCGTGAGAGGGGTTCAACTGCGAGAAATTCCCATCTGCTGCCGACGAGCCTTCCGACATAATTTAACCGGAGTGGCCGGGAAAATGTACTGGGTGGGTCAGATTGACTGTTGAATGCAATGTTTTGCCGTTAATTAACGTAGTAGCAAAGTGATAAATTGCCTGGTTTCCTTCTGATTTTGGTCACCGCGCTCCGGTACATTGCCTAGGCAGTTTGCTTTCACTTCTGTCACTATGCATCCCTGGAAGCAGTTCGCGCTGACTGCACTGCCGTGTTTCCCAGCTGCCTTGGGACAGAGCGTTCTGGATCTGAGCGGTGATGGGTGGACGGTTAGTAGCAAGGCACTGAATATCAGTGTTCCCGGTCGTGTTCCTTCACAGGCACATCTAGACTTATTTGCTGCTGGTGCCATTGGTATGTATACTTTGGATCAAATTATGAAGTTGAGATCTAATGCAAGTCATAGACGATCCGTTCGTTTCTCCTACTCACTGATAATATTTTTGCGAACTAACACGACTGCTTTACAGTTATTATGGGTTGAATGACTTCAATTTGCGTTGGATTGGTAACAACAATTGGACCTACACAAGTAAACCGATCCAAGGCTTGTATGAGATCTGACTATATTCTACGTATGAGATCTAGCTAACGACCCACAGATCAAGCAATTCCAAGTCGGCGTGGCTTGTGTTCGACGGTTTAGATACCTTCACTACAATCGAGTTTTGTGGCCAGTTCATTGGGACCACCGAGAACCAATTCCGACAATACAGCTTCGACATCTCCGATGCTTTGAGTAAATGCAAAGGCTCGCCATCTGTGTCTCTTCACTTCGGAAGCGCCATCAAAATTGCCAATGATATTGCTGCCCAGCCGGATGCTCCCCGTGAGTGCTCAATGTAACAATGAAGTCCACCCCCTAACTTTTACTTAGAATGGCCAGCCGGAGTTCAAGGAACATTTGAATTCCCTAACCGCTGGTTCATCCGCAAAGAACAGTCCGACTTTGGCTGGGATTGGGGCCCAGCCTTCTCGCCAGCCGGACCATGGCAAAAGGTTTTCCTCGTACAATTCGAGAATAAAGAAGGAGCCTATGTTCTCAATACCGATCTTGACATCTACCGGAAAGATCAAATCAATCATATAGCACCTGATCAAAGTCAGCCATGGGTTGTAAACGCGAGTATCGACTATTTGGGATCTCTCCCTAGCAAGCCATCGATGGCGTTCGAAATCAAGGAGCTTGGGTCCGGCAAGGTACTGAAGTCCGGATTGCTTAACAACGTCGTCGCCACCGGGAAAACTATCACAGGTAACACCCTGGTTGATGCAGATGCAGCCAACCTGTGGTGGCCTACAGGCCTGGGCAAGCAAAACCTGTACAATATCACAGTAACAATCCAAGACGGCAAGCAGGACTTGGCAAGTGTCACTAAGCGCACCGGATTCCGCACCATCTTTCTCAACCGATCCAACATTACTGAAGAGCAATTAGCACAGGGAGTTGCTCCCGGTGCGAACTGGCATTTTGAAGTGAATGGCCATGAATTCTACGCCAAAGGATCCAATCTCATTCCGCCAGACGTTTTCTGGCCCCGAGTCACCGAAGCCAAGATGCAGCGACTATTTGACGCGGTCGTCGTCGGAAATCAAAACATGCTCCGAGTCTGGTCTTCAGGTGCTTATCTTCCAGACTTCATGTACGATCTTGCTGATGAGCGTGGTGTCCTGCTCTGGAGCGAGTTCCAATTCAGTGATGCTTTATATCCAACAGACCAACCATTCTTGGACAATGTCGCTGCTGAGGTTGTGTACAATGTACGACGCGTGAACCACCATCCCTCCCTCGCCTTGTGGGCCGGTGGAAACGAGATTGAAAGCTTGGAATTACCCGAAGCCAAGCAGAAGGCACCAGAACAATACGCCGACTACGTAGGCGACTACGAGCACCTCTTCATCACATTGATCCTTCCCCTCGTTTACGAGAACTCACGCTCAATATCATACATGCCCAGCAGCACAAACAACGGTTTCCTGGAAGTCGACCTTTCCGCCAAAATCCCCATGGTCGAGCGCTACGATAACGGCACAGACGCAGAGGGTTACTATTACGGAGATACAGATTATTACAACTACGACAGCAGTGTCGCCTTTGACTTCGATGGCTATCCAGTAGGACGTTTCGCCAACGAATTCGGATATCACAGCATGCCAAGTTTACAAACCTGGCAGCAAGCCGTCGACGACGAAGACCTCCACTTCAACAGCAGCACCATCATGCTCCGAAACCATCACTACCCGGCCAATGGTCCGGATACCCATAATTATAAGAATACCTCCATGGGCATGGGCGAGATGACACTAGCCGTTCAGCGATACTATCCAACACCGGACAAACACGACTCCGTCGCGAACTTCAGTGCTTGGTGTCATGCGACGCAACATTTCCAGGCTGATATGTACAAGTCCGAGATCCAGTTCTACCGGCGTGGCAGTGGCATGCCTGAGCGGCAGCTTGGTTCTTTGTATTGGCAACTGGAGGATATCTGGCAGGCGCCTACGTGGGCTGGGATTGAGTATGATGGGCGCTGGAAGGTGCTCCATTATGTTGCGCGTGATATATTCAAGCCGGTCATTGTTTCTCCGTTTTGGAATTCTTCGACTGGAGATTTGGATTTGTATGTCACTTCGGATCTTTGGGAAGATGTTCGTGGAAATGTCAGTCTTTCTTGGGTTAATTTGGCTGGGAAGCCTATTCCCGGGAATGCTGGAACGCCGAAAAGCAAAACGTTTTCTGTTGGGGGGTTGAATACGACGAACATCTATTCGACTAATGTGTCGAAGCTTTCTCTGTCGAATACGAAAGATGCGGTTTTGGTCATTGATCTTGTTGCGCAGGGTCATCTTCCTAATTCTGAGACCGGGGGGTTGACTACGTTCACACATCGGAATCAGTTTACGCCTGTCTATCCGAAAGACTTGGAACTGAAAGATCCTAAGCTCAGTCTATCGCATGATGCCAAGACTGGCGTTTTCACGGTTGAGGCGAAGAGTGCAGCCTCACTGTACACATGGATTGACTACCCCGCCGGTGTAGTGGGTTACTTTGAGGATAACTCATTCACCCTGATTCCTGGTGAGAAGAAGACTGTTAAGTTCGTGGCCCAGAAGGACGAGACTGGAGGCAAGTGGGTGAATGATGTTACTGTGCGAAGTATGTGGGATCAAACCACGTCTTGAAAAGTACAGACCTAGCATACATCCGTTTTTCTTATGTGGTATTCCGATATTTAGAGTAAGAGTATGCATTTTGCCGTTTATGCACAATACCTAACACTCTAGATGTATAGTCTGGCTTGATCTTCCAAATTCAAAGTCATTAGATTCATCATTATAGTAGTCTAGTCTAGTCTAATCTAGTAATATTAACCTTTTTTTTTTCGCATCCAAGATATCTCTCACTATTCCACTGCCATAGACTTCCATCTCGTCTTCCATGTTCCCATTAACCGCAATCCACCCCAAAATAGATAAAAAATTGGAAATGATCATCCTCTAGTCCCGAGAAAGCTTCGCCCGCAAGCGAGCACCAAACACGTAGAAGACATAGGGGATAAACACCATAGCAACTCCAATGAAAGCAAGCAACCAAGAAGCCCACTGCAAGCCCAGACGATCATACATCTGAGTTGTAAACAGCGGGAAAGCCGCTCCACCACCAGACCTCAAGAAAACCTTAGCAGCCAAAGCAGAAGCGGCATACTTCTGATAAGAATCAATAATATAATTATTGACAGCATAATAGCAAAGCACCATTCCAAACCCGAAAGCAATGCCAGAAGAGGCAGGCCCGACCCAAATGATATGCTTGTAGGAAGTAGCACCGAGCAAGAAAAACGCAATTGGAATAAACGGCGCGCCAATCAAAGCAGCAATGAGTCGATCTTCAGGTGTTGGTGCGCGAAGACTGCAAATTTTCTTGAAATTATTCTCAATGAGAGGTGTGACGACAAGTGCGAACGCAGCGCCAATCAAGATCGGTATGAACATGAGGCCGATCTGGCCGTCATTGTAGTTGTACAAGTTGCCAAAAATGACTGGGTATGCGAAGAAGAAGGCATACAGCATGGCGTAGATGAGGACGATATACATGCACATGAGGTCGAGGACTGGCTCGGTCATGATCATCGTGATGGGACGGATGAGGCTTGTGCGAGCGATATCGCCCAACGTGAGTTTCGTCTTTTCTTGCTCGGTGATGATGTTCGGGTTTCCTGTTTCTTTGCGGAGCTTTGCGGCGCGGCGTTTGAGGATTATCGGGGCGTATGTCTCCGGTACTAGGGCGACGAGCACCATTATTGCGCCTGCGAATGCTAGATTCACCCAGAAGAAGAGGTCAAGACGGCCGGTGCCGACGTTGATCCAGCCTGTTACTATGGGTCCGAGGACGGGCCCGCAATATGGGGCTGCAGCGAAGTAGGCGATTGCCATGCCGCGCTCTTCGATGCTCCAGATATCTGCGATTGTGCCTCCTGCTAGGGAGAGTCCTGAGCTGGAGAAGACGCCGCAGAGGAATCTGCACACGAGGAGGCCGCCAATGTTTGGGGAGAGGGCGCAGGGGATGTTGAAGATGACGTATAGACCGAGTGAGATGATATAGACGGGTCTTCGGCCTATGATCTCGGAGAGGGGGGACCAGAGGAGTGGGCCGACTGCGAAACCACAGACCATGATTGAGCAGGTTAGGATTGCTACTTCAAGGGAGACATTGTATTGGTCCTCGATTAGATCAAGACCACCGGTGACGATTGAGGAGCCGAAGGCGACGCATACGACTAGGGCTGAGGCTACCATGGTGATGTACCATCGGTAGGCGCGAGACCAGTTGTAAGGATGTTCGGGGTCATTGATTGTAAATGTTACGAACTCTGTGGGGCCATTTCCGCCTTTTTCGAGGTCTGCGTCTCTTTCGTTTGCGGGTGTCGCAACTTCGGTAGATGAGACAGATCCATTGGATCGGATTTGCTCGAGAGTCCTCTGAGGGACAAGGCCAGTGCTTGTTTCGACGACATATTCCTCGGGAAATACGGGATTATCGTTGTGTCCGATAGCTGGGTAGTTGGGCTCCAGGGCATGAGGATGTTCAGTAATGCCCCGGCTGCGAAGGGTGTCTAGCGTTTCGGTCTCGAGTGGATGTAGTGGCTCGGGGGCTTCTGAGTGTTGCTCAGGTAGTGAGGAAGACATGATGAGATATGTGAGTAATGGAACAGGTTATAGAAGATTGAAACTGTTTATGATTGTTGGAGCTACATAGCCGGATATGACACAGTCTTTATACCTTTGAGTAGTTGTGACCAGAGCTTCCGTATATGCTGGGCCGACTGATCTCCGAGGTAGACCGCGCCATCACCGGGAGTTCGGGTCGCTATTAAATGACGCATTCTAGAAGATCGATAGACGCATGGCACGTATCTGCAAAGGAGAGACGGGATTTGGTGAGATTCAAAGTGACGCACTTGGTAAGCGATATCATGTCGGTGATGGTTCGGCCCGAGCCAATGCCGAAAGAAGTATGCAAGTCTGGACTTTTCTCGGCGCTGATTCTGTCTGTGATATCTGCATCTGACACAGCAGGTTTGATGCATTTCTATTAAAATCCATTACAATGCTCAGTATTCAATAGATATTGGAATGTTTGAAGATTGGTTGTGAGATAATGGCGGTGATTTCACTGTGAACGACGACGCGGACGGATCAGCTTTTAGAAAAAGAAAAAAGGGCTCGTGTCTCACGGTGTAACAGCACCTGTTACACTCTTACAATAAACCATCAAATCACGAATTTAAAAGCAATTCATCGGATAAGCTGCTAGAGAGGCCAATAACAACGGACGACATGTCTCAGGAACAACACAGCTGCGAAACAGATAGTCACGAAGCGCGGTCGATCATATCCGATCGTACCCAGACCCAAGAGTAGCCCTATGACCGAAATCTGGCCGATTCTGGTAACGTCAGTTGCTCCGATGTGAAACTGGGCCAATCAAGATGTGGGGCTGTATACGGAAATAAGCACGCATCGACGCATAGAGTAACGGATCCAGGAGATCATAGTGGGGACCAAACGGGACTCGATAGACTTATATAGACATCAAACCCGCGAGACTGTGATCTTTTGATTCTGTTCTTTGTGTGTTGGCTTCTTTCTAAGCAAGGTCTTTATCACCTCCAGTTACTCGATCTACTACTGAGCAGCGCATGGTAAGATAGCCACGAAAAACATTGCAGTCGTTATTTCATATATGTGTGCAGAGTATTACGCCTAAAATCCCAAAGTGAATGCATCCCAATACCGATATGCAAAAGGACCGTATCAAGTCCACGATTACCACTTGTTGTCGAAAACCTTGCCATCAACGTAGTTGATCATCTCCTTGACAGGCGAGAGGTGGTCACGACCAGCACCGAACATCATACCCTGACGCAAGACGCTACGGTAGTTTTTGCCAGGCGACACTTTCCCAAGAACATACTCCTGGCGAGTTTCGACGCGGGTGGGGACAGGAATGGAGCGACCCACCACGGCCTCCATACCCTGCCAAGCGAATGTGATAGCCTCCTTAGCGCCACCAGGGATGCCAGCCTCGTCGAGCATGAGAATACGGGTGTTGGGGTAATTCTTCTGGATGAAAGCGGCGATGTTGGGGTTGTAGGCGCCACCGCCGCACATAAAGATCTCGGCGATTTCGAGGTCCTTGGGAGCGTATCGGCGGTAGTGGTCGACGATGGCCTGAGCGGTCACACGGGTGATAGTGGCGACGACGTCGTCGGGCTTGAGGCCCTTGGCTTCGGCCTTGACAATGAGATCGTGGGCGAGAGTGTCGCGGAAAACCTCACGGCCGGTTGTCTTGGGGGGCTCCAGGGCGAAGTAGGGGTGGGTCAGGAAATCGTCGACAAGTTCTTGGTCGACGGTGCCGCGGGCCCCCATCTCACCATCCTTGTCGTACTCGCTCTCTCCATTGGTGTAATGGCGGACAACGGCGTCGATGAAGACGTTTCCAGGGCCCGTATCGAAATCATAACAAGCGTCCACACCGCCGTGAGTGTCCGGCAGGACGAAGCAGACATTGGCGATTCCGCCAATGTTCTGGCACGCACGCAGCTTGGTGGGGTGGTGCAGCACTAGTGCGTCGAAGAATGCAATGAGAGGTGCGCCTTGACGACCGGCGGCTTGATCACTGACCCGGAAGTCTGTAACCGAGGTGATCCCTGTGCGCGAGGCGAGGAAGGTGCCCTCGGCCATTGTCAGAGCGCTGCGGGTCTCACCGGCCTCGGGCATGGAAAGCAGCCAGATGGTTTGGCCATGGGAGCCCAGGACATCGATGGTGTTGATGTCAACCTTGTAGTCGGCGCAGAACTGATGCACAGCAGAAGCGAAGGTCTCGCCCAGAATGACATTCACTTCAGACAACTCCGACGGAGAGGTTTTGTTGTGCAGAATCATGTTCATGACTCGCTTCTTGATCACAGGCTCCAAGGGGATTTCTCCATACTACCCATTGGTCAGGTTTCCTATACGATGGAGACAGCTCGGCATCACTTACCTTGAGCAATTCAAAGTGCATGGGAGACTCGGGGGTTTCTTGACGGAAGTGACAGAGAGCACAGTCAATGCCATCCTATGAGTGTCAGTATCAAATAGTTCCCGCTGCGATTGTATGCAAACTGACCATGGAGGTGCCACTGTTCAATCCCAACACCGTAATATCCAAGGCATGGTTGGCCGATGCATTGCTTCCATTCATTCCATTCGAAGTCATCTTGTGTGCAGTGAACAAAAGAGAAAAGAAAGGGAGAAAACAAGGCAGATTTAACGTCGGCCCGTCCAGTGGAGACTCAAAAATGCGCTTTCGGCATTATTCTAGATCGCGATAGTCCGCCAGAAGGGATGATCGCTAAAACGCCTATACTGTAAAAGAAAAATCTGAATGCTAAATGGCTACACGCTTGCCCCTTTGTGGCGTGCAATGTTCCCCAACGCGAAGCTCCATCTCGCTTGCCCACAGCTCCCTTCATTGCCGGACCCATACGGCTCCGTCATATTACTTGTATACTTGGATACCGTTTACCTGATTGGGACTTCATCTGCACAATTTACACGATGGGATACACAACGCTGTGGAAGCGTCTGTCGCCGCGTCAGCTGAATGTGGCCATTCAGACCTTCTCACTGATCTCAATCTTCTTTGAAGGGTATGACCAGGGTGTGATGGGAGGCGTGAATAGCTCACCGACATATGTAACCGAGGTCGGCATCGGAAACGCTGATGGGACAGTCACCAACACCACGCATCAGGGAGGCATTGTCAGCGTGTACTACCTGGGCGCGATCTTCGGTTGCTTTGCTGGAGGCTGGCTTGCAGATCGAGTCGGTCGGATCAACGGCCTACTGGCTGGCTCACTGTTCGCCTTGGTCGGGGGCGCGTTGCAGGCGGCAGCTCAAAATTCGAACTTCATGATCTGCGCGCGAGTAGTTACAGGAATCGGCACCGGTGGTGAGAATCCTTGCTAGCCTGCATTAGCTTTCAGGATATACATATCCGGAGCTTCACGAGAGGTGTCTTTTTTTCTGACTTGTCGCATAGCGCTGACCGGGATCACTCCTGTATTGGTCTCCGAGACCTCTTCGGCGAATCATCGTGGTGGATTTTTAGGTTATGTGTTCATTGCCAACTGTGAGTTCATGCGATCTGATTCATCTAATGTGGGGATGCTAATTGGGACTTTTGTCAGATCTCGGTATTTCCATCGCATATTGGATCTCCTTCGGACTCGCGTTTGTCAACAATGGGTACTCGGACGTACGATGGCGGTTTTTGCTCGCATTCCAGTGTTTCCCGGCGCTCCTCCTGGCAGCAGGCATCAAAATGTTGCCGGACAGTCCTCGCTATCTGGCCTCAGTGGGGAGGAAGGAAGAAGCACGCGACCTGCTGAACAGGATTCGTGGGGGCCAAACCCCTCAAGAAGATATCGATCGCGAATATCTCGAGATTGTCACAGCCGCTCAGGACAGCAAGCCCAGCTCGCCAGTTGAGTTTGTCAAGATTCTGATTGGAAAGGGTGGAAAGCCAGGGTTAAATCTGGGCCGACGCGCATGGCTGTGTGTTTGGCTTCAAATAATGGCGTCTTGGACTGGTATCACTGTAAGTGTGCAAGCTGAACCAGCTGACCCTTGGAAGGAGCTAACAATGATATCAGGCCGTGACTGCGTACTCCCCAACACTTCTGGCTCAAGCTGGTTATAGTGACATCAAACAAAATGGCTTGGCCGGAGGTATTAATACGATTGGAATCATTGGTACTATTATCAGCGCTCAGATCATTGATCGCCTGGGCCGGCGTGTGTGTTTGATGGGCGGAGCTGCTGTTTTGTTCGCAGTCAACCTAATTGTAAGTTATACTTCGCGTTGAGATGTACTTTGTTTCTGACTTTTTACTAGGCGGGAGCTGTTTATGAAGGATCTTTGCACAACCCTGAAAAGGCAGCTCAATATGCGCCGGGCGCGGTCACTATGCTGTTTTTGTTCAACCTGGGGTAAGGTTTCTCTCTTGCATTTGTCTAAAGCTTACTGACATGATATGCAGATATGCCGCAACTTGGGGCACAGTTGCCTTTTTAGTCCCCACTGAGATCTTCCCGAGTGATCTGCGAGCTCAAGGCAATGGATTCGGAATCACTGGGTGGGCTATCGGTGTTGGTATGACCACTTTGGTCAACCCGATCATGTTCAATGTCATGACTGTGAGTTTCTAATATTGGAGGATTCTCTTATTCAACAAAACTGACCCGTTTTCAGAGCCGTACATACTTCCTATTTGCTGGTCTCAACCTGATCTGGATTCCCATTGTCTATCTCTGTAAGTTGTGACTTTATTCAGTGACTTTTTGTTACATCATCTAACAAGGTCATTCTTAGTCTACCCCGAAACCCGCAATCGATCCCTCGAATCTATTGATGCCCTGTTCTCGACCTCCAGTCCCTTCTACTGGAAGATGGAACAGGCTTATAAACTCCACGGTGATGTTCTTGCTGAGCATGGCGTCACAAAGAGTGAAGAAGACCTGGAGATTGGCAAGACCAAACTTACTTCGATCCCGGCCGAAATCGATTCCGAACGCTCGACCACCGAACCTGCGACCGTCTAACGTATATTCGCATCATGACCAGCGACGTGATCATGTTCAGCTCTATGCCGATGCCTCGCGGAAACACATGTATAGGATCATGTAAATCTTTGTACCCGCACATAATGTGTTATAGACCCCCCCCCATACACTAGCACTAGACATAATGTATCTTTGTGCCTCTTATTACTATCAATACTATCAGTTTTCTCCATACTGTCCATATTGTCCATATCATCCAATCGATCACCCGCCGAGTGTGATCCCGAGGCCAATGATACGCTGCTGACTCAGCATCGTTCGCAAAGTCGACATTGACTTTTATCCTTCGGACACCATTCAATTGCTGGATCATCGATGAGTCCGGAAAGGTCCATTGCTTAAGCCTCATTTCACTTTCATTTTGGTGCCTTTTTCCCATTCTGCCTCCCCAGTCTTACCCCAGAAACCCTTGAGAGCCGTTGCAGACCCCGTACCCCGTGTTCCAAGCTCCGGGGCCCGCGATTTCCTGTGGGCTGCCCGTTGCCACCCCCAAAGTGCTTCCTCCCCTCCTCTCACAGGTTGGAATGAATTAATGGGTTGAATGTCGCAAAAACCGCGAAAGCTCCAGCGCGTTTCCAAAGCCTGTAAGTCCTTCCCACGTGTATTTCCACCATTCCACTTACTCCACACGCGGCAAAATGCCCCAGATTGCAAAAAGCTCGGAGCTGACGCCACCGTAGGTGACTTCTGCAATAGGCGCAGCATCAAGTGCGGCAAAAGTGAAGACCCGCTAGGCAGGTGCCAGAATTGTGCCGATTTTGATGTCTCGTGCACCTTCGATCGCCCCGCGAAGCGTCGGGGCGTCAAGGCTGGCACGAGGGCTCCCATGCGCGAGGCGTCGGTGAAAACCCCTGGCTCTGATCATGCCATTCCTGTAAGTGCCACTGCGCCGGCCACGGCGAGGACTTCGGGCTCTTCGGGGTCGCGAAGCTCGTATTACCCCGAGTCTGCGCATCGTCCGTCATTGACCGGTGATCCTTGGTCAACGTTCAATGTCGGCGGGGTAGCAACGGAAGGGTACGATGATGACGGCGCATTGCGCAACTCCTGGAATGCGTTTGCGATTGCCAGTGATCGCCAGATCCGAAATCTTGTGCAGGTTTATTTCGAGATTGTTTATCCCATGTAAGATCTTATCAATCTTGCTTTTTTTATCTGATCGTGTAACTGACCCCCTCCAGTTTCCCACTCTTCCACAAGCAATCTTTCATTGAAAGAGTGCATAATCAAGAGCATCTCCGTGATCCGGGGTTATTTGCCTCGACTATGGCTGTCTGTGCTTTGGTCTCTGGTCGTGCACGCGATGGGGCGCTGTTCACCAATAGGTGGCATCGAGATGAGCTGGCTGAGCCGCCATCAGAAGCTTTTTATGCAGCTGCCAAGGACTCTATTCCCCGAGATCTTGCCTCAGCAAAAGGCATGAATTATATGCGCGCTTGTGCTATCCTTGCCATCGCCAGTATTCAAAATGGCCAGATCAAAAATATGCAAAAGTTCTCCGGAATGTATCATACTCTTACAAGTATGGAGGGACTTCACGACGAGAAGCTGTGGCCAAAGCATTTGAGTCCCATTGAAACTGAAGAGCGACGGCGTCTGGTATGTCCATCCTTTCTAGAAGGCTTCATTGTTACTAACCCAAGATCTCAAGTTCTGGTCCATTTACACTCTAGATATCTATTCCAGCATCGTGTGGGGTGGTGTGATTCGATATCGCGAAGCTCATTCTCTGGTCAGATATCCAAGCGAAATTGACGATGAGTTCATTACAGTACACGGCTACGGCATGCCGCCGGTATCTCCAGCCTCGACCGTGCTCAGCCCAGGAGAAGTGAGAGTAGTCTCACGCCAACCCCTAGCATGGCTTCGCGGTTGGAATTTTACTACGGATCTCTATCGGATCCTTGAACATGTTGTGGATGGCAACCGACGTCGCTTCTCCTCTGCAAATGGGACTGCACAGGTGTGGTCACTATTCAGCCCGGCATCCATGTCAGAAGAGGCAGTTATGGAGCGAGTGTACTCCATGTACGCCGCACTGCCATCACAGTTCAAGGAAACCCCTCCCACTACTGGTGACATGGCCAAGGATTTATTCGGTTTCCAGTCTGCCAATATCACAGCAACCCTACAGCTTCTTCGCATGGTGCTCCTCTCAGCCGAAGAACTTGGTGTCGATCGCAAATGTAACGTCGCTGGAGAACTGCTTAGTGTTTTCAGCAAGGTTCCTGTGGAGTATCTCAAAGCAATCAGCTCACCTCTGGTAAGTACAAAATCATCTCCCATCGGGTGCCTATTACTAACATTTAGCAGCTTCACCATCTTGGTGGAATAGGATACATCCTCGGTTCGGTCATGGAAGGAAGTCTATCAGAAGCATCTTACCGACGAGTCCGCACATTACTGTAAGCCACCCCCACCAACTTGAATCTGGGCAATTCAATCTAACGATAAACTCTCAAGTCTTGAAATGGCCGATCTCCTCGGCCGCCTTGAAACAGGTCTTCAACGCGCAGCCGGCGCCAGTCAACGCCTACGGTCCCAAGTCGACCGAATTGACGGCTACATGACCTCCCGGCCGATCAATCACCAAACAGTTCACCACAATCCAAGTCCTCATGAAGTCCCCGTCGACGCGAAACCACACATCCCAATGACATCTGTACCGTACATTCCCCCAAGCGGACCGCCAGGCCCGGCACCCGGCCCACCACCCAATGCCATGGGCGATCAGATGATGCAGTTCCAGATTCCACCGGAGCTGTTGTCAGACTGGCCGTGGCCACTCGATGGTGGCGGTAACCCGGAGGGTTTTCTGCCCATGGCGTTTGAATGATCAAGATTTTTGTTTTTCGGTGGATTGGGCTTGATTGGGGCTAATTGATTTTCAGGGAGTTGGAGGCACTTTCTATTCTCTTGTTGTTTATGTGTTTGATGATTCAATATTTCGCGACTAGAGTAAGATAAAAGCAATGTATTTAATCATTTCTTTATAACGGAAAACCTGGTGGGGACTGGGAGGTGAAGTTTGATTGGGCTTTCGGATTGTTATATTATTTAGTCTTGAGAATATAGATATTCTCGAGCAGTGTTTTTTTTGGACTAAATGTAACTCGCTTTCTATATTTTTGACTTGGCTACTCTACCCCATGATCCATCGGTTGTCTAAACTTCCCCGTCTGAGTTTATCAGTTTCGTAACGGAGCCAGACCTTTAGAGTACATTCACAGTCAACAGATATTGTTCAAAAGGCACCACTGCTAATCTATGCACTTATTATTAGTTCTACACTGCTAGGCTGATAGTATAACAGGCGTTTGATTTTGACTAGGCTGGCTCTGATAGAATTTATTCTTGATTTTTCTACCTCGGGTTCTACCTACCTTCTCCTCTTTCGAGTGATGCTTTTCAACCCCCGCATTATACCGGTAGACCGGGAGTGTCCAATGCGCTAGATTCAGACCGTAGTCTGCGATCGCTAACACTATACCCCTTCGGCGTCCTTGGTCCCCAAAATGCGGGGTATAGATGTTAGCCTTTCGCTTTGGCTTCGTATTTGCCAATGCCGATCTTTATGGGAAGCAATAAGTACGAAGAATTGAGATACAGTAAGTAAGTAGGTAGTTTTGTAGACGGAATTGGCTATATCAAGTCGAGGTCGAGGAAGGGTGATCCTAGATCGAGATATGGCACCCGTTACCCCGGGGACTTACGGATTTATATAGGGTAACAGTTGACCAGCATGCTGCATATCTTAGGGCAAGTAAACCCCGCAAGGCTCATCCGCCCCCTATTATCTATCTTTTGCTTCAGGCTGAAGACAAACAGGGCCTCTTATCACTCTCGTACCATAGCCCTGATAAGCTTATCACTTGGCAAATCCTTAGCATCGCCATCTCTTCCCCCTTTAGGGATCCCAGTCTGGTCTTAATCAAGCCTCTTATCATTCTAGGTTGACTCCAACTGCACGCCCGGTCCGCCCTCTTGGCTGTTTTATCCGGTATCAAGGTGCCTCGTCCAATGCTTGGCAGACTCTATTCTATGTGACCCCAACCCCAATTGTCGGTAGACTCATAAATGGCCATGTCCCCCGCTTCGAGCCTGTGATCTGGAGGTACGTCCAGCTCAGTAATATTCAATCATGGAGACCACGGAGAGGAAAGCCTCCGCCGAAATTTCTCCCTCCGATCCCGACCTCAAGACGGATACTGCTGTTGGTGATGTTTTGCCCTTTCGCCAGACACAGCGGGGCCTTGCTTCGAGACATGTGCAGTTGATGGCTATTGGCGGTTCTATCGGTACTGGGCTGTTTGTTGGTATTGGTTCCTACCTGCGAGATGCAGGACCTCTGTCTCTGCTCCTTGGATATATGGTCTGGGGATGTTTGTTTATTCTACCTGTCAATCTATGTGTTGGGGAGATGGCTGCCTATCTCCCAATTCGTGGGTCTATTTTCGAACTTGCTGCACGGTTCATTGATCCGGCCTTTGGATTTGCTATGTACGTTTACACTTACCTGCATTTATCATCCTCCAGCTTGTCTTGTATGCTAACAGACCTAGGGGCTGGGTATACTTCTACGGCGGCGTAATGCTAGTCTGTACGGAATATTCCTCGGTGGCAACCGTAATGCAATACTGGAATACAGGTGTCAATCCAGCAGTCTGGGTAGCAATGGCCCTAGTCGTGTGTACAGCCCTCAATCTCGTCGCGGTGAAATGGTACGGTGAAAGCGAATTCATCATGGCCTCAACGAAAATTCTGCTGCTCATTGGCCTTGTCCTCCTCACCTTCATAACAATGGTCGGCGGAAACCCCAAACGCGACGTCTACGGCTTCCGCAACTGGACCGACGGGGTAATGTTTGAATATTACACAGACGGCAGCACTGGCCGCTTCCTGGGTTTCTTTTCTGTCATGGTATACGCTGCGTTCTCTGTCGCTGGACCAGATCTTCCAGCTCTAGCGGCAGGCGAAATTCAGAACCCGCGCGTGACCATTCCTCGTGTGGTGAAGATGACTTTCTGGCGTATTGTCGGCTTCTATGTGGTCGGTGTGCTGGCCGTTGGAATCATCTGCAACCCCCGTGATCCACGTCTCATGTCTGCGATTGACGACGGTGCATCTGGGTCCGCCGCCTCGCCTTGGGTGATAGGAATCGACAACCTTGGAATCACCGGTCTACCAGATCTCATCAACCTACTCATCCTACTGTCCGGCTGGTCTTGTGGTAACGCCTACCTCTACAGCTCGAGTCGAACCCTCTACTCCCTCGCCCGCGATGGCCAAGCCCCAAAGTTCCTCTTGAAGTGTACCAAGTCTGGAATTCCCATCAACTGCGTTATCACCGTCTCGGTGCTTTCCTGCATCACTTTCTTGGTAGCAGGCAGCTCTTCCGTCGAGGTCTTCTACTGGTTTGTCGACTTGACAACAATCGCCTTTGTGCTTACCTACACGGGCATGCTCTGCGTCTTCATTGCTTGGTATCGAGCACTCAAGGCACAGGGTATTGACCGCAAGTCGTTCGTCCCCTGGGCTTCACCTTTCCAGCCGTACGGAGCTATTCTGGCCATTATCATTGGCTGCTTGACTGCTATCTTTAACGGGTTCTCTGTTTTCAAGCCTTTTAGCGTGCAGGGCTTTATTACTTCTTACTTTGGTCTTGCGTTTTGGGTTGTTATGTTTGTGTTCTGGAAATTATTACATCGGACTTCTTTTGTTAGTCCTATTAATGCTGATTTGTATTCTGGTAAGGCTGAGATCGACGAGGAGTGCAAGATTTGGGAGGAAGGTGATTGGGAGGAGAGGAGAAAGGCCGAACTGGCTCAGATGAATTGGGTGAGGCGAGTTTGGGAGAAGATGTGGTGATTAGATTCCATCTAAGAATTTCTTTACGTTTGAAAATTCCTAATTCCATGTTCCAATATCAATTGTAATCAGAGAAGCTTTGAGGGCGCAGATATACATTTCTCTCTCTAGTTCAATTTCCGCACCCGCTTCAAGAAGATATATCTCTGTTATCCTATCTCATTACAACGTAATAGGATTTACACAACAAGATACTGATTAAACCACGCAACAGCCTGGGCAAACACCTGTTCTTTGGCAAACTTCTGCCGCGGCTTCGCCAAATCACACCGAACAGCAAAGCCATGCTCCACGTCCGAGAGCAGATTGATCTGATAAGGCACATCCAACTGATCCAAGACATCTTCGCTCTGATGTCGCTTAGCGGTCGTAAAAACAGCATCCCTCACTACCAAACCACATTGTCAGAGCTTTCATTTTCATTTTAGATGAAATCTGGAGGGTCAACGTACCAGCAGCGGCGATACTCAACGGTCCCTCAATTCCTTGCAATTCTTCAGCATCAACCATAGTCGGATGAGCCGTAAATCCAACATCAATCTTGCCGGGCTTCAGGTACCGGCAGACATACTTCCCGCCAAAGCAATAGCCCACACCACCAATTCTCTCACAGCCAAGGGTCTCACGCATCTCTTTAATGACTGCATCGATTATGGGCTCTGTTTGTTGTGGTAGGTGGTTCTTTAGCCATTCCATGATATTGAAGCCTTCGGGTCTGTTGAGCGGGACTATATCGCCGTTGAAGAGGTCTGGCATTACGACGAAGTATCCCTTTGAAGCGAATTGATCGGCGATTAATTGGGCATTGATGAGGTTGTGACCCATCACGTCTGTCAGGATTATAATTGCTTTCTTTGTGGATCTGGTTTCTGGGTAGGCGATGTAGGTTGATACTAGAAGTTTGTAGATTGGTGGTTAGATATGTACAGTCGATGTAGGGGGGTTTCTTACTTTTGCCAATGGGCTTTATCTCGCCTGTTGCCTCCCCATTATGAAGAGTTCCGGTGATACAACAGTGGGATAGTTGATTGGATGTCATTTTCTACGTTTATTTCGAACGTGATTCGGCTGATACCGTCTTGGTTGAGTATAGGATATACACCTTTCAGTGCCATGTTCAGCTATATATTAAGACCACCAGCCCTCGGAGATAGCCAATATCCATATTAACTCCAGGCCGTAAAACCCGACAAATACAACGCAAGTCGAAGGAAGCAAAAGAAGAACAAACAATCTACTGCACAAGTCGGAAATCACGAGATGTGATTGGCTGGACAGGGCCCGTGCTTCGGGACACGCACTCGGATTCTGCTGGGAAAAGTTGCCGGCTCCTCCAGCTCCTCCAGCTCGACTATACACATCTCCCCTACACCATGTCGTCCCGTCCAGCATGGCGTGCTCTGCACTACAGCGCCAAGCGCCGCGCTTTCCAACCTCCCACCCCATACCGCTGTTTCTCCTGCACCAGCCGGGCCCAGAGCAAGCCCGAAGATGAACGCATGACACACTTCGGATTCACCAACGTCCCCGAATCAGAGAAGGAGACACGAGGTAAGCCCCAAGCCCAAGGCCCAACCGAAACCCTCCCGTCCCAATTGAACCAGAACTAACCCCCAAACCCGCACAGTCGGCGCAGTCTTCAGCTCCGTAGCCGCCTCCTACGACCGCATGAACGACCTAATGTCCCTCGGAATCCACCGCCTCTGGAAAGACCACTTCGTGCGCTCCCTCAACCCAGGCTCCTGCCTGCCAGCCATGACAGCCGACCAGCGCGGCTGGAACATTCTCGATATCGCCGGCGGCACAGGCGACATCGCCTTCCGCATGCTCGACCACGCAACAAACATCAACCACGACATGGAAACACGCGTCACAATCAGCGACATCAACGCCGCAATGCTGGCCGAGGGCCGCAAGCGGTCGCTGGACACTCCCTACTACAACACCAACAGACTGGATTTCGTCGAGGCCAACGCCGAGCACATGCCGCATATCCCCGACGCCTCGATTGACCTGTACACGGTTGTCTTTGGCATTCGCAATTTCACGGATAAGCAGGCCGCGCTGAATGAGGCGTTCCGGGTTCTGAAGCCCGGTGGTGTTTTTGCTTGCATGGAGTTCTCCAAGGTTGATAACCCTGTTCTCGATGGGATTTATAAGAGATGGAATTTCAGTGCTATCCCGCTTATTGGACAGGTTGTTGCTGGTGATCGGGACTCTTATCAGTATCTTGTTGAGAGTATTGAGCGTTTCCCTAGCCAGGAGGAGTTCAGGGGCATGATTCAGAAGGCTGGATTTATGATTCCTGGAGTGGGCTTTGAGAATCTGACCGGTGGTATTGCTGCTATTCATAAGGGCATTAAGCCGATTGTCAAGGCTTAGGGCTTGGTTTGGGAATGTGGCATGGCGAGTTGGATGAGTTAGACTGTACTGTATATTTAGGCTTCGCATACTATTTGTATTATCAGAAAAATTATTGGAATTGATTTGCATCGTGGGTAATGGGCCTGAGCCTTGTGGTTTGGCTCCTTTAAATGGAGTGTGCAAAAGCTGAGAATCTATGTAAACATGCAAAAGTAACAAATGTGCGGGCGTTAAATCGTAAACCAAATGCCTGATGATGCAGATGGCATCTCAAATCAATAAGTATGTCCAGGGAAAGAGATAAAAGATTGCTTTTCAACGGATCATGCATCCAGAAGATCTTCGGCCTCCATTACTCCGATACAGCTATCGGGGTATTTCATGTCTTTCACCACAGCGACCACAGAGATCGGGTGTGGTCCATTTTGAGACGCACATATTTTGTGTCGGAGGTCTGTGAGTGGTGTCGAGTCTGGAACAAGGAGCCACTTGCTTCGGTGGATAGCAAATGGAGTATTAGAGTCCTCAGTCGTCACGTCAGACACACGCATATCCATATTCCCACTAGGCGACAGTAAAGAGCGAGTCTGCCGAGGAGGAATGATTTCATCCGGTGACAAGAACACCCATGATTTGGCATTAGGATGCTGGATAGCTGTGAGGAGGATATCGAGTAACCGCAGATCACCAGACGAAGACGACGAGGCCGTAGGAATATGATCAAGCGGCACTAACATATCCAACGATATCTGTTGCTGCGCATGCGGTGATTGAAGATTGAAAGGAGGAATTATCGACGAACCCCCTATATCCTCCCAAGGAAGCGAAACAGACGAAGCCGGCGAGTCAAACATTGTCGACATACCACTGGAAGGCGTTGTCAATGGCGTACCCGCAGCAGCAGCCCCAATAGCACCACCAGGATGAAATCCCCGGAAGACCTCTGCGGGAGTCTTCCCAGATGCAGTGTGCAGCTTGCGCGCCGTAGCAATGGCCAACGCATCGCCCAGCGACAAAGCCACCGTCGTCGATGAAGTAGGCGCACTAACCCCAAACGAGGTATCCTCATCCTCATGGATGGGCGCAGGCAGCAAAATCCCCATCCCCGACGGCCCGTGCAAAGCCAGCAACGGACATGCGGCGGGATGTATATGAGACGTCAGGGCGATGACAGGCACAGTAGCAGGCAGATGCGGAAGCAGCAAAAGCAGCTCAGGCGAACGCCCCGAAAAAGAAATTAAAAGAATCGTATCATTCTGCGCTCAAGTCAGCCACTGTATTCATGCTTCCAGCTTTATTTTCCGGTGTCTAAGTTCAGCCCAAAAGTCCAAGCATGGACGCCAGATCAGCGGACCCAGGCCACAGACCAACATGCAGGACCGTGGCTCGTGCTTGTGTTTGTGGTTTTGGTCTGTCTACTTTTTTTTCTTTTTTTCTTGCTTTGACGTACCGGCCGAACCAATCCCAGATCCCCATGCAAAGCCTCGGTCGGATGCAGGAACGCGCTGTACACCCCCAGACTATTCATTGTGGCCTCGATCTTGCGCGCGACCTTGCCGCTCTTGCCAACCCCGCAGACAACCAATTTGCCGCCATCGCGCACGCTGCGCGCAATCTGCTCGACGGCGCGGGCGAGGTCGTGCTGGGCTCGCGCGTCGGTTTGGTAGATGTGTTCGAGGTGGGCGAGGGCTGCGCGCTCTGTTGAGATCACATGGATTGCTGTTACGACGGATGAGACGTCTTTGGGGGGTTGAGGATCGGAGGAATCAGAATCGGGAGGGGTGAGGGGCCATTGGAGGCTGTGACTGCGTTCTTTGGTCATGGCGGGATTCGAGGGTGGAATTGGGTTTGGGTTTGCTAGAGCATCATGAGGAGGGTGTTGGGAGGGTTGGACAGGGAAGCTGGGCATTCGGACTCCGTAGCTCTTTATCTTTCGGGTTGTGGGGAGACGAGATCAGTCGATAACGATAGTTAGGGGAATCGCGGATCGGAGTATAAGTTGCTGCTTACTCCGGACTGGCTTTTGGCTTCTGGCTTCTGGCTACCCTCAGATACTGCCTACTGCCTAAGTGGAATATCTTGTTTACCGACTCTGTGCCTCTTCTCGTCAACTCGGATGGTGTCATCACACGCTTTGATGGTAAATGTGGAGGCGACTTGCCTGTTTCAGTATGCCCGAGGTTGCATCTCCGGATCCTCCAGATCGGGAATGACTGCCATGACGCCGAGATCTGGAGTATCTTTTGAGTATCTGGAGTATCTGGAGTACAAGATCTGGAAAATATGGTCGAATCCTCTTTTAGATCTACTCTATTGAGTCTGATATAACCAACAAAAATACTATGTACAAATCCCCCCGCTTGTGTTCCTGAGGGATAGCCTCAGGCTCAGGGCAAAATAAAACTCCAACTCCAGTACGCAAAGCAGTAAATCAAGACATTAGACAGGGGTATCGTATCGGGCGCGGGTCATTAGGGGTGCCTGTCCCAGGCAATCTGGTCGCATCATCCCGATCGTCCGTCCTGCCGCTCCTTGCCCTTCTCCATACCGTCATCCTCATATAGATGGTGCTGCTCAATATAGTGAATGACAGGGACGGGGATGAGGTAGCGCACACTCATCTCACGTCGGAGGAAGAGTCGGATTTTGGTGCTGCTCACGTCGTTCTGGATGAGTTGCTGGATAACGTGGATATTGTCCTTCCAGGGCTGCAGACTGGCCAGAGCCTCGTCAATGTCGGTGCCACTGCGTTCGACAATGAAAGACTGATAAAATGTTAGCACTCCAGGTCTGTGATGACCAGATAGAAGCCGGTTTCAAGATCAACGTACTCCGTATTTGCCCAGAATGTGGTCCAAATCCTTCTCGCTCCACACGCCTGGCGTGGACATGGTATGAATCAGATCTGCACCCGCGAGCAGAGCAATGCGGACAGGCTTCCGGGTTCCGTTTCCCACATCCACACCTTCACGGACAGTATTGATCTCGTAGTCAAAGTGATCCAACACCACTGCGGTCGGCTGGTACGCCTTCTGAATCGGTTCCCATGTATCCACCATCAACCAATCGGAGGTCTGATCAACAGCAAGTTGGCACATAGCCACCCTGCAAAACCCCGTTAGCGTAGTGAGAGCAAAGAGAGTCGGAAAATGCTTACCGATGCTCCGCGCTGGCAAGACCGGCCTTGCGATAGGCATCGGACACAGGCGACAGGTATCCTCCGATGAGTTCAAAATCGGAACTGAATCTGACGTGATCGGCGGCCATTTCGAACATGCGCAAATGAAGATAAGTAATTGGAGAGAAGGAGCCACATGCGACCAGCAAGAGAGGGGTTTTCTCCGGGTCGCTCATCGTGCGCTTCAAGCGCAACTCCGGGAATGTGTACTCCTCCATCGGGGTGGGGGGCAAGTGGGCGGGCGTCTGGTGAACGTCGTCGCTCTGCCCTCCGATCATTTCTGTTGTCATGTTGAAACGGTGGACAGAATTTCGAGATAGAGAAAAGAGGGAGAGAGGGTCAAGTCCGGGGTAGTTGGAAGGAGAAAAGTAAAGTTGGGCGAATTCTCTCAATGGCGGGGGAGGCGAACCGAAGGCGGCAAGGAATGCTCCGGAGCGAGAGATATGAAGAAGTGTGGTGAAAGAGTCCAAGTGTTGTTTTGGATTTCTGTTCTGTGGCTATCATGGGATTTGGTGATTATTAAGTATTGGCTTCGGTGAGTCAATTGAGGGATCGGGGCGTCTCCGTGATCTTCTCTCCGGATCGAAGGCCGGACTGTGAAGCTCGGAGATCAGGAAGCCTATATAACTTACACTTCCAGACTCGACTATGAGCGAAGTGTCACCCAGGTCAGATTTCAAAGTCAGTGCAGTTGTGTTAGTGCAAATAGTCCATAGTATAGTCCATAGCCAATAGTCAATAGTCCAACATTGGAATCCCTGAGTGGACTCGTCTTATATCATCGTTGCACTCCGCCTATGTCCGTCACCACTTCCTTCTCTCTTCTTCATCTCCTCCCTTTGTGTTTTATCACTCTCTTCCACCCCCAATTCTCTGTACTTCCTTTGATCTCGACAGACTCTCATTCTCTTAGGCTCTCCTGAGCAAGGCGGATGGCGGGTTGATGTGACCAACACTCAATCGAGCTCCTCAAACCCCCCAATAACTTATGGCCAGGCAAAGGCCCTCCTCCAAGCGTCAGGACCCTCTCGAGGATTATCCCACTTCCCCAGGCACTTCCACAGCCTCTTCTTCCCTGAGGTACTTTCCCACCCCTAGCATTCCAGCCTTCCACTCTCAGAGAGAACCGTGTGCGTGACCCTGAGAGCACGTTTCATCGGCTTCAGTTCGGGAGACAAACAACTCATCCTTGGGTTATTGCGACCATTGCGAGCATTGTCACCTTACTACCCAATCTGCCTTATCGCTTTGACCGCTCTACACCTCTCTTTCTCGTTCTATCCCCTCATTTCTTAACTACAACGTGGACTCTTTCTCATGTCATCCAGAATCACTCGCTCAGCCGCGAGACTCGCGACAGACCCTCCTCCTCCTGCTGAGGCTGGTACCCAACCCGCCGCTGGCTCGGCTTCATCTCGCAAACGCAAGGCTTCCTCTCGCCCCGATCGACAGACCGACAGTCCGGCCCAGCCATCGCCTCCCTCACCTCAACGGAAGTCCAAGCGACCACGTACCGCTGCCCCACCGACAGCGTCATCTGCTGGCTCCGTTGCTGCTCCCCGCCGCACTCGTCGTGCAACCATGTCACAACCCGGGTAAGTGATGGTAACCTTTGCTCTTCGATGGAGCTGACAAGACTTCTTAGCCCGTCGTCTCGACCAGAGGAATCTAAGTCGGCCACTTCTCCACAACCCGCCCGAAGAAAGACGAGTCGGAACGGTAAGTTTCGTTCATAACAACCAGTCCTTGAGTTATCTCCATTTCAAAGTTGCTGATATTCTTCTTGTCCTAGATCGACCCGGTACTACACAGTCTCCGCCACCCCGGCGTCAGAAGAAGCGTGCGACGAAGACAAACCCTGATGTCATAATGCGAGATGCGGAGGAGGGTCTGGAGGAGGAAGATCCCGAAGAAGAGCAACATGAAGATTCCCCAACAGAAGAAAGTCATGATGGCACCAACCCATCCGCCTTTGACGATGACGATATGGACCCCTTCGCCAACAGCTTATTTGGTGGACGGGGTCCGATGGGCCTTCAGAGCACCCTCCGTGCCCTTACCGGTATGATGTCTGGCATGTCTTCCCGGCTTCGAGATATTCTAGTAAACCTACGGGCAAAAGACGATCCATCCATTCAACTTATCGCCCTCCAGGAGCTTTCGGATCTCCTGCTAGTGTCAAATGAGGACAATCTTACCGGCCAATTCTCTCCCGACCCATATGTCAAGGAACTTGTGACCTTGATGCAGCCGAATCAGTTCGGCGAGGAGAATCCCGAGATCATGCTTCTTGCATGTCGCTCCCTCGCTAACCTCATGGAGGCCTTGCGTGGCTCTGTGGCCAACGTTGTTTATGGTGGTGCCGTGCCGATCCTGTGCCAGAAGCTCCTTGATATCCAGTTTATTGATTTGGCCGAACAGGCTTTGAGTGTAAGTTTCTCTGGTTTATTCATCCCGATCGCATCTACTGACATTATATAGACCTTGGCTAAGATCTCAGTCGATTTCCCCGCCTCAATTGTGCGGGAAGGTGGGCTGACAGCTTGCTTGACCTATCTTGACTTTTTCCCTACCAGCACTCAACGTACAGCAGTGACAACAGCCGCAAACTGCTGCCGCAATCTCCCCCACGACTCCTTCCCCGTTGTCCGCGACGTCATGCCCACCTTGCTGAATGTCCTTTCCAGCAATGATCCCAAAGTTGTTGAGCAGGGCTGTCTCTGTGTGTCACGGATAGTGGAAAGCTTCAAGCACCGCCCGGAGAACTTGGAGGAACTGATTGAACCTGCCATGCTCAAGGCTGTCCTTCGGCTGCTGCTCCCAGGAACTACTAACCTCATCGGCCCTCATATCCACACACAGTTCCTGCGTGTTCTGGCCATCACGTCAAAGACTAGCCCTCGACTGTCGAATGAACTTTTTAAAATGGACGTGGTTGATACTCTGTATCAGATCTTGACAGGCGTCTCTCCGCCACAGGATGTTGACAATAACGCTGTCAAGATGGATAGCGTGTTGGTCATGCAAGCATTGATTCACCGGCCACGTGAGCAGGTCTTCGAGACTCTCAATGTTATCTGTGAACTGCTACCCGGTGTTCCCAGTCGCGATGCATCACGGACAGATGCCCTTCTCAGTTCATACTTTGATAGTAGCATGTCCATCAACCTGAAATCTTCCAAAACTAAAGATACAGTGGAAGAGAGACGATCCTTGCTTGACAACTGCAAGCCTCAACTTAAGCGATTTGCCATGATTCTGTTCCCCACCTTGACCGATGCCTACTCTAGCACAGTCAATTTGCATGTCCGACAGAAGGTTCTCATTGCACAGCTGAAGATGTTGCACATTCTCGAGCCATCTTTGATTGAAGATGCTCTCAGAACCGTTCCATATGCTTCCTTCCTAGCTTCTATTCTTTCCCAGAAGGACCACCCCTCCCTCGTGTCCTTGGCCCTTCGTTGCTCCGAGCTTCTGTTTCAACGCCTTGAACATGTTTACCAACATCAATTCCACCGAGAGGGAGTCATCTCAGAGATCGTCAAATTGTCAGAGGGCATTCTCTCTGGCAATGAGCTTCCTACCACGTCCGAACCCGTCGATACCGAGATCAACACAAACCCCTCGCATCCCCACCGGGCGGAGAACCCAACCCACCAAACCCAGCAAAATCAGGACGAGGATCAAGATGAGGATGAAGTCGACGATTTTGATGACGATGAGGGCGATGGCGAAGATGAAGATGGCGAAGACATGTCTGATTCTGATGAAGACGTGGCCCCCGGTCCCCGAAGTATTGAGAAAATGGATAGCACCATCAACGACCTTATTATTCGAGATGCCCAACAGTTCCTGGAAAGCTACGAAGCAATTCACGGCGGAACAGTCCGAGCAGAGTCCCTTCGAATCTTGAAGGAACTTCAATCTCTAGCCGCCGAGGTACGCGCATGCTATGCCGATGGCAATGGCGATGGTCATGCTTTGTTCAAGAAGCTTGCATCGTACTTTGATGGGGACGCTTTGGAGAGTATCACCAGCTCCGAACTGCTCAACTCCGGTATTGTAGATGTTCTCCTGGAAGTTCTGGGCAATTACCAGGCTCCGTCCATACGCCGCTCTCGAGCTGCCTTTTTGCAGGCTTTTATGGGTGTTTCAATCTCGGAAAAGGCTCAGAAACAGAGTACCGCAACCACTCTTTTCAGCGTTTTGATTCGAAAGTTACAAGACTTGCTCAGTAGGACCGAGCATTTCGAAGTTCTAACTGTCAGTCATAACTCCCTGGAAAATACTCGCAGCAATGCCAACTACATGTTGAGCAAACAGCTGCGACTCAAACTGGTTGCCGATGATGCCTCTGAGATTCCCCGCCCATATCGAAACCTCATGGTGTCTATCCATGCAATCGCAACTTTCAAGGCACTGGATGACTTCCTTCACCCTCGAATCAGCGTTTCTGAGCGTCCTCGGCCATCGCGTCCTAGGGACTCTATCCTTTCTCAGATTGCTAACGCAGCTCGCATGCGTGACCAGCTCCCTGGCTCTATCGCTTCGCGACAGCCATCGGGCACTATCCCTCCCAATCGCGAAGGAGGTCCCCGTGCTGATGCCGCTGAAGAGGGCGAAACTCCTGCAGATGTTCGTCGCCGGTCCCGTCGTGCGGCTCTTCAAGGGGAAGAGGAAGATCACGACGACGAGCCGCTTGAATGTGCGGACGAGAGACAATTAACTGACGAAGAAGATGAAGAAGATGAAGATGAAGACGAGGAACTCAACGCTATCGTTGATGACCTTGATGAGGATCTTGAGGACGACGGTGTCTCTGACCCCTCTGCAGTCAACATGGAAGTGGCTTCTTCGGGCAAGGTCACTGCTCGCAAGGAGGACGGTACCCGTGTAGGCACTCCATCTCACGGTGCAGCCTCTAGATCTTCAGCTCCAAACGTCGGTTCCTCCAAGCTCACAGGCAACTCATCACTGGCTACTGCCGGTCGTCCCTTCTCATCCTATGCCGCCGCTATGGCTTCCGTTCCCCAGGATTGGCACATTGAATTCCTTGTAGATGGCCAGCCCGTTTCGAGCGAGACAACCGTATATCGTGCTGTTCATCACAACCGCGAGCATTTGGATGAGAACAGTGCTAAGAATGTATGGTCTGCTGTTCACACAGTTACCTTCAGACGCGTTCCTGGTCCCCCACCTCCTGAACCATCGACTCTTCCCCAGCTAAACCAGGGTTCATCTAATGGCGACAGCCTCGATATGCCAGCATCTCTCGACAAGGATAAGACCACAGCCTCCATTTTACGTCTGCTTCGCGTTTTGCACGAAATGAATGCGACCATTGACGACATTCTCACAGACAATAAGGACTCTGTTGCTATTACTCCAGAACCCCTGGCCCAGTTCATCAATACAAAGCTCACAGCCAAGATCAACAGACAGCTGGAGGAGCCATTGATTGTGGCAAGCAGCTGCCTTCCAAGCTGGAGCGAAGATTTAGCTAGGCTTTTCTCATTCCTGTTCCCATTCGAAACTAGGCATTTGTTCTTGCAGTCAACCGCCTTCGGTTACTCGCGGGCCATGATGAGATGGCAGAATTCCCAGAGCGAAGATAGTCGTCGCGATCTGCGCCGCGATGATCGCCCATTCCTTGGTCGATTACAACGCCAAAAGGTCCGCATCTCCCGCGCCCGCATCCTTGATTCTGCTATGAAAGTCATGGAGTTGTATGGCTCTTCCCCTAGCATTCTCGAGGTTGAATACTTCGAGGAAGTAGGCACTGGCCTGGGTCCTACCCTTGAGTTCTACTCTACTGTTTCCAAGGAGTTCTCTAAGAAGAAGTTGAAGATCTGGAGAGAGACTGAAGGTGTCTCTTCTGGAGCGGAATACGCATTTGGCAAGCGTGGATTGTTCCCTGCTCCCATGAGTGATCAACAGGCCGCCCAAGACTCCGGCAAGAAGTTGCTGAACATTTTCAAAGTTCTTGGAAAGTTCGTTGCTCGCTCCATGCTCGACTCCAGGATCATCGACATCTCTTTCAATCCCGCATTCTTCCGCATCGCCGACACCCTATCTTCTGTTGCTCCATCATTGGGTACTGTGAAGTTGGTTGACCAGGACCTTGCCAAGTCTTTGATCATGCTCCAGCAGTTTGTGAATGCCAAGGATGCAATTGAGAAAGATGACACCCTAAGCCCCGGCTACAAGACAGAGGCTGTGCAAGAGATCACAGTACATGGTGTCAAGGTTGATGATCTGAGCTTGGACTTTACCCTTCCTGGATATCCAGCCATTGAACTCATTCCTGGTGGTTCTGATGTTCCCCTGACCATTGAAAACGTTGCCATCTATATTGAGCGTGTCATTGATATGACTCTTGGAAGCGGTGTCCGCCATCAAGTCGACGCCTTCCGCACTGGCTTTTCTCAGGTCTTCCCCTTTTCTTCTCTTCGAGCTTTCACTCCTAACGAGCTTGTCATGCTCTTCGGACAGGCAAAGGAAGACTGGACCATTGAAACTTTGATGGACACCGTCAAGGCTGATCATGGCTTCAATATGGACAGCCGCAGTGTGCGTAACCTGCTGCAGACAATGAGCGAACTAGACAACCAGCAACGCCGAGACTTCCTCCAATTTGTCACGGGCAGCCCTAAGCTCCCTATCGGCGGTTTCAAGAGTCTCACCCCCATTTTCACTGTCGTGTGCCGTCCAAGCGAACACCCCTATACCCCAGATGACTACCTCCCTAGCGTGATGACCTGTGTCAATTACCTCAAACTCCCCGACTATAGTGACCTGGATGTTCTGAAGAAGCGGTTATCGGTTGCCATCAAGGAAGGCCAAGGTGCCTTCCACCTCTCCTAAGCCTCTTCGACTACAGTTCCAAGCAATCATTATTTGATTTGAATTCAAATCTGTATTCACTGTGAACTCTCGCCACCCGACTTTTACCATTCCTCCTCTACCAACCCTCCCATTGTTGCCAATGTTGCTCCCCCTTTCCCCTTATCAACCAAGGCAGAAAAGAACGCCCCATTTACGATTCGACGATGTTTTGATTTAACCTCGTTCTGCGCTTTATCCCCCCATTATCAATTTCAGTGTCCCAAATTCGCTCTTCAATGCCTCTTTCTTGTTTTTTTTTCCCTCTCACTTGACAAATCCCCCATTTCCTCAAGCTTTCGGATGGGCTGTTTCTCACGCCCTTTTTCTTTGTTTCTTGGCACTTTTCTTTTTGTCTGTCATCTGGATTGAGAGGCGTTTGAGGTGGGCCTGCCCTGTTCGATAGTGATAAGATAGTAATCGTCACTATTTTATGAAAAGCAAAATCTTTGATTCTTTGAACCGTCTTAATGCACTTGATGGGCTTCAATTGGGTCTGTAAAAGCAGCTTACAAAAGTTGAGTCCCAGTCACCAATAAAACCTCACGAGTTATGGATCGCCTGTTGCCCCTCTAAAATGGTACAGATTTCATCAAAGAAATCTTCCTTAACATCGGCGCAATACAGTGATTTACGGGAATTAACATCGTACCTCCTGGAATGGTCAAAAATGTCGATCAATATCCCAAGTGGAGTATGTGTCTCAGTGTGCTATGAAGCTTATACGAGGCCTTTTTGGCTTGGAGTCTGATTCGCGCTACTTTCCTTTCCTTCACTGGCATTTTTCATGGAAAGCTGTTTTATCTGCTAAAGCATATGTGGAAAGTAGAGCAAGGAATGAATAAACTCACTCGCCGTCGAGCTATGTAGGATAAGCTTTCGTTCGCGTGTAAGCTTAAAAGAAAGTTCTGAGTTTCAAATAAGTTAAGTGTAGCCCTCGGCAGTCGATCGATATAATTCAAAACATATCATGGAACTTAATGGGCGACAGGAAAAGGGGTCGTAGTATTTCCTTGTACAATAGTGTACAGACCATTGTGGTTCTGTAGTTCTTGGGTTTGTCAAGCCCAGGCTCCGCTATATCCACTTTTGAGGAGAGAGGATGATACTTGTGTTTCGGGAATGTCTTTCCATTGTGGGTTGTTTCAAATACGTGTAGTTGGTTGCACTATTGGGTCAAATTGGATTTCTAGACTGTAAGTCTAAGAATAGTTGACATATACATAGAATGAAAGGTGACAGACATCACGCGAATGACCAAGAGCCGCAATGTAATCCAGTCCACTGCATGAACCATGTTCAGGATAAGCAATCCGTCTTCAAAAAACAATCACAGTCCACACAGCGGGTGATATGGCTTGTTCTGCCAAAATCAGAGTAAAACAGTCCAACCATTACCCACGCCAGCCAATTCTGCCGAGCAAACTGATCCATAACGTACCGAATCCCCTCGGTGCGAGTAAGAAGGTTGTCGCTCATATCAATTTGGGTAAAAAGTTGAAGACCAGATAATTCTTTCTCGGGTACCTTCTCACACATTTCAATTGTTTTGGTCTCCGAGAACGCAAAAGAAGTGCCGAAAATAGCATAGAGTCTCGACATCGGATGCTGGTTCGGGGACTTCCAATCCTTCTTCACCCAACGCGGTCGAATCTCCCAAGGAAATCGACGAATCTTCACCAACGATTGCCGCCACGACTCGAAGTTCAACCGGGACCGGATGCCGCTGACTGCGTGGACACAACCATGTGAGCCCATGGCAAGGTGGCATAGCAGACGATCAGCGACGACATCAACGGGGACTTCGTCGCCCGTGACGTCCGCTGTTGGGTCTTGCATGTTGGTTGCAATCTTCAGGCTTCTTGATGGGGATAGAGCCAGCCCCGCGGCAATCATTGTATAAGGCGATGACATTGGCATGTTGTACCCTGGAAAGGGATGACATTGTGCTGGTCCGATAACAGACGGACGAATAATAAGTAATTTGTCACTCGAAGAGAACTCGGTGAATCTGCTCTGCAGCGTCCTTTCAGTGAGGTGTTTGGCGTAGGCGTAGGCCCAAGGAAAATTTTCGGCTTCATATGCTTGGCTCTTGCCGTGTTTTCGAAGTTGATTGAGCTCGTCGGAGGCATGATAATGGTGCGTAAGCTCATATATCCTTTCGTCGATCTTGACATCTGTATTTTGACTCTGTTGATAGAGATGTGCGTTGGCGTAGGCGGTTGACACATACACGAATCGATCGAGCTGAGCGCAAGAGAGAGCAAAATCGGCAATCATCTCTGTTGGATCAATTATTGTACGGGTCAGACGGCCTAGCGGCTTTATCATGTTGATTGATGAAGCTGCATGGATTATCACATTGACGCTTTTACGCATGGCGTTCAACCCGGGCTCCGAGAGCCCCAGGTTAGGTAGTAGAATATCACCATCAAGGACGACTAAACGTGTTGAATGGTGCAGTTTCTCCAAAGTGCCGTGGGGAAGCCATTTTTTCCACCTGGATTGAACCTTCCTGTATCAACATAATTAGAATGATATCCTGGCAGGTGGATAGTTCGCCATAGATAGATACACTCACTTCTTGCCTCCTCTGCAAACCAGGTATATCGTCAGCACAGATGTGCTGGTGAGCAACCGATGTACAATAGCGGTCCCTAAGAACCCCGAGCCACCCGTTACGAGGACCGATTTCCCGTCATAATAGTCCCACATGTCGAAGCCGTAAATTTGATATATCAACAGAGCCAAGAGTCATATTCTTGGCAAAAGGTCAAAGCAGGCTTTACTAACGGGCTTAGTGAACTTTATGATGTTTATTTACCACGTGTAGTCCCTGTTAATCCCCAGTGTGATGTCATTGCTATTCAGAGTTTCCTCCTTGGAGCATACCATCTATCTTCCGCGCCGCCGTGCCGCGGCTTGGAATGATATACATCGATATCCCTTGCATGGGGCTTGGGCCAGTCCGTTGATCATAAGAACCGCGTCAATCTGGTATCTGACTCAATCTCTCCCATTCCAAGTTATCGCTCCCCGTGGGCAAGATGTGCGGGGTTGAGTATGGAGGGCGTTTGCCTTCCCTGGCGTGAGGCTTAGATGCCGACACATACATTCTGGAGAGCGATTGGTCCACGTGGAATACCTCCTTGCTTTTTTGTATCGTATTCCTGTTTTGCAGTAAGCGTAGGTTTAGAAATGCTTTGATCGTCGGAAAGTGTATAAGTTAGTTCAGATTGAGTTTAAATTTCAGTTGTCCTATCCCTTGTTCCTCTTAGAAATAGGGGTCGTCATCGAGAGGTATCGGTAAGTCAGATAAGAGCACCAAAAAGCTCATTGCGCTTTCGGGCATGGTTGTTTTAGCGCTAGATATATTATACGTCTTGAGGCTCAGGTACCCATTAACATGGACGCCGGGGAGCTGCCTTACAATATTATTAGGGAAAAATGAATTGTAGCATTAATCCTACCTACTGGCGATTGGTACTTGCACCTGAATTGGATATTTACTTGATCTCAAAGTCAGATTGTCAGGTAAGAAAGTGTTAACTTGTATCAAGGCCATGTTGGCCGCGTATGAACATGATATTAACAAAAGTATTCTCATATATTAATTAACATGTTCTATCATTCTATTACATTCCATTATATTGCACCATATTTTGTCAAATTACTCAGCCTTGTTGTGGACCCAGTTCTCAAGAACCGTGTGCATCATATCACCCTCAAGCAGGTTCTCATAGACGATGCCAACCCAGCTACCAATAGTCTTCTTGCCCTCGGTGGGGAGACCGTTCTGGTGGTTGTACAAAGGATCATCCATGATACCATAGTGAGCAGGCACATTAAGCTTCGTGCGGACGAAGTTATATAGCTGAGAAGTACCGTCACCGAGCTGGGAGGCCACATCCTCGGAAGAGATGGAGGGGTTGGGGTAGTACATAGCATCGGCGGTGGTGGACACGACGCTGTGGAAGTTCTTCTTAAAGGCAATGATGGCCGAGGCGGGGCACTCGGGCTTGTTGGCAGCCATGAAGTCGCTGACGGGCGACATAACGGCCTCGGCAACAGACACAACACGGTCCTTCCAGGTGTTTGTGTTGGCCTTGTACCAGCTCTTCTCAATAACGGGGAAGAGAGACTTGCTGAGATCTTCAATCTGCTCAGCGGTCAATCCGAGGCCGTGGAGGGCACCGAATTCGGAGGCGTCCACGACCTTAGTCTGGAGGGTCGAGAGGAAGCGCTTGTGATTGGCACGGATCTCGGCAGCCTGGCAGCAGACGTAGATGTGGCAGGCGCTCATGTGAGCCAGGATGTCAGCTGCCTCCATGGTGCGACGGGCAGAGAGCAAAGCGAGGGAGTTGATGCCCTGGTTGTGCATCTCGGCGGACATAACGTGAGCAGAGACGGGGTGGGCAAGGGCGGCCAACTCGGACATGTAAGCGGACATGTTGATATCGATACCCTTCATGGTGAAGCCTTCGACGGCACTGGCATTAAGGTTGGCTTCAAGGCCGTTGTTTGTGGCGGGGTTAATGATCTCGGTAACCTGGGACCAAAGCATGCGACCAATCATCTGGATGGCCAGGCGGGCCTTTTCCATAGCGGAGGTAACAGCGGTAGCCTGGAAGTTACCACCGTTCAACACCTGGCCGCAGGTGGGGCTCTCGGGGTTTGTGTCAACCAGGGGGTTGTCCGATGTGGAGTTGAGCTCAGTCTCGAGCTGCTGTTGGGCGAGCATGAGATCCTCGAGATAAGGACCAATCCATTGGGGAGCGGTTCTGGTGGAATAACGGTCCTGGCAGAGACCTTCACCGAACTTGCGCTGCGACTCGAGGCCAACAACGTACTTGGAACCCTTGAGGAAGCGGCGGATGTTGTTTGCGGCCTCGATTTGACCGGGGTGGGGGCGGACATCGTGAATGAACGGTTGGGTCCACTCGACGTTTCCGGCCAAGCACTCGGAAGAGAATGCGGTCAACATTTGGGAGAGCAAAGCAAGTTGCTGAGTATCATACAGCGCCAAACTAGCGACTGCCACGGAAGGAGCAGTACCGTTAATGAGGCCAAGGGCCTCCTTGGGACCAAGTCCAGAGGGGGCGAGGCCGGAGATCTTCAATGCCTCTGACGAGGGAACAATCTTGGCATCGGCACCCTTACCCATCTGAACAAAGACATCTGGATTACCCATGATGGCGCCAGCGATGTAGGCCATGGGCATAAGGTCACCAGATGCGGAAATGGTTCCACGAAGGGGGATGAGGGGGGTGATGTCGTTCTGGAGCAAGTCAATCAAGCTTGATAGCACAGACTTGCGGATGGCACTGTGGCCACGGAGGTTCTGATTGGTACGGGCAACAATTGCAGCACGAGCCCAGGCGGGAGGCATGACATGGGATGGTTGACGCTCAGAGTTGCTGGTGGGGTTCTTATCAGCAGAGGTGATGATTCCACTCTGGATGAATTGGAGCAAATGCGTTTGCAGCTTGACAAGCTCCTTGGTTCGGGTATCAGCGCTTCCACCGAAGCCAGTGTTGACGCCGTAGATGACACATTCTTGCGCGATGTTATCGGCGAGGGTTTGGACAGAAAGATCGAGACGCTTGGCAATCGCTTCGTCGTCGCTAATCGTGGGTTGAACTCCATGGCGAGCAACGGAGACGATAGTAGAGATGTCGAGGTTGTTGCCATCGAGAACAATGTTCTCCTGCTTGTTCTTCAACTCACGGGCACGTCTCAACAGCTGGAGAGTTGCGCTCATGTGAGCCGACTGGTTGTGCCTTGTGACGGTCATGATGGGCAGACAGCAAGGATTCAATGCTGTGTTGATTTTATGTTTTGTTCAACTGCGGTACCCAAAAAAAAACAGACTGGGATCCCAAGGAGAAAGCAAAAGCTGAAGAAATGCAGTAAAGAGAGAGGGAAAGTGAAGCAAAGAGGGAAGAACAAGGAGCGAGGACAGCTGGATATATCTATTGTCCCCTTATTTCCCTTATTTCCTTAATTTCTTTATTTTCCTGACCGGAAAGGAAAAAAGAGAAAGCCATGGAAACCTGCTCACAGTGATGGTGGAGTAGAGTTCCTCAGCTGAAGCTTGCGAGTGGATCTGATACAGTTCCGCCATCGACATCAGCGCATAATTTTAAGCTCCACCGTAGGACAGACCCACTTGCAGCTAAGCTCGGGGATCCACTCCAGCCACTAGAATGTCCATTTGAGGTTTAGCGCGCTGTGGATCATTACCCTGCTGGGTGTCAACCAAGATTGGATTTGCGATCGACATGCGGCCTTTTACACGAGAAAAGACGATCTGAAGATCTAAACCACGACGTGCCGTGTACTGTGTGGGCCGATAAAAAGGGGCAGAGATTTCCTGACACTAGTAACACATCTAACCTATCGGACCCATCCGGACTCCAAACAATTGTCAACAGGAACTCCCGATCGGAACAGATCGGTGTACAAGGCCTGAACTAACTTTGCTCGCGCGTTCTAGTGCACTCCAAGTAACCCACCTTCTTTAGACCTCCTTGAATCGCATTTTCGCGTCTCCGGTTCGAGTGGAAACCTGGCAAAAATCGCGGAGTTTTACCTATTACCCGATTTAGTTTTCTATTCCGACATTCTCGATTTTGGTATTTCGTGAAACAAAGAGAAGCTGCTTCATAATAGCATGATGCAAGAAAGTCTTCATAAGTTGGTACTGTACTGTAGAAAGCCCAGCAGTTCCATTACGTACCATGACCATTGCCATCTCCCCCTACGATAAGCTGTCGAGGCTAGCGATGTGACAGTCGATCGCCGTCTCCTCTCAGGGAAGCCCAGCCAACCACTCACATCCACACGCTAGCCACGAGTTCTTTCCTCGGTCTGCAGATGGTTTGTTACATGTATAGAGAAAGATTCATGGATAAGGTACTGACTTTGTACTGAGCGGGGCACCCAACCTCGGTAACTTCTCATTCGCAAGATCTTCGGTGGAGGTGTCAAACCATAGATCGGGTTATTTGTTTTCGGTTTTCTTCGGGCTTTCCATGAGGGTCAGTGCCACGGGATATGCGTTTTGCCTTCATCGCATCACCCATGGTCGCGTACACACCAGGGCGGAGCTCACCCCTTTCTCGGGCCCTGACCGCTAGCAAGTCCTGGCGCAATTACCGTGCACATGTTTTTCTTCCTGATTTATATTTCTGTTGTGATTTTCATGACCGAACTTTGCGTCAGTGGCGGCAACATTACATACAGTACATACAGTACAAGTGTAATCTGCCGGAGAAAGAACGCAGCATCCATATTATTATGTATATTTTTCATAAACCAACCTCAGATTCCCACCGCTTACTTTAATACAGCTAGCCGTGGGTTGTAAGTTACAGGAAATCGATTTTGACTTGGAAGTAATGGTAACAAGCCTTCCATTGATCGGTGGGTGTCATCCTAGTCCAGATTATGCTTATGTTCTCGGCCGAGGCCGAGTATTGACGTGTACATGCCCAGTACAGTACAGATAGACAATACAGTATGCACTAAAACCTCCTGGGCCTTGTTGCATGGTGGAACCCGACAAGAAGCGATCTTCAATCCTTATCCAGAGCCATGAAATCTCCTTGCATCTATGGAGCGTATCTGCCAACATCAACTTCTCTTTTCACTCATCTGTGTACTAATGCTCTGCTATTGAAATGCAAAACTTGCACTAAATCAACCTATTGTCT